CTATAGCAAGATCTCTCAGGAGTGAATTTGCAGCTACAAATAAATGCATGTAGAACATAGTGTACTATTAGTCTCAGTATCCTCACTTCACAATTGAGTTGATGCCGAGGCCGCATATTTACTCACCTTGTAGGCCATCCGTTGACAGCGAAGCTAGTCCCTTCAGTATACTAACAATACATTGCTTGATCTCCACATGATGCCTCCAATCCTTGTCATTTTTGTACATCTCCCCAAGGAAAGCAACCGCATCTTGTCGAGTCTCCATAGTCCATTGTGTGTTAGCAGCAACCCGTCCCAGCCGCTGACACAATCCCCACTGGAATGCAAGCTCCTGTCGGCAAGGTGCCTCACACACAAGAATCTTGAACTTGGTGAGTTCGCCTGTCTGGAGAAATGCATCAGCTCCACGGAGTGCTGGATACCATGCAGTCTTGCGACTAAAGCCAAGTGCTTCTTCCATAATCTGCTTAAATGCCGCTCCGCTCTCGTATAATGGGATTGCATTCTCATACAAATCTGACCCCACGTCAACAATATCTGCCGCAGATGGAAGTTGTTCCTGGATATCGCTTAGTTCATCCACGAAGGTATTGAGGTCCCAGTCTTTGACCGCACTCACTACTCCAAATATCCCTCGTACCACTGCTGACGTACGCCGAAGCATGGCTTGCATAGGCGTTTCATCATCTGGAATATACAACAGAGCTTGGAAGGCGTAGGCTGCATGGTATACCAGATGAGGATCTGAACTATCTTTTAGTCCCTCCAAATAGGCTGCTAGTGGCTCATGAAGCTGTTCTCGCTTCAGACCCTTGACTTGATTGTTAACCATGGCATCGAGCACGTGCGAAACTGCCACACACAGCCGATAGACGTGGCCGCTAGATTGCTCATGCGTTCCCTGTAAGCGAGAACTGAGGGCACTGAGGATGTTAACCAGATCATCAGAGTCGAGGTACTTGGGAGAAGCATGCTGCATCAGCTGAACTAATCCTTCCAGCAAGTGGGTCTCCAGCATGATATTCTGACCGATTCCATTGACCAAGGTCATGAGTATTGTCCTATATTGGTCATAATCGAGAACTGGAGCCAGAGCCACAACCTCAGCAACAGTAGCCTCAGACTTAATATCATCGTGGATAAACAGTGTAATCACATCTGAAACCAAGTTGTGAAGTCGATCTTGTTCATCTTGGTCATCCAACCTGGCCAAACACCATTCCTGTTCCTGGGCTGTGAGGTCATTTAGTGGTTGATGTGCAAAAGAAAGTAGGCTGAGACAGTAGACGAGCTGGTGGATATCGATAAGATGAGTATCTGGACGAGGCAGGTTGTACTTGAAGATCACTCGCGCTACATCATGGCGGAATATTTCTCTTGGAATGATTGCAACACTGTATGTTGTATTGGTTCTCTCTGCTTTAATTATCTCCTTCGGTCTATTGATACTGGTGCCACTGCATTCTTGGTTAGTATTGGTGTTGCTGTTGCATGATAGCTCTTGGCAGGTGATGTTGCTCCCTTGGACATAACCCCACTTCTCTGCCTTTCTATCACTTTTTTGTGCATCACTTGAGCGACCTAGGCGTTCGAACAAGCGAGCAATTTCAAAGTGGGCCGAAGCGATACTTTGATATAGCACCATATCTTCAAGGGAACCTGAAGAGACAAGGTCCCTCCTCTCCGACCGCTGGATTCGAGACAATGCAAAGTTTGCATCGAGGCACAGCTCCGTGAGGATATCGGGGTCATCATTCATTCTCTGAGTGTCCTCCATGTAAAGGTTGAAGAGTTTCAGCGCCTTTGATGGCGAGAGGACACCTCGTGACGAAGTAAACCTAGTGCCAAGCATTTTTTTTTATTATTATTGTTTTTATTTTTTCGCCAGTACTCTATTGATTTTAATGAAAGAACAACCATTTTGAATGGCAATATTAGAGAGTAGCTTATATTTAAATGGATAAATGCGTTTATACGGATCGTGAGTGTTTGCTGCATACAGCTATTTCCGAAAACGTCGATATGTAAATGGTTGGCTAGGGAAATGCTTCTTTATGAAAGGGGTATTTAGTGCGATTCAAGAAAGGAAGGAGAAGAAAAGCAAAGGGAAGGTAGATGTGAAAGAAAGAGAGGAAGAGGATCGACAATTGCAAACAGGGCTTTGCGAAGTCGAAGAGCCCATTTGTGTTCTGTTTGTATTTTACCAAGCGAATAACCATTAAAAAATACCTTGACGAAATCCTCTAGCTCCAACTTTCGACTCAATCCAACAAAAAAAAAAAGCTCACTTTTCTCAATAGAAAAATCTGTGATCACAGAATAAAAAAGGTTGGTCCCAAAAACATCGCAGTTTAGAGCTGTTCTTGGCCTTTTTTTGTTTTGCTTCTCTTTTCTCTAAATATTTGTAAACCAGCTGTAAAGATATACATGTATGACTTGAATTGTTGCCCGCTACCTAGACAACGAAAAGACTTTTTTTTTTTTTTTTTTTTTTTTTTCGATAACAAGGACTTTCAAGAAGAAAATAATGAAAAGATAGGAAAATGAAGGGCTAAGTTTGAATAGCTAATATACGGGAAGTCTTTTTTTGGTGGGACTCCTTCCTCAACTTCTCCAAAAAGCTTTTGTGCCGCTTAGAGCGTGGTCTGCCCTTTTGATTGCCCTTGACAGGGTTCTCTATGTAAGTGCTGTCTCTTCCTTCGATGATGGCCTCTTCTAGTTTGCTTAAGACTGCATCATAGACATCAGGATCATTTTCCACAGAATTGACTGGGCGCTTTGTCAGCGCTGTTAGAGCTGCATACTTCCGTTTTCTGGATATTAGAGCCTGGTCTTCTGAGGGGACAGCGATTGGAGGTACGAAAACTCTTCTCAAATCGTCCATGTAAGTGATCGGTGGTGTCTCGCTTTCCACTTGATAATGTGACATGGCATATTGGAATGCCTCTGTTGAAACATCAAGTTCAGGATCGTCTTGCAATGTGTCTCTAAACCATCGCCTTGGGATCAGGCTAATATGATACCTACATCTCGGGGTAACTGTCGTCAAATGGAAAAAATGGCGGCACACAATTCCGGAATTTTGCAAGAGAAGACAAGAGCAGACGTAGGAACCGTCATTGAGGACTACAAGCTGTTGCCGTTCCGCTCCTGTGTGGTCCAACATGTAGGTGACCTCGTATGCAAATGTGATCTGTTGTGTCCCGATTCTGGAAACAAAGGAATCTAGTGAGAACTTCCGGCGGTCCTGCCTTGCGCTCAGCTCAATGCGCTAATCGTGAGATGAAAAATAATAAATAAATATGTATATATTATATTTCTATATATATTTTATTTTTATTTTTTAAAACAAAATAAAAAATAAAGAAATCATCTCACCTCATTGGGCTCATGGCTTCCATTTCTGGAGAGTGGAGCAAGGAATTCGGCAGGCTCGCAGAGCTTCGAACGATAATAGAAGGACCGGATCATCTCCATAGCCATTTGGTTCCTAGCCGCAACACCAAGGAAGTGATTGTTCCTTTCGTAAACCGAATTAAATATTTGCCTTGCAACAGTAGAGACGGTGGGTCCATCGTTCTGATCCATTCTGTATAAAAGGTACTCTGAAGTCCGCTCTTGTGATGCAAGTACCTCCTCGATTTTATCGAATAGAGATACAAGCTCTGTCTTCCTGGAGAGGTTTTTCTTCAAGACTGCGTGGATCCCTTTGACTCTCTGTGTCGACGCCATTCCTGCTGTAAACTTCACGCCAATCCAAGCCCACGCCCACTTCGCACGCTTTTGGTAAAGCCTATTCAGGTAGGACCGCACCTTCTCGTCCTCCTCACCGTATACAGCGACCTCTTCTTCCCACCTTGTTTCGAATTCGTGTACAGTGATGGAATTTCTGACCCTCCAGAAAGAAGAGTAGAAGAGCTCCCATTCGTCACGCAGAGGGCTCCGAAGCTTCTTCTTAAGGTTCTCGCTCATGTGCCAGATACAGTTGAGAAGGATCGTATCGGCAAGTATGTCACGGCAGGCTGCCTCCATGGCTGGGTCATCATCCACAATTATCACACCGGGAGCCTTTCCGTCGCATGCTTCTAGTAAAGCACTCAATATCCATGCATAGTCCTCGGTTGTCTCGTTCAAAACTAAAGAGCTTGCCACAAGGCGGCTTCTGCCAGCGCTATCCACCACAACAAAGACGTTCAGGTACATGTTGAATCGGTTGGTGTTTGATGTGTTGTCATTCAACACAACATCTCGGTAGCGACCGTAACAGGATCGTTGAGAAGGCGACATCCAGAAAACCTTGCTGAGTCTATTTTTTTGATCTCGCTCTATTTTGAAGAACCAACCATTGTCTTGGCGAATTCTGTCCTCCAGCACTTTAACCAGCGCACTAGCTTCTGAATAGTCGCAGGCACACTTCTTGAGCGCCTTAACTTTTTGGATGGCATTGGATACTTGTCGACGATGGAACATCCCTCCAACGAAATCCGTCTGGAGGAGGTACATTATATTATCTAAGCTGAGGCCCCCTGCAGCATAGTGGCCTATCTTTCCTAGGACTTCCTGACTCAAGGGGTCGATGTGTACGCCGGCTTCTACTTCGCAAGCATGATTATGTTCGCGCTCTAGCGTGGTGATATGCCAGAGCGGAGCAATTATATTAGGGGACCTAATGGTAAGCTTGAAAGGGCATTGCTTACGTCCTGACTTTGACCTCCGTTGCATAGATGGATCAGAAGTCTTGGAAGATTTACTTTTCCCTGAGTGCTTGCATAAAAAGACCACTATTTGTAATAAGAAGGAAGTTAGAGCTATAAATCTAACAAGTAACAAAAAAAAACAAAAAAAAGACGTGTCTTTTACCACGGGGCCGTTCACTATAATTAGCCTGTCCAATACGCGCTCTGAACCCACTGCGTCTAGCCCACGTTTTGATTGCGGCCTCTGCTTCAGGAAAGCTGTCAAACACATAGTGGAAACGAGGCTCCCAATGAGCAATGTCCTTTGAGCCAGCCTCACTAGCTAAATTAGAGCATTGACGCTCTTCATCATCCTCTGTCTCCTCCCCGTTAGTATTCCTTTGACTATCCTCATCGGTATCGCTTAGGCGATAGCCTTCTCTGTCATAGTAGCCCCCAGTTTCGCTATCACTCTGGCTGCCATCACAACTACCACTTTGACTCTCACCCTCGACGTCCTTTTGTTGGCCACTTTCCTCATCTTGCCCGACTTCACTGCTGTCGCTTGAACCTTCCTTGGGGACCTCGGGGACCTCGGGGGGAGAAAGCTATAATGAAGGCCGTAATATGTCGATGGCTTCAGTGAACGGCATTTAGGCCCTCAGCGCCGAAAGGACTTAACATATCCAAAATGGAATAGTTATTTAGACTACTTACTGTGGAGTAGGCGGTTACTAACTCAAGCATGCGCATGCGATGTTCTACAGCACTCTGGGGCTCCCAGAGGCTTATGCTTGGGTTAACAGCATGCTCAATTGCATTGAGAGCAATTATTCCACATGAACCGCTTGTTGATGGTTGCCGGGCGATACGAAACAACCCCATTCCTCTCTTCCATTTATTTTCTCCAATTTTGCAGGCCACCAGCCATTTCCTGATCCCAGACTCTACAGTAATTGGGCAATTCATCGCAAGAGAGTCACCAAATGACAACTCCTGGTTGATGAAGTCGATCTGTACGGCTCCCCAATGATCTAAATGCTGCATGTGGACTACAGCGAAGGCCTTTTCGACTCGCCCACTTTCAAGCTCTTCTTTTTTCCAGAGAAATGACTTGTTGTATTTAGTGCTGCTCGTCCATTGCTGGATTCTTAATGGTGGGATGAAAATATACTGATTATTGGCTGTATAGTGCTCCGAAAAAAGGTCCAGGACAAGACGTATTGCTTCGTCATCGATGTATTGCTCGTTCCTGAAAAACAAGGCACTGCTCAAGTTGAGTGGCACATGAGTAGATGCTCTAAAGCTTAGTTGCATAATGTTTGGGGCATTGAGTAACTGGTCGCGGAACCAAACAGCAAATGGGTCTCTCGCAGAAGAGGCATTGTCCCCAATCCATTTCAGCATTTCACGGATGCCTCTAGCCATATCCATAGCTTCGAACACTATTGGGTCGAGAAGCTTGATTGTCGTTTTATCGAAATTACCGAAGCTACCGATCCTCACGGCCCAGGAGCCTTCATTTGTATGGGAGCGTGTTCTTGCCCCAGTATCAAGCTCGCCAATAAGGCGTTTAGCGTAAAGGAGGTTCTTGGCCGAGGGAATTGTTTGGAGAGTTGCGATTTCACTACAAGGAATGATTGAATTCTCATCCTTCTTGCAAAAAATGCCCTCGATCGCGGCCTCACTGATCTCGGTAACGCTTGGGAAAGCCCAATTAAGCAGGTCCCGACCAGTCAAGGCTTCCCTCCACTCACGGCTATAGGGGGTCGATGGTCCGGAAGAAGGAGTTTGGTTGGCAGAAGTCATGCTTCCCAAACTAAATTTAAGATATTAGATGAGCTGTACCGATACTTTCATTAACTTTCCATTATCAGCCTGTCTACACAGGTACGAAAATCGGAAGAAAAAGTTTCAGTATGTACTTAGGCAGTTATAGTTACTGGAAATAGGTGTAAAGCACGTTTTGTGAGGGAAGAATGATGGCTTTTAAAGCAAAATTTCGAAATCGCGGAGCTTGGTCCTCTCTGGTCCTGTACTTTTATTAATGCTATTTTACAGGATCCTAAATAATACTGTTAATCCGGTTTAGGATCTCCTCCATCTTTTACTCATTAGGTCAAAACATCGTGTACCATTTTTGTCATTAATTTTTGACACTCAGCGTCATGATAGAGATGCACTGTAAACACTAATTCAGCATGCTTTGCTGCGTCGGATCCGGCGCTTGCAGCCTGTGCTCTGTACTATATCCTATTATATATCTTTCCTGTTGCATGTTCCCTAAAATTTACATCCGACGTCTGTACTCTGTGTCACATACCGAATCCGGCATCTGCAGTCTGTACTCTGCGTTACATTTACTATTCGTTTTCTCTTCCGTACCTTTCCTAAAATTTACATCCGGCACCTGTACTCTGTGTCGCACATCGGATCCGGCATCTGCAGTCTGTACTCTGTGTTGCATCTTACTATACGCTTTCTCGGTCGTATGTTCCTAAAATTTACATCCGGCGCCTGTACTCTGTGTCACACACCGAGTTTGGCATCTGCAGTCTGTACTCTATGGCACATCTTACTGTACGCTTTCCCTGCTGCATGCTCCCTTACGTTTATACCTGGGGGCAAATAGGGCTCGATCCGGTATAAATATGCACTAGAACCCACTTTTCGCTTTGCAACTAATCTACCTCACTCAATCCGCTTACTTTCCATTAGAAACCATCACTTTCAATTCAAAATGAAGTATATCAGCATTATTCCTGACTTTTTGACTCTAAAATGGCTACGCAGCGCCAATAGAACGGGAGAAGAGCTGATTCAGGCTCTGCTCCGTATGCCACAGCCGGTTACAACAGGAACACCAACTTATCTGGAAAACCCCTCCGACGACGAGCTCAAAGCCGCTCTTCAGCGTGATGAAGCCCTTGCATTGCCGGCGGTTCCTTCTGTGCAGCCCGGAGTCATCCGGGAACTACAAAACAAAGACTCTAGCTGTCTGGCCAATTTTAAGGAGTTTGACTTTTGTTACACAAACGAAGCCGTCTACGCGATAAACGAGGTAAGCTTTGAGGTTGATGTAACTGCTGCTTTATGTACTTTATAATATTCACAACTGAAGCCCTTTCATATCCTATATTTTATAAGGCGAACCTTACGAGGAGGTTTGCAGAACGCCGCAAAAATGAGTTGGATTGGCTCGCAACTTTTGCCAACGGACCTGGTAAGCTTCACCGCGACTTTGCTACCTGGCTCAGCCAAGAAATCAACCAAAGAACCCCTGTCCATTGTATGATGTTCAATCAAGAGGAGTTCGACAATTCACATTCGCATATAGAGAGTATAGTTTCTCTTGGCACGGATGAATGCCTGAACGTGCACGCGGTCCGTGGCATCTTAGCTTTTTTCCGAAAATGCTATGGTCAAAACGGTCGTTACTTGTTCTTGGACCCTTCCTTGAGCTTGGAAGATGGGCCGAGTCGAGTGGAGAGGAAACTTATTGAACGGGGTAAAACCGAAAAGGTGTTCGCTATTTTTATGTAGAGGATTACTGGACTGCTGCCTACCTTGATCTCCCTCAATATCGGGCTTATGTTGGTGATTTCTGCTGTCGAAGTGAGAAGTATGTAGCTGAGACTCTAGTGGCATGGTTGGCGCCACTAAGCGTGGACAAAGAAAGGTGGAGGCAAGCTCATGAAAATATGGGCTCATTCCAGGTCCGAAAGTGCCGAAAACGGGACTCTTGTGGCATCCATGCTGCAATCGCCATCGAACAGGTCGTCAACCCATACGCCACCTGGGGAAACTATGTCAATACCGTATACCAGAGGATCCGATTCTCACGGTTATTGACTGGTAATCTAAAGGTAATGTCTACTTCTTGTCAATTTCATTAACAGCTAGGGAAGACAATATCTACGTGAACATTAATCACTTCTGATCATTAGGTAAATATGGATTTTATTGCCAACGCCTTTAAGAAGCAAGTTCCTGAAGGCCCAAATGAGCCAACACAGATTGCCTTGTTTGAGAAGGAGCTACAAGCAATATACTTGGATAACAGGAATGATGTGGATGTCTTCGATCAGGTTCTAGCATCGGCAAGGAAGGGCAAACGGAACATTCGGAAACTGCCTTTGAAGGACGAGGCTCAAGATAGCGCGGTTCCCGTACTAAAAAAACGGTGCATTGTTGTCGAATCCGATGACGATATAGCCTTTATTGGATCTAACGGGCCACTTAGTTCTAAGACTCAGGATGAGCCTGGCACCGATACAGTTTTTGTTGAGCACAAAGCAGCTAATAACCACTTGAAGCGCAGGCGCACCAAGCGGAGTAACTAGTTACCTAGAGGAAAAGTGGGATAAGGGTTTTTGCTGATGGACAAAAAAAAAGACTTCCTTTGAGTATCTTTGTACAATCTCTATTAAAATGATCGAAACAATTAATTCTATAAGCAAAAGCCTTGCAGATTGCATCTGTGTCCTTTTAACATCACTCATTCCAAAAAAAAAAAAAAAAAAAAAAAAAAAAAAAAAATTAGTTGGTCGTTTTTCAACCAAAGGGTCCCTTCTGGTTACAGCAAGTGCCTCAGTGAGATTTGGGCTAGATTTTTTTATTTCAACCTGTTTGCGCCATCGTCGACGTCCTCAACTTCAACTGATTTACGTTTTGTCTTATCCTCATAGCTGTTCATCGCTTCTCCCCCCACTTTATCTCTCTCCTCTTCATCCTTGACCTCCACTAGGTCTTCTTCATGTCCCTCCTCCATCTCTTCTCTTTCTTCTCCCTTATAATCTTCAGGCTTTAGTCCTGCTTTAGTAAACACCTTTTTTGGGTCAAAGAGATGATCATTATTAGAGACTCTTTTCTCCTCCCCTTTATACTTTACAAAATCCTCAGTCTTCCATCCTTCTTTTTTTAATATTCCTTTCAGCTCCTTTATATGATCATCATCGGTCATATCGTTAGTATCGCTACCATCAGTATCCTCCTCTTCATAATCTTCATCATCCTCAGGCTTCGATGCTAATCTTGTAAACATCTTTTGTAGCATCTCGGAATAAACAGTATTCAGCGGAAGTCTCCTGGTGTCTACTATGGACGGTGGGGGCATACCATTGGCATCTGCCCTGGCCTTGAGGGATTCCATTTGATTTGGGCTTATACAATGACCTAATGGACAGATATAAATTTTAGAGTGAAAAATATATTAGCCTCTTAAAAGTCCAAAATGTTCACGCCAGAGAGCCTCGCTTACTCGGGGTTGACGTCTCAATCTTACCTTCAGTCATAAGTGTATGAAAGAGAGCAATGGATCTTTGTGTCCTGGCTTCTTCGCGGACTTTTTTTCTTGCAATTCTATTATTTTCTTCCAAGGAAATGGACAATCGACTCAACTCATATGTCATGTTGACTATAAGGGGTCGAATCTTGGAGATCTCCGCCTTGAGATCAGAGAGCGAGGGCCCCTCTTGGACCAGCTCCTTCTCCGCTTCCTGATTTTCGTCAAGTTCAGCAAAAAAAAACTCGCGCTGCTTTGATGAGCTCTGATGTTACGTTAGATTTTTTTTTTATCTGTGGTTTTTCGACCAAAGTTGCGCCAATGGGCTTGCTAGGGACGTTGCTAGTCACTGCAGAATTCTGGTGCTCTTTCTCAATTTCTTCTGGAGCCGGCCTATCAGAGGCAGTGGGGCTGTCAGCGAAGACAGGGCTGCTAGAACGAGTAATGGTAGGATTGGTATTAGTGTTGCCAGAAGCTTGGAAGGGGTCTTCCATGAACTTCCTGCACTTCTTGTGGTGCTTTGGAGGGTCCGATGCGAGGTTCGATATGTGATTACAACTTATATGTGGACAAGCATAATAAAAAAAGCGATTGGGATCACGGTCGACAGTGAGAAGGTCACCCGTATAATGCGATCTAAATTTTATTGTCCTCAAGGAGTGATATTCGTTTATGTGCGCTTCTGTCCCATCCTGGATTTCGAGAGAACATTGACCGATATCGAATTTTGTGCATCGAGGAACACGGGGCATGATGAAAACGAAGACGAAGGTGAAAAAAGAAGTGAAATAGAAAGGGAAGAAGCAAAAGTCTTTGTTATACTTCGAGGCTCAAACTGCATTCAAATCCCTCGACGCTTGGTTATCTACTAGCCCCAAATAGGATTCGAGTATGCTTAGTCACAAAGGCCATTCGGAGGTAGAGAGAGTTACAGTTCTGGAAAAGACACTGCCCTCAATCCCGCCTTGCCAAAAGTTGTGAACAAATATAAAAAAGCCTTGTATATTATATAATGTATAACAACTCTGTTGTTTTTTTTTTTTTTTTCACTTCAATTTAAGGCCCTTGCCAAAAAGTCATAAACTGGATATATTTTATATTTTAAATTGAATAGAGTACACATCCTTTTCTTTACACAAAGAAAGGCTCCCATTGTTTTCTCAGTATATTCCAAATTTATTATCAGATTTGGTCCTTCATGGCGCACCACTAGTGACTGGCAGTTGTGTGATGCATAATTGTCTGCAATGTTCTTTAGTAGGTGAGGTTTATTGCAAAGGGAAAAAAAGAAAAAGTCTGCAGACAGCAATAAGAACGTTAAATCTTATTACGAATGTAATTAACCGCACCGCCACCGATTAACCAGTTATCACAGGTTTTCACCAGTTTAACCGTTTTAACCAGTTTTAATCTGTTATAACCGGTTAAAAATATGTCAAAATCGCTGCTCATCTCAGAAGGGACGTCAGCGCTTTGGGCAATGGTATCTGCAGCAATATCTTATTGAAAGCGGAGTGGAGGTGCGGTAGTTATTCCTAAAGCTTACACTTTTCTTAGATACGCTTAGACAAAGCAAATTGCGGTGGCATTGCGTCCTTCTTTTTTCTTCCTTGATTAGAGTAGAGTCCTCGCCAGAAAGTCATGAACTGGATATATTTTAAAATACTCAATTTGAATTATTATTTGCAAAAATACAATTTTCGTACGAAGCTTGAAAAGCACAATAGAAAAAAAAAAAAAAAATTCTCAAAATTCTTGATGTCCAAAAATGGAAGTATTCTATTCAATTTAAATGCCTGAAAAATATATCCAGTTCATGACTTTCTGGCGAGGACTCTAGTTCCTGCATTAGTAGCAATAACAATATTAGTATTAAAAGGGTCTTATTGGGCATTTTCTGGCATGGCTCGCTCTGCAGTCATTTGCGCCTCCAACCAGAGTCCAAGCATGGAGGTACACAACGTGCTACTATCTATAATCTTTTTTTGAGATACCAATCTATAGTTGGTTGTTGGTACCCGATAGGAATCAGAAGATCAATACCTCTCCAAAAATATACCCGGAAAGAGCAGAAAGGAGTTTGATGTAGTCATCACTTGCGAAGAGCGCCTCTTTGATACGATGTACGAGGCTTTTCTTTCTTCCTTTCTTTTACTTTCTCATTGAGTAATCAGTAGAGTGAAATGTCATTTGATTGATTTATGCTATGATTTGTCCCGCATATGTCGAATAGGGACTTTCTTTCTCTTTCTTTCTTTCTTCGAACTACACCTACATTATGATCATCCAATTTTAATGAAGAGAACAAAAATATTTGCTTTTTTTTTTTTTTTGACAAGAGGAATAATGAATAAGATTAACATCTGATTTCTTCCCGCTCTTTTTCTCGCTGAATAACCAAACATGGTCGATGCATTCTGGACGGTATTATAAACCCCTAGGAGGTGAATCCTTAGAAATAAAAAGGAATGAAGTCTTGGGAAGAGGAGAAAAAGGTATATACTAAGGCCCCAAAGTCCATAAAGACAACTTCTACCCGCTTAAAGCCTCTATTGTTAACTCCAGTCCCTAGAGCGAATGATAGCATTGATGAAGAGCGTTATAATGCTTCCTCTTACATTCTCGTTCGTCGGCCGAATTTTATTTTCTCGAATGTCGTGCGATAATGCGAAATGAACATAGACTGCAGAGATATTGGTGGCATACAATTTTTTTTTATTGTTATTTTACACGATTGTAGAACGTTGTATCCAACCCTAGTTGTTAAATATATAAGTATATATACTATGTTTGATCCTGTTCCCACCTCACTTTACGCCTTACAGTTGTTCAGAAGTAAAAGGTTCAACGAGAGTCATTTGCTGCTTTGGTAGCAATCAGTGCCGCCAATGCTGCACCAACACCTGAGCCATCCCTATTTGTTTATAAGAGCAAATACAGAAATTAGTAAGTAAAGCAGCGCAAACCTCTTTGAAAAGAGAATTATATATTTCGAAGGATTACCTTGCAATTCCAAGCTTAACAATGTCCATAACATGCGGTCCTAGAAGCTCTACAAGGCATTGCTCCATGCGCTCCTTAAAGTGGGGGTAGTGCTCAAAGACCGATCCATCAATGCCGACATGAATAGTTTGCTTGTTGGGATCAACAACACGGTTACTATTACCATTGCCATTACCATTGCCGCTGATACTGAGGCTTTCGATCTTCGGTTGGCCATTTAGATCAACATCCCCCTTGTCATAAATGCTCAACTGCAAAGGGTATTCATATTCGCGAAGGGCTCCCACCTCCACACCCTGTCGAATTACTGCAGCTGTAGCCATAGCACTCAACCTGGCGGCCCGTATGCCTACTAACTGGCAAACAAACTTCACGATCTCACGATCAGCCTGTGTATTAATCTTGATATCCAGCTCTTGTTCCAAAATCTGTGCTGTAGGAATCAAACTAGCAGAGTCGTCTTCCTCTATTGCTGACATGAATTTAGTCTCAAAAACCCAGTGCTGATTCAGTTTTGGACTGCTGGTCCCCTCAAACAGCACGCGTTGATCAATCAAGTGCAATAGAACGTTGCGTGTGATCTCACCCAGGTACATTCCTGAGATCATTTTTTCAAATACATGGACACCAGGGTTCTATGACATAAGTGCCATATTTGAAAGTTTTGGAAAGCAGGTTAAGATGTTTGTATGGGATCATGTGATCTACTCGAATTTTTAAAACTATTCGGGTGATACTTACGATCGATTCACGGTCCAATTTGTTGTCGAAGATAGTAACAGGAAGGAATGCCTTTTCTTTGTCAAAATTACCCCATTCAATATTAATGATCATCTCGCTAGCATCGCTAGTCATAGTCTTGATGTTATGAGTCTTTTCAACATATGCACCGTTGGTGCCAGTTCCGAAAATTGCACCAATATAGGTACCAGGATTAATGTACGAGTGAGCCAAGAGTGTACCAACAGTGTCATTAACCAAGGCAGCTAAGGAATAGGATGCAATAAAAAAAAAAAGATGGAATTAGGTATTTTGTTAATCCAACTATAATACCTCGATATTTTTAAACCTCAGTTGTATGATTGTCTGTTCATCTTACCAACATGAACATTGACTTTATTGCGGTCGAGAGCCTCTTGGAGCAATTGAACAATGTCAGCTCCTACTGCACCGGGACAGCTAAAGCCCTTGGTCCAACGAAGCAACTTGCCAGCATCAACGGCTGTCTGAGCAACAGGAAAAGAGAATGTGAAGCCAAGCTCCAGTGATTCGGAATCGGAGGGATGTTCACAAATCTTTGCGTTGATGTGTTCACTTGTGATGAATTCATTAATTGAGACTGCGATAAAGTCCATCAACTCCTTGACATCGGCTTGCTGCAAGTGATCAGACACTTTAAAAGCCTTGTGATGCGACTCGAGCTTGTGGTCGCCCTTCAATGAAATCAAGCACACACTATTGCATTGCAATGCAGATAAACAAAAAATGGATTTGTGTTAGGACCTGAGTGTAGATGTTGGGGGCATTTGTTGTAAACCACCATTGATAACCACAGGCATGTAAGGTCGTCTGCCTTTAAGCTCTTCTCCTTGTTGACATGCCATATTTAATCTATCAGCGTAGGAAAATAAAGTTGCATCTAGTACAAGATAACGATAACAGCGACTGAACGTAGATTTTTTTTTTTTTTTTTTTTTTACATTGTCGGTGTACTTCCAAATGATCGAATACGAGAAGCGGGGAAGTAAAAGATGAAGAGAAACAACCTTTTTTTTTTTTTTTTTTTTTTTTTTTGACTGAAGCGACCCCACAATTTATGCTTGGAGCAACTTGTTCAAGCTCAAATCCACAAAGGGACCGTGATCAATTGTGGTCTAATTTCGTCATTTTTCTGCGAGAAAAAAAAACCTTCCTCATAGCCGTTGCAAACCCTCCATAAATCAACGTGTTTAACCTCATTCAAGAGACTCACGATCCGTGAGATGTACTCTTTCACTTCCACTTCTCGAGTATCTTCTTTTATTCTCTTTCTTTCTTTCATTCTTTTTTTCTTACCGAAGGTTGGTACCACCAAGGTCCAGGGCAAGGAAACTACCACGCTCCTTACCATCAGGACGACCTGTGACAAAGGTGGGAATCATGGCCAAGTCCTTGGATTGTTGTTCACTCAGTCCAACGCGCATCTGATCCACGAACTGGACAGTCAGAGCCTCGAGCTGTGGGGTGGAGAGTGAAAAGTCTTTTACGATACCTTGGAGTACCTCGCGCTGACGGTCACTCCATTTGGAATGGTGCTTTGGGAGTAATGAGGTGGACAACATTTCGAATTGTCAAGAAGAGAGCTAAACAAAGTCAAAGGAGAGGGAATCGAATAGGTCGAGGAGTTAGTTGGGAGTAAAGGGAAAAGGAAGAAAGAAAAAAAAAAGAGGTGAAAGTAAAAGGAAAAGAAGAAAGAAGTAAAAGAAGAGAGACACTGTATTAGTCGCATTACACCTGAGAGATTAACTTTTTGTCAATTTGATAAATGATGTCAATCACTGTCCTCCTGGGGACCAAGTCCAAGAGAAGCTTCGGCGGGATGTAGCCTTGCCTTCCAATGACACACATTCACATCGAATAAACATTTATACGCATTTCAATAAACATTTAATCATACGCGCCTTTTACTTCTTTTGGGTCAATGCTCTTTTCATCCTGTCACCCTGTGGTCATTTTTTTTTTTTACTGAATTAAGTTTGTACATGTGGAGATTAGAGGTGGTGCAAAACGAGATTCATTAGATACATTTGTTTCAAATTCAATCTGTATCTTCTCAATTTTCTAATTGCTTTCCTTCTTTTGCTCTTTTCTGAATTCGTTTCTTCAGTTGTCCAAGTCCACCATTTTTTAGCATTCAGTCTTTTTCAAAAGCTCAACTTGTTCGACATGTCAGGTGATAATCTCCACCAGGCTTGCCAAAGTCTCAACACAAACTTGGCTCGATATCCCATCATGGCCGTCGGCCTCCCCTTGGTCGGCGGGTTCCTCTCCGCTACACCATGGCGCGACAATGCAAAGATTTATTATGAATCAGCACGGAAGCCAAGTTGGGCTCCACCTGCACGCGCTTTCGCACCAGTCTGGACAGCTTTGTATATATCTATCGGTTATGCATCTCACTTGGTTGCCCTACGTACCGGACCCTACACACCGCCTTTGATCCGTGATTTTGCAAAAACTGGATTGGGTCTCTATGGATTAAATTTGGCTTTTAATTTTGCCTTCACACCCATCAGGTTCGGTATGAATAAACTTGGCGCTGCCCTTGTCACTATCACTGGAGCCACCGTAAGTGGATTTTTTTGCATGTACTTTTTTTTTATACTTTTCCAAATGATGAAATTTAAGAGGCTGCAGCTTTCCCTTTTCTTTTGCGACTTTGTCAAACTGTCACAACGGGAAGACACATTTCGCGCCCGGGAATTGGAGAGTCAAGGGGCATTTATTTTTTTGGCGCTCCAAACATCATGACGAAGCTCACCAGAGTACTTCAATTCACTTTTTTTTTTTTTTTTTTTTTCTTTATACCTGCAACATTCCAATTCACACGCGCTGATATTCCAAATATTCTTGATTCTGTATTCAAGGTGTCTTCTGTCGCTATGGCATATTATTATTTCAAAGTTGACAAGCACGCTGGTTACTTGACGATCCCATATGTTGCCTGGCTTGGATATGCAACCGCATTGAGCTATGACACCTGGGTCAATAATGCCCAAGGTCCCGCTGCCGATCATGCTCGAAAACTCGGCAAGGATGTCAATGATGTTGTTCAGCATGCCAGGGATGAGATTAAGGATGCAGCCGTGCATATCAAGGAGGACGCCAGAGATGCTGCTCGTTCCATCAATAAGCATGCTAAAGATGCTGTCAATCATGCTTCTCACAAAGTTGACGAAGAGCTCAAATAGAATCAAGACAGTTTACTTCTTACAATGATGTTATAGTTAATAAAATCGATGCTTGCACAGAAAAAAAAAACGAAGCATGGGACTTTTAGTGTATAAGAGCATCAATATGAAGACCACATTTCTATTTGTCTGTGCGCGAGCCAGTTATCTAACATAAGGGCAGCTTCAGTATAGCGTATGGGAACATACAGCCCCCCCGTGGCTGTACAGTTCATGGCATGTACACCTTGCCGTAGTTTGTCCAAAAGCGCGTCAAATACTCGCGAGAAATAAACCACATGACGTAGAAAGCACATTCAAATATGGAATCTAAAGGACTGAAGTGCATTCATCCTGAAGACATTCTTTTCATCACTTTACCTATCCTTTCTTTGGCATCAGACCAATCCACCCTTCTTTTCCTACTCCATTCTCTTCCTCTTCTTCTTCTCTCTCCCTCTCTCTTCTTCTTTTTTTTTTTTTTCTCTGACTTTTTTTTTATTGTGATGGAGACTCTTAACAAGAAGACAACCCCGATCAGCTTTGCTGCTGCTGCTGGCAAGGCACCCTCGCCAGCTCCAGGCTCATCTGCAGCTCAGACTCATGCACAGGGGCAAGGACAGGGACAGGGACAGGGGCAGGGACAACAAGGAGCAGGAGCAGGAGCAGGAGCCTCGAAGAATAGTGGCGCTCCTGGATCGCAGTTGTCTTCATCTTCAGCTGCAGCTGGAACAGGAACAGGAGCAGGGACAGGGATAGGAGCAAAAGCAGACAAGAATGTGTCTACATCAGCTTCTTCTGCTGCATCCAATCCTAATTCCTCGGGTAGTCTGGACTGGATTATTGGATTGAATGTCAAGGTCGTGACACAGGCTGATGAGACTTTTGAAGGCCAGGTCTACGCCTATGACACGATCATGAACTGCCTTGTACTTCATATCATACTCGTGGTCGAAAACAACAATCCTTTTTTATCTTTTTACTTTTTCTGTTTCTGCTGCATTTTCATTTGTTTGTTTATATGCTCGTTTGTCGCTTATTTGCTTGCTTTGTTTTTTTGTTAATTGGATGGCAATGCCTTTTTTCACAATTTCCCAGCTGTTTTATAAAAACAGTATAAGGGATCCTATATTATCCTTAACTTTGGAAATGCCTATGCTTTTTTTTTTTTTTTTTTTTTTTTTTTTTTTTTTGTTGAAATGAACACAGAGCCTATCCAAGTCAACTACCACAACATCGACCCCTACTTCTACCTATTACAGTCCATCGATTGGAAATAATCCTCCCCGACCAAAATATGATTTTAGGATCTTGAAGATCAATTACATCAAGGACGTCACACCACTCCCTGCAAGCAAAAATGGTGTCGAATCGAATACCACAACACCTATGGATGTATCTTCTGATAAAGAAACAGGCAAGAACATCGGCAACAGTACAAATGGCACTATCAGTAGTAATGTTTATGCAACAGCGTTACCAACAATCGGCTATGTACACCTGGATAAGATACAGCAACGGGAACAACAGGCAGTTCGTGAAGCACAGGCAGCAGCTGCACGTATTGGTGTGGGCGTATCAAGCGCTGGACAGGATATTTTCGATGCTTTAAGCAAGACGTACGTTTTATGTCCCTCCTTTCCTTTGTCTCTAAGGCTGTATAAGTTTTTTCGAGTTGCAAGCAGGCTATTTGCATATTGATTGCTTATATTTCTCTCCGCTCCCTCCCTCCCCCTTCTTTTTTGAATATCTAAATGCTAAACAGATTACCATGCCGCTGGTCAAAGGATTCTATTATTGTAATGGATGAGGTCATTATCGAGCCTCCATATGAGCCTGACAACTGCAAGGCAAATGCCTCAGCATCATACATTCTTGCACGCGTTAAGAAAGTGGTATGTTTTTATGCATGTATCCAAGTAAGGGCCGAACTGTATTATATGTAAAAGAATCTCCATGACTGACCTTCTCTTTTTTATCTTTTCTTTTTAAATTTGTTTTATTTAGTTGGAAGGAGAAAGGTTGCGTTTGGCGAACGGACGCCGTTAAGATTGGCGTGTGCTATGAAAATAAACTTTTTTTTTTTTTTTTTTTTTTAAGCGTATTATTGCTTATTGCTCGCGTCTTTTTTTGTTCTCAAGCACAATATTTGCGTCCATAGATTCAAACGCTCCATTGACCACATCTTCTTGTAGGACGATACTAAGCGGCTATATTTATACAGTTTATTTTAAAAAGAATCTAAAGAATGTCTATGTGTATGTGTACGTTTTTTTTTTTTTTTTTTTTTTTTTTTTTTTCAGATCTACAGCTCGTCTTTGATCCTGTCATTGACGAGAACACATGTTTCAGGATATGAGGCATGTAGCAGTTCCACTGCGCGCTCAATAATTTCCCAGTCTCCATCCTTCTCACTATTCTCTCTCCGTCCTTCACTGCTTTGGTTCTCCTGCTGAAGACTCTCACACCATGGCCCCACATTAGGGGCAACTTTTTCGATGACTGTCATAGTCTTGGTGTGATTGTTCTTGCTATTATCATCTTGAACATTTGTTACTATATGCTTCTCTCCTGACTGAATATTATCTGTATCAGTGTCGTTATTGGGGCTGATAAACTGCATATCCGGATCTGCAAAGTCACTCATGACATAAATACATTTGCGTCTAAACAAAGGGTCGGTACTCTTGCTGTAGATCTTGGCGAGTCTAGAGATGTCTTCATCTTGAATGAAATCTTTATCGCTACTCGAGCCACGGACAAGACTACCATAGGCGAAGATGAGGCGACGGAGAACTTGAGCGTCAGTTTCAGTCTCGAGATGTGTCAATAGAGTCTTGTGAAGACTATTCTTGTATCCAGCGCTCTGAGCTTTCTCATGGTTCTATATGATATTGGAAGTAAAGGAAGTAAAGGAAATATAGGAGGGAAAAAAAAAGTCAGGATCAAATAAAAGATCATGTCTAAAGACACACAATCATTTTTACACACTTAGGAGAAAGGGAAACAAAACAAAAAAAGCTTTTTACCTGCACAGCATTCCCAATGATAAGCGCAGATTTTGATCTCAACAGACGGGTTTCATGACATTCCGCCTCTGTGTTGTCTTTTTTACAGCCAAGAAAGCCGACCAGCGTCTTCAAGTCTTCGCCATTTGTTAAACGGAGTCCAAATTCCATATCACTTGCCAGATCAGCTAGTTCTTCCATCGCTGACAAAAGAGATTCAGGATCCTTATTGGTCTTGAGAATTTCCATTTGCTCTGTAAATGTTTGATGATCACCCTGGTTACCCTTAAATAGTGGTACTACAGGTGGTTTCGTTTCCTGTTTTTGTTGTTGTTGTTGTTGATTCCCATTATCCTTTAAATTTGCAAGTTCGGGAATAGAGTCAAAAACAGTCTGGAGGTTCATACGACTGTTTTCCTCCATCTGTGCAGAATCTTCCGATGTCAATTCTCCATCAGGGTGCTTTAGGTCAATAGGTGGAGGCATATTGTTATTTTCGCCACCGCCCCCAACTTGATGTTTTTGAATTGTGCCAGGTGAATCTGTATCAATGACCAAGATCGAGTTGGTAGCATCTTTTTTAGAGCTGGCCTCGATCTCTGGATCCATTAGTTTTGCGAACTTGCGATGTGTTTCAAAATCCATTTGTACATGAAGACCTATTAAAAAATAAAGGATCGGTATTGGATCAATTACATTGGCTGCGAAAATTAATGTTATTGTTTATTCAAATAGCCCCATGCATACCTCCTGGTATCTCCTGGCCCTCAAGAACTTCTTGGAACTCTGTAGTAGGTCGGAAGACTCTGGGGTAACAAGCACCGTTCCTGCAAATGATATCTGATCGGATGTCAGCAGCAGCATGGTTGGCTGTATTGGCTAGTGCAAGGGCAGCACACAGTCCAAGAACAAGTGTGAGCTTAGAAGTAAATCGAACCATGACTGAGGAAATAAATGGCTTGAATATGTGTATATGGAAAAGATGTGAATGCAAAAGAAAAGAAAAACCGAGTGAAGAGAGAGAAGAATAGAGAGAGAAAGAGAGAGAAAAAGGGAGAAAGAGAGAGAAAAAGAGAGAAAGAGAGAAGAGTGATGTGAAAGGACTTGACGGTTGAATGAGTTTCCTTTATACAAAAGGAAATGAGTTTATTAGTTTTCAATTTGTTGCGACGTGGCACAGCCAGTTGGCTCCAGCACAAAGTGTGAGGAAGTGTGACGTGTCAAATTACAGCTACAAGGGTTTGATTTGACTATTGAAAGGAACATTCAGTCCTGATATGCCTGCCTATGACAATTGCCAATAGGTAGACTGCTCACTGAGTAAGTTATCATCATCCTGATTCAATTTGCATTCCTTTCAGTCCATTTTATTATTATTAAACCCTCACAGCTTGCTCGCTTGCTCATTCGTCTGGTAATTTGCAGGCATTGTCGCGTCCATTTTCACACTCTCTCCACATTATCCACACAACTTGGATTCGTACCTTTCTACTCCTTCCTTCTCCCCTTTAGTTTTTCTCTTGACGCGTAGAGCGGCCTGTAGCAACATCTAGTTCTCATCACTCATCGTCACGTCGTATCCATCTTACTTTTTCTTCTCGTCCCTCACATACACACAGCACAACAACATGAGCACATCAGACGCTTGCTACACCATCATCCATCAGTCTGATGCAGATGAGGAGATCAGACCAGAGACCTTACGCCAGCGGATCGAGAAGGGCTCGGATGAGGTCAAAATTGAGACCATGCGCAAGATCATCTTCACTATGCTCAACGGAGATCCTCTCAACTCGCTTCTCATGCCAGTCATCATGAATGTTATGCGCTCTCGTAACAAGCAACTCAAGAAGCTTGTTCATTTTTATCTCGAAATCTGTCCCAAAACCAACCCTGATGGCAAACTTAAGCAAGAGATGATTCTTGTCTGGTAAGGAGTAATCTTTATAATTTTGTCTCCGATCCCAAAATGAAGTAACTAGTTCAATCTCAACAAGATGAATGAAAAACAGGAGGAAAGTTAACATTTGTCCCCTTATGCGCGACATCTGAATATAGTAACGCGTTGATGGGCGACTTACAGCACCCAAATGAGTATATCAGAGGATCAACCCTTCGTTTCCTATGCAAGCTTCGTGAAGCTGAGTTGCTCGAGCCTTTGCTTCCCTCTGCCCGTGCTTGCTTGGTATGTCGCAGGGGTTATAGCTGTTTGATGATAGATCAATTGGGCATGTATTGATTTTTGGAGCCACATCTAATTATCATAAGTCGTCTTTTACTTTTTTTTTAGGAACATCGCCATTCATATGTCAGGAAGAATGCCATCTTCGCCATCTACACCGTGTACAAGCACATTAACTATCTTATTCCTGATGCCCCAGAGCTAATCCACGCATTGTTGCTCCAGGTATTGTCAACGAATTCATCTTGTAACATTCTCTGTCAGGAGTTGTATTCCTGTACAGAAAGGACGGCTTTAACACTCCTTCTTCATTTCTTCTGCTTTTTGAAACGAAACTTGTAGGAGGCGGACATGGCTTGCAAACGCAATGCGTTTGTCATGCTAGTTAACTGTGCTCCTCAGCTGGCTGTTGAGTATTTAGAGTCAGTAATCAACCAGGTTCCCAATTTTGATGAGCTCCTGCAAATGGCAATTGTCGATTTGATCCGCAAGGACTGCAGGAACAATGCCGCTAATAAGGTGTGAAGCAGTTGATCTATCCTAAGGCTTTTGAATGGACACCATCATTGGAAGTGAAATGGGAGTGAAAAAGGCGATTTACCAAAAAAAAAAAAAAATCAAAATCAAAATCAAAATCAAAATCATTTGTTAGGGCAAGTACATTCGCTGCATTTTTGAGCTTCTGAATGCGCCGTCGCACTCTGTGAAGTATGAGGCTGCCACGACCTTGATGGCTCTCACCTCCAATCCAGCTGCTGTTAAAGGTAATGCAGGGAATATCTTTTTTGTTCTTATTTCTTCAAAAGATAATGTGGTTGTAGAAAGCCTCGTCCTCACATCACTAATTTATATAATGCTTTATACTGTGTTTTTGGCAGCTGCTGCATCCTGCTATATTGAGCTCATTGTCAAGGAAGCCGATAATAATGTCAAGTTGATTGTATTGGGTCGTCTTGATGAACTGCGTGAGAAACATGAGAAGGTCTTGGATGATTTGGTCATGGAAATTCTCCGTGTTCTTTCAAGGTAAAGCTTTTTATTACTATAGGATGTTCGCATCGATTGTCTCATTTTCTGATCTTTTCCCCCTTCTTTTTCATAATTATATTAGCCCTGATATTGCTGTCCGAAAACGTGCTGTTGGTATCGCTTTAGATATGGTTTCGAGTCGCAATGTTGACGAGGTGGTTGGATTTTTGAAGAAGGAGCTCACAAAGACTTTGGATCAGGATTATGATTTGAATATCGAATACCGCCAGCTTTTGATTCAATCCATTCACTCATGCGCTATCAAATTCTCCGAAGTTGCGGCAAGTGTTGTTCATGTGTTGATGGAGTTCTTGGGCGACTCCAATAATCCTTCCGCTGTAGATGTCATTGCGTTTGTTCGGTACGTAGATGGCTTGAGTTCGGCTCTCTTTGTCTTAAATCTTCTGAATGTTTGTTCGAATTAGTGCTGGCTATTTTTACTGACACTCTCTTATTTGTTTTTAAATTATAGTGAGGTTGTTGAAAAGTTTCCTAGTCTTCGTTCATCAATTCTGGAGCGTCTCATGGAAACTTTCCCTGAAATGAAAGCGGCCAAGGTTTTCCGTGGAGCCCTCTGGATTGTTGGAGAGTACTGTTTGGAGGTCCAGGATATTGAGGACGCATGGAAGCATATCCGCGCAGGATTAGGTGAGATTCCTATCCTGGCATCAGAGCAACGCCTCTTGGATGAAGCTCAGAACGAGGATAACGAGGCCAAGGCGGCTGAAGCAAAATCTGCCCCTTCGACAAAGCAGCGTGTATTGGCTGACGGTACCTATGCCACAGAATCTGCACTGGCCTCCTCAGTTTCAGCACAATCCAAGTTGGAGGCCGTTAAGGCTGCTGCCAAGCCTCAGTTGAGAGCTCTGCTTTTGGGAGGTGACTTTTATCTCGCCACCGCATTGGCATCGACTTTGACTAAGCTGGTCCTCCGTTTTTCGGATGTGAGCCAGGATCACCGCCGCCTCAACTCTCTTCGCGCCGAAGCCATGTTGATCATGACCTCAATCATTCGTGTTGGTCAGTCTCAATTCGTCAACTCCCCAATTGATGAAGATTCCTACGACCGTATTATGTCCTGCCTCCACGTGTTGGAAAAGTTCTCACAGGATCCATCGATGAAGCGTGTGTTCTTGGAGGATACCAAGGCAGTTTTTGGAAGGATGGTTCAGGCAGAGGAGAAACGTAAGGAGGAGAAGAAGGCTAAGGACAATAAGAATGCTCGTGTCCAGGCTGATGATCTGATCACATTCCGTCAGTTCTCGAAGGCTAAGCATGGAGATGAGGTAGATGAATACGAGTTGGATTTGACAAAGGCAACTGGCAGTGGTGACTCTAAGGACGACCTGATCTCGAAATTGAGCAGAGTCGTTCAGTTGACCGGCTTCTCTGACCCTGTTTATGCTGAGGCCTATGTGAATGTACACCAGTTTGATATCATGCTTGATGTCCTGATTGTCAATCAAACGGCTGATACACTTCAGAACTTGGCCATTGAATTCGCAACGCTTGGTGATCTTAAATTGGTGGAGCGTCCTGGACAACACACAATTGCACCTCATTCCTTCCATTCGATCAAGGCCAACATCAAGGTTTCATCCACGGAGACAGGAGTGATCTTTGGCAACATTGTGTACGATGGACCCACGACAGGCGACAGCAACTGTGTCGTTTTGAATGATATCCACATTGACATTATGGATTATATCAACCCTGCATACTGCACTGAGACGCAATTCAGGAGCATGTGGCTCGAGTTTGAATGGGAGAATAAGGTTAATGTTAATACTTCCATCACGTAAGTTAGAATTGGGTGTGTTTGTGTAGATTTATGTTGGTGACAAAAAGAAATGCTTTGTTTAATATGTATCAACCTTTCTCTTTCTACTAGTGACCTTCAACAATATTTGCAACACATCATGAAGTCGACCAATATGTCATGCTTAACTCCTGAGGCAGCATTGTCCGGCGATTGCGGTTTCTTATCAGCCAATATGTACGCACGATCAGTCTTTGGTGAAGATGCACTCGCTAATTTGAGTATTGAACGACAGGGCGATGGTCCTATCACTGGTCATGTTCGTATCCGTTCCAAGACCCAGGGAATTGCTTTGAGTCTTGGAGATAAGATTACACTGGCTGCCCAGAAGGTAGCCACTGTTGCTGCTTAAAAAAAGCAAAGCAATTGGCAACTCACATCATTTATAAGGGATCTTGATTAAAAGATATATTACGATGAGTAGAAATAAGTATAAAAAAAAAAGCATTGAATAATTAAACATGATATCACTTTATGGCAAGGAGATTTAATGCCCTTAAGCCACATTCACTTGTCTTCTAAACCTCTTGTGAGCTTTTGATGGGCAACAAGAATGCCATTCCTTTTGACAACTAAGCGATGCAAAGTGATAGGAGCAAATAAATAAAATAAAAAAAAAGTTTAAAAAAATAAGGTGATTCATGCAAGCAACTTCTAATCAGGATTTGACAGGCCAAAGTGGAACAGCACGACCATCAGGGCCAATTGTTCCTTCTTCTAATTCGGCTCAAGCAAAAACCAGCACCTCTAACCAGTATCAGCATGTGAAAGAAAAAGAGAACTCGACAGCAAGAGGAATACAATCCACCGCGACTAGTGGTAGACGACGTACTTCAGGACCACATCAAAGTCAAAGTCAGAGTCAAAGTCAAAGCCAAAGTCAAGGACAAGGACAAGGACAAGGACAGCAACGAAGCACTTTGAACGGAGGGTCAGCGACGTCAGGAAGTACAATGGATGGATTTATAAACCAGAAAATGAAAGAAGACCTTGAGAGTGAGTGTTAAAAAATATATGTACATAAAGTTGAGTGTTGTTGCTTGTGTGCGGACAATGTGGTTGCACTCAATGCCTTTACGTAATAAATGTCAAGCAGTTATATTTTATACATTTTTTTTTTTTTTTTTTTTTTTTTTATTGGGATAACATTGTGAACTAGATTGGATCGAAGCTTTAGGATTGGATCCAGACACGCCTGTGAACATTGTTGGATATTTCGGACACTGCAAGGATTTACGGATGTTTGAACGGGCTTTCCCACTAGCTGCAACGACGACGGCCACGACGACGACCACGGCAAAGGGCTCTGACACTCGTTCAACCATGTATGATAATGAAGAAGATTACTCTAATGATGAAGATGAAGTTGAGGTTGGAGTTGAAGAAGGCAAACCGTTGTGTGGGTGGTCTGGACTCAATAATGATCAGAATGATTCACAAAGACATCAAGGAGCAGCACGCAAAGGATGGGCATTGGGGATTGGGAACAAGGAAACGGTAAATAGTGAAAATAATAAAATTTGTGTTGTTGCAACTATAGTAAGGGTCCTCAAAAATAACCCTTACAAAAAAAAAAAAAAAAAAAATGTGTACACTCCATGCTTATGAATAGACAGGTGATATCCATGTTTATTTGGATCAATCCAAGAATACACTCATGCTACGACATTCCTACCTCTATGATACACAGGAGATGCTTTCAGCCTGCATGGAGTCCGTGGAGGCAGTTAAGAAAGATGTAAGAAGCTATCTTTAAAAAAAAAAAAAAAAAAAAAAAAACTTGGTATAATGGATAAAAAAAAATAGAAATACTCATTTTTTTTTTTTTTTTTTTTTTTTTTTTTGTTTTGTTTTACTTTCTTCTTTTCATTTCCTTCGAAAGCGCGTGTCATTAATGAAATGGATACACGATCAAGAGTTCGAGAGTCATCGAGCGCTATTATTCCTATTCCTCGTTTCGCATGTTGTAGTAGTAAGTCTATAATTCTAAAAAAAAAGTAGTCATAGAAATAAAGGTCCGTATAATGCAATTCTAACCGTGCGGAACAAATCTTCTATGGCTTTGAAAGTACACATCTCCAGACTTGAACGTTGATCCGCGGATTATCTCTGTATTTTTGGCGCTGTCGACGATCAAGAAACAGATTATGCAGGAAATGGATAAATTTCTGGCGATATGTTGGGATCGATTAGGCGTTCAATCTCCGGAGCAACAGCGACTCTCGACAGATCAGCCTCAGAACGAATCGCCCAATCATCACCATCATCATAGCAGTAGCAACAATAGCAGTGGTAGTAATGCCAACCGTGGCAACTCAAATTCAGTTGCTAGCGTATTTACGCCAGGAAGATGTGTACCTGTCCTCGTGTTTGTGATCGAGCGAGTTCCTGTTGTGGTACCATGGTTTGATTCTGGAGCCACTGAAAGCCAGATTGTTGAGGTAAATATATATATATGGCTCTTTGTTACTTTATTTGTATACGAATCTAACAGCACGCTTCTCTCTTTTCTTATGATATTACTATAGCAATTAAGACAACACGTACTCAAAAAATCAGTCGACGCATTGCAGACAAGATTAAGATACGTCTTCAGAGCATGCAAATTGATCCAGAGTCTCGACGCTCCGGCTGGAGTATTTGACGCGTGAGTGAGGGATCCCTAAGAGAAGGAAACAGAAGGAGTGATGATGACTATTACTGCTACCGCTATCGTTATTATTGCTAAGTCTTTTTTTTTTTTTTTTTTTTTTTTTTCGCACCAGTCGACAGCTTTTTGTGCTACCAGGCCCATCATCCACGCCATTTGTTCATGTCATCCCATACTTTACAGGACAACTAAATCTACTACAAACGGACTACGCACTATCATCACCAGCAACAACATTGACAACTTCCATGCACAGTAGCAACGACGTGAATGGTGGAGATGCTGTACTAGATCCGGCGGAAGAAGTGCTGTTAAGGCAAAAGATTAAGTCTGCACCAAACAAGAAACATGGAGGAGGAGGAAGTCAAGGTTCAAAAGGCCAATTTTCAAGGAATAGTCAACGGGAGAAGACAGCGCATGTAGGAGCGACTTTGCTATCGTCACAAGCAACCATTGATAAAAAGACGCAGTTCAACAATACCTTTAACTTGTTTGGTATACCAGCACTACGAGATGTTTATGATGCAGCAGTGCATATAAGAGATAACTCACTTGCTGCAGGAACTAGTCGAGAAGATACCGCCGTCGTTACTTCAACAACACCGAGTGTGTCACTAGGTTCATTATATTTGGATTATTCAGAACCGTTGTTGAAGCAATTCGTGTATGGATGGCTCAAGAACCTTTCCACAACTGGTGGATATGGCAACGCTGTCGGAAAGCGAAACGTTGGAAATGTCGATGTATGTTTTGTTTTTTTTATGATGTTACTGTTGTGGTTATTGATTTCACAATGTTAAAAAAAAAGTCTTGGCGTTTCTCCAGTTTTTCCTGTTACCAATGACCAATGAGAAGATATCTAGCTAAGACAGGCCTTGCATATGCTAACTTTCTCCCCATTTGCTCTCCTTCTCCCTTTTTTCCTTACAGTTACCCACATTGAAACAGTGGCTGGCAGGGAGCTTAGGCGTTTGTGAAGCGCTTGGTATGGGCTCCTTTGCATCGCCTATCATCATGCGGGACCAGACCGATATGACGGGATCGACAGATGATACTGATTCTGGCGTTGTTGATCAAAGTCAAGCATCGGGAGAAGACCAACCATTGAATACCAAATTGTCAAAGTCAAGCGCTAACTTAGGTTCAGGAGGAGGACGACGTTCTGGCGGTAAAAGATACTCGCAGCGATGTGTCAACATGGTACAAAAGAAAATCCAGGATTATGTTCTTACGGATGAGGTGATGGAAGAACTGTAAGTCATGGATTAAGTTTTCTTTTTTTTTTTTTTTTTATTATTATTTATTTTTTTTAACATTTTGGGAAAATCACTTTATGAAGGTATGGTTCAAAGATAGATGGGATAGCAACAACATCATCAGCTTCCACATCGACTAGAGCTCATTCCGAGAGGTACCATCAACTGAAGGTAAGGGAAATACACGTTACGCAATGTAACACATGCTCCGACTCAGAAGTTGCGGGAACTAAGCCCTGATTATCAAGACATGACATGAGAGGAGACGAATAAAAAAAATACCTCACTTCTGACAGCTGTCAACCGGAGGGGTACACACATGTTTTTTTGCGAAGCAATCATTTTTTTCTTTCAAACTGAATGTTATGATATAACAAACATTCAAACCTTGTAATATTCTAGGCTGACCAAGCAACCAAGCTATTCCAGTCCTTGGCACATCGACGATGAAGGGGATTGGCTCATCAACAACAAGGATATTTTGATGACTGTAAAAGAACCATAGTGTTTCCACTATTTTTTCATTTAGTCAATACACTCCATGCCTCTTTTGCTACTAAGGAACTTGGATGGATCTAGTTACGGTTATCCAAGATAAGATACTTCGTAGTCAAGACTGGAGGATGAAAGCAAGGCAAAAAAAAAAAAAGTTTCCGAGCCAAGAGAATTATTAAGAAGAGCGTTGACAATCGCAGCACAGGATGACGTTGGTATTGGTATTATGTTTCTGTTATGTGCCGCGCAAGCATCTTATCTTTTATCATGACTGACATGCCAAGCGGGATTTGACTGGTTTTTTGTCAAGGTGAAAATTTTAATAAAAAAAATCGAAATATTCACCAGCCAATCATTTCTGCGAATAACAAATCGATCCCAAAAAGGAAAATCACGGGCCATTTGGATGCTTGGCATCGCAGTGCCAAGAAACGATGAATATAAAAAGGTTCCTCTCAACCTTTAGACCAACTTCACTTCTTCCCCCCGCTTTCTTTTATTCTTTGTCTCTTTTCTCTTTTCTCTCTTCTCTTTTCTCTCTTCCCTCTCGTTTCAAATTAAAAACGCACGCACCACCATCTTCTCCACACAAACACAACCCTCTTACAACGTCATCTTTCCCATATTTTCACCCCTATTCACACAGCCACTTCAGCTACATTTCACACCGAGGATAAAACATTACACCCCTGCACAGTGCAAACAAAAAAAAAAATCTCATCCAACATACAGCCATGTCTGACTCCTCTAATCTTAGCTCCTGCAAGGTCAACTTCAACGGTGCATTTCGCCGATTCCTCATTTCCCGTCCTGCCAAATGGTCCAACTTTGAAGACAAGGTATGATATTGTTTCTTTAATATTATGCATGTGATGAATTATTTTTTACTCTTCTTCCTTTGTGTTACTTCAACTATAATCAATGTCAGGCTAAAATGAATATGCATCTCAAATGTCTTGTACTAACGCATTGACTAAAAAAACTTCTCCTCACATGCTCCCTTATGACATTAGCTTCGCGATATCTACAGTCTTCCTGCAGAGACACTGCTAAATGTTCAGTACACAGACGAGGAAGGAGATATTATTTTGCTCAACACCGACAGCGAGCTTGAGGACGTGCTTGCGATGCATAACCTCTTCAGCCAAGTGGCTCCTGTTAGATTTGATATCTCTCTTCGCCCCAGCACCTTTGCTTCGACTACCCGTGCTAGCTCGGTCGCTAGTGAGGTAGAGCCCGAACGCTCCGTCACCATCGTTTCTGAACGTGAGGACACTCCTTTTCAGCAGCAACGTCAATTCAACCACCCCCAGGAAAACAACGCTCTCGCTGCTTCTGATAACGCTAGTGATGATGGTTCTCTGATTAACTTTGAGGACGCTCTCGAAGACGACGCTACTACTGCTGCCGTTAGCGTCCACCACGCTGCAGTCACCGTCGTCAATCACGATACTAACTACCTTAACGAGGACTTGGAGGCGACAGCTCTTCGTCAGGAGCAAGAGATGGCTGAGGCACTTAAACTGGATGTCCCTGTCTTTTCTAGCTCGATCATCAGCAGCATCAACACCAACATCACTCCTGCTACTTTGAGCCATGACCATGTTAGTGAGAATGACATGGGTGCTGAGGTCACTGTCTCCAAGCATTCTTCTAAGCCCTCTAGTCCAGTCATCCCCGTGGTCGAATTTGAAGCTCTTCATATGGAGAATGGCCCGGAAGTAATGGACTCAATCATTGCCTCTGCTATAGAACAACACGCCCAGGATATGGCTAATTCAACCCAGAGCAATAGCGAAGCCCATGAGGCAACACAGATTGACCCAGCTGAGCCAGAGGTATTGGCTACTGAAGAAGAGCCTAGACCCGCCAACACATCATCTCCTTCGACTTCGGCTCCATTAAATGACCGTGCTTTGATTGAGCAATTCCAAATGTTGATTCAAGAGTTCCAGCATGTCATCCAGAACAATCCCCAGTTAGTGGCACTTGCTGGGAACATTATGAACAAGATTTTGACTAACGTTAAGGTCAATGTTGAATCATTTGCCAACTGTCTTCAAGATTTCGCCAACCAAGCTTCTGCCAACGCTCATGAGGCTGCTGAGCAAGCGACTCGCAGCTGCCCCTTCACCTCTGGCGGAAGTGGAAGTGATAATCCTTTCCGAACGCACCCTTTCTTCACCGGTCGCCATAGGGGTCGTCGCTGTGGCATAGGAATGGGTTCCAGACCCCACTGTGATCGCAATAGTGACAATAACAATGAAAATACATCTTCTGCTGCTGCGAACAAGGAGACTGAAGCTAAAGCTGAGACTTCTTCTTCCGCGAATCCCTTTGAAGACCCAATCACAGGAACACCTAATTCAGATCACTATCACCATCACTACCCTCACCATGGCGAGCACTTTGGCCGAGGCGGTGGCCGCGGTAGTCGTGGCGGTTGCAGAGGCCGTCGTGGATTCTTTTTCCGCGGCGGAGACTGGGGTTTCGGGAACACAGCTCTAAGCATGCCTCCAGCGCCTCCAATGCCCCCAATGCCCCCAATGCCCCCAATGCCCCCTATGCCTCCAATGCATTCAATGCCTGGTATGTTTTCAGTACCCTCAATGCCATCCATGCCATCCATGCCAACCGCAGGCGCTTCTGATGAACCACATAATGCAAGCACCACCGTCCCGAACTCGAGGCCTTCTCCCTTTTCCAATGGGTTTCCATTCAACAATGGCAATCCTGGTTGCAAAAATTACATTTTCAAGTTCAAGGGCGGACGACCCAATCCAAGTGATACAGAGGCACAAAACAGCAACGCCTCGTGCTCTACTGCACCTAGATCTGAAAAGATGAAGCAAACTGAGGCCCCAGCCACTGCTGAGCAGCAACAGCCAAGCGGGGCCTCTTCCTCCGCTTCCGCGTCTGCCATGCCAGGCTCTTTCCCACAAATGACTGAGGTCGGTAGTGGCTGGACTTGGACAAGACTTTCGGAGGGTGACCATAACAATGGAGAGTCATCTTCGTCTAGTAGACCCAAGTATGGATGGGTCTGGAAGGGAGGCGACTCGGGTGAGAATCAAGAACCCACACCAATGTATGTTGCCTCAGATGAAGAAATGACTGAGACATGGGATGCAGACGCCGATGCCAACCAAGCAGATGGACCCTCTGAAGAGCGCGGAGGTTGGCCATTTGGAGGACGAGGAGGACAAGGAGGACGAGGACGAGGATTTTTTGGTTTTGGACCTTTCCGAAGCCATGACCGTGAAGGAGCGCTACCTCACATTCATCTAGGGCCCCAAGGTGCTGGTGACGATGAGCACCCTGTATCCCATCGCCATCATCCCCATCACCATCATTCTCATCGTCGCCGACATTCTGGAAGTAGATCTGGAGGAGAGGAGGGCGCAGAATCGAACGGAGAGGAGAGATTGAAGCGTCGTCAGACGTTCCATGAGCAACGCCATGCAATGATGCAAGCACGCAGAGATCACCTTCAAGAGCAGCGTCAAGCGATTTCTCAACAGCGTGAGGCATTAGAGCAACACCGGGAAGCAATGATGAGGCACCGTCGTGCACAAGAGGAGCTCCGAAGTGCACAAGAAGAGTTGAAAAAAACTCAGGAACAGGATAGCAGAGCTGCCAGACTGGGAGGAATTCTGGATCGTTCTCGAAACGGCGGAGGCTCCTCATCAGTGGACGCGCAACAGCAACAACCAATGGGTGGAGGAAATCTAGCTAGTATTTGGCCTATAGGGGCGCAAACTACTACAGCCACAACGGTTGGAGAATCTCCCGCTATGTCAGAGGGGTTGAATAATGATGTTACGATGGCGGACCCCCAGAATAATTTTCAAGAGCAGATCCAGACTTTAGTTAGCATGGGTTTTGCAGATAATCAGGAGTTACGAACTGTGGTGCGTAACTTTGGAGGCGAGATCGAAGTCGTAGTTGACTATTTGATCACACACAATAGCCAATAAGGAACCTTTCATGTTAATGATTTATGAACAATGAGCAGTATACGGTAGCTTTTTTTTTGAAATACTTCTTCAGACAATCATCATTTCATCATTAGCGTTAAATAGCAACATTCCAATAAATAAAAAGGAAATTTGAAAATGCATTGATGTGTAAGCGATTCGACAGGTTTCACAAAAATTCCCACGAGCGTGCGTCAGGAAGTTAAAAAATTTCGATGTGATTGACAAAGATTGTATATATATATAAAAATAAATATATTCGTACATGGATGTACCCATGAAGAGCAATTGAACAAATGGCAGACAATGCACTACAAACACCACAAATTGCAAAAAATAAAATAAAAAAAGGTTCCGTGTTCTGCCCTATATTTTATCCTGCACTTTCCGAATCAATTGAGGAACTGAGGAATTGATCGGAGAAGGGTTGACACGACCTTCAGACAAAGTGAGTGACTAACTTTCGTTTCTGTCATCATCCATACACTGCGTTACGCCTCTTCTCACTCACATGTTATATTGTAGAAACATATCGTCCTTTTTTTTTTTTTTTTTTTTTTTTTTCATGCAAACCTGGGCTTGGGCTCATGTTGCGTTGTACGATAAGGGACATTTCTAGCGCCACCCCTCTCTCCCTATTCCAAGGGTTGGATAAAGGTGGATATGCGGCGTCTGTTTATGTATATATATCAAATATTGGTAACTTTTTTTTTTTTTTTTTTTTTCCTCATTCTTTTTCATTCTTCATTTGCATTACCTTCCACTCTTATTTATTTCACCCCCTCAAAAAAATTTAAAGAATGTCCAATAGCACGGCTGCAAGAGCCGAGATCAAGTCCAAGGACGGACGTCATTTCGTCTTTGATCGATGCACTCATCAACAGGCCGTCGATACCTTTTATGGATGGTCCCGTCAAGAACAATGGAACCCCGGTGCCAAGGGTGAGGAGATCAGGCATGTCTTTTACCGTGCAGATCCTCAAGGATTCTTCTTTGGGAAGCTCACGTCGAAACCAAGACCAAAAAGAGACTCGGATTCTTCATCTGATTCTTCATCCGACTCCGACTCTCAGAACACCGATCCATCATCTCATTCTTCCTCGGTAGCTGACGACAATGATGGTGATGATGAGATCGTCTCGATTGTGAGCTCTGTCCGTTATGGAGACGATCAAGCTTGGATTGGGTACTATATTGTCTCACCTAAATACCGTGGCCAAGGATTAGGACTCGAAGGATTCCATAAAGCTCTTGAGCATGCAGGTCATGGATCGCATGTAGGGCTCGACGGTGTGATGGCTCAAGTGGAAAATTACAAGAAGTCAGGATTTATCCACATTAGTTGGCAGAATGAACGTCGTCAAGGATTCGCCAAGGACTTGACTGAGAATCATGAACGCGACTTGGCCGATCAAATCCGTCGAAGCGAAATTCCTGGCTTAGTGGACTTGTCGGATGATCAAGTCGATTTGGAGCAACTCTGCGAGTTGGAAGAGAAATACACAGGATTGAAACGCCCGCAGTTTGTGAAGGATTGGGTCAAGTTTCATACCAATCATGCAGACAAACATCGATTTGGGGCTGCGGTTTTGTCTACGGATCAAAAGAAGGAGAATGGAAAGCCTGTTGTGTTGGGATATGCCTGTTTACGTCCTGCAGAGACTTCCTACAGACTAGGGCCCTTGTATGCTGCCAATATCGAGGCTGCGAAACAATTGTTGGTCAAGTTGGCTGTGGAAGTGGAGTTGGCAGATGCAGATCAACAGAAATCGTCAACTCTTCCTGATAGGCCACCTTTGCTTATTGCATTAGATATGCCCAATTCGAACCAAGAAGCTGTCAAGTTCTTTGATGGTATTGGTTGGAAAGACACATTCCCATCCTTGAGGATGTGGAGGGGCAAAAGGCCTGAGCATGATGTCAATGGTGTCTTTGCTGTTTCTACCCTTGAGATGGGATAAATCCAGCTTTTATTTTTCAGTAGAATGGAATGTTTGAAATCAAAATAAATAAATAAAATGATGAATTATATACAAACAGCATAAGAGGGGTGATTCTGCTCGTCTAGTCAAATTGGATGTTCTCTTCATTAGTTTTTTTTTTTTTTTTTTTTTTGTTTTATTCTTATTGATCCTGTCTTTATTTCTTGAGATGGATACATGCTCTCTCTCCTTCTTCTCGCAGGAACGTTTATTCATTCTTCTCGATGCCATAAATCTTGTTGTCAGCCATTGTCAGTGCCCATGTAGATTCTTCTGTTAGCACTAAAAAGTGAAAGAGGAATACAACGGATGAGTCTATTTTTTTTTTTTGCGACCTTGTCTAGGTTGTTTAGGTTTTTTTCCTTTCTTTTTTTTACCTGTAACCTTCCGCACACTGTTATCATCTGTTTCTGCCGACACTGACAATAGTCCAGAGTTTCCCTGAGAATACCGCGATACAAGTTGTCCAACATCCTGCATGATCTTTTGAATTACTGTTGCTTGATCTTGACTGATAGGGCCTTTTGCCTATGCAGCCCAGTAAAAAGGTAAAAAAAAAAAAAAAGTTGTGGAGAAGTTGAATAAATAAGAGAGCACAAAAAAAAGAGGACGCGTTACAACGTCAAAGGTCAATAAGTAGCATGTGAGCCAATCGAATGCATGTATTCCAGAATGCATAAGTGCAATGCACTTTCACGCAATGCAAAGTGATGAATTACATTCAAGAGTTGTCCTGAGGCCAGATCAGCAGAGAATGAAGCAACATGACCAGGGATAGTGGCCAATTCCTCAAAGACTGGATCCGGTGGTGATGTTGTCTAAGCAAAAATGAGATATGGAAAATAATATTGGTCAGTAGAATTGTAAAAAAAAAAAAAAAAAAAAAACGAAAAGTCATGAATATAGCCAGATCGAGTTTATGAAAAAAAAGAATTGAAAGTACGCAGGTTGAGAAGCAATTGAAATGCTAAATGTTGACATGTATTTTCTTGTTGCTTTGTTTGAAGTAGTTCAGAGAAGAGTGTGCATGAGAATGAGCGTACCATTATAAATGTAAAAGGAAAAAGCGACGTGTGAAGTGATGTGTGAGTGTGTGAATAAAGAGAAAAAAAGGTTAAATGACTTACAATGAATTGATTCTTTGTCAAACAAGAAAGTGGCAAACAGCTCTAGGAAAAAAAAAAAAACGAATTTGTGACTGAAATCGGTGTCACGTTTGTTCAAGCGCGTGTTTCTGCCTTTCTTTCGGTCGCACCAAGGGAAGATCCTTCCAAACTATAGACTGTCAAGCACCATTTTGTTTTACTACTTTCTGGGCAATTACACCATCCGAAGGATAACACAACTGACTTTACATGTGGCGATGGACATCTCCGGCCACTTGAGTATTTGTTGATGTCCAAATGTATCTGATACTCTTTTACAGTAATACCATACCATATGCGATAACGAAACGAAAGAACGCCTTTTTTTGACTTATTTCTTAAAAAGGACCTATGCAGCATAGCCTCCTACATCTGTCGCTCAAAAAAAAAAATAGGTTGCAGCCTTACCGCATCAAGCTCATGACGTGTGTTGTAAAGGCAAAAGGCTGAATTTTTTATTTTGTTTTTTTAAGGAGGAAGACAATACCAACAAAGTCAATGATCCTACCATTGTGATCTTTAGCTTTTAGATGAAAGTATTTAGTGCCCTGCCACATTAATCGCGTCGATATATAAGATGCTATTAGTTTTGCTGCCATCTTGTCTGCGAAGCTTACCTTACCTCTGCTCTTTTTTTAAATCCTTGGCAATGAAAGCTAGTATCCCCGTTGCACTCGCTGCACTAGCAATCCTCTTCTTTCTCAAACTCGCTATCATCACATGTGTATTATGGAAGCGAAGATCAAAAGTGAATCATAACCAAGCCGGCGACGGTGGCATATCATTACCAAATAACTATTGTCAGGCACAGATTGTGGAGCCATTTAAGCCCCTTCGGCCCCGACACCATCCTCGACCTCGACCGCAAGAGCTTGACTCAACCACAAGCATGGACTTGCATGCAACAATAATATGTCTTACTGAAACAGAGTATCCTATGCATACATATCCGGGGCAGCCTTTCGAAGGGCCGTTGCTGCAGCCAGAGGCGACCCAGCCGTTGACCGTTGTCGTATCCAAGCCATTGCCTTCTATCCCATCCTAATCGTCAGACCTATCTATCGCGCTCGAAGTGAAGGAATATTTTGGCAAAGCTTAATATTTTAACTCTCCTTATAAGAAGCTCCATAAGAACTCCACCCTTTTTAAATATCAGTTTGTTGGCTCTGATTTGAGAACGGAGAAAGCTTTGCAATTGTCCGGCGCGACTAGACACTTTCTCTATTCGAAACGAGCTGGCCCCAAGTCGGTTCTCATTTGGAGAGTTGACTGATTCATCAACGTTGTGTGTAGCCAGATAATCAGTATAAACTTTTTTCCTGGAAATAAAAAAGAATGGATCAGTTTTGGCACCTCGCCCCATTTCCTCAACCATAATTTGCCCATTCTCCCGTTTACTTTTATGGAATCTTCGAGTCAAGCGCTCTGATGTAGTACGTGCATTTTTAAAGCTGTCGACTTTTCCATTAATTATAAATCATATAAATACGGCCATAATTCTCTCGGAAATCAGGCATATCTCCTACCATCCATCAAATATACATATTCCACCAACAAGTTATTCCTCAGATTTCCCCTCCCCCCTTCCTTTCTCATCTTTTATATAAACTTTGACCATGGCTCGAGAGCCTCTTTCTATTGATACTGTTGTCTATTGTCTTCTCAGTGCCTTTTTAGTAGCTTCCTTTCTCTTCTGCCGCAAAATGATTGCCGATAAGCAACATAGCTTTGGGACACAACCCACAGACGTATCCCATTCTCGTCCAGACTTATGTTCTCAGTATGAACCACCCCCGTATGCTGCTCCTACAACACCTCCACTAACATCGATGTCTTATTCAGATACAGTTATCCAAATGGAGTCTTCCCCACCTCCACCATATCGACCATCTAACGCTGAAGCACTATCGACTCAAGCTATCCCTTTAGGAGCTTCAGGTGCAAGCCCGGCGATATCTCCTTCAGCCACCATTCTGAACCCTACTACTACTTTGCCATACCCGACTCCCGCTGGCTCAATAGCACCTATACCTGCCAGTGCCTATCCTTCCATGTCAGTTCCCCCAGCCTATAACCCATCTTCTTGAAGTAGAAGTAGTTGTATATATAAAACAATATATGTTATGTAGAATACTAAAGATAATAAAAAGAGACTTTGTAACCTAATGCTACATCAAAATAACTTTTATTTGGGTGGAAATAAGCTTTTTTACGACTAAATCGATTTAGATTGGTATTTTGCCACACATAAGCGCGTCTGATATTAGATGCTTTTATCTTTGTTGCCATCCTGTCTGCAAAGCTAGTTCCTTCCTCACCCTCGCCTATGAACTTTCTAAACTCTTGATAATGGAAGCTAGTATCCCTGTTGCACTTGCTGCACTAGCAATCACATTCTTTCTCAAACTCGCATTCACCACATTTGTCACACAGAGGCAATAGTTTAAAATGGATCATGGATCATATTCAAAAACGACAACGGAAATATATCATTATCAACAACAACCATCAGTTGCAGCCCGTGGACCTACTTAATCTTTTCACTAACATCGATTTCAACCTCAACTTCAAGGGCCTGACACAACTACAAGCACGGATATGCATCCATTTGTAATATATATTTGACATAGTCTTCTAAAGCTGTTGCTGCGCTCAAAGGCAATCCAATCGCTGACCGTAGCCATATCCAAGTCATTGTGTCCTATCCCTATCTCGATTATCAAGCGCGTCGATTGACCATGAGATGAAGGAAAATGGTCGTCATTGTGCGTTCCTGTTCCTATATAGACATGTTCCTGAAAAAATAAACATTAAAAGGAAATCGGAGATTGAGCACTTTTCTGCCCACAAAAAATGTCATGTTCTACCGCTCTCACGCGGCGGGTTTATTTGTGTTGTGTGTACATGTACTGCCCCCCTTTTCTCAGCCATGATTTGGATTTTTGAGTTTTTGTGCTTGCATGGACGAACGCTTAGCCTCATTTTCCTTTGTTTTGTTTCTTTTCTACACCTTCCCATTTTTCTTTGGAAACCTTCGAATTAGCAAATGTGCAATCGCATGTGCGACCTTTAAGGTTTGTCGACTTTTTGTCGGGTCTGGTGGAAATAGCAATTGAACATTTGTCGTCATATAAATATGACCCTGTTCCTCTCGAAAACCGGGCTGTGTTTTCTACTTTATCCACATAATTCAATCATCCATCTTCTTCACACTCTCCATTCACTTCAAAAACATAACCATCCAATAATTTCTTTGGACATTTTTCTTTCTTCTCTTTATCTTTTTAAATAAACCTTGACTATGGCACGAGGGGGAGGAGGACTTGGAGGAGGACTTGGAGGAGGATTTGGTACTGCTACCGGTGGCGGTTCTGGTGGCGGTTCTGGTGGCGGTTCTGGTGGCTATTCTACCGGTATCATTTTCTTAATTATTGTCGCCGTTGTCCTCGTCCTAATTATCATGGGCGTCGTTTTCTACTGGTGGTATGTACGCAGAGTGATACGCCGCAAGGAGAGTGAAAAGCAAGACGCTGAGGCTAATGGCGCAAGTGAATCTTGTGCTCATCTATATCCCCGCCCTCATTTTGAGCCATATCGTTATACTCCTCCAGCACCAGCACCACCAACGTTACCACCATCAACACCACTACCAATATCGATGCCTTATCCAGATATCCATACGGAGCTTTCTCAACCTCCAATATATCAGCCATCTGCTTCTGAAGCATTACCAACGCAAGGTATCCCTTCTCAATCGCCGTACCCAGTCCTGGAAAGTTCAGGTGCAAATCCGGAGCTTTCTCCTTCAGCAGCTATTCCGAACCCTACTGCTACTTTGCCATATCCGGCCTCCACTGTTCCATTGGCAGCTACACCTGCCTATGTATATCCCTCCATGCCAGTTCCCCAACCCCAAAACCCTATTTCTTAAAGTACTAGTAGCTGTAAGAATGTCATATTTAGTAAATGTATATTAGAGTAATAAAGATAATAGCAATAATGATTTTTTTGCTGACATTGAGTAAAATAGCTTGTAAAGGGCCTCATGCCATGTGTTTGTAAAAAAAAACTGACGTAGAATTAACTGTTGCTTGGTGTCAATACTGATTAATGTGAGAAAAGAGGCAAAGGGGGTGAGTTTTTTTTTTTTTTTTTTGCTAAGGAAGCTCCATTATTGTCCTTCTCGCAAGTCTTTAATCTTTGCAATTGCTAAATTGTAAGCAATGTAAGCTTCTAATAAGCATTTTGAAAGCCAACGGAAGTACACACTTGCCTTGTTTTGCCACAGATGGCACCTCATTCTTTGGGATGAAAGAAAAAGAGAAGCCTGTTATCTAAAAGGATAAATGCTATAGTATGGAAAGACTTTTTTTCAAAAAAAAAAAAAATAAATAAATAAAAAAATCAGTAGCTGAGCAGTAATAAAGATAACTACAGGGTAGCGAGGTAGTTTATTACATAAACACGATTATAGAGAATGCTAAAGCCAGAACACTGATAGAACCATCCGTAGTGGAAATGTCCTTTAGTTTCAGTAGCCTGCAGTTCTTTGTCGCTATTGGAACCATTCAATCACCTTTGTCCTTTGCGAACACTTTTGATAATCAAGAATTAATATCACTTTCTTTACATGGAGCCTAAAGCAGTATCTAGGTTCACCTAAAGTAGTACGACAATGGCAACATGTGCCATACATAGTCTACGTGACCAAGATGTGGTTCTTAACATAAGATATGCTGACCATGGGTTAGAATGAAGCATTTTGCCACCAAAAAGTGCTTAATGTGACGTTACAATAATAAGTTTCATGTCGCTATTTTTCTATTTTACTTTTTCCCTTTTGGCAACCAATTCCCTCATTCGACATAAACAGCATTTTGACAACGATATGTCTGATCACGCACAGAATCTAAATGACCCCGCGGTAGAGACTCATTTGGAGTCACCTCTCGAGGATAATGATGGTACATCGTCGGGTATTCTGCTCGAGAAGGCTGACTATGAGCATTCGTCACCCGAAGTCTCATCACTTAACTCGTCAACAATCCTTGATCATCCTGACGATGTCAAGTCAGCAGCCAAACAACCCACTAATACCACCACCGCTAAAAAGAAACCTGCTGCGGCCTCTGTTGCGCGTCCTGTTACCTCGACTGTCCCCACATCAGCAGCACCAAAAACATCTTCAGAAGTCTCGACAGCTGTCGTGGATTTGAACCAGACCATGCCCTGGAAACTCTTCTATCCGATTGCGAGCAGAGAGACCATCATTGCGTTATGTAAAGCGACAGCGATTAATTTCATTCTTCCGTTTATCAATGGCGTCTTTTTGGGCTTTGGCGAGATTTGTGCACACGAGTTGGCATATCGTTGGGGATGGACCAATTCGACACATATTGTGAGTGTTCCTGGAAGAAGACCAGTCAATTCGGGAAATGTAGGCATCCGTGCTGCGGGGAGCGCCTCCTCTACTGGCGCAGGATCTGTTGGTGCAGTATCTGGGACCAGAAGTTCATCTGGCTTCGCAGGCAGTCGGTCAGGTATTGGGGGATTGGAGTTTGATGAAGATGCGTTCTCGACAGCGTCATTAAGAGAGGATTGAGTCTGTTTGGTTTCTAAGAGTAAAAAGGAGCCAAATGTGCAGAGAGAAAGCAGAATGAATGTACATGTAGATAGAACATCATGTAATGCAGTAAATGATCACAAATCAACTGGATATCGATATCATCAAAATGTGCCCTCTCAAAGTAAACAGAAAATGATGCCTCTGTTTTGAGTGCACATCGATTGTATTCATCCAATCACTGCGCAGACACACACCTTTATTCGCTTGTGCAAATATAAATAAGGTTTTTCCACATTCCAAATTATTTTCTTCATTCACTTTCTATTGCATTCATTCATGTTTCTCATCCTGTAATTATTTCACATCGTCATACTGCTTTCTCAACTATCTGTTCTGTCTGCTGGGAAACCTGCTTGTTGTGTACATACATTCCACTCGCAGACAAGAGCAGAATCCGACAACTCTACGGTTTGTCGACCAGCGTCCATCCATGTTCGCTCGCCAGGTCGACCCTCTCATGCACTTTCGCTCGTCCCTTTCTGTTGCGGAGCAGCACCATAGGATCCAGCAAGAGATGGTCGACCAACATTCCGATAGCACATTCTTCTCTGTTGCTCAGCCTTCCCCTCATAATATACAGAGCATCAATAGCAATGTTAATATTATTGATAATAACATTCTCTGCACATCTAATTTTCTGCCCAGTGATTTCAGTGGCAACGATGGCAACAACGGAAACAATTATAGCAGAAATTATATCAACAACAACACTTGCGACCTAAATAATATAAATACAAATACAAGCAAAAAGAGTACAGGCACAGATACAGCTACATCAACCACGAATGCAGATAGTAACCCCTACAAGCGGAAACACACTTTCCATTTTGAGCCCGAGTTTTTTGCTGCCTTGGACGAAACAACTAGTGATGGTGAAATTATTGGTAAAAAGAACAACCCTATGTCGACGACCTCGACATCCCCACAAAGGACGGGCTTCTCTTGGATGGCAAGGCCTCTGAAAAGAGCCAAGAGATCCAAATCCAATTTGGCCTCGCTTAATCCAAATTTCAATCCTGTCTATGAGTATGAGGCATCACCGCATCAGATGAATAATGTATCTTCCTCTCTGTCGGCATCACAGTGTACAGTGCCTTCCTTTTCCACGATCTCGGCCTTACGCCCCACCTCTGGCAACAATATTACCTGTTCAACATCAACATCAACCTTTGCAACAACAGCAAAATCGCCATCGTCATCAAAAATAGCAACAGCAAAAACGAACCCATCAATGAGGTATCTAAACTTAAACGGGCCCAGTATTATTGATTTGTCATCCGGAGAAGAGCTGGTAGTGTTGCATTTGGGAAACAATGAGCTTAAGCGAAGAAGGGATGATTCGCTGTTGTCGTCTAGTACACGAACGGAGAATTTCTTACTGAAGGCATATGAATACAAGGATGATGGAACTTTGACGCCAATTCCTGATCTAGATCATCGCGAGCGGCCATTCACACAACCTTCTCCAGCAAAGAAAGTGCGGTTGAGTAGATCTAATCAAAGAGGGCCCCATTTGGAATTCATTGAAGATTGTGAAGCAGTATCGGTTGACGATCATCAAAGAGGGCTAACAGGCGAGGAAAAATGGAGCCAAAAATCAGTCGACAGAGACAATGGCAGAGATGGAAGCAAAGGCCGAGGCGGATTCTATCAAAGTACCGAGGGTGGTCGATATCATCGACCCACAGTTTATGGCGCCTTTTGGAACGGAACCGGAACTTCTGTACGCTTGAGAGGATCAAGGAATATGAGGCGGGGGAGCCGCAAGGCTACGGTTGGTACCCGATTTTGGGCTGATTTTGACCAGGAAGGCTCGAGAATCAATAAAGGAGATGATGAGGCGAAAGATGAACTCGAGATACCGTTTGCAAATGACAGTGAGGATAAGGATGAGAATGAGGTACAGGATAAAGAGAAAGCAAGAGTTGGAGGAGGTAATTTGGTACGATCCAAGAACGTTTGCAACTTGTTTTATCTTGCGGAAGGATTTGAAAAGCCTAGTCAGAGTCATTGGAGAGACTTGGCACGTGCGCACTTTATTCCTGAGAATGAAGCTGAAGTTCATGAATTGGTACTCTATCGGTCCCCAGATCTTACGAATGATTCCATCGAAGACAATATATTAAACTACGATGGGGTGTGGGATGCGGACGAATTTCATCGACAGTACCATCATCATACTTCTGCGTTCATTGAGGAATTAAATGAAGACACAGGCAATGGAGACGTGGCTGAGGTTGATTATGATGGCGATGACGATGATGATGGCATTGATGATGATAATGATGGGGGTGTTATACCCGACAACGAAGCAGGAAGTCCGCCTGAAAATGCACATTTAATGGATCTGGAGGAGAAGATCATGGACATGGATCTTAATTAGTTTTTTTTTTTTTTTTTCTATTCTCATTTGCCATTTGCACAGTTTTTGTATTCTATCTCCCTAACTAATCCACACGTCTGGGATCTTGTAAAACAACTATCATTATCTTAGTTTTTTTTTTTTAAGTCAATAGGAAACATAAAGTTTCTTCTTTGACGTGTGCTTTGCGGATTAGTAAAACTATCGAACGTGGTGGATATAATACTTTTTACACGTCAAATATTGAATCTAGCAGAGCAAACCACGGAAGATTATGTCCGTACGGGCCGGACGGAAAGATCGAGAAAGCAGTACACGATGCCAGCCTTCATGTAAAGCGGTGATCGAGTATCCGTTGAGGACCCTTTTTTTAATATTTGTGTGTTGATCTGAAGGTTGATAATTGCATAAAAATGATGGTAGTGTGGAGAGAGGTTGTGAGAAAGATTTTCGCGGCTCAAAAACTCATTGGCCCGATCAGCTCAAACCCTGTCGTCTTTTTTTTTTTTTTTTTATAAATATGACAGAGCTTTTCATTCATTCATTTAATTTCATTCCTTTTCTCCATTCTTTCTTTACTGTCTCCTTTGTTCTTTTTAACTCTTTTGCACCAACTACAAGTCTTTCGAAAAAAAACTAATACCTGTTAAAAGATATTATGGGTGCTATCAAGAACACACAGATTGTCCTGGCTAACAGGCCAGTTGCGGATATCGATCCCAAAACGACATTTAAATTCCAGCAAGTCTCGCTCTCAGATGAATTAGGACCCAACGAAATCTTGGTCAAGGTTCTATTCATTTCCCTCGATCCTGCCATGCGCGGTTGGATGCGTGATGTTCGCTCGTAAGCTTCTTTTTTTTCCTGTTTTCACCTGTAAAAGTAGATATTTATAATCAACAGAGAAAAAAAAATAACGTGAGAACTTACTCTCTCTATCCCTTCTATTGTATGGATTTCCAATGAACATAGGTACATCCGCCCTGTCAGGATTGATGAGGTAATGCGCTCGGCCGATGTGGCTCAAGTCATCAAGTCTAACAACCCAGATTACAAAGTAGGAGACTTGGTTCGTGCAACCTGTGGTTGGCAAGAATATGCGGTACTCAAGCCCTCAGAAGATTTGGTGAAGATCCAATCGTTCCCAGGAGTATCGCCTTCTACTTATTTGGGAGTTCTTGGGTTGACAGGCTTGACAGCCTATTTCGGATTGTTTGAGGTTGGAGAGATTGAGAAGAAGGGGGGTCCCAATTGTACAGTGGTAGTCTCTGGAGCTGCAGGAGCAACAGGCTCTGTGGCAGCTCAAATTGCTAAGCATGTCTTTGGATGCCGAGTCATTGGTATTGCAGGATCGGACGACAAGTGTGAATATTTGGTGAAGGAGTTGGGATTGGATGTTGCGTTGAATTACAAGTCCAAGACGTTCTTCAAGGAGTTGACTGCTGCAACACCCAAGTTGATTGATATCTTTTTCGACAATACAGGTGGGGATATTTTGGATGGATGTTTGAGACGAATTGCATTCAAGGGCCGTATCATTGTCTGCGGCGCCATTAGCACTTATAATGAAGCCGTTCCCAAGGGACCAGGTAAAAAAAATACTTTTTTTTTTTTTTTTTTTTTTTTTTTTAGTTATTTTACCTTATTTTACTTTTCATAGTCATAGTCATGGTTTGGGTTATTTAAACTAACTTTTTTTTTTTTTTTTTTTTTTTCTAGCCTACTACAGCGCATTGATCACACAGCGCGCAAGAATGGAGGGTTTCATTGTCTTTGATTATGCTGAAAAGTATGGAAAGGCAACGGCTGATATGTCCAAATGGATCAAAGAAGGCAAGCTCAAGAGTCGTGAGACTGTCATCCAGGGTATCGAGAATACACCCGATGCACTCGTTCGTCTGTTCAAGGGCGACAACACAGGCAAGATGTTGGTGAAGGTGGCCGAGGAGGAGAGCAAGAGCAAGTTGTAAAAATGAATAACCTTGGTTTGAAATAAAGCACGTGATACACTATATTATTTTTTTGTGGCAGGACAGTGGTGCAGGGTTTTCTTTTTTTTTTTTTGTGCCCTTCTCCTTTTCTGTAGTCTTCCAACTCCTCCTGAAGAACGAAAGATCATGTCCGCTGCATCCCTGCCGCCTACTCAATTTGCATGTACGTCCCTCTTTATCTTGATGTCTTTTCAGTCAATCTTTGTGTTTATACTTGTGCACTGTTTCCCCTACGTAAACATTGATCCTGTCCGACATGAGCTATTAAACTGATCAGGACAGAATGAATTAACATGAGTCAACTACAATGCTCTTTTTTTGTTTTTCTTGTCTTCAATAGTCCGCTCTGCTGCAGGCATCGGTCTCTCTGAGGGCGCTCCTGAATTTGGTGCTCCCACAGGTTTTGAAAAGTAATGCTCACTGGGATGATGAAAAGTGTCAATTGCCCATGAAAAAAAAAAAAAGTTTAGTTTAGCTTTATAGGCATTCATTGATATGAACATCTTCTTTGTTCCATTCTCTTGTTCATTATTGTGGCGGTGTAATGACTTACTATTAGGCAAACTGGTAACATTCGTGTACTTCAGTACAGCAAGAATGGGCAGTATCTTGCTTGGGCGACCCCCGAAAGGTAAAGCCAAGTGTTTAAGCGAATGTTATTGGTTCTTTCTTTGTTTGCAAGAAATTCATTCCATTCATTACCAGACATACTTACCAAAAATGATTATGGTCTCAACGTATATTTTTTATTTTTTTAGTGTCAAGGTGATGGATGCTCAGTCACTGGAGATCATCCAGGACTTGGAGGTCAAGGATGTGCTCGAGATTGATTTTTCTCCAAAGGGAACCTTCCTCTCGACTTGGCAGCGACAGAGTAAGTCTACCACTTTGCTACTACTTCTATTAACAGGAGATCTAACTCTATGCATGTCAATTGAAAGAAGGGTGTTTATTCTATATTTGTCTTTACATGTATTTTTATTTTTGTGATTTTTTATACATTCTTCCCATTTCTGATCAGATGCACCTTTAATTTTGAACGTTGGATGTAGTTACTAAAGTATTATTATTGTTATTATTTCCTTCTCTCCTTCTACTGGATAAATCGGCTTAGTCAAGACCGAGGATGGATCGCACAAGAATATGGCCATCTACGATGTCAAGAGTGGTCAGCTGTTGACCGCCTTCTCTCAAAAGTCGCAGAACAACTGGTAAAATTTTCGCATGTATCTCACACGTCATGTTGTGATGTTGTGTTCTTGTTTACAATCGACAGGGCGCAGTCAGGAGAAGGAGACAAACATTTTTTGTTTGTTTGTCTTCAGGAGATGCACAATGGGAGAGTATTACGAATAGGAGCGAAGTATTTATGCTTACCCTTTGCTTATTTGACGATTTTTTTTTACGTAAACTAGGAATGTACAGTGGACTGATGATGAGGCATACTGTGCAAGGATGGTTTCTAGTGAGGTTCACTTTTGGGAGCCCAAAAACTTGACCAAGACCCCGTTTACGAAGCTGCGTCAGGAGGGAATGACCCAATTTTCGCTTTCGCATGGAAAGAGTACTTCGGTCGCCGTTTTTTTTGGCGAGCGCAAGGGCGCTCCAGCTATGGTTCGCATCTATTCGATCACCAACTTTAATGTGCCTCTTGCCAGCAAGTCATTTTTTAAGGCTGATCGCGTTCAGATGATCTGGAACCAATTGGGTACCAATATTCTCGTGTGGACCACTACCGACCATGATAAGACTGGAAAATCATACTATGGTGAGACCAACCTCTATTATTTGGCTGTGGCCGGAAACTTCGACTGCAGAGTGCCCATTGATGGTCTCATCCATGATGTTGCTTGGTCCCCTGCTTCCAAGGACTTTGTTGTTATCCACGGACAGATGCCCAACCCTAAAACAACCCTTTTTGACCATCGCGCTAACTCTATCCATGAGTTTGGAAGAGATGCTCGCAACACTATCAAGTGGAATCCTCAGGGACGAGTTTTAGTTTTGGCAGGATTCGGAAACTTGGCTGGCACTATGGATTTCTGGGACTGCAAAACTCTGGAGAAGATTGCCAGTGTCTCTGCACGTGATACAACTGCTTGTGAGTGGTCCCCCGATGGTCGCCACATCTTGACAGCTACATTAAGCCCTCGTCTCCGTGTCGATAATGGCTACAAGGTTTGGCACTATACCGGCACTCTAGTGCACACTGCTGAGGTGAATGAGTTGTACCAAGTCAGCTGGAGACCTGCTGCACCTGAGATCTACCCTATTCGTTCATCACTATCACCTGCACCTAAGCCCGCCGCAAGTACATCAGCTGCAGCTGCCAAACCTGCACCTGTTCGCGTCGGCGCTTACAGACCTCCTCAGGCCCGTGGAACACCTGCTCCTTCCTTATTTACTGATGCCAATACCAGTAGCTCTTCCTCATCTACTGCAGCAAATGCTGCAGCCGCTGAGGCCGCATTGTCCAGGGCCGCATTGAAGAACAAGAAGAAGCGTGAGAATGCCAAGAAGAATAAGGATATCACTACGGAAGAAGGTCCCAATGCCGTAGCCTCTGGATCTGGCAACAACTCACCTGCACGTGCCAATACTCCCCGTCCTAATAACAACAATAAGAAACCTCAGAATGGAGCATTGCTGCCGCCTTCATCAGGATCTTCGTCGAGTGCCCAAATGACTGAGACAGAGAAGAAAATTCGCAATGTCACAAAGAAGTTGAAGCAGATTCACGAGCTCAAAGAAAGGCAGGCAGCAGGAGAGACACTTGAGCTCACACAGTTGCAGAAGATCACATCTGAGGCTGCTCTACTCAAGGAGCTGGAGGCATTGAAGGTTAACTAATTAGTTGTATTCTAGGTAGTGCTATTTTCTTTTGTGTTTTTGAGAGGAAAGATACTTGCGCCATTGAGTCTTTTATTTTTGTTTTGTTTTTTTTTTTTTCTGCAAAAAAAAAAAAAAAAAGAAATGTATACAATGTATTATTTTTTTCCTTAATATCCTCCTTGTTTCGCTGTGCTTTTGTAAAGAAAATTTCTTTGCTGTTTTTAAATAGATGTAGAAAAAACAAAGATAAGAGCGTATATAACATCAATAACCAAATTTACATGTGTTTTTGAAGAAATGGCCATTTTCATTTTGGTTGCTTTGCTTTCGTCGATTACGCGCCTTTGTTCGCCCAAGATTTGGCAAGCGTTCAATCTACAATGATCACTACCACAGTCATGGGTTCAAGTATCAATCCGTCCTGACTCCCGGCGGAATAATCATTGACTTGCGAAGCCCCTATGATGGAAAGACTTGATCTGACCACAATGCGAACAACCGACCTGTAGGAGGTTTTAGAGGGACATGCTTAGACAAAAGACAGTCAGCCTATCGCTATTTATGGAGACCTGGCTTGTCGCTACAGTTCCTGTTCCATTAATTCCTAAAGATCGAATAGCTGTAGAGTGGGGGGGGGGGATTTGGTAAAATTGCGAGAATGTTCGCCTTTACTGATTTTTTTTTAAAAAAAAAAAAAAAAAAAAAAAAAAAAAAGTGTTGCTTTCACCGTTGCTCGATATTATCAATGTGCAGTGATATTCACAAACATCCATACGTGTTACTATGGATCAAATACATCATCCCATTTCAAAGTAGACCACCTCCTCCTTCCCTTGCAATTGATGAATATCTCTAACCCGGTCTATACGGCGAGGCTCTCTATCACGAATAAATTTATTTTTTATTTCTTGGATAAGAGTTCAAGAATTGCCTTATTAACAGTATGCTGCTCAAGAATTGCCCTATTAACAGCATGCTGCTCTGATCTATCTTGTTGCATAATTCTTAGTATCTCTTTGATAATAGCACGATATCCTGTTTCCATGGCTTTTGCATGATCCAAGTATTCCTTTCTTTCAAGAAATAGTTTACGCAGCTCATTAATATCCCTTGTGCGTTTGATTTTACGTTGTTGACTTGTGTCTGAGGAAGATGAATTTTCGGAAGATGAATCCTCGGGAGAACCTGAAGAACGCTTTCGTGCAGCCCGTGACAGTGCAGAAGCCCGCGATATTGCAGCAGCCCGCAAAGCTTCATTATTTCTGTTGTTCTGTAGATGAGTTTCATGAGCACGCTTACGACTATTAAGACTGCTTGTCCGTTGTTGAAGAGCTTCCTGCTCTAGCTTGTATGCCATATTGATTAGACAACGGTGCCTGTCTCCTTCTCCAATAATGCCGGTTGCCGCAGTCTTTTCTCTTAGATATCTTTTGTGGTCCTGTGCCATTGCCTCCCATGCGCTTCTAGCATTGCGTACTGTAACACCGCTATAGATGGGCGCACCAAAACGGAGGGGAGACAATTCTGTCTCTTGAATTCGATCGACGACGCTCTGCCACCGTTGATTAACTGACCTGTCATCCTTAGCAAATGGAGGAGCGCTGATAATTGCTTGTAGAAGAACTAGTTTGTGTTGCGGCACCAAGAACAATCGACAAGGCTTTTTCCGTGACTTGGAAGGCGGTGAAGGTGGTTCAGAATCTGGTCCTGTCCCTTCTACATCATCTACAGAATCCGTTTAAGGTATATTCTCAATCGATAATCTCTCGAAATAAGTTACATTATATGTCTCGTTTTGTGCTGTGGGGGTATTCATTGGGGAAGGATGTTTTCCGATGTATGTCATGGTTTTTTCGGTGAAAGGAAGAGCAGAAAGTGAAGCTTCATAGAAAGCTACTGCTTTAAATAAGCCCAGGTTAGAGCATTGATGACTAATAGAACAGAGGTTTGAGGATGTTGATAACTACCATAGTCTGATAAACCGCGTCTTTTTTGGGAAAAAGATAAATTTGGCAATTTTTTATAATATTTTTTGGCTAAATTAATCAATTCTGAGCTTGGACGGGTTGGGATTCCAAAAAGTTTTTTAAAATTTTCAGGTTGCGAAAACTCGCCCATGTCCCCCCAATACGAAAAAAAAAAAAAAAAAAAAAAAAAAAAAAAAAAGCCATAGCCTTGCTTAGTATCTAAAAAGATATGTAGCTTTACTGATGCTAGGTAAGTTATAACAATATCTCATTAACTCCCATTAATGATACCACTAGGTGGATGACAGCCTTTGTCTTTGGGCGCATCGAAAATCTCATTGGCTGAAAATAAAATGGTAGCAAGAGGTCAATCGCCAAAATTTCAGCTATAAAGGATGCGGTATCTCATATCTGTCCATATTCTTCATCTTAAACTCCTCTTTCCACAATCTCTCTTAACATGACGAAGAATCTCAAATTGAGCTCCTTACAGCTTCCAGAAAGCATCTCTCACATTGGTGTTTTCTTGGGCCTATACTATCTCTTACGTTATGTCTTCACAACATATTTGTCAGATTCATTTAGGAGGACATCCGAATCCAAAATGAAATTGTTCTCCCGAACAAATCTGTGGAATTCAATAGTGCTTTTAAAAAGCAAGTCGACAAAGATGAATGTCCTTGTCACCAGCCTACAGTGGAGTGAGCAGAAGGCCTTTAATAGAAAGGCCTCCATGTATATCGACATGCAACGTTTTAAACCTTGCAGACAAGAAAGTGCCTGTCTATCTAACTCATGTGTCAACTACTTGCATCAGTAATGCATGTGCAAAAACAAAATTCTTCAAAGTCGTCCTTCGTTTGCACCTAGCTATATATTTACGAATACATTTTCAACTAAAGCTGCCACAACAGGAACTTACTTTCAAGAAGGTCCTCAGATGCTGCTCGATACCTTGGATACAGCTCAGTTCTCTGAATTTCGGATGACCCTTCGGAATCGAATGTCTGAGGATTTCTGCAAGCAAAAGTGCACAACAAGTCGAAATTAGTTCAAATACTAATGGGTAGAAGAATGATAATGCTCGAGCATATTAAAAACTATGATCATTTCACTTACAAATTTGTGAAGGAATCGATCTCCTAACCATTTCTGCCTCAAGCACTTGAGGAAACCCCTCCCAGCCCTCGCTGTTGCCATGCTGGGTTTAAACTTTTTGAGTCGCATTTGAGATGACATATGCGTAAGGCACATCCTACCAATATTTCCGACACCAAGCGCATCAAGATCAAATACACCGCCGTGGTATTTTAACCGTGGTAGGGCTGGCCTCAGGGAACTGGTGCGGTTGGTATAGTGGCAATGTGCACTGGTAGAATATCCATGAATGCCGCCTAGCAGTTTGGTCTGATACTATTGCTGTTAGAGACAAAGGTTTGAGCCTACAGTCAATTGATTTTTAAATGCTCGAATGACAACCAATTTTAGCTCAGTATGGAGGTCCGGCGACATACCTCTAGCGAAAAAAAGTATTTTGCTTTTTTTTTTTTTTTTTTTTTCTTAGGCTGAGGAAAGAAGGTGAGAAAACGGTAAAGTTGGAGGTAAGTGAATGGTGGACACAGTGTATCGTGCATCGTGATTATGTAGCCTAGATATATAGTTTTTGCTGATTGATTTTTACTGAATGATTTTCTGTTGTTTTTTTTTCTTCCTTGGCATGCAATAGATAGTTGTTTTCTGCTAGTAGAAAGCATAGGAAACTGGATCTGACCTGCCTATGGGTTGATGGAAACTAAATGGGCAAATTTGCCCGTTTTACGGTCTAAAGGATAAATTAAGCGATTAAGCCCAAAGAAGTACCAAGCTCTTAGCCTTGGTGCCACAAGCCCTCCTCTTTCCCATTTCGCAGGGCACAGGCCATACTTCTCAATTAAAGTAACTAAGCTCCTCAACGCAAGGCACCGGAGTATTCCACGACTTTGAGTGTCCAATCAATTATTTCACACACATGTACCACTGATTGAGGAAACCTGTCATTGAGCCCTGTTGTATCATGGAGACTATGGACGATGTCTGAAGGGACTTAGGACTTTGCAAGAAAAGATCTGAGTCACCTTTTCTATCAGACCTAAAGGTTGTGATACAGTTCTCCAAACTACTTTTTCTATTAAGGGAGGGTAAACCGCTGCTATAGCCTCACAATTAGAAGCATTCAGCGAAGACGAAGGGAAGAAGGAGTGGAGGAGTGGATGGGAGGATAGAATAGAGAAGAGGGCTGAGGAAGAAGGACGGAGAAGTTGGATTAGGAGGCAGATGGGGCCCTCGGAACACGGGATGGGGTTAAAAGAAAAGGGTATGAAGGGATGATGAAAAAAGAAGAAAAAAGCTTATACTATCTTTGCCACCAAAATTGGTCAGAGAATATTTTAAGTCCAATCTTCGTGGGAATGAAGCTGGCAGCGAATTGGTCTCAAATGAAAATCACCTGGCTATGTATTTAAAAGTATGACTTCAGTCCGAGTAATTTCCTCCGCACATCCTTTTTTGTGCAAAGAGGTAGTGCTTTCCTGCAATCTCAAGAATAAAAACAAAAGTGGATAGTGATACGAAACGTTTTATTATTATTATTATTATTATTTATATTAACAGGACAAAAAAAAAGTTTTTCGTTACGGCCTCTATTAGGGATGAAGTCGTCTTTTTGCTTAGCTTTAACGAATAAGCGACCTTGATGCTAATTGATTTTGTTGCTATTACAGCTACTTCTTTCTTTCTTTTATTCCGGACAAGGCGATTGTTTGAATAGCATTTCAGTAATAATTAAGCTAGGCGAGAGGAGAAAAAAAAAAAAAGGCAATAGTTACTCGTGTAAGAAAATATCTTGAGTTCGAGAAGTCCTGCGAGTAGCGTGTGTATCCCTTGCAACAAACATTTCCTTTATTTATATTATTCCACTAGAAAAAGCCCATTGTTCAAGTATATCGCCTTATCCTTGTTCTCGGGCCTGCATTCCTTTCTAGGGTCTGCTCATTGTCTTCTTCCTGGCTCAGCACCTCCTGTACTTCGAATATTGTGCCAGAACTAGGATTCAATTGCGGAGCGTTTTGCTCGAAACTAGAAGAGAGTTCGAAAACCTGAACGACCTCAGACGGTAAATTTACTTGCGAGGATGATGTGGAGTTTTCCTGTTTCGATGTTTGCTCAGAATCACGTTGTTCTTTATAATCTTGCCCTCGATCTTGTTGTTGGTGCTCGATTCGTTCTTGTTCTCTGATGTCTAACATCGGAGCGGAGGGTATAGGAAGAGTAGAGAAGGGAGATGTAGGAATAGAAAGTAATAGCTGGGAAAGATTTTGATTTTGTTGATCTTTTGGTTGCATTAGCTGCGTTGGCTCTGATGTTTGTGAATATGATGATGGTTGTGATAACTGCGGTGATAATTGCTGCTGTAGTATGCTATTGTGGTTAGGGAGCTGATGCTGATGCTGTTGACATTGGTAGTAAGGAGGGGCTGCTTCCTCTGGAATACAAGTAGATGATGTTGACGATATGGATGTCCTTCTACAGAGCGGGCTCATCGGTGATGGCGACGGTAATGGTGGTATTAATGAAGACGACAACGGTAAAGATGATAGCGGTATAACTGGTTCTTCAATACTGTTATAGTGGTTGCTACGGGCCGTCGTTATTGCTGTCCCTCCTATTGAAGTCATGGGAATTTCCTCGGATTGTGAGGTAGCAATATTAAAGTCTTTGTCGTTATTGGTAAAGCTGCTACTGCTGGGTTCTAGAAGTGGAGCGGAAGGTTGGTGCCGCAAAGACGATAATAGAGGTATATGCGGTGCTGGTGTCAATGACAAAGCTCCTGTGCTATTGCTTTTTCTAATACCACCGTCACCGTCACTACCTATATCTCTGGCTCTGCTAACACTACTGCTGACACCGCTACTGCTGGAGAAAGATGTTGGTAAGGTTCGCAAAACAGCTGTAGCAACGCTCATAACGTTGGCTGTACTTAGTACATGATGATTCTCAATTCTTTGGACAGGTGCTCTTGACAAAGAGGAGTCATCAGTAAGGTCGGAAGTGCTATAATCTGAATCATCTAGATCAGGATTTAGTGTAGTGAAAAATGTTGGCCTTGGATGTCGTTGCAGTGGTACACCCTGCATATATGCTGTTGCGGTGTCTATCGCATTTGTTGACATGCCATTTTCTGTGGCTAGAACCTTATCTCTACCATCAAAGTCATAATTCTGAAGGAGTGGGTCCTCAATCTTGTTGACGTTCTCTCTAGCTCCAGGGCGATCCATGTTGTCGCTACTGTCGTCACCATTAAGACTATGTTTACCCCTCGGACCAAGTTCTTCTTCACTATCGTCCGCGGATAATATTTGTAAAATCTTGCTTTTCAGCCATCGTTGCCATTGTGGCCACCGCCAACGGACAAGAAGATACATCATGAGGGCTAGTGAAATCAACCCACCTACGACCGAGCCTCCGATGATGGCGCCTGTATTGTTGTTCTCAGGAAGGTGGAAGGGAGTGCCGTAGTTGTCAGTGATGTTGATTTCATAAGTGACCTTGGTCGCCCCTGCACTGAACGGCTGATGGAGTGGGAGTCCAACCATGGGAAATCCATCCGCCGAGTTGATCATGAGTGCGAACCGTTTGAGCTCTTCGTTATAATATCCTTCGATCGGTTGAAATGACGCTCCTTTAACTTGATCCAAATTATACCGATATGGCCCGTCTAATGATGCATCAGAGCCATTATTATCCTTAATATCTTCGTATAAGCTCACCCCGCCAAATCCCGCAAAGCTATCGCCATCCTGACCCTATGTAATTATTCATTATTATGAGAAGGAAAAGTATTAAAAAAAAAAAAAAAAAAAAAAAAAAGAATGATCATAATCATGATTTTTTGCCCCCTCAGCCCCTTTGCATTTTTGCATGTATCGTACTTGGCAAAAGATATAAAGAGTATCCTTGTAATAGCTGCCATACAGGAATGATAGATCGCATGTGTCCAAGCTGTCAGATTTTAACACACGTGGATTAGTTGGTGGCTGAAATACCAAGGGATTACCAGAAATCGGGATCTGGGTCATAATAGTTTTAAGTGCACCTGTTTTGTTGTTGTAAAGGTATGTCCCGACTTGATAAAGCATGTTGTTGCCATAAAACAACCACTTTGGGTCTCCGTAAATGAGAGGATCCTTTTTTTTAAAAAAAAAAGAAAAAAAAAAAAAAAAGCCGTTAAGTTTTTCATGAAATACAATATTCAACTGTTTTTTTTTTTTTTTTTTTTTTTTTTACCAAAGTCCAGTTTGCAATATTGGAAAACATATTAAAGTCTTCGCCATTTGAATACAGCTTGCCAATGTTGATAGTATTAGCAGTACCAATAGTGGCCTGAAAAAGCGTGGAGGTTCCCGGCCAATTGAAAAGGATGAAGTTTGCTGTGGCATCATCCCATCGATAATCCGGAGCTATACTGAAATTGGACCAACGATTACTCCGTGGGTCATATTGTAAACCTCCGGGTGCACGCGTTGGGCGTGACCTTGGATAGGACTCATCTGTCAGCGTCAGGTTGAAATAGGACATCATGGAGAAGACACCTGTCGTTGGGTCAACATGACAGACGTTAGGTGAACGATCTTGTGGATCGCTCGTAGGACGAGGCCAGGCCGAGACCAGTGACCAAGTGATATCAGTCACAGATCCAGGAGATGGATTGGATTGAACTAAAATTACACTGTCATGGTCTGGCCCATTACTACCGCCTAACGACTCGTATGCCATCCCAAGTAGCCTTGTTCCATTTAGTGTAATACAACTCAGATGGTTAATAATGCCCATGGCCACAAAAAATACATATATATATATATAGATAAATAGAGAGAGAGAGAGAGAGAGAGAGAGAGAGAGAGAGAGAGAGAGAGAGAGAGAGAGAGAGAAAGGAGCTTCTAGAAAATAGAGGATGGTATTATCGTTGTTATATTATAATTATAATGTACATTCAACAGGACAGAAATGAAAGATTAAATGATTTCATGAAATGAAAAAAAGGCAATGTCAATAAAAAAAAAAAATAATAAAAAGCCAGGCGAGAGCATAAATGTCTTCAAGATATTACAACGTGCTCTCTTTCTCTCTCTCTCTTTCTTTCTTTCTTTTTTTGTTTTTTGAAAACAGGTCAATTACAAATGGCAATGCATTGTGACGGAATAGAAGAATAACAAAGAATAGAAGCGGTCAATTTTGCTTGTTTTCTTGTTTAACAATGAAATGGTACTACAGAAAGATAGAAAGACAACAGAAAGTCTCCATCTGTGTAACAAATAATATGGTCGTGATCAAATCAAATCTTGAGTCAGTAACCACGATCGGGGCATGCATCAATTATTCGACCCCGTTACCAGGCAAAGAGCCGTTTCAGGAAAGAGACCTAGTCATATTACGACTCGCATCTTGACTCCGATATTGTCCTAAATCCTCTTCTTCGACCGGAATCTTGTCTCTGCCATCCAGGTCATAGCTTTGGATGGAAGATGCCTCAATCTTGTCCGTCTCAACAGTAATACCAGCAACGCCATGTCCCTTACTCTTGTCAGTATCACTGTTCTTGCTCTCAGCAGACATTGACTTGGCAATCTTGCTCCTCAACCGTTTGCGCAAATGTGGCCAGCGTCGACGGAAGATCAAGAAGACTAGAATCAGTAATGCGCCTACAATAGACCCCCCGATGATGGCTCCAGTATTGGTACCACCGTCACTATCACTGTCGCTATTGTTGCTACTATCAGTTTCATTTTGTGGCATTGAGTCGAATGGCATACCATATGGCTCTGTAATGTTGATATGCCATGGGACCGAGTCCATATGTCCTATATAAGCTGGATCAAGCGAGATCTCCACGGTTGGATCTCCGTCCCACCAAATCCCCGTCAGGAGTGCATTTCTACCAACACCGTCTTCATCAAAGCCTCCAAAAGGATGGATCATCGCGCCAGCAAAACGTGGGCCGTCTGAGGGATAGGCAGCATTCAGATCATTGATTGCATTTGGGCGCGCGTCATACATCCAGATCAACCCATGTCCTTCAGGAGCCTAAATTTCATTCATTTCATGCGGAGTTTAAAAATAAAGGAAACCATTCTTTTGTTTATTTACAATCCATTTTTTCAGAGGTTTTTCCGTTGTAATTTACCTGACAGAAGACATAGACAACGTATCTGTAGTAGATACCGGCTTTGAATGGGCCGCAACGGTCCAGAGCTTGAGCATGATATACAGTAAGGTTAGCAGGGAGCGTGAACTTTGCAGAGTCGCCTGAGATTGGTATCTTTGTCATTAGGTTTTTGAGCTCTCCTGTTTTGCTATTGACTACCTGCGTTCCAAACTGATATAAGGTATTGTTGCCATAAACAAGACGAGTGGGAAGGCCATACACAGTAGGATCCTATTAAGACCATCTCGGTTAGAATGAAATGAATTCACACCCTTGCCCCCCTTTTTTTTTTTTTTTTTTCCTCTTTATATTTACCAATTCCCAAGACATCACATTCATGAATTGATTTTGGCCCTGATCATTAATGGTCAATTTGCCCAAATTCACTGTGTTATTCTCTCCGATGTTCGCTTGGAATAATGTGGATGTTCCAGGCCAGGAGAATAATGTAAAAGTAGGTGAATAATCCGACCATCGATAATCGGAAGAGACTGCAAACTCTGACCATTTGTTTGATCGGGGGTCATATTGGAACCCTCCGGGAGGTCGCTTGGTGATAGTTCCGTCAGTATTAGGAAAAGTAACATTATAGGACGTCATCTGAGTGAAAACACCTGTTGATGGATCCACATGGCAGAACTTGGGTGATTGGCTCTGCCGAGACGGAAAGTCCAGATCATGCCATGCTGCTTTGAGGCTCCAAGTTAGGTTCCCGACTGTGGTGGGAAACTCTTCAGATTCAAATAGAATGACGTGGGCCCCCTTTGGAAACTTATCACCATAGTAAGTCGTATGAGTCATCCCTATTATCCGAGTCCCATTATTGACAAGGCAATCAGGAGAGAGTAGACCCATTTCTTTTTTTTTTTTTTTTTTTTTTTTTTTTTAGACTAATAAAAACAAAGGATATGCTTGAATATATAAGTGAGGTATCAAAAAAAGATCAAGGAAACAAAGTAAAGCGAATGGATGGAATGGATGAAATGCATGAATGATGATGACGATGAGAAAAAAAGAGTGGAATGATTGATTGTGAGAGAGAGTAATGGTGGCAATTGTTTGTTTTAGTTTCGAACGTGCTCTTCTTGAAAGGCGGAATGTTTGAATCTGTAATCTTGGTTTAATTTTAAGATTGCCCAACGGACTATTACATCTGAAGTCATTCATTGAGCCATAATAGTATTGATAATCTTGATAGTCTTTCTTGAATGAACAAACGACCTGAAGAGGTATCATGCATGTAACTCAAAAAATGCCCCTTATTAGTTTATTACCTATAAAGCTGGTTTTTTTTTCTCCACTTTATTAATTAGAGTACAGTAAACCGAAAGGGCGAAGCATCCAAAGAGTCTGATTGTAACACAGATTGTTTGAGTTACATCAAGGTGCGTTTTGTGTATGGTGTCGCAGTTTGGACCCCTGTTTTTAATATCAATATTCATCTATACATCTATACGATTATGCTATGCGATTAAGTCACGAAAAAAAAAAAAAAAAAAAAAACTGCCTTTGCCAAAGTTTTTGGGATCTGCATGCATTTCGTTTTCATATGAGGTATTAAGTTTAACCTGACAAAAGATGTGTGGCTCGTCCTCATTTAGCGTATTTATGGAAGCTAAAGTCCTCGCAGAGTTATCCATACTTGGGGCATACTAGAGTAATGGGGTAATTAAAACTGTTCACATTATAAATGTGAAATTGATCAGAAATGCGACATGTAATGGATAGCATCTGTACTCGGGTCAAGAGCCCTGCAATCCCTCCTCCTTTTTTTTTTTTTTTTTTTTTTTTTTTTTTAAAAAAAAATGAAATGAAAAAGGAGGAATGACAAGCGGAATCAAGGACATGATTTAATAGTCAAAATCATCAGGAGGCCTCAATCTGATCAACGGGTCAATTGCACACCCAAAAGACGTTGATGAACAAATTTGATAATCTTTTAGAGCATTTCTACAACAGTTACTGTCTTTGAAAAGGTTAAATGAAAACTGCCATTATTATTATATAAAAAAACGTGATTGTATATATTGCAGCAATGGGCTTGCATGCTTTCTCCTTCCTATCTACTTTTTTGTATGGCTACTGCTGTATTTTTTTTTTTTTTAAAAAAGATAAATTATTAAATATTATTTACACAGCCTGATCTCCTGATGGGTGTTCAATTTGGTACTCATTCTCGACATGTGGGTTATCACCCTTGCCATCGCGCCAAGCAGCCAGACGCTTCTCTCGCTCCAAGTGCTCCTCCCATTCCAAAGCGGAGACCCACTTGCTCAAGACCAAGGTAAAGTAGATACCCAAGATCATACCGATTGTGACCATGACGGTGGCAATGGTTGCAGCTGTTCGGCGGCGACTATCACATCTGGCTTCATCCCAGCCCTTGCTTTGGTTACGCTCCAAGCATCCGCGATTGACCTTTTCAATATGATGCTCCTCCACAGCGATGTAAACAATACCCCAGCACAAGAACATCAAGATGAATCCCCAGGAGGCTGAAACGAATTGACGGTGATGCCATGTGTTACCCTAAGTTTAAAGCATCAACAAAAACAATTAGATCATGTTTATAATAATTAAAAAAAAAAAAAAAAAAAAAAAAAAAAAAAAAAGAGCATATACGTAAACATAGCGTAAGATTTTTTTTAGCGCAAGAACATACCTTTGTAGTAGCCCAAATACCATAAAGACCTGTAAAGAGGAGAAGAATGCAAATGACTGCCCATGGGATAGCAAGGTCTGTTTCCGCATGTGGCATGATCCCTATATGAAGATGAAACAAAAACCATTAGAAAAAGAAAAAGAAGAAAAACCTCTCGGGACAACACAGAATTGTCATATGTATAAAGATCCATAGGGAAAATCGCAAAGAGCCTTGGATGGGGCTGAATAGGCAGTTATGATTTGGATCGCATAAACGCACGCTAATTTTTTTCTTTTTTTTTTTTTTTTTTGGTTATACCCAGTCAACTACAGGAATTTTGTAAAGTAATAAACTCATAGTTGACTACAATCTAACCAAAAAGGACTATAACCCACTCTAAATTTTTCCCATTCTATTTTTTTTTTTTTTCCTGTCTTATGACATACTAAAAACAAAGAACGATGTATTTCTTCTAGGACAACAACAACAACAGCAGCAACAATAACCACCACCAAAAAAAAAAAATTACTTACATCGACCGAAGCAGAGGATCATGAAGACTAGACCAACGACAGCATAGAAAGCAGCGAGGATAGGAGCAAATGAGGCTGGGTTGATTACCCCAAAGAATTTCTCAAATATTCTCATGATGGAATTATAAAGATAGCGACAACAGTTCTAGTCAATCAGTGCTACGCTGCTGGTGTTGACAAATAAGATGTGTATGCAATATGGACGTTAGATAGAGAGAGAGGAATGAGAATGGATGAAGGAGCAGGAGAGAGGGAAAGGATTAGAGAATTTCAAGATGAAATGGCTAAAGAAGAGGGAAAAAAAAGAAGAAGAGAGGAGAAGAGAAGAGAAGAGAAGAGAAGAAGAGGAAAAAGAAGAAAGAGAGGAAAAGAGGAAAAGGGAGAAGGGAGAGGGAATAAGTGAGATTACGAAGAGAGCAAAAAGATTTGAGAGCAATGGGCAGTTGGACAAGTGAAAGTAAGAAAAAGGAAAAATCAGACAGACATGACCTGGCTTTTCTTCCGTTTTGAATCACCCGAACTTTGCTCTTTGTCTACAACTGGTGTTGGGACCTACATGTACCAAACAAAAACTGCTCTCATTTTTTTTTTTTTTTTGTTTATTTATCGCCTCTTGAAGTGTGCACCATGATACAAGTGCGTAACATGTACATGTTACATGTAGCGTGTTGTCACGGCTCAATTACAACATTTAGCCTCCCCCCATATTCACTAGGCTAGACCTTTGGTCCGAAAAAGATTATAAAAGAATCCATTTCATCATTCGTTTGCTCCATGTCTTCTATAGACAGTTGTTGTAGGTAGTAAGCAACAATGTAGCGGAAGAAAAAAAGAAAGACCACTGCTTAATAGGGATAAACAATTACATGTAGTATAAAGCTTTATTTTAAATCCTAAAAGTACAGTGTATTTTTACCGGGAAAATTGGTTTTTACTTTTTTATAACCAGATTGTTGGTTCAAAATGAAAAACAAAATTATAATAATAATAAAAAAAATGCCTCAATCCTGTGCCTGCTTCTGCATCTGTTGTCGTCGTCTGTATGTATACCCTCCGCCACCACCTCCCGGAATCCCTGCGGAAACCAAATCACCATCCTTGAGAACGATCCCCTCCCCAACTTGCTGACCACCGATCAGTGCCTCTGCCAATCCCGCAGGAACACCCTTTGGCAAAGGCTGCGCTACATCATGACAGTAAGCGTTCAATCCATTTGACCAAACATATCCATGGTGGATCACATTCTGTAGAATCTTGTAAGCCTCTTTGTTGGCATAAGGGATCCCTGTTTTAGGATCTCTGTACTTGGCTGGTAATCCAGTGATTTGACATATCGGCTTTCGCTCTGGATCTAATGAATATAAAGATCTGTTTTCAGTCATCAAACGTTTCAAATTGCAACACAACCAATGCCAAAGAGCGGAATTAAAATAAATAAATAAGAGACAGGCTTGTGATCGCAACATACAGCTCTCCACATAGGACCACTCGTTAATGGGGGAATCTTCATCCTCATAACCCACAAATGTGATCCAGTTCCGTCCACACATCTGTGACGGATGCAGCTTCTTTCGTTTACGAGCTATTGATCCAACAGACATGTTCATCGTAGCCCAATGTGCCGGTGTCATGGCTCCAGTGGGTATACTTTCACCTAGAGTACCTCCACTTGCACCAGCTCCTCTCCGATCCTGGTCTTCAGCTGGTGAGCTCATCTCTACATCACCGACTGTCGATCGTGATATGTCGACGTTCATAGGTGAACTAGGCGCTTTGTGCTCACTATTATCAACCGTATTGAGGTCAATTTTCAGCTGTCGCCCTTCTGGTCCCGGACTGGGATGCCTCGATATAGGCCTTGACTTTACTGATGTTGATGTTGATGTTGATGTTGGTGCTTGCTGTTCCTGCTGAGCCTGGATTTGCTGCTGTAGTAATAGTGATTGTGCTAGTGATTGGGCGAGATTATGTGGAGGAATGCCTCCTGTAGAACCATATTGTGTCGGCAGAGCTTCTGGTGCGACACTGCCTGCCCTCGATCCTGCTCTCGAGCCAACCCTCGTAGTACCGCCTCCTGGAGTAGCGGCGCCTATTTCTGCTAGTGCCTTAATCAAGGGCCCATGTCCAATCCATTCTGCAAACGAATGATATCTAACAAATGACTGCATCACCACTTCCTTTTTCTTGACCACTTTTTTCTTTTCCAGCTCCTGTGCTTTGAATGCCCTAAGCGAAGCCAGGTTGATGGCCTCAGTTTTTTTAGCCTCCTCCAAAAGTTCTTCCTGAGTCATTTTATGCACAACAGCCTTTTCACGCTTCGGCTGCATTGCTTTCCGCGTCTCATACTCGAGTAGCTTCAGCTCTGTCTCCTGATTATTTAGCACAGTCGTTCGACGCGATGATTTCCGAATCTCCGCGGGAATTTTGATATTCATGGTTGATGCTGTTGTTGACCCTGATGGTGCAGGGGACGCAGCAGCAGATGTATTCGACGATGCTGTAGATGTTGCTCTTTTAGAAGATTCCGATGCAAGGATAGGCGTAGTATCCTTTTTAGAGCTTGACGTTGCCTGACCTCTTTCTTTTACGCGTCCACCTTTTGCTGATGGTGTTGTTGTTGCACCGGGTAGAGAAAACGCCGACTTTCCTGTTTTGAGGTGTTGCAGCATTGATTGCTGCTTTTTCCGCGCTTTAGCTTCCTCAGGGTCCTCGCCTAGGTTTGCTTCCTCATCCTCTTCAGGCTCTTCATCTGCACTAGACTGATCAAAGTCTGAATCGACTATATCCTCCTCCTCTAAAGTATTGAGATAGAATTACAGGAAGAATGTTGGCCAATGAGTCAAAAAAAAAAAGTGGTCTTAACAAATATTATGTTCAAACATGATATATTTTATTCTTTACCATATCCTTCAACCTCAAATTCTTCGTCTACCCCCTCATCATCGAACAACTCCTCCATCTCCTCCTCTTCATTCAACAATGCAAGAAGTCTACATTTTTTTTTTTTTTTTAAACAGCGGGCAGAGGTTATGTTAATGAATTCTTGACAAACTATCTAAGCTATAACACAGTTCCCTTCCTATCCTTGCCATTCTCCTTCCTCTTTTTGGAGCTCATACCGATTTCCCGCATTCGCGCGCTTCTCCCTGTTTGCGGCCATGATTTCTAGAATGGACAAAGAAGGGTTTAATGGGATCATGAATACAAGTTTTTATTGTCAAGGGAACAAACAGTCTCGCTCACGTGTAATATCGCTTTTTTTATATTTTTTATTTAATTAAATTTTACATCTCTATCTCTACTTCAACTTGCGGTGCTCTGGAGCGTGAGAAGTCTCATAGTCAACATGTACAAACGCACGCTCAACATTTGGGAGAGACTCCAATTTGATCTAGTGAGGTTTGTAGAAAAAAAAAACAATTAGCAATCGCTTTTTGAACGCAAACTAAGAATACTTCAATATTGAATAAACAACAGATAGACTCACCTGAAGGCCTTCACTGATATCGTGACTTTCCCACAACGGTGTCTCTGGTGCCATGACAACATCCACCTCCACAAAGAAGTTATTGCCGGCGTGATACGCTGTGCATGTATCTACTTGCAGAATCTTACGGTGATGGGTCAAGGCTAAATATTATATATATATACATCAAGGAATATTTTAGATGACAAATCGACAAACCTAGTGGGCTTCTATTCTTTTATCATTTCTATATTCTTGGTTTTTTTTTTTTTTTTTCTTACCGATATAAGTCAATTTTTTGAGGAAAGCTGGGTCTGCAGACTTGCCTACAATGAGCTGGATTTGTTCTATAAAGCAAGGCATGTTTGAACATCAATTTTTTTTCTCTTATCTTCTAAGAAATAAATAAAGAAATAAAGAAATACATATATATATAAAAAGGACTTTACCATAGGCAGTCCACACCCAGGAACGCAAGATAATCAGAGAAACCACGATAGCACCAGCTGGATCAAGCCACCAGCAGTATCTGCTCATCAAGGACGCAAACAGACCAAATCCATTCACTGACAAATCATTCCTGTGATCCGTTGCTAAAATGTTGGCTGCGTTATACTGTCTAATCGCCTTGCAATAAAGAAAGAGAAGAAATTTGCTGACTGTGAAAGACAAAAAAAAGAAAAAAGAAAAAAAAAAAGATTAGAAGATGTTAAAAGTGCAAAAAAAAAGACGAGGCAAGAAAAGAAAAGAAAAGGTATACATTACTGAGTGCGAATCCAACGAATGCAATAGCGATAGCACTAGGCATAGGAGGTGTCTGGTTGTTCTCGAGCAATGTTCTGACAGACTCAATCTTTACAATCAAAATTTTTTTGATCAGGAATAAAAAGTGTCTTGATGTCAACAAAGATCAAAAAAAAAAAAAAAAAAAAAAAGACAAGCCCATAGTTTTAGTTCTTTCTACTTCTCCACTTACGATCAATTGAAGTGAAACAGTTGCCATCAAGGAAGCAAAGACAATTGTTCCTGCAGTCTCCATACGCGACTTGCCCTTTAAGAAAAAGAAAAAAAAAAAAAAAAAAAAAAAATATTAACTCGTAAGCTTATTTTTGCATTTTTTTACGATCAACACGTGGATACTTATAATTAATAATAACAATTTAAAAAGGACATACCGAAGGATATTTCCAGTTACTCTTAGTAGAAGCTCTAGCAGCGTACGTGAGAATGACACCCGAAAGCAAGTCCATGAATGAATCTGCCATGGTTGCAAACAATGCTAATGATTTTGAAGAAATAGCAGCATAGAGTTGCAGCATAAACAGCAACACGTTGACTCCAAATGATCCATACACCGCAATTTTGAGCTAAAATGAGAATAAATTAAAAAACTGTTAAAAGATTTTTCTGAGAGTTGAGAAATAAGGAGAGATAGAGAGAGAGAGAAGAGTTGCATACTTTGAGTTGGTTCTTCTCTTCTTCCTCTTGTGCCCCCTCTCGTCCCCCTGGAGGTTCGAGCAAGTCCTCAATCAACTCATTCTGTTCACGATAAAACTCTTTGACTTTCTTGGATGAGCGAATCGCACGGAGCTGTTCTTCAGACATGCGTTTTGATGCCAACAACATCGGATCACGGGCTTCATAGAAATCATCCTCTGATGAAGCGTCAGGAGAAGGGAGGCTACCGTTGATGATATCTGCTGGCCCAGACCCATGGCCGGTAGTGTCGATCTGTAAAGGTGTCATAGGTATATGGACAGATGAAGATGTTGCTGGTTGAGCAGCATGATGTCTATCATGAACAGAGTGGGTATGATGCCTGTGGAAACTAGGCTCCGCTGTTTGTGAAGAGGAATGAAGGGGGAGATCCATTTACTTGAATGAGACAAAATGAACTTTGATGGATGATGTAATGAAGGGGGAGAAAAAAAAAAAAGAAAAAAAAAAAAAAAAAAAGAGAGAGAGAGAGTGAAAGATAGAGAGCTAAACGGTTTGGGCTTATCTCTTGCGACCCCTTCTCTCACGCCTTCCTTTTTGTTTGGATGTGTGTGCTCCGTGACCATTTCGTTTTTTTTTGCAAAGCATGTTGCTTTCCCGTTTTGGGAATAGACTAGTCCTGTCCCAGTGCCGATAAGGGTTGTTTGCCTGTTGCAGTTGGCTAGTTCATGTAACATCCCGATAACCATAATAACCAAGCAAAAAAAAAAAAAAAAAAAAAAATCGGGTTTTGGAAAGTGGAGAAGGATTGTACGAGATGGAAGGATCTCCCTTTTTCAACAACAATAATCGTCCAATAGGAGCATGGTAATCGTCCTATACTCGTTCTCATTTAATTGAGCGCAGACCTTTTTTGTGACACAACAAACACAAAGACAAAAAAAAAGTTGTTCCTTTCGTTCTCTTTTTAGGATTCTGCGCATTTGGAGTCGCATAGTTTTTGTTATTTTTATTATGTCTTTTTTGAACATGATCCATTGCTTCCGTTACTGTTGCTATCCTTCAATCCCCTACTACTAAAGAGTCTATTCCATTCTTCTCGATCCTCCTCAAGACTCTTCCCAATCGATTCTACAAAAGTTCTTTGTATATGCTTAATCTGTGATCCTATCAAATTGACTTTTTGTTGGACGCGCTCGATTTCGTCTTGTACCTCTCTTAGACATGAACATATTGTCGTCAACATTGCTCGTTGATGACACCGAGTGCACATTGGTAAAGAATTCAAATTCTGTTGCTGGTGTTGCTGCTCTTGCTGTTCTTGCTGCTGTTGCTGAAGGAGGGATGATGACAAGTATGTTGCAGAAACAGTTGTATGAAAACTGTTCATAGGAGACATTATTGCTGCTGGTACTGCTGGTACTACTAGCACTGCCGGTTCCGCTAATTTTGCTGGCATATTTTTTATCCTTGCCGATAGAGATGAGAATGGGGATAATGAGTAAGCCCCATCTTTTTCCCTTGATGTTGACACAGCCTCCCCTGTCATAGCCTCTTTTGTCGATTCTCTAACAGATGCATCCAATCCACAACAATATAATCTGTGCAGCTTTGGATCAAAGAAAAAGTCCTGATGGCCACTATCTTGTTTCCGAATCATCCTCTCTAGAATTTCAACCTTCTCATCCAAAGCATCACGCGCTTTCTTTCTTTGGATTTGTGATTCAAGTAATTGATCTCTTGTAGAATCCAACGCCCGGATGTGTGAGACGAAGTATTCCAATTGCTCTTGGCTTTCATCGATTCTCTTCTGAATCTCCTTCTTGATGATGGATCCTTCTTCCATGTCCTCCTCGTCCTCCTCGTCCTCCTCTTCTTTGTTTTCTCCTCCATGACGCAGCAATAATAGGGACTTATCTGTAGTGGAAACCTGTGTCGAGGGGGATGGCGATGACGCCAATGATAATGGCCCACGTCTTGATCCGGGATCTAGCTCACTACAAGTGACTTTACCTGCTAATGAGTCACAGATACTTTCGTTACTATGGCTCCTACTCGATGATAATAGAGTGGATTTTGGATTCACCACCGTTCCAGTAGACTTTGAACTAGTAGAGTCAGGTGTCGACATGAATGGGTCGTGTGAGAAAATCGGTACTAATGGTGGCGCAAGTGTCGTGATCAGGCCCGTGTGGCGTAACGACCGTGTAGGCAGGGGCAGCTTCACTACCTTGATTCGATTTGATAGTGTAATAGAAGGTGGAGCAACAGTGGTGAAGCTTTTAACACGAGAGGAAGGAGGAAGGGGCGAAGAAGGAGGCTGAAGAGCTGCATTAAAAGACCCTGGATCGTCATTTACTTCTTCGGGACTTTCTACTAATGGTGACATACAGCCAAGAACCCTTGTTTGTTTGTATTTGAGGGGTTGTGCAGAGATCGAGCGTCTCGTTGGCAAAAAAGGAATATTAAAGTTCACATCGTTATTGTCTCTTATGACGTTGCCGTTATTGGTTATTCTATTGCTACTGCCATTAACACTATTGTTGCTACTGTTGCTACTCTTACTGCTGCTAGCAGCACTAGAAGATGAGCCGGCAATGACCAGTAGCGTTGATAACCTGGGTCTGTGGCGATTCCAAAGCTGTGTTAGGCTGAACCTAGTTGTTGTTGATGTTGTTGAAGTTGTTGATGCTGCTGTTGTCATGAGCGGCAAAGTCAATAGCGATGTTGATGATGGTAATGATGACAGCGGTAATGACGATAGTGGATCTGGGATATTAATGTCACTCAGAGGCTGATCAAGCATGGCATTATCACTTTGTTTTGGATGTACAAGCAGTAAAGGGTGTAACGCGCTATCACTGTGGACACGTCGGAGGATGCAAGTATCATCACTGCTGTCATTACTGATGTTGCTTTTGTTACATGCGGCGCTATTATTAGCCACTCCACTCTCAACACTATCGCTTCTGGAGCGAGTGGTCCTTGAAACATTGTTCGTTCGCTCACTAAGGCGCACGGCTTTCGGCGCGTGGCCCGTCCGCAAGCAATTGGAAGTGGGTTCTGTTGGTTGCATTATTTGCGTGGTAATGAGGAGAGAAGAAAGGATTGAAAATTGCTTCAGAAGCTCAAAAACACGTAAATAACCAAGGAAAAAGAAGAAAGAAAAAAGAGAGAGAGAGAAGGAGAAGGAACAAAAAGGACAGACATAAAATAAAGTTGTTCTCCGTGTTGTATATTTTACAGAATTTACAGCCATCAGTGATTTTGGACATGGATCGAAGCCTTGAGATTTTATACAGTAAATAGTAATGAATATGTGATAATTACATTGAATGCCCATCTATCACGCATTTATCAGATTACAGTCCGTTTTTCCTTTTTACAGGGTTGATTATCTATGTTGTAGTCAAGCCGCACTCATCCATTTGACTATGTGCAGTATTGGGGGTTTTGGAACTGTGATCGATACATTGTTTTTCTTTCCGCTGCTTGGAAATGAAGGGGAGATTGTACTGGACATCGTAGTTACAACTTTTGTCCACATAGTCAAGGTCGCTTTGGACACTGTCTCCGGTAAATCTGATCTGATATGACTGTCGACTGCCCTTTGCATCTGCCGTTGCTTCTGACGTTGCTGTTGTTCTTTTTCCTTTTCAGCCAATGGCGCAAGGCGCCTTTTCCCTTGATCACATTCATATCCTCGAGGTGTAATAGCCAGACGAACTCTCCCGGTCGTATTCAAACCGAATGCTTCTAATAAGCTCTTCAGATGCTAATCCATTAGTCAGCACAGACTCTGCGTTCAATACGTGCTTAGAATTAATAATACCTGAGGTGGCTGTGGCGTTGATAGCATGAACAGCAACGATTGTAGCAACGCAGCTTGACCCTATGGGATTATCATCAGATGCCGCTTGCAGCTCTTCTGTTTCGAAGGCCCGGGAGGCGTTTAAACTATCGTTCTACTGCCTCTGCTATTGCATGTCTACGATACATTTCTCTCTCATCCGTGTGTATTTGATTATGTATTTGTAGCTCTTCCTCATTTTGGTTACCACCTTCCAAGGTGATCATTTCTTGTTCAGAACTAGCTGCAGCGGCAGTTGTAGCCGTAGCCTTGTCTTCGATAGTGTAGCTTTCTTGATCAACTTATGGGTTTTGCGTTATAGACAAACTGACAATTCTTTTTACCGCCGAGAGTAAGAGTACATCCTAACTGGTGGAATCGCAATGACATCCCTGTCTGTAATGTCGTTGATGCTGACAGTGATAGTGACGATTGCAATGGTAAAGATAATTGCAGTGCCAGTGCAACTCTTCTGAAAGGGAGATTCGGTCCTAGCTGTTATTGATGGTTTTATTGCACCTCAAACCTAGTGACAAAGGAGAATCCTTTTGAAGCCCTAATAGTCCCATATCATCGCTTTCTTCCATGCTATTGTCATGTTCGATTTTGGCGGCCATAGGGGCACTGAGCTTTGTAACCCTTGAACAAGGCCTCTTGGCCAATTTAGCTACGTTTCTGAACTTTCTCGACAGGGACTTTATACTAATTCTGGGCTTCCCAGTGCATATTGGCACTGCAGCAGGTGAAGAGCCAGCAGCAGGGGATACTCTAGGAGGTAAAAGGGAAGAAGAAAAAACAACTCTTCTTCTCTTGTTGCCCTTGGGTCGGCCGCTGGCGCTATAGCGGCCCGTAGGGCGCGACAAGGCAGCATCATAGCTAATCTTGCTTTTATTGCTGCTTCTGCAGAAAGGGGTCGTCGAAGAGGAAGGAGAAGGCCACGAGGAGTATATGAAGTAGAAAACGGCCGAAGATGAAGAGGAACATAATGACAATGGCAATGACAATGGCAATGACAATGGCGACGGCACTCTCGAGCGGAAGCCTTGTAATGGTCAAAAGGATAATTGCAGTTAGAGTGCGAGTGTGGATAAAGAGAGAAGGATGAGGATTGACGTTATTTATTTGAAGATTTTTCAGCACTTATTTTGAGCGGCAAAGGCTAGAAACGACCTTCTCTCTTTTTTTTAGCATGGTTTCATTTACCAGCATCGTCTCTTGACTCTTCTTCAAAAACGAAGGGCCCAGTTTTTTATTATTCATCCCTGTGCTGTCGACTGTAGATAATAGCAAAGATGATCTGGATATCACTGTTTCGATACATCCTAAAGCCGGTAACGATACCATAACTGCTTTCTCACGATCTAGTTCCATACACTGCCCATCACATTTTTTCTCTTCCCACTTAGTTTTATTCTAGTCCTTGTCATTGCCCCTGAATGAAATTCCTGCTGCAAACTTCATATTTACTTTCGACTCCACCATCTCCTTAGTGTCCTCATTCATTTCTCTTCGATCAGCGCCTGCGGATGACGGCTGGATGTGGCTATGCGGCTTCTCCTTGTTGAATCTTTGTCCTTCTCCTTCTCCTTTTCCTTCTCCATGTCCTTGTTTGCGCGAGCAGGTTGGCCTAGGGAGGCTACTGCGAATACATCGATGATGGAAGTTTGAGTCAGCAAGCATTAAATTCGATGAAGTCAAAGAAAGGTCAGTTTCATCTTCGATATTCAACCTTAACGGACCTGCTTCAGATTTAGATGGATTGCCCTCAGCAGTGTCGCTGCTATGGTTGCTTCTATTACTGCTATCGCTATTGGTGTTGTTGTTATTGAAGGTGGTGGCAATGAGGCTGCTATGGCTTTGGGCTTGCTCATTGTATTGAGGAGCACATGCTCGTTTCTTGTTTGAAGCAACTGACCCGTCCGGCAAGACTACAAGCGCTTCATGGCCCCCCTCAATAATTTCTACAAACTCGTCAGGAACAGTATAGCGAGAACCAGTGGTAGTCGTGGATGAAGAATGGGTCATTACTCCTGAGGAGTTATTGCTGTTGCGAGATTTCTTTTGAATCTGCTTCTTGAAGGTATCAGCAGCAGATACCATTTCAAACGGCACTCCCCGGTCCGTAATAATATAGCTATTTTGTGGTGATGATGGCTGAGGGGACGATGGTTCTTGACCAGCATCGACCGCCGTTGTTGGTCCTTTATAGATGATCCTGTGAGCAGTGCCACGAGACCCCGTGTTATTGGACAGACGTTTCGAGCCCACAAGCATTGTCGAGGCTGAAGTAGACGTCGATGCTATGCATGCTTGTGGATTCTTAACTGGCATTGAAGAATGCTTTCTCATGAATGTATTCTCAGCCACTTCAACTTTAACTAATGATCCCGATGTGGTCAAAGAAGCCGATGCGGCTGTGGTAGTTGCAACTGAGCCAGCTACAGGCGTGCCTGACCCATCTGGCCCCGATAAAGGCGCTGGCCCCGATACTGGGATCGGTAGGCGTGAACCTGAAGACCTTGGAGGGTGCTGCTGCTGCTGTTGCTGAGGCTGCATTTGCTCTTTATTTACCCCAGAGGACTGTGATGGCATCATTGCTGGTGTCGACCTTGCCTTATTGAGCCTAGAGACATTGGGTTCTTTTGCATTTTTGACATTGTCATCATCACCATCATCATCCGACTCGGTAGCAGCTGCTTTAGCTTCTGCAATCTCACGTGCCTGCGCCATAGCTTCTGCATATTTGGCTGCTTTGATTTTAAGGTCTTTATACCTTTTATCCGCATCGGGGTGATCTTTATAGTAACTCGCATGACTCTCCATGTAGTAATTGAAATCTTGGATATAGATTTCAGTACTATTGGTTGCGGAAGAAACAGCAATAGTAGCGCTCGAACCGGGAATAGGGGCTGATTTTGGAATATTTTGCCTTTTTGCCATACTGTAATGACCACTATTGTCGCCGATGCTCATTATCGCAGGCTGGATACCACTAATGGAGGGGGGCGTGTATGTGTGTGTGTTTGCGGTTGGCTTCAAGAGAGGAGCAGTCTTGATCTGACCGAAATCCGCTCCCGGAAGAGGCTCCTGGGCCGAGCTACGAAGCTCATGCAATAATAAGTCTGACTCCTTATCCTGTTCATGACGTCTCGCGTTTACCGGTTTGCAGCATGATGTATCGATGGTGAGCTGGCTATCACGCAGTCTGTTCTTTAGCCCTTTCTTACTCTGAGCTTGAGTACTAGTGTAACCTTGGCAATATTGAAACTTAGTCTTCCCTTTTGGAGTCAGTTCAGGGCCTGGTCCTTCATTAAGTCTTTCATTGTTATTTTCTTCATTGTACCCAGCTTTCTGAACTTGATCAGGGCTAGTTACGCCCTTGCTGGAGTTGCTAAGCCTAGCGTCTGACTCTGTACCTCTTCTGGCTGGAGCGCAGTATCCGATATGCTTATGCTGTTTGCTATTCTGCTGTGGTTTATCAAAAATAGGTCTGGCAAGACTTGCAGAAAAGTTGTGTTCACTGTCATATCGTTCCTGGCTTTTGTTCTCAGCCAAGGGCATTGAAGGGCGTCGTGTGAAGGATGGCGATAGTGGCTCTACTGCACCAGGAACGGGTGTGGACGATGAGACTGAGGTAGATGGAGGCATGTACAATGGGAGCGCTCTAGGGCTTTTTCGGTTGTTCTTATCATTACTGTTGTTGTATATATGATGGCAAATACTTGTTTTTGAGTCGTTCTGAACAATACAAGAACCACAATCGCTTGCCACGAAGTCATGATGATTGTCATGTGGATTACAGGTCCCTTTTCCAGCAACATGATGAATTGAACTACTTGGTAAACTAATCGCAAGGGATCTGCTTCTGCTTCTGGTCACTACCGCATCTGATTGAGGTCGCGGCTTCAAGGAAGTAGTCACTAAAAACTAGTTAAAATTACTCTGTTAACTGCTATCAATCTTTCACATTCAATAAACCGTGGTATAATATGATGGCAGGGACGTTTCAGCAAATACTTGCGCTATTTATACCATTGTTAATATATACCTACATCATCAAATGCCTGAAAATAAGTATCAGCAGCAGCAGATGCAGCAATGGAACGCCGTCGATCCTCAATAATCTCCTCGATCGGCTGTGGCACACATGTTTGCGTCTTCTTCAGTACCTTTGCCTGGTTCCCATGCAAATCATTGCGGAAGTCCTGAGTACTGCCTCTATGGTTGAGCCCCACCAGATGACGATCAAGGGCACTAGCACTAGACTTCTTGTTCAGTGAGTAAAGTGAACGTCGTCTACTATTCATACTTGTGTCGCTCATTGCGACTGTGTGCAGAGAAAGACCATCATAGTCATAGTCATAATCTCGATCATACTCATTTTCATGTTCTACAGCTTCAGGATTGTTATTGTTTTTGCCAGGATGTCGATTCTTATCCTTAGGTTTCTTCTTTCCAAGAAAAGACTGTATGACTTTTTTCATTATTTTCAGAAAACAAACAAAAAAAAAAAAAAAAAAAAAACGTTCTCTAGTTAACGAGTTAACGAGTAACTAAAGTAAAGTCAGTCGCGTCTGAGCAGTATCCGCTGGAGATGTATGATTTGTTTTTGTTGATGTTTGGAAGTTTTGATGAATCGAAAGATAAGAATACCTTCAGAGCAATGGAATAAAGTGGCAGGCAAAAGAATAGAGCAAGAGAGAGACAAAAAGAGAGAAGGATATTGATACTGAGCGATGGTAAGACCAGTTAAAAAAAAAAAAGAGCTGCTAATGTCTGCAAGTGGTCTCTTGACTTGTTTTTATGGCCGTAGAGGATATTTTTCTCTCTTTCTCACATGCAATAATAAACTACAAGCAGGCTTAATGCCAACACCCTTTGTGGATACTGTTCGTTTCGTCGCTGCCTTTTTTTTTTTTCTTTTTTTTTACTTCAACTTCACTTGGAAACCCTGGAATTTTTCTCCGAACTGTGGATTCTCATTTAATCAATGCCCTAGTTTGTGGAAATTGACTAAAGAAAGTTTTCGGGGTGATCTCCTGGAAAGATGCCATGCAGGACGAAAAATTTAACTAGTGAAACAGAATCCAAACTGTATAAAATGTTCCGCCAATTGCACAAGCCGTTCGGAGTGAACACACAGGGAGAGTAAACGGGAGGGAGCAAATGTTATCAAACAAGTTTAGCGTCATTTTCTGATAAATTAAATAAATAAATCTTTATGTATATTTCTATAGATATATGTGCTATTTTATATATAAATAGCTATGCTAAGGAGAAGAGGGTCGAAGGTCCTGCCTCCGTGTGTGTGTGAGAGAGAGAAAGAGCAACCAAATCACCTTTTTAAGGGAAAGTCAAAAGAAGGATCTTGATCTCCATATCCCATTCAGGCTTCCATTCGTTCTCATTTGCAAAATTAATCAAGCTGGCCTTGATGCTCTCCAAGATCTGATTCAAGTTTCCATGAAGAGTTGCCGCATAGTTTGCAAGTTTTACTTGAGTAGTCAAAACATCTTGCAATGCTGGTCCCACAAAGTTGAGGTACACTTCTGAATCATCTCCATCTACACGAGCTTGAAGTTGACCAATCAGCTTCTTGACAATTCGAGTCTTGATCATCGGCATGAAATGGCAGATCGAAGGTGGGTTTCCACAAATGTAATCCATGTTGTGGCAATCAGGCATCGTCCAATTCACACCTCGAGGTGGTTGGTTCACTCGGTGAGGATGGTTACAATCTCCTTTGAATTTTGGCTCGTCCTTGAAAATCGTATCGAAGACAGTCTGGAAAATTGTGTTGCTCCAGGACGTCTGGGCCGCCAGTACCGAGTCCGCAACAGTCTTGGTGACAGCCTGCTTTTCTGTGAGAGTGAGAGCATCTGCAGGAATGCCGTAGAAGAGCGACTTCTCCACCTCAAAGTTCAGACGAGTAAAGTAGTTATCTGAGAGGAGTTGGTACTTGTCTGCGAATGCATGTGAGACATTCACTTGGCACTCTCGTTCACAAGCGAGAACTGAGGGCACGAATAGGGCCATAGAAAAGGCTCCAACAAAAGCAGCAATCGAGAATCTCATGTTGAAGTGAGATATACGTGTGTATATATTAAAGTAAGGTGTCTGATGTGATTAAAAAGTTTTCGAAACTGGGTTCACACCTGTGGAAAGTATTTGAATGGATGTGAGGAGTATGAGGATGAGAGGATGAGAAAATGAAGATGATGAGGATGATGAAATTAAAAAAAAAAAAAAAGCACCCCTATTTATTGGTAAAAGAACAGAAGGACCAATAAATAAAGTGTGCTGCTGGACAGCCGTTTCAAAAATAGCAAATGAATGAAAAACCCAGGAACGACCTTTCAATTTTCGTACTAGATCCGTCCAGAGGAAGAAGATCGAGGCCAAAATTGGATGGCAGTGTGGGGGGTACTCTGTACGGACATTTGTTGTCGTACGTATACCAAAAATAGACTGAGAATGTAAATCTTGTAAGCTTGTCCCACCATCATCGCCCATGTTGTTCTCCCCATTTGGGCGAAACCGATGAACAAAACGCACAGATTGCGCAAGGTTCAAAGGCGGTGCACGATATTGATGAATTTATGCGAAATGGGTGTTTTATTGAACCATAGAAAAAAGAAAGAAGGAGGACAACGTATTCTCTCTCCTAAAAGATTTCTCATCTTGCTGGTAATAAGGTGACTAGACTATGAACAAATATACATGAGCAAGAAGTACGTTGGATGCATGACAGCAAGCCTGTTTATCTCTTTAACCCAAGAGCGGAGCAGTTTCGCCGCCATTACGGCGGCCAAGCGAGCGAGCAACGAAGGGTTTGAGAGTGTAAATAGCAACAGCAATACCGAGACCAAGGGCGGTCCAGTGGATGACAGGATGGTCCTGCTGGACGAAGACACCAATGAGATACCAGGCCAAAACTAAGGCGCCAGCTAGAAAAATGGTTCAATAGTATAAAGCGCATATCAGCTGATGGCCTTGTAGTAAAGCTGAGCAGAATAGATCATTGTTCTGCCCTTTAAGAAAGCTTAATAAAGGTGTTGATGTTTAACACTAGACCAATGAAAAAACCTACCAACATCACCCTTCTTGTACTCAATGTAACCAACGACAGTCGAGGCAATAAAGACAAGGCCGATAACAGCAAGGACTACCTGGAAAGTAGAAGGACCATCCTCCTTGACAGGCGAGAGGACAGCGAAGGCATTGATGACCATAAGAACAAAAATCCAAGCATGGTAGAGCGAAAAGGGAAGGTGTAGAAAAAGAATTTCACCCATAGTGTCGGCATCATGCAGTCTCACGAGTCTGTAGTAGATGTACGAGACAGCCGAGGCAGTAAAGAGCAAAGACACGAATGCAAGGATAGTGTGACCGGAAGACTATTTTTGAGAAGATTTTGAATTTCATGTTAATATTGAACTGTCAAGCGACCAAACGTGAGACGACATAGTCTAGATGTCATTTAGGATGAGAGATGCATGAATTTGCAATGTGTTATACACGACAGAAGCCATGTTTGTGGATTGTGTAATGGCAATAGTTGCATAAATATGGAGGACCGCCTTGGTGTCAGTCCAAATTCAAAGAAGCACAAATCTTCGTCACTTCCATCCCTCCTCTGCGGAATCCCTTTTATTGTAAACGCGTCTGTCATGAACCTCTTATGGGCACTGTTTGGTTTCACTCAAGATAAATAAGGAAATAGGTAACAGTTTTCCTTCCATTACCACCACAGACAAAAGAAAAATGATCATATGCAGACAGTGAAATGATTTGCGCTGATTTCTCACGCCATTTCAAAAAAAAAAAAAAATAAAAAAGCGCGCCAATTTTTTTCCTTGAAATGAACTCATCACTTCTTTATAACGTCACTTCCGCGCTCAGAAAGCAATGTGGAAATGTGGAAAGCCTCTTTTTTTTTTTTTTTTTTTTTTTTTTTTACTTACCCAGAGAGCAAGCCAGATGGCGTTCAAGATCGATACAGTGACAAACTGCCAGCCAACAGCTTCGTGGACTTTGTCAGTGAACCACTGGTAGACCATCATACCACCAAACAAGAAGTATACCACAGTCCAGGCGAAGAAAGTATATTGAGCGGGAGTAATATATGACTTATATTTGGAATCATAGGGTGAGTCCGTGTTCTTATCACCTCCGAAGGTTGAGTACAGGTTGCCAGACAGCAGCGTCAAGTAGACGATGATGTTGGCAACCTTGGATGGCCAGTGATGGAGGGTAGCAGGCATGTCTTTTCTTTTTTTTTTTCTTGAAACGGCTTTGAGGCTGGATTGAAAAAGAATATTAATGAGAGGAAGGAGGAGAGGTGTAGAAAAATAGGAGAGAAGAAAGAAGTCTCAATAAAACTGAGAAGAAATAAAAAAAGAAAAATGCGATACATTTCTCTGATGCAGATGCGACAAATAGCACGAGAAAAGGCAACAAGGGCCGATGAATGATTGGGTAATCCATGCATTAAACCTCAACAACCCTGCTTTCTCTCCTTCGTCTTTCTGGTCTTTTGGTGAAACCCCTCTATTTCTTGCGCGGGAAAATTTGTCCGACCATGACCAACATCTGGATGGAGTTGCACCTTTTATAAACATAAAAGCACTTATGGAGATCGAGTCTATTTTATCAACAATCCAGGACTCGCAATCCTCACCACAGCGGATGTTGAAACGATGAATCACTGCGATCTCTATAGCTTCTTGTCTTCACATCCAGCTTTTAGTAATGAGTGACAACCAACGTCTGTAACCAAGTGATAGGCATAAGATGACACATATTGAGCCACATTTACATAATGCCACGTAGACTAGTTGTCTTAAACGCGTCCTATTCGTGGAAACCAAAGAACATTTGCGAGTGCATAAGAGCCCAGCGCTCTTAGTTCAACATTGCGTGAATGTATTCCTTGGAAAAGGCGTTACATCCCAAGTGCGCGCAGTCACGCGTTTTCGTCGGCTGCATTGCATTGCAAACATCAAGCTTCATTTAACTGAACATCCTCTCATTGCGCTACACTTGAACATTTATATTTCCACTAATGAACTCCTTTGCTTCGACCATTTCAAAGGCCTTTTATGGCACTTTTGTTCATTCTATTTCCATCAGAGAACTCGAGTTCGTCAAACATGCACTGTTATTTGTGGATAACCATGGAGTAATTGTTAAGATAATAAAGGATCTAAATCAATCACAGCTTCAAGAAGCATTAGATGGAGTGGGAGAGGATAAGGTAAAAATGTATTAAGGAGAGTCGCACAAAAGCAATAAGCAACTATATATACATATAATATTGAGTTTTTTTTTTTTTTTTTTTTTTTTTTTTTGCTAGGTCATTCTTTTAAATAACGATCAATTTATTATCCCGGGGTTTGTCGACACTCATATCGTACGGATCTTAAAAAGAAACTATAGATTTCAAGTAAAAGTATCCGCTTTAATGGTGTAATAGTTACCTCTGATATGCTGTTTTACTTCCCCATTGAGTTAGCATGCCTCTCAATATTCATATTGTGGGGACGGACAAGACACTCCACTGCTAGAATGGCTAAATACCCTCACCTTCCCACATGAAACCAAGTTCAAGGATGCTGATTATGCGCGTCAGATTTATACCAAAGCCGTAACACGTTCACTTCGCAATGGCACCACTTCTGCATGTTGGTTTTCGACGGTCCATCTCGATGCCACAAAAGAATTGGTTGATGTTATTCTGAAACAAGGACAGCGCGCCTATGTGGGCAAAGTCAACATGGATAGGAATAGCCCCGACTTCTTGACTGAAACGACCGAGGCCTCGGTTAGGGACACTCGATCGTTCATTGACTATGTTCGTCAGGCTGTCATTAACAGCACCAGAAGCAATGAGAATATAATTGATTCTGATAAAAAGAATGATACCAATACCGCTCCAACAAGAACACCGCTGGTGATGCCGGCTATCACACCTCGATTTGCTATCTCTTGCACATCCGAGCTATTAACAGAGTTGGGGAAATTAGCGCAGGAATATGATATCCCTATCCAAACTCATCTGTGCGAGACATCTCAAGAAATTGAGTCCACAATATCCCTGTTCCCAACATTTACCAGCTACACTGCTGTATATAAGGGTCATGGACTGCTAAACAGCCGTTCAATCATGGCACATTGTGTCCATATGCAGGACGAAGAATGGGATTTAATCAAGGAAACTAATGCTGGAGTGTCTCACTGTGCCAACTCCAATTTCAATATTCGGTCTGGGATGGCCAATGTCCGCAAGATGATTGATGATTTGGGTCTGAAAAAGATTGGTTTAGGGACTGATATTGCGGCTGGATACTCCCCTTCAATCTTAGAAGCCATACGTTGCTCAAGGACGTGCTCGATCGCCAGAGATCCTCAGAGATCACTATCAATTCCTGAACTGTTTTATCTGGCTACATTAGGTGGAGCAAGAGTAATGGAATTAGGAAGCACAATCGGAAATTTTGAGGTAGGCAAAGAGTTTGATGCCATCATCGTCAACACCACAGCGTCAAGATCTCCGATCGACATTTTCCCTCATGATTCGATCGAGTCAAAATTTAAGAAGTATCTCTTTGTGGGCGATGATCGGAATAACGAAAGAATTTATATCCAGGGCAAACAAGTCAGACTACCAGAGTAAACAAAGGAACAAAAAAAAAGGATACCTTCATCTAGGTTGAAGATCATTTGACTTAAGTTAGTTTTAAGTAGAAAGGCTATTGGCAATCTTTGTAAATTAGACTTGAGAGTTAAGATTAAGGCGATTTTCATCCCTTTGTTGGCGGTTTTTTTTTTATCTTGTAAGAGCCTGCATTTTGGTGGGATAAACATATAAACAGACCGTTGGTCATGTCCAAATCGAGCAATGTGTGTGTGTTTATATGCATTTGAGACATTCTTAGTTTTGCGATGCTCAAAATTCGCCATAGTTAGCATGAATGACGGATTGAAACGTGTCAACAGCATCAACAACAGCAAAAAAAGAAAAAAGATGGATCGTTGAAGCGGTTAAACAAATGATACACAAGATGCAGCAGGCATCACGAAACTCCCCTAATCTACTAAATATGAACATGTGTGTTCACACAACACATCACCATCCATTTGTTCCTCGTGCTTCGCTCATTTGCTATGCCAACTTGTGGGAAATAAAAGCTGGATTAGGGCCCTTCTGCATTAATGAACCCCATTTGACTATATGGTTCGCCAAGTCTATTATACCTGTTACTTTTCTCAATCATCACTTTTCAATAATATGAATTGCGTTATCTGTAAAGAGGGAGCAGTGTTCTTTAAGGACTGAAATATCATACAATACTTTTATACATAATATGTGGTTTTTGTCATGCATCTTGCTAACTATCATCAAGGAAAGGAGGTGGGTGGATGGGAGATAGCGGGTATCAAGAAGAGGAAGGAGGTTAAAAAGGACAGCTCCAAGACTGCCATTAATGCTATGTATGTGTGTCTTTTTTAAGTGAGTAAACACAAAATAGTCCTAATTCATCTAATCATCGAAATTGCGGCGTGCAGCAGGTCTTGTGGGCATTACAATTGGGCGATCATGAGTAGCAGTAGATCCACGGTACTCGCGGTCAAATGAAGTGTAGGTAGGGTTTGGTCTAAGCACAGTCTCTTGCTTCTCGTGATATGGATCTGAGACTTTGGGCCACGGTGTTAGATCATTTGAGGGATAAGGATCACGGAGCCAATCGTCCTGTAATGGCGCGCTTGACTGAGTAACAGGATATGGCGTGAAACCGGCATGATGTGGGGAGCTAGAGATATCAATACCACTGCTATTACTAAAGTCAGCAGCATTGGTTGCTAATGGTGAGGTCGAGTTATTAGTTAAAGGACGAGGCCGATTCGAGGGAATGGATCCCATCTCGAGCTTATTTGGGCTCGAGCCATCAGGGCTAAAACCATCATTGCTGTTGATATCGGAAGGGCCGCGACCCTCCACATGAACTGTGTTGAATAGCATTCGAATATTGAGGCCGAACTCAGTAAGCGTGAAGATGGTCAAGGTAGATGAGAAGAGTTCATAGTAGACATAGGTGGGTAGGCTTGTGTTAAAGATCCCGATGATGCGGTAGATAGACATAGCGATCAATAGAATCAAATCGACTGTGAACAGGGACGTCTGAAGTCGGCGATACTGCATTAACTCGACGTTCTTGCCCAAACTCATCCCCGTTAGCGTGGTAAATAGCTTATAATAGAAGATGGCTTCACAGAGAATGTAATAAAATCGGAACACAGGCGCACCAGCATCACGAAAGGTCCAGGCGATAGTCAAGCCCTCACATCTGGTTCCTTTTTCCACAGAACCATCGCAGAGTTCGTTTTGAATGATGTTGACAATGATAATGGCAAATAACTCAATAGCCCGGAAGCCAATCAAGAAGAAATGCAACAAATCGAGCTTGCGAAAAGCAGGGAAGACAGTTGAACATCGAAGGTAGGCGAGATACATGGTGATGGGCTTGGTGATGAAGTAGGCGATATTATTGATAACATTGAGCCAAAGGGCGGTGCGGAAGGATACGACTTCGAAAGCTGTGGTGATTAAGAAGAAGACACAAAACTCGTTGACAAGCTGTGCGATGTTGATGATGGGGAAGAGATGGTATTTTGAGGCGGTGCGTTTCAAAAACATCATACGGGCGAGGGAGTGAAGTGTAAGGACCATTGATGCTCCTACTAGTAGAGCTCCAAGGAGGACATCAAAGGTAATGGATGTGGCGATCAATGAGGCGCCCATGGTTTGAAAAATGCGCAAAAAGCGGCAGCGTGGCTTTGGAGTGAATATTCAAGTGTAGGATAGAGTGTGCTTCAACAAAAAAAAAGAGAAAAACAGGAGCCCTATCGTGAAGGCGGTGCTAACAAAAGAACATGCAAAGGAGGGATGAGATGCAAGAAAGCTAAAAGCAATGAAATAATGGACCTTAAAGTAACGAGAGAGAGAAAGAGAGAAGCATGGGCAAAGAATGTGTTTTGGCGCTAGTTTTTATATTGCCACCGAGGATAAACAACGGGCGAAGTATCTGATATTGAATGGTGTGATTGTGCGTGCTCGCATGCACATTGACACAAAATAAGACAGCCTTCGATCTTCTTAAAAGAGCATGCACTTGCCTCCACCTTGGATGCAAATGACTTGATCCTAGCTGGAGAAAGAAAGAGAAGGAAAGGGCTCTGAAGGCAATGGAAACAAGGTGTCAAAAGGCCAGAGCATTTGTTGTTCTAAAACGGAAAGGATAAGTTCAGAAATCGAGAAATGACAGGGTAAAGAAGGCAACACAAAAGAGATGGTTGAGCAATGGTTGCTCTCATTTTTTTCTTCCTCCTTTTGGCCTGAATTATCAATACATGTCTCTTTAGTATTTTGGGAATATGAAAGAGTTCTTTCTTGGTTGGCTGATAGATGAATCTCCGCTTTGTATGGTGACGCCTGGCAGCTCAATGATCGCTGTTCTCTGCAGTCAACCATGCTCAAAATGGTGCCATTTTACACACATACACGCTTACGCCCGATAAAACACATAAGCACACCAAACACATGCTCTTACACAACGAATGGCAATTAGAAGAAAAAAACATGGCAAACTAATCAGACTTGAAGTCTAATATCACTTCATTGGTGAATATCCCTTTTTGCATTACACTTTTTTTTTTTTTTTTTTTTTTTTCACTTTGAACCAAACGGGCTTCCTTCTGTCCAGAGGTTAGGCTAAGAAAGCTGCTTTCGATCCTACCATTTACGAATGCGGGGATTCTGAGCAAATATCGCGACATGATTTCTTATCAAAGCGTGTTGTTTCTCTTTGTCTCTCTCCCACACTTACTGATTTATTAATGGCATAATCAAATATCTATTTCAAAACTTTTCACCCATCCCCTTTTTTGCCCTCAGCAGACTTTACAAAAATAATCATAAAGAAATAAGATTAATGGCAGCAATGGCAGTGTCTTCTGTGTCTAGAACAAAAGATGTAACAGATTATTTACCTTGGAACAAATTTTGAACGCATGGAGCCATATCTTATTAATATGAGGGAAGCAAAGGGTGAAAATATGTATGTACACACATGATATGTTGAAAAGTATGTGCCTCATCAGTAATAAAGACGACATTACATGTGGACCCCAAAACTGAGATATTTTTTTATCTTCATTGTTTTTTTTAGATGGTCATGACCCAAACTTCATCATAGCAAAACCAGTTGAAGTTTGTTGACGCGAAAAAGTGCAACCACGAGGCGTATCACAAAATAGAGACATGATTTGAATGAGATGCTTGTACGATTAAAATTATGCAGGGCCAGGTATTTTCAAAGCCCCTTCTTATGTGATGCATCTTCCTCAGGAGGTCCTTACAAAATTTCACTCACCATGCCCTCCATGGGATGTGGAAGAAGTAAGCTCTTCGAGGACAGCACAACGTGCAGCTTTACAGTCACACAGGGGAGTGAAGATGCCATGAAGCAAATTCCTTACATGAAGCTGTTTTCTTAAGGCCGTTTGCGTCCCCCACGAATATAGCTCGCGAGGGCTTCTACTGAATGCAACCAGAATATACGTAATCAAATTAACATCATGCTTATGCCATCCCTCAGCAACCCACCCATCAAAGGCCCCAGTCCCTCTACAAGTAAGCCTGAATGGCGATGTCACTTTCAGGAGATGCTTCCGTACAGCTGTAACTTTATCGGGCGGAGTGTCTGCGCATTAGAGACGGGATGGTTCCCAGGTCACTTGTACCATTTGCGGTATACCTGTCTTACGAAAGTACATGCTCCTGTAGGGCTTCATTTTACAATCTCATGTATTATATTCGTGTCATCCATTCTGATACTTTTTTATTTTGCCTTAACTGAACAGCAATCCGGCGTTTCCGCGCTCGTAATAAAAAATTATACAATGCTTGTGGGCAATATTACAAAAAATGGAACAGACACAACTCGTCCCAAACGCGCAATTAGAAAGTGGAACAAAGCACTCTGTCTTTTTGGGTTTCTCGTCACGTGAGTATATTAAGGGTCATGATAATTTTTCTGTTTTGATTGCTTTTAAAAAAAAGAAGCTCTTGCCAATGGTCTCTTGATCCTTCTCTCTCTCAATTCCAACAGACTTGGTATGAAACATCATTATTGGAGGCTTCAGAGCTGGATCATTCTTGTTCAGAAGGATGGCGTGTCTATAATCACTTGCAGAAGCATGATGTACAGAGGAAACAGCAATTCTTTTTTCTAATTTTCGATTCTTGGATCATCCCAATTGCAACATTTCCACCTTAGAATTAAATATCACAATGGCCCCTATCAACAAGAAGAAGGTTAAGGCTGGTGAGGGTATCAACTCCCGCTTGGCCCTTGTCATGAAGTCTGGCAAGTACCAGCTCGGCTACAAGTCCACCCTCAAGACTCTCCGCCAGGGAAAGTGTAAGTTACATTTTTTTTTTTCAGGATTAGATTGACCAGGAGGATTCTGGCTTGACTTGTTTGGAGGACGAAGCAGAATGGACATTCCCAATTCTTTTTTTTATTTTCTTGGCCGGAATTATGAGATAATTAGAAGATTTGATTCGATGATGGCAATGATGCAGGAAAGATTGAAGTTTTTGAATGTCTCAATTGCGCATTCAAAGATGAATTTTTCCAATGATTGTCGTTTTCGTTGTCATGGCTGCTTCTATTTCTCATCTGTGCTGCGTTTCAAGCTGGCTACTAGCTATTATTTTATTATTATTATTATTATTTGTGTTGCACGTGTATTGGCTTTCACACAAGCCGATGTTTTTCTTTTGGTGACCGGAGCTCGTAAGAGCTGAGAACGTCCCAAAAACTTTTTTCTCACCTTTTTTTCTTTTCTTTTTTTCTTTTCTTATATTTTACTTCTCATTCTTATATTTTATGACCTCTGTTTGCGTCTCACTTTGGTTCATATACGACAAAAACGTGTTTGCCACGTATTTCTTTCTCGATATGGTTATACGAATTGTTGGGCGGTGGGGACTTCAATGATTATTGTCTTGAACCTTGAACGGATGATTTGATGACAATATAGCCAAGTTGGTCATCATCTCCGGTAACTGCCCTCCTCTTCGCAAGTCCGAGATTGAGTACTACGCCATGTTGTCCAAGACCGGTGTCCACCACTACACCGGCACCAACGTCGAGCTCGGTACCGCCTGCGGAAAGTACTTCCGGTAAGTTCTTATGGCCTGCTGCATATGGCTTCTAGTTTATTTTTTCCTTTTTTATCATCATAGCAAACCAAATCTGATTTTATATCCATTTATTCTATATAAATAGTGTTGGTGTCCTTTCCATCACTGATGCTGGTGACTCGGACATCATTGCCAAGTCTGAGGCTTAAATCCTTTTAAATAAGGGAAGGACCAAAATACCTTTTTTGTTTGCTTCTGATCTCTCTTTTTCTTCTATCACAGATAGTGTTGTTAAAGGGGAAAATGATTGTGAATAAAATGGGGTTAACCATGAAAAGTGCTTAAATATGTCTTTCCTGAACAATGTTTGATACATGGCTTTCATTAGATTAGATCTATCAGTGAAAGTTTTTTTTTTTTTTTTTTTTTTTTAATAACGTGATCGTTTCTTGGATCTTTCTTCTCGTGCGCTGACAAATGAAGATGAAGATTTAGGACTTTGACTACGGCTCTGGCTCTGGCTCTTGCTTTGGTTCTTTTGAGATTCTTTTGCCGTAGCTGGAGTTGATAGTGATGGGCGACCTCGACGAGAACCAATGCTGCTAGTATTGCTGTTAGAAGTTTTTGAACGACGATCATCTTTATCCTTGTCTTTACCTCTGCTGTTGTCTCTATCACAATCCCGTTCTCGTTCTCGTTCTCGCTCTTTTTCCTTTCTACGCGAGTGTCCTGTTGAAGTTGAAGCGGATGGATGTGACAGTTGGGAAGAGACAGCGATACTTCTGGATCTAGAGTTTGATCTTGAGCTACTTGCCTCATTCTGATTACGACCGCTATTGGTATTAACACCGGTAAAGTTATCACTACTGCTACTACCTCCAACGCCGTCGTTAATGTTATTATAAAATATATTCTGTGAATGGGCATGACTATCGTGTAGTACGCCATCTTCTCGCCATTGTCCTCGTCGCTGTTCCAAATATCGGCCCATGTATTCTGCCTCTTCCTGTTCTAGACTAGGTAGTGGTTGAAGACCCTTTTTTATCCGCAGTTGATCTACTTCCTCCTTCAGGATTATGAAATCATGTTGCTTAAGCTGTGTCAAGTGCTGAGAGAGTTGGTCGCGTTCTTTGATTAAATCTGCTTCTGCTTGTTGTGCCTTTTTATTTATTTATTTATTTTAAAAGAAAAAAAATCATGGAGTATATTTGTTATTGTCACACTTGTTTTACCAATGGTGCTTAAACAATAGAAAAAAAAGAAAAGAAAAAAAGCTTACAAGTGCAAAGTCTTTTTGGATCTGTTTCACCATGGCGATATACCGTGCTAATTCTGTCTGGAGTACTTTTCGTTCACTACGGACTTCATCTAGAAGACTTTCTTTATCTTCCAAGTCCTGGGCGGTCTGTGAAATTTGACTTTTAACATGTAAAAAATCTTCCTGACGGATTCTTTTTTTTTTTTTTTTTTTTTTTTTGTTATTTTTATCAATGAAAAAGAATATGAAGACAATTAATACACTGAAAATTATAAGTGTAGGTTTACCAAGAACAACCGAACAAAAATCGAGGTTAAGTGGGGGACTGTAAGTGACATTACTTCATTTGTTTGAGCTCCATCAACTCGGCTACCTTCTCGTCTGGGTCCTTGTCCTGTGCACATGGTAGAGGTAGAGACTGGACCGTGCTGCTGATAGGAAGGCTATTGTACAAGGCACGAAATGATGTTTTCAAAGTGGACGAAATATGAGAAGAATTGGAAGGTGTGGATGAAGGTGTTGATGAGGGAGGATCGTTCTTGTTAATTTTTGAATACGCTACTGGACAATCATCCCTAAGTTTTTTTTTTTTTTTTTTTTTTTTTTTTTTTTTTTAATAATAGTCAGATGTGAGCTTGATAAGATCGTTCCACGCGGCGTCGAAGAAAGAAATGGAAGAAATGAAAGAAAAGGAAAGGTACCTCCGTATCATCTTTGCAGGGCTAGACGATGATGAATCCAAGTCTTTGGAAAGACTGTTAAACCGGACAGATTTCTTTTTGATCCGCAAGGCTAGATCAGGCGAATTGGACAATGCTTTCACGAACTGGTCACGATGGCTTTCTGGGATGATGATACGAGTCATACATATCTGTTGCTGTGAGGAATCAATATTCTGTATTGCTGTTGGCTCTGTATCATTTCTTGATTCTTGTTTCCTATCATCATCTAAAGTGAATACAATGAATATGGGAACGTAAATTGTTGTTGATACGGCAGAAGCAGCAGAATTATCAGCAGACGGCATCATGATACTTACTGTCGACTTTACAATTTGGAGGTATATCAGCCGCTTTGTGATGGTAATTGGTAGCAAACCTGGAGCTGTCATTATGATGATATCCTTTTTGGATCGATGGCTCCGGATTTATGCTTGATGATGGTGACATTAGGTATGACTTTGAAGAGGTTGGATAGTTACGTTGCTGCTCTGCATTGTTTTCTGCCTTGTGAGCACCGTTGAAACGATCATTATCATTAATGTTGACTTGTCCCGAAGAATGACCTTGTGACATAATGGCTATCTGAGGCCCAGCAGTAAATACCCCAGACAATGAGAAAAAATGGATAGATTAAAAAAAAACTTCAAGAATTCTCTTCAGCCGTTGTTCTTTTTCGTACACACACACTTCCCGCCAAAAAAAAAAAAAAAAAAAAAAAAGAGGCGACACTCGTCAAGTTAATAATAAAAATGAGACAAAATTCAATTGAGAAATGAAGGTAATAAGTAAGACGCGACGCAGCCGTAAGCGAAGACGGCGTGTTAATAATATACAAAAGCCAGGGGAATGGGGATCGATGGATAGGATTTAGAAGAACAAAAGAGTGGATTGAAAATTTTAAGAACCTACTTTTTTGAGTGTGACAAAGCAGAATATTCACATTCCTTGAAGTCCAAGGTCTCATTTGTAATTCACTATTTCCAATACACAATGGGGAAAGGATCGGTTTAAATCCAGTAACTGTTCCTCGGAGAGAATAAAAACTTCTGAAAAATATAACCTTCCCCTCTCCAGATCACACACTGCATCAACTCTATAATTCACCATGGCTTCTTTCATCAGATCAACAATGGGTACGAATCAGGAGACAGATATGAAAGCAACTTACAGGAAATAATCACCATGCTAGATTTAACAATGGAATACTAAATGGCACCAGACCTTACCCAACCTCTTCTTTTGTTATAGCCCTCGTCTGGAGCCCAATGAAATCTAAAGCCTTTGCTTCAGTATCAGGGCCTGCATTATCGTCCAATGTTGCTGCTGTTCCTTCGACTGGCACATCTATCCTTTGCAACGCTGTCCGCCATATGAGCTACAAACTAAAGACTAACTCTGCCGCTAAAAAGAGGTTTGTTTTCAAGCTACACGAACCGTGGAAACAATGAGTCTATCTGTAGCATTAAACAACTTCAGAGTGCTAGATTATGATATTCACAAGTGATCAATTAATCTCTTTTCTTCTTGTGGACAAAAAAGATTTGTTGCTCTTCCATCAGGGAAATTCAAGCACTGGAGATCAGGAAAGCGCCATATCAACACAGGGATGGATCGTGGTCGTCTCAACAAAGCAGGCCTTGCTGCCTATGCTACCCCTCGTCAATCGAAGCACTTACGTCGCTTGATGCCATATGCGTAAAAAAAAAAAACCATTGGCTTCTATGAGTGCGAGCCGGGCCTCCTAGGAGCAAAATAATACACAACAAACCATAGACATTTACAAGCTTACTTTATTTTGTGGACAAATAAATATGAATTATGAAATGGAAATGTTTTCTTTTTTATATTTTATTGATACACACTGATATGACAGACAGAATTTGTAACATGAAGCGAACAACAAGCGACATTTTCAGAAGAGTGTAAATGATGAAAAATGGGGTATAGCTGATCTTCAAGCAAAAAAAAAAAAAGAAAAAGATTACATGGATTATATGGCATGAAACGTAAAGATATTACTTCAAAGTAATTTTTTTGTAGTAAATTACTCTTTGTTCTAGTGCTCATGATCTACAGAGAGGATCAAAGGTACAACCATGCCTCCAACAACACACAACACTTCAACTATAGACAACCCCTTTTCTCCTCCTGGGCCACCCATATATCCTGACGACCCTGACTTTTCAAAGTTATTCATCTCACTCATGACATGCATAGCTACATAGAGGAACGTGCCACCTGAAAAGAGCAAAAGCATGCCTGTCCACCAATGCAATAGTGCCTCATCATGTTGTCCACCCATTTGAATAAAGATATAGGTTAGAATTGCTCCGATAGGTGCTGCTAATGCAAATATTGCGACCTGCTGACGCGTTTGACGACGCGAAAATCCATGTTGCAACAAAACTGTCGCAAGCCCAAACGCTGCAGGCGCTTTGTGTAACATGATCGCCAAGAAAACAATAAAGCGGAGCTCTGGTCTTGAAGCAGATGCTCCTAGCGCAATACCATCAGCCGCTGCATGAACAACCAATCCAACTGTGATGGGGTTGCCTCGTTTCTTGCCACCTCCACCATTCATTCCAACCGCTGAGGGCATACGGATATTGTTATCGTCCAATTGAAGGTTGTGCAACTCTGTGAAATCTGCAACGGACACGTGGCTGTTGTGGCTGTGAGCATGAGTAGGGCCCATCTGGTCAATCAAAAACATGAGGATAAAGCCAGCGAGTAGAGCTAGGCCAATGTACTTGTGGGCATCATTGTCTTCCTCTTCTTCGTCGTGGTCGTGTCCGGATTCTTTCTGATCGCTGTTAGGCTGCTGCTTATTATCACCACTGCTATCCTCACCGGGCGGCGCAGCAGCATCGGGTGTGCCGTCTCCTATCTGCTGGCGTTTGACAAGAGGCAAGTGATCCTGCTCGGCTGTCCTATCGAATGCGAAGGTGGGGGCATCCAATTGATCTAGAGCTGATGAATGCTTAACATCAAGATGAGAACTGATAAATGTATCGTCCTGACGTGTCAACAGCATGTTATCTTCGAAAGAAGCAGCCTGTTTATCATCCCTCTTGAACTGGTCTTGAATCAAATAAGGATGTTCAGCATTCAAAACCACAATATTGTTCTCCCGTTTGTGAAGATCAGAGTTGCTCGATCTAGGAGCGGCTACTTCTGAGCGTCTATAAAAGCGTTTGGTGATGGGCTGATTATTGGTATTAAGTGCAACTCCTGCTGAGTCTGTGTGTGGGGTACTGTAGAGGGTTTCAACTCCTTCCGGAATGATGACAACCAAGGCGGTTCCGACAAGAAGACCCACACCAAAATTAGAGATGAGCTTGAGGCGATCCTCCGAAAGATGAAATGAGAGCGGGACGTTGCCTGCAAGGAACGATGCCACCAGCATAGCAATACAGAGTAGGATGAGGCTGAAGAATGGATCCATCGTAGCTGCTTATTTGAGAACTCCAGGAAAAAAAAAAAAAAAAAAAAAAAAAAAAGATTGGAATGATGAAAGTCGGCCACTGGAGATGCCCCGTTCAGATGAAAGTTCGTCGATGACGAAAGAAGGCGGGCAGTGCAGCTAGTCTTGGTGAGTCAAATGCTCTTTTATGGACCTTTCTACAAATTAAACTGATGATGGAAGGATGTGAGGAAGAGTTGGTGGATATTGAAGTGAGAGAAAGAGAGAGGGAACTTTACTCCTTGATTTGTATCAGAGGAGCCCTTAACTGAGGATTTGAGGTGTCTCCAAATGCGTTTCAGCTTCATCAAACACGGTCCCCGGGATCGTCCTGAGAGGCTTTGTATCATGCCGCGTTATGTGATTTATTGTTCTATTGCCAATAAACACTAATCACTGCCTTTAAATGTTGTCTATGGTTGCACTTTATTGTCTATTTGATATTTTTGATATATTGTTTTTCTCGCTTAATCCATTCCAATGTAGAACTGGGACTTGCGACGGAATTCACGCTGCTTCCGGAGCCACTTGCGGTAATCACTCACAGACTTGATCTTCTCTCCAAAGTGATCCGGGAGAGGGTTTCTAGCACTGTTTGCAGTGGGGTCAGCACGATTCTTAACAATATGCTTATAAAACTCTTTGTCCATCTACAGGTCATTGCAGTGCATATAAGTAAGGAAGCATAGACGTTAGAAAGCTTCTTTTCAATATTAACTCTTGAATATATATAAAAACTCCCCTCCATGATTGTCCTCCAGTTTTTTCTTCTTTTTTTATACATACTCGATCGATAAAAGTCTTAGTTTTTGAGTTGGTAGCACGGAAGACCATGTTTCCGACAACAGGTCCCACCGCCAATCCAACAATTCCTGCAGCGATTGTGCCAACAGCATAGACAATAATCTGGTCCATGCCGAAAATTGGAGTTGGATCAAAATCCTGTTGAGCAAAGTAATAACCAGCACCACCAAGACCCAAAAGGGCACAGGGGGCCATAAACACGCGCTCATAGTTGCGACGTGTTCCTCGAAGCTTGAAATATGTGTTCCAGTCCATGATCTCTTCTACTGGTTCTGCTGCCGGTGTCGCTGCTTTTGATGTTTCTGCTACCTTGGCGGTGTTGCTGCTGGTTTGCTGAGTGGTCAGGAAACGGCGAGGTGCGAAGGATGTAGCGTTATTACAAGCTGGCCTGGCCGCACAAGGAGCCCTTATGCCTGCAGTGCGGCCAATCATGAAGGAGATTCTGATTGCAGGGGTTGTCATTATGGTGATTCTTCTGATTGAAGTTTTTTTTTTTTTGAAAAGAAATGAGATAGTCAATGCTATTCAGATCCGGAAAGATCTATCATCCGCCACCAAATTTAACCGTAAACGAGGTATAGTATATGTGGCTCTCAAAATACGTCATCGGGCTAAGATTGTGCTGTAGCTGCGGGTAATAACAAACAAGCCAAGTACGACGGCAGCATGTCGCGTCAATAACTAGCCGTCTCTAACCTTTGGAACTTCAAGCCCTCTCCTTATCGCAGATGTGTGAATGTATTTGCTCCCGTTTGCTACGCATTCACGGAAGCTGGCACGTGGTTATGCTAACCACCATTCATGATATTACGGCACCCTGGTTCTTCATTTTTTTTTTTTTTTAAAAAGAAAAAAAGAGAGACGATATCTGTTGCTTTTTTCATGAGCTTCTCTCTAATCAGGGGCCTTGCTGCTAGCACTCCCAAGGTCCTTGTAGTATATACTATACAACAATTAATAGCATAGCTTGTTTTCCCAATGATTACGACGCCACGATTTTACCTATTTGCGGAAAAAAATGGTAGAATAACGCATAATGCTACTTCAAGTAAGGTATTTCGGTCTGTACCCATTCGTAATCAGAGACTAGATCTCTTTTTTTAAACATACTCCTCCTTATATCCTTGGTGTCCGAGCTTTTTTGACTAAGGAAATATTCACAATAGGCTATAACGGCCCAATTGTATAACTTTTTCTTCCTCCCTTTTGTGAATATTTCAGTCTAATAGAGTCTGTTGGGTGTAAGTGTTTCCGAGAAGAATGATAAAAGCCTAATTTCTTGAATCATTTATATAAATTTGGTCCCTAGTCCCCCTATTTACTTGAATGAAAGCGCTCTGAATTTATTATCATTTAGCTCTCAGTTGCACTTCAGATTTCCATACTCCTCGACTCCTTTATTTTCTATCATTGGCTTTTGCAGTTACAAAGAGCGTCCAACCTTTCAGTTTTTTATTTATTTATTCGGCTCTAAAGATTACCACATTCTACGCAGTAAATTATTGGAGAAATGCCATTTGGTTACTAGGTTACTAAGTAGATATGAGCGGAGCGACAATACGGATAAGGCATAACACTCGCTGATTCCTTTACTAACCTGGGTGCGATGTTTGTTGGTTTTCCAAATCTGCCTTGATTTAACCGTATTTAGCGGTATTGGTTAGCACCCCCTGAATAGCTACCATCCAGAGGGGATACTTGGAATGAACAGGAATCACTGTGTTGTTCAAAACAATAAAACTTGGTTGAAAGTCTGTTAATCCTCAAACCATGAGGCAAGTAATGCCTCTGAACGCTTCAATAGGATTGTGGTGTGCTTTTGGGGAGCAGAAAGACAACATTGTCTCTTTTGAGCAACGAAGGATATAGGATTTGTTCCTTGGTGCGAACTTTTTGAAGCTACACCTGTTGCTAGTAAAAACACAAATGATTCCCATTTTCTGCATACTTTCAGCGCTTCCACAATTCAAGGGCTGTGACGTAGCCATCAAATGCTACATGTTTGTCGAAGCATTGACACATCCCTTGCAAAAGTTCTGGTGTATGCTAAGGGTATTGTTTAAGGGACGTAGAGAAGCCAAAGACATGTGGCAGTGTTCAAGTGTTTATACAGTATCATTTGAAGCCCGAACAGTCGCCGTGGTTGATTCGCTTGGTGTCTTCTGAAATTCAGAGAAGTGCTTTGTGTAGTTATGTAGTTTTGTTGGCTATTCGTCAGCCTTCTGAGAGCTGCCTTGTCTTTTAGTCAAGGAAGTCTAGCTTAGATTTATGCTCTGATAGCTTCATCTTTGGAATCGTTTTTTAAGCCGAGTCGATGTCACCGTGTAAGGAGTTAGCATACTTACACTAGTTCTTAGGACACCATTATGGCTTACGAAACAAGTACAATACATGTACTTGTAAATATACTAGACGCGAGTGGACTGTGCAACTCCACCTCAGTATAGGCACGGGTGTCAAGGGTCTTCTGACCAGTGAAGCAGATGGATAATGATTTCCCTTGTAAACATTATTTAGAGGGGCTATTGTGTGCAAATCTCCATCCTTGGTTGGGGATGCCTTTGCCTTGTCAATACTAATAAGCCATTTAACATAAAACGATCAGAATTAATAAATCAGCAAGTGGTCGTACAAATAAACGCGTCGACATGAAATGAGTAAAGTGAGTGAAATGCGAACAAAAAATAAATCATTATACATTCTTCTTCATGTCTACCCATCGAAGCATCTTTGTCACAGTTGGAACGACACGTTTTGACAAGCTTGTCAATGCGATCTCTTCGCCAGATTTACTACAGTTGATGCATGACCTGGGTTTCACTCATCTTTCATTGCAACACGGCAACAGCATTGTCCCAACTCTATTTTTGCCTACTATTGACAACTCTGAAGCAACAACAACTGCAACAGTAACGACAATAGTTAAAGTAGAGAGCATGCAAATAGAGGTGTACAAATATAAGGCCTCTCTTCATGACGACATGATCAATGCAGATCTGATTATCAGCCATGCAGGTTTGTCAATCTCCCATGATCATTCTGCATATTATCAGGAAAGAAAAAAAAAGAAAATTAAATCACTTCCTAACATGAAAATAGGTGCTGGCTCGATCTTGGAGGCCCTTCGGCTTCAAAAGAAATTGATTGTGGTGGTCAATGAAGATCTGATGGACAATCATCAGCAGGAACTTGGCTCTGCTCTACATGAACAAGGATATCTTGTCTACTGTAATGTCTTGTAGGTTTTTTATTTTTTATTTTTTATTTTTTATTTTTTAATTATTTTTATTTTTTCTCGCAATGACTATGGTAAACCATTCACCATTATGTTGCTGTGATTGAGTAGAGATCTGGGAAAGGCCCTGAGAGATAAAGGATATGAATCATTGGTACCGTTCCCAGCACCAAATGCAAAGCTCTTTGCGGACTTTTTAGACGAGCACTTGGGGTTCAACTAAAGATAATAGACGTCCTTTTTTTATTTTACAGTGTATTTTTATTACATTTGATTTATCTAACGTAGACATTAAAAAAAAAAAAAAAAAACGCCTATGATACAAAAGATATATTTATGTTGTTCTCATTATGACTTTCATTAGAAATGGATCGTTGTCCTGCACTACTTGTTGTTACGTTTGTTAATTTTCAATTTTCATTATAACAGCCACTTTTTTCTTTCTTTGTTGTTGTTGTTGTTGTTGTTGAGTAGTGCTTCGGCAATAGCAGCGATAGTAGCTAGGTGGGCGAGAGGGGGAAAAGTAAACCAGGGATGCCTAAACATTTTGGGCCTGAAAAAAAATTAAAAAGTAAAAATAAAGGCACTCCTGATGATGAGTCTACCCTCGTTCTAACATGACGAAATAGCCCATTGTTAATGCGCACCATAACTAGTGTTATTCCTCCATCTCGCTTCCTAGCACTTGTGTATCATCCTCTCCTTGACTCAATACCTTCTGCTCTCCTAATATTGTGCTAGAGCTAGGATTTGGTTTTGAAGTGTTCATCTGGAGATCAAAGGAGGACTTTGGGGTTTGAAAGATCTCAGAAGGTAATTTTGCTTGTGGCGAGGATGCAAGGCATCCTTTTTCAGATTCTTGGTCATATCCTCGAGATTGTCTATACTCTTGCCCTAGATCGTGGCCTCTGAAGTCTAGTGTTGGTGCAGAGGGTATCGGAGGAGTAGGAAAGGAGGGTGTAGGAACAGAAAGTAATAGTTGGGAAAGATTTTGATGTTTTTCTTGTGGGAATTGAAATAGCTGTGTTGGCTCTGGTGTTTGTAACGGTGATGACAATTGTGAAAGCTGTTTTGATGCTTGCTGTTGTGGCGTGATACTCTGGCTAGGATATTGATGAAGATAGTAAGGAGGGGCTGCTTCCTCTGGAACATAGGCTGGTGATATTGAATATACGGATGTTCTTCTTTGGTTCAGTCCCATTGATGATTGCGGCGGTGGCAGTAATGGCGGCATTAATAAAGTTGGTGTTGCCAAGAATGGTGTCGGTAGTTCTATTTTCTCAATACTATTACAGTGGTTGCTACGAACTATTGTTGTTGTTGTTCCTTCTATTGAGGCTAGTGGGGTTTCTTCTGACTCTGAACTGGTAATGGTAGAAGCCTTGTCGCTGTTGCTACTATTGCCATTGCTGAATTTCAAAACTGGAGCGGAAGGTTGGTGCCTTAGCAACGGTAATCGAAGTGCACGTGGTTTTGATGCTGATAATGCCATCCCAACGCCATCGCTTTTTCCAATGTCGTCGCTACTTTTGCTGCTGGCTTCTGCCGAGGATAGTGAAGAGGTTTGTAGGATGGCTGTAGCAACGGATCGACGCGTTGTTGCGATTATTGCTTCGCCCACGATGCTAACTCTACTCAGTACACCGTGCTTCTCGGATCCTTGGACATGTATCGCTCTGGAAGTAGAGCCATTTGTATGGTTTACAGCAGTACGGCTTGTGTAGTCCGAAATACCTTGGTCCGAGTTTAATGTAGTAACAAATGAAGGTCTTGGATGCCGTTCCAGCGGCACATCCTGAACATATACAATTGGATTATTTTTCAAATTAGTCGACATCTCGTCGTCTATAACTAAGATCTTGTCTCCACCATCAAAATCGTAACTATGAATGAGAGGGTCTTCGACTTTGTTGGTTTCTCCAGCCTCAGGAAGGCGCTGTTTCCTTCTATGATTATGTTCATCCGCATCACCACCATCTGCGGTCAATATTTCTACAATCCTGTTTATCAGCCATCGTTGCCATTGTGGCCACTGCCAGCAAACAAAAAGATATATTGTGAGGGCTGATAGAGCCAGTCCACCTCCGATCAAAGCCCCGGTGATAGTGTCTGTGGTGTTGCTCTCAGGGAGATTGAGTGGGACACCATAGCTATCAGTTATGTTGATCCCATAGGTGATAACCGTCGTATTCCCAAAGGTCGGTTCATCGAGTGAGATCCCAATCATGGGGAGTCCGCTTGTTGTGTGGACCATGACTGCGAACCTTTTGAGTTTCCCATCATCATGGATATCTATTCCTTCGATCGGTTGAACATATGCTCCTGTGAATCGTTCCACATCAACCACGTAAGGCTCATTCAACTTAGCACTCGCGTCATTATGGTCATCTCCATCTTTATACAAGATAATCTCACCATATCCTGCGAACCCGTCACTATCTTGCCCCTGTGCCATTGTTGAAAAGAAGAGTTAATGATTGTGGGCAAGATTTTTCCTTTTTTTCTTTTCTTTTCTTTTCTTTTCTTTTTTTTTTTTTTTCTTTTTTTTTTTTTTTGCATGTACCGTACTTGGCAAAAGATATAAAGAGTATCTTTGTAATATTTTGCAGATATGAATGATGGTGTGCAATCATCCAAGCTGCTGGAGTTTAGTATACGTGGATTAGTTGGTGGTTGAAACATGGACGGATCACCGAAGATTGGGACCTGGGCCATAGTATTTTTAAGTGCGCCCGTCCTGTTGTTGTGGAGGTGTGTACCGACTTGATAGAGCATATTGTTACCATAGAAAAGCCGTGCGGGGTAACCATAAATATTAGGATCCTTTTTTTAAAATAAAAAGTGGTAAGTTTTCTGGAAGTAAGATACTCAACCTAATAACTCCGTCTTTTTCTTTTTTTTTTTCTTTTTTTTTTTTTTACCAAATTCCAGGATATCACATTGACAAATTGGTCCAAGCCTTGGTTATTCCTGACTAGCATGCCAATGTTGATAGTATTATCAGCTCCAATGTTGGCCTGGAATAGGCTGGACGTCCCTGGCCACTCAAAAATAATGAATCTCGCTAAAGAATCATCCCAATGGTAATCTGGAGCCATTGTGAAGTTGGACCAGCGATCGTTCCGTGGATCGTATTGTAGTCCTCCTGGTGGACGCTTCGGGTTTGGGTTTGGAGAACTTTCATTTGTCAAGTTGAAGTAAGACAACATGGAGAAGACGCCTGTCGTTGGATCAACATGACAGGCTCGAGGCGAAGCATCTTGTGAATCACTCGTAGGGCGAGGCCAGACCGAAACCAGTGACCAGGTGATGTCGGTAACAGATGCAGGTGATGGGTTAGATTGAACCAAGAGTACATAATCTTTGACTGTCATTTCATCACTGTCGCCGATTGACTCATATGCCATGCCTAATAGCCTTGTACCATTTACCGTAATACAGTCCAAAGCAATAACCCCCATATCCATAAAAAAAAAAAAAAAAAAAAAAAAAAAAGATAACGACGGGTAGTGAGTGATTCTGATATGGAAAGAAAGTGGATGAAAGATGAAGGAATGTGAGAGATTAAAATCATAAAATATAGAAGTCTGGTTAACTACATGTAGTTTTGCATGCAGCTAGCTCCTTTGGGTGAATAAAAACGATAAGCCCGCCGAGTACCCAATTTAAAAGATAAAAAAAATAGTTGAGAAGTCTTCTGGTGTTACGGAAGATCAACTGTAGTGAACGTCCAGAGTTTAATTGTGGTTTCAATAACGAAACCGGGGTTGGAATGAGCATTTCCCTCCCTTGCTCTCCCTCCTTTTTTTTTTCGCTTCACGTTCCCCTTTTCGTCATTCTTATCCGCCGATGCGCCTGTCTGTGCGGGCAAGCGTAAATGGATTCGCTAGCCCTCTCCTTTATGGAAAGGAAATCCTACATGGGCTATGTCTTGGAGTTGTGTTCTATCCACGATTACATATTCTGACAAACAAACGCTGCGGGCTGATCTCCTGCACTTGATTCCAGCCAAATAGGAAGTCTTACTACTCTCGCGAATAAAACGAAACACAACCCCACAACCGCTCAGTTTACTAATAAAGTTTGATTATTAAAGCTTTAAGGTTCGCATTTGTTCCATGTCTAATTTTAAAATTACGACTTGGGGCTGACTGATCACCTCATAGAAAAATACTATTTACCAACAGATCTTTAGAAATAGCCTTAGGAGTAGTGCGACATAATGGGGCCACCTTGAACAGAGCACCGTTAATAACAGCATCACTTTACAAAACCCACCTGCATAACTTTTGAAAGCGGCGTGCCGTACAACTTCTCCTATCATTTCTCAGTTCCGCAGAATGCCTATATATAACTAAGTCATATCCGTTCTCTAGGAGCAAATTGCTCGATAATGTATAATATATATATATTTATATACTGTTACATTTTATTTGAAGACCTGAACCCTCCATCCATGCACTGTCCTGTTGTGAAACCTATTCCCATACAGAGTGGCTCAAAAATCCAATGCCTGCAAGGAATATTACTTGTAATCCTGAATAGAGCAGGGCGACTACTGTCTCCCAGAATCTGCTGGGATGAAAATCAACTAAAAAGCAATGGTTTAACTCCTAGGGCTCGCTCAGACCAAGTAGAATTTAGGAATGATTTGCTGTAAGGCTGTAAGGAGATGGTCGAACCTGAACATTCCTGTAACTCCACACAAAACGGATCAAGTTCCCCCGTAGAATCATATTAATACTTAATATTAAAAATAAACTAAGCTTCCTCCTTTATGGAAAATTAAAAACAGATTATTCAAATTTGGCTGCAATTGGCCAAGCAGGCTCTTAAGCAAATTTGGCACACATTTTCCAATGCATAGAATGCTATTACAATACAAGTCCTAGCGTTGCCACCATTGCCAGACAATATGCTAAAGAATAAAAGCCTGGAGGATCGTTTATACGGACAGAATAAGCCATTTGTAAACTCTGTCCTTATAGCAGTCCATCAAGAGGGTAGAGGAAAATATATTAGCCACTGAATATTAAGGCTCTTATCCGGATACAAAGATCATTTCAGGGATTGCAGAAGGGATATTGAGCCTTGGTCATTTTACTGTAAAGCACTAAAGGCTTATAATCAAAACCATGACTTCGACACACGCTTAGTACGCCTCATCAACATACCAAGATCTTTCTTTCACTGTTCTCCATGCAGCTTTATAATTGAACAGGCTCAAGTGTCTACATAAACGATAGAACGTTCAAGAAACATTGATTATAGTCTGTATATTGTTCAGTCCTTAACCAGCCCAGCTCTTGATTCGTAGAGCTTAAGCGTCAGACGCTTGCTTTAGGCTCGATCCTCCCTCTAGAGTCACACGTGCTAATACTATTTCCATATGAGTACATTATACTTTGGCTGTTTATACATCATCTCATCTAGGACTTCGGCCTGTTGCTTATACGAACAGCTCAGTCTTCTAGAATTGTCTCAATGTTTTAAATGTACGATGATAGCCTAAAAAGGACAGTTCAATGCTTTCCTGTGGAAGTAATTTTTACTTTGCTTAAGACATAGGTGAGATTATACGCCATCGATAGGGATTGAAACTAGGAGAAGGCAAAAAGGCATTAAGCCCATACGACTTGGTTCAGGCTCAGGATGCGCTCCTCACTTCCAGGCCAAATAAGCTAGCTGACAGAGATATCGAGATAAAGCACTAGCTTTCATACCTTGGATTTGCGTTCAATCTTCTGTATCGAACCCATAATCAATGCTGACAGAAAGCAAGGGAGGCGCGAGTCCCTAGAAGCGATGATGTAGACGCGCCCAGAGGGATCGATTGTGCTACATGGGATCATCGGCGCCGCTTTGAGGTAGTTGTTTGGATGCAATGCCTGTGGGCTACGATGGCGTAAATAATATGATGAAGGAAGTCCCAGAGCCATATTGCATATAGAAATATACATTATATGCTAAGCAGAATCGATCACTCATGGAAGAGAAGAGAAATAATATATTTTTACGCCGTCGGCGCGACTCGTCTTTCGGCCAGACTGTGTACCGCCCCAGATCTTCTTTAATCTTTTCCCGTCTCTGGATAAGAATCGTCCACTCTTACCCGGTATTCTATTTATTCATCAGACCCTGCGAGAGATAACTACTCCAAGAGCCAAGCTGCGCTATGAAAACAAAAAAAAAAAATGCAGAGCTTGAAACAGACTAGGTCTTTCAGTTTTGTTTTTCGCCTTTCCTGTATCAATAGGGGGCACAGAAGAAAACTTTTGAAGTTTCAACTGTTACACAACCTGTATTTTTAACCGCGAACCATTGGTCCCAATGTAGTTAGTTTAGTTGGTATCAACCTTCTTCACGGCGCACGAGCATGTGTTCTTTTTTAGCAAAGTTTACATTTGAAATATTCCGAAGCCAATCTGGTCCATTACCAGGAGAGAAAGAGGCACACAGAGCTATTAGCACTATTGGAAATGAACGAATGAAACAAGCAATGATGGAAGAGACCAAGTGAGTGTTATGAGCATTTAATTTACTGCAATCAGTAAAACGTGATCGCTCTCAAATCCATGTCTGTTCATATATATATAGTTTGTTTATCGATGTGTTTGGACAAATGTCTAGCCCAAAAAAATGAGGGTCCATGGATCAGAAAAAGTATAACAAATGAGCATCAACTGAAATGGCCATAGAAACAATAACAGCGATCCAATTGGAGGCTTGTTTCCTTTTTGTTATTAGCCCAGATGAGCAAACGTAAAAGATAAAAAGGAAGTGACAAGCGATCATTGGAATCGAGGAATGCGTGTGCGACATGAGATAAAAAAAGGATGAGATTCTTTGCCATGCAACTTTACTATCTCAAAATATACCCAGGGAGACACAAATGAAGTTAGGAAGCACTTTTGGAGACACAACAGTAAATACATGTATATATGTATTTGTTTACTCATTAATAATAAGAAGGAATAAAATACTACACAAGTGAATGGGCAGTGCGCATGCATCTTTGTTGACTTACGAGAGCTTACCGAAAGAACTGGGCGATCTTTTTTAGATAGTGAGCCATCATCAATAAGTGCATACGTCCATAGTTTAGGAGAAAACAAACTATTTCATTCAAGACTTTTTTGTCACCAAGATCTGGTTCATTGGATTCTTTCTCTAAATTTGCGATTCGCGAATATGGCGCCTCGATCTGCTACAGCTGGCCTTAGTCTAGAGTACGCCCTATAATTTGAGAGTAATGTCCAAAAAACGGTTCACGTTTACAAAATGGCGCCATCCGCCGCGACTAAAAGGGATAGAGGCATCGCGTCCCCAAGCGTGCATGGCGCATGGGTTCGGAAGCAAGAAATATTTCTGAACTAGGCGCCGTCTCATTATTTGTTTTTGTACAATCTTGTCCTTGGGCCAGCGATGGGCGGAACAACATCATATCTTACCATGCATGGATTAGAGGATCTTTTCATCATTAACAGCAACAACAACAACAACAAAAAAAAAGCTGCGAGTCAATTGTACGCGTACTTTTCGCTAGAGGGCATTGAAGCAGAATGACTCTAAATGTAGTGGCGATGGGCGGAACTACAGCCCTCATGATTGCAATCTTAGAGAGATATACGTATGTTGCTCTGTTGTCGACTATTTTATTTGTGTATTAGTCTTTACATGCAGTTGTCAATTTTTTCCCCCCTATCCTTTACCCATTATCTTGCTATTATTCAAGAAAAAAAAAAAAAAAAAAAAAAAAAAAAAGACGGGAACATGAAAGGCACGCTAGAGAGGCATCTCCTGCAGAGGCCATAAGCTCTTATGCAACTGTGCCAGTCAAATATTTAGGCTATAACGAGCGAACCCTGGTGCTTTGCAGTGGAGAGCACAAATAATAAAGCAAAATAGATACAGCCGATTATATGTGTTAATATTCTTTAAACACTTCGGATTCTAAATGGTGCAAGGAAAAGAGAGAAAAAAAGTTGTGGGGAAGGCTCTCCCTTCCCTTTCCTCTCTTTTGTCTACGGGCCTCGTCAGCTTACTTATCTCATTGTAGTTCTGACAGTCACTCAATTCTGTTTCTTGTTGGTTCAAGCATAAAACTCCCAAAGTGCTCTTGTTGTTCGTTTCAAATCATTTCTCTGCAGGGTTTCCCCTGTGGAAGAGCAAACAATTCTTGGAATACCCTTTCCTTTAAGCTTGAAAATGATTTAATCGGGCGTAATTCAAAGTCTTGATCAAAGAAATGAAATGAAATATACTCTTTATTTTTTATATCCTTGAATGATCTTGGACAAGGGAAAAAAAATGCGTGCAATGTTCGCTTAAAACAGAAACTCCCTAGCGTCCCCTGCTACCCCATTATATGCCGATTTGGTTGCTTGTAGTGACATAGACTATATATATAAGTTTGATTCAAAGTCAATTGGTTATATTATATCTAGAAAGCACCACTTCTATGCTTTCGGAGGATCTTTCAACGTTGTTTTGCAATGGCAAGGATAGGATGGTGGCACAATAAAAGAGCGAGAATCATTGCTTGAGTACGAAGGTTTTAAAATATAGATAAGATCGAAATGGGTTATTTTGTTGTACTTGCATCAATGATTACACCTATGCTTGCTAGCTTACTGGCTTGTTGTTTGCTTCTTTCTATTGAATGATCTTTTGAAGCTAAAATTAGCCATCAACAGTAGCAACAACAATATAGTGCTTTTTTTAAATTTTGCTACAATGAGTATACGCGAGGGGAGTTCATTTGTTTTATTTGTCTTTTTGTTATGTTGGCAAAAAAAAAAAAAAAAAAAAAAATTCATTCTTTTTCGTATACTTTAATATAGACTTCTCCAAAGGATCAGCAAAGTAGAGCGATCCATGTCTTTGGGATGAATGAGCAAAGCTTCCGCCCGATCATGGAACATGTGCTGTACACATGTACATGTATACTAGACACAGAAGTAAAAGAATGGAGTTACCTTTGGCCTGGATGTCCTAGTTTAGGAACCAAGAGATGGAGTTGAGGATAAATGAATGAATGATAAAAAGGGCTCTCATTGAATCAAATGAATGGGCTGTTCATTAAAGTCAGTCTAACTATTTGGGTCAATAATGTGACATCTGTATTTAAGGTTTGGTCACAATCAAATCCGCGATCGCATTTATCAGTTCTGCTCATTATGAATAAGTGACATGACATCTGGACTGAATGACTGAATAAGGAAGAACTGCCAATCCAAAGAGGTAATTTGATATGGCCTAACATATCCGGATGTAAATGTGAGCATGATCTTAGCCTTAAGAAAGGCTAAGCGCAGGTCTGAGTATACTGTAAAGTGGTATATAAATCTACATCTTGGACAAACGAAAGAAATGCGTAAGGTGCGGTTTGCTGTGTTCGTTGATAACGGCAGTGGATTGCGGCGTGGTTCCGGATATAGAGATGATGCACCCAATGATATGTGGGATAAGGGTTATCTATTGGGCAAGATAAAAACAAGAACACAGATGGTGCCTATTGCCTATTGATTTGTTTTGTTGTGCGTGTACAGGTCTTTCCTCATATCAACACAGAAAGAGGAAGAAAACTCGTTTTAGAATACTATTTTCTATTCCAGTGCGCCGTCTGCCCACATCCGTTTGTGTTGTTGTTGTCATGCATGTCTTCTGTGTCTTCTGTAGGAAGAGAATGGAAAGAACGAGCTGCATAAGGTTTGGTGTAACACAAGTAAGCTCGACCAATAAGATCTAAATCATTCATCTAATCTCATTCTTGTTCCACGGACAACTGCAAAAAAAAAAAAAAGCTTTGTTCACTCGCTTTTTCAGTTTTTTGGGCGTATCACACGCACATCCATGGCTCTCATTATGGCAATGGCGCTGACATCCTCACTCTTCTCATTATTTTCCATACGTTTCATCAAATTAGGCTAACCTTTCTTTGGGTTCTTTCTGATCCTCATATCGTTAGTGCCACTCTAACTATATATACCAAAGGGTGCTCCTAATCAAAGACGACATCATCTGCAGAATGTCGTATTGACATTACGGATGAATGAATCCTCGAGGGGCCAGTACACAAAACTGAATAAAACCAGCGCCTTTGTTGCTGTCAAATTTGAAGGTTGAGATTTGTTATATTTATACTATAAATAAAAAGACCCTGAATGGAATGTAGTAGATATATATATATTATCACCTTTATGCTAATGGCGGAAGTGTCGAGAACATCAACAGATAAAGGATTAGGAAGAGGAAGAGTGGATATGAACAGTAAATGAACGGATGTAATTTATTCATGGGACTGAACATGAAAATGAGGGTTTGATTTTGTGAGCCCTGGACATATTAGACGATTCAATAGGCCACAATAGGCAATGATGACAACAATGGCATTTTTTTTACTTTTGCTCCTTTAAGGAGCAACCCAACTCAATTCAATCGATTGAATTTGTATAATGATTAAATTCCATTTAGACACTTCTGCTCTCACCTTGTCACTCTGTTTGTTCTTTTGCAACGGTTGTTTTTCTTATTATTGTTGATATTTTTTGTTTACATGGCCCAATGGAGGAAAACATCCGCCTGTTCCAGTACTCAAGCATAAACGGGCATCGGAGAGACGAAAGTAGTATAAAAGGCTCCTCAATTTCTCCACAAAGGCCTTTTTTTTTTTTTTTTTTCCTTGTCTACCAGCCAACTCTCAACCGACCCCATAACTTCCTCATTTCCTCTCTCTTTCCTCTCCGCTTACCCTCTCTTCCCTTCACTTCTACTACCAACTCGATCATTCTCAACATGAAGCTCTCCATTGCTGCTGCTATCGGTCTTTTGGCCCTTACTGTCACCGAGGCCGTTAAGGTCAACCCTCTTCCCGCCCCTGTTCACATCAGCTGGGCAAAGTCAGGCCCCGTTAAGGTCGCTGACAACTTCCGCATTGTCGGACCCAAGCACGACATTCTCAGCAAGGCCTTTGATCGCACTGCTGCTCTCATCAAGAAGGAGCGCTGGGTTCCCCAGACCTGGGAGCGCCCTGCTGCCGAGTTCCCCCCATTCCCCACTCTTGAGAAGCGTGGTGATGCCGAAGAGGAGGTCTCTGCTCAAGCCAACGGCTCCAAAACCCTCAAAACCATCACCGTCGATGTTAAGGACTTGAAGGCTGATCTTCAACATGGTGTTGATGAGTCTTATACTCTTGATATCTCTGCCTCCGGTAAGGGTACCATCAAGGCCAAGACCGTCTGGGGTGCCCTCAACGCTCTCCAGACCCTCAACCAGATCATCATCCATGACAAGAAGCTCGGACTCCACATTGAGCAGCCTGTTCATATCGAGGATGCTCCCAAGTATGTCCACCGTGGAGTCATGTACGATACCTCTCGTAACTTCTACCCCATGAATGTCCTCAAGAAGCAAATTGATGGTCTTGCCTACTCCAAGTTGAACGTCTTCCACTGGCATCTCACTGACAACCAGGCCTGGCCTGTCGAGATTAAGAAGCACCCCCAGATGACCAAGGATGCTTACTCTCCTCGTGAGATCTACACTCAGAAGGACATTAAGGAACTGATCCGCTATGGTCGCGAGCGCGGTGTCCGTGTCTACCCTGAGCTCGATGTCCCTGGTCACTCTGCTGCTGGCTGGCTCCAGGTTGACAAGAAGGCCGTCACTTGCGCTGATTCGTGGTGGGATAACGATGGCTGGACTCACCACTCTGCTGTCGAGCCCAACCCTGGTCAACTCGATATTGCTTACCCTGGCACTTACAAGCTGATCAAGGACGTTTACACCGAGTTGGCTAACGTCTTCACTGATAACCTCTTCCACGTCGGTTTCGATGAGCTCAACACCTACTGCTACAACTACTCTTCTTACTCTCGCGATTGGTTCAAGAACCATCCTGGCGCCACTTACCAGGACTTTGCTCAGCAGTACGTTGATAAGGTTCTTCCCATCTTCAATGACAAGCCCAGCCGCCGATTGGTCATGTGGGAGGACTCTGTTCTTTCCCCCGACTTCCCTGCCCACAACATCCCCACCAACGTCATCATGCAATCCTGGAACAAGGGTACTGAGAACATTAAGGCCTTGGCCACTAAGGGTTACGATATCATCGTTTCCTCTGCTGACTTCCTCTACCTCGACTGCGGTCATGGTGGATGGGTCACCAACGACCCTCGCTACAACGAGAACGAGCCCCCAGTCCTCCCCAAGGCCATCGCTGATGCCTTCGCTGCCAACCCTAGCGCATACAGCCCTACTACCGTCAACTATGGTGGTCACGGTGCCTCGTGGTGCGCTCCCTACAAGAGTTGGCAACGCATCTATGACTATGATTTCACTAAGGGCTTGACCGAAGAAGAAGCTAAGCACGTCATCGGTGCTGAGGCTCCCTTGTGGTCTGAACAGGCTGATCAATATGTCGTTGACAGCAAGATCTGGCCCCGCGCTGCTGCTCTCGCTGAGTTGACCTGGTCCGGCAACCGCAACAAGGCTGGATACAAGCGTACCACTGAGCTCAGCACCCGTATCTACGAGTTCCGTGAGCGTCTTATTGCCCGTGGCATTGGTGCTGCTCCTTTGGCTCCCAAGTACTGCTTGCAACACCCTCACCACTGCGATCTCTTCCGCAACCAGACCGCCCTTGGAAAGTAAATCGGTATTTTTCTTTCCCGCTTCACTCCTAGCGTTTTTTATTTTCGAGATTCTTAGACGACCCCAATTTTTTAGAACAACCACATCAAAAAAAAAAAAAAAAAACAACAGCAGCAGTTTCTTTTCTTTATATTCAAATAGTCTGGTTACGTTTTGAGTGAAAAGATAGAGAGAGGCTTTCATTAGGAGGATATAATTCTTTTAACATTATGATACCACTAAAAAGAATCAGTAATAAATTCAATGATCTTTTTTAAAAAATATTCATGATACATGATGGGAACATTGCGCAAACAAAAATGTTCTTATAACGGTCTTGACGCTTCGTTCGAGGACTTCAGGGGTAGAGGCATTAAAGCATCAAAGCATTTAAAGATTTTGTATTTTTTACGCAGCCACTGATCTTTAGCTCCTCCATCTTTTTTTTACCAACTTTGCGAATTCAATTATCATGGGTGATCAGTCTCAGGACCAGGACGAGATTCAACAACAACAGGAACAGGAGCAACAGGAAGAGACACCCTTCTTCTATGATGGTCCTATTGATCCGGCTACTGAACAGGCCATTCAGGAACTAAAGGATGTTGGTGCAAAGGCATTCGCTCTTCAGGATTATGAACTCGCTGTCGAAAAGTTTGGTCTCGCGTCAGAAATGCTGTGAGTACTTCAAATGAGACGCGCGGCTTTTTTTTTATTTATTCCATGAATATTCTGTTTTTAATTCAGGAATCCAGGATCTTAACATGTAAAGCACTCTTTTTTTTTTTTTTTTTTTTTCTTTTTTTTTTTCCTACTCAGAGGTCAAGTTTATGGCGAGACCAACCCCAAGTGTGCAGATACCTTATTTATATATGGAAAAGCACTCTTAGAACATGCAATTCAACAAAGCTCTGTACTTGGAGGAGCAACTGAGAAGAAGGCTAAAGAAGAGAAGGCTGCTGTCGAGAGTGGCTCATCCGCAGCTGCATCCTGTAATTGTTTTTTTTTATGGATGAAGTAAAAAGATGCGAAGTATTGAGATAACAGTTATAGCAAGTAGCGGACAAAAGATTATAATAGCTAACAGCGTTTTTTTTTTTTTTTTTTTTTTTTTTTTAGCATCTTCTGCACCAAGTAACCCACGATTTGTGTTTGAAGGCGATGATGATGAAGAGGAAGAAGAAGAGGAAGAGGGCGGTGAAAATGAAGGAGAGGAAGGACAGGATGATTTCGCTGTAGCCTGGGACGTTCTAGACCTGGCTCGCGTCCTTTATCATCGTCAAGGCACAGAGGAAGCGCTTTTGAAGCTCGGTGACGTTCACATTTCACTTGGTGATGTCTCATTAGAATCCGAAAACTTTGATCAAGCAGTGGCTGACTTTCGGGAGGCGATTTTGATCAAGGAGGCAAGATTAGAGCCTGATGATCGACAGCTGGCAGAGGCACATTACAAACTCGCGTTGGCACTGGAATATTCACCTACAGAATCTGACAAGACTCAAGAACATATCCATAAGGCTATTACAGTGTTGAAGGCGAGGATTCAGAAATTGAACGGCTTGTTGGCTTCTGGAAAGGGCAAGGCACGAGCAACGGATGAAAATGAAAGCGAGTCAAAGATGGCTAAAGAGTTGATCGAGCTACATGAGCTCATTGGTGAAATGGACCAGAAGGTATTTTTCTTTTTTTTTTTTTTTTTTTTTTTTTTTAGTGAAAAAAAAAAAAAAAAAAAAAAAAAAAAAAAAAGCAGTTATGCTGTTATGCTGCCTGCTTACATCTCTTACAAAAACAACGACAGCAGTTAGGGCAAGAGTCGTTAACATTGCTTTTATTTTTTATCTTGCTCAATGTTTTGACAGATCCAGGATTTGCTCAACAATCAAGCCAAGAAATCCATAGAAGGTCAGACGCCTGCTGAGATGCTCAGCATGTTGAGTCAGCAAGTCCAGCCTGTGAATGATATCAATAACTTGATCAAACCAAAGCCCAACAAACCCGCCGTTTCTCCAGGCTCTTCAGCCATAGCTACGACCACGACTACGACCACGACCACGACTACAAGCATCACCACGGCTACAATCACAAACGCAGCTGTAACAGCAACTATAACAGAGTCATCGCCGTCATCTTCGTCTTCAACACCCATGATAACCAAAGATCCTTCTACGGCAATATCAACAGCAGAGGACGCTGAGGTGGAGTCAGGACTCAAGCGTAAGGCTGAAGATGTCATTGAAAGCAGTGCAAAAGAAGATGAAGCAGAAAAGAAGATCAAAGTTTAGAATGACTTGATTATTTTGAAATTACAGTAGCCTTATATTACATGGATGCATGTGTATTTGATTCTAAATGCCATTAATAAAACTGAAAAAGGCATCTGTTGCGCCATGCTAGTATTGGCTGTGAATCATTGTGAGTACTTTTCCTATGTTAAAGATACTTGTAAGACAGAGTGATTTTAGTCACCTTTTCCAAATTGTACTCCGTAAAAGCTACGATAAAATATTGGAACTTCAGGATAAGTTATTATGATGGCCTCTGTCTCCATTAAAGCACAGTCAACCATGAGCCTGCTTGTCCTAATCTTACGCTCGGATTTAATAGTTGAATCAGCTGGTAAGGAGGTAACTGTTGGACTATTAGTAAAGTACACAGTACAAGATTTTCTAAAGCTTTTTTCTCTAGTGCCAGGATCCACAATTGCTTATCATGTGCAAATGCGAATGCCCTCTTAGACGTGGCCGCCCTTGACAAGTAGAGGAAACAAAAGTGGGCTACACCCTATCATTAAATTGTTGCAGATAAATGAAAAGAATGATCTTTTTGCGGTCGTTGCATAGTCATGAATGTGGAACTGATAAGAGGACTAGCAAGAGAATAAAGTAAATTGTTATACACAATTCATCAGTTGCTGCGACTCGTGACGTAACTTCTACAGAGTGCAGCAGGGAAAGGAAATACTCCATCAGTTTTTAGTATCGGAGCCATATAATCAATGGATAGTGAAAGCAAAGAACTTCCATAAGATTAAAACAAAAGAGTAATACAGTAATATGGAGATGTTTGGGAATTGGATGGCGCCTTGCTGGTCAGCGACTTAACTCGATTCGAATTCAAGCGCAAGACGGCAGATCCTCCACAAGATGTGAAGTACTGCAAACCATCAATGTCGAGTCGTAGACTTTCCATGATCGATAATCATGGAGTGATGAGCAATGAATCCACGACCGTTTTATACAGGATTGCCCTGTACGCCCATTGTTCATCAGTCTACGGCCCTTCATCATTTTTACAAGACCCAAATATTTCAAGCAGACAAAAAACTTGGACGGCGTCTTGCTTGTCAGCGACTTAACTCGATTCGAATTCAAGCGCAAGACGGCAGATCCTCCACAAGATGTGAAGTACTGCAAACCATCAATGTCGAGTCGTAGACTTTCCATGATCGATAATCATGGAGTGATGAGCAATGAATCCACGACCGTTTTATACAGGATTGCCCTGTACGCCCATTGTTCATCAGTCTACAGCCCTCCATTATTTTTACAGGTTTATTGCTGCGGAAATGCTCAAAGGGAAGAGGGGAAGAATGAGAAAGGGGAAGAATGGTTGAAAGAAGAAAAAAGTGTCTTGCTGCTGTTGTTAGTCTTTAATAATAAATTTACGCCACCAACCAAAATGGCCACAAACACTTAAAAGTCCTGTAGATTCCTTGTCGAACTCATCCTTATCGAAAGAAAATGTCTAAGCGCGCCAATGATTCAATTGACAAAATACCAGAAGTGCACAGGAAGTACAAGAAGATGAATAGCAACCAACTGATGTACTCTGCTCGGCGGCAGTTCTTGCTTGAAAATGCCCCATTTCCAGACGTTTTTAAATGTGCTCAGGCATTTTACAACGAGTTTCATTTTAACGGACGTAACGCTGCCAATGACGCGCTGACCCGAACTCTCGAAGACATGGAGTCATCCGGAAATATCTCATTTAAGGGCTTTCTAGTGCAGATGAAGGTTGCTACTTCTCGTTCGTTATTTGTTTTCGCTTTTAAGCAGTGTTTCTCCAAGTAAATATCTCTTAAATGACATTCTACTCTGAAATTAGACTGATGAATTTCGTAACTGGGAGAAGCATTTTTTCCAGACTTACAAGGAAAGCAAGATGATGGACGCTTTCGTTTCAAAACAGATGACACAGATTCGCGTCGCTGGCCTTCTAAAGGGCAAGTCGGTTCTCGTCAGCAATATTAATTTTCTTGGTGATGGTGTAGTAAATGAAACAGAGGCGGATATTGCCGCCGCCGCCCTTCCCAAGAAGACTACTGTGAGTCCTGCTTTTTTTTTTTTTTTATTTTTTTTTTTACATTTCCTAATGAGGCTGTGACTGACCTCAATACCTTGCTTTTATAATTGAAAATCTGCAAAAACCGATCAACCAGCCTACTACACCACCGACATTGTCTTCAGCGTCGACTTCTGATGTATTTCTTCAACGAGTTCAATTTACCTCGGACGAGGATATATGCGAGTTCTTCTTTCAGCAACTAGTCAAAGTATGGTCAGACATCAGCGCTTTTTCGAAGTTCATATTAGAGCGGCACTTCAACACAGCATGCAAATCAGCATTTAGCACCTATATCAAAAGTCTTCGTGCGATATATAACCACCCCGGCATTGATGAGTCTATTCGAAGAGATGTTAAGAAGCTCAAGGATATGAGGGAATCTCGGTTCCGTAGTGGTTTTTTTGAATATGAAAGTGCGATGATCAACAAAGCCCTTATTGAAAAGCGCACCCAAGAACAAAATGCTCCACCGGGCTTCGACAAACAGTATAAGGGAGAGTGGAATGTGGATGAAGAGAATGGAGACCAGATGAAATATTATTTAGGCCTATTGGATCCAGAGCAATCTTCTCAGGGCTCTGTCGATGACAGTTTCAATATTGCTAGAACATCCTCAGAATCCTCAAAGTCAGATTCTCAGTACTCTGACGAAGACCTCACTGGTGAGATCCCCGAACCATTTGCAATTGATTTACTGTCCGGCCCAGGCACAATGTCAAGCCAGCTCTCAAACGATGTCGATGGTCGTATTAAAGTTGCCGAGACAGACATAAATGAAGCGATCATGAATTATCGTCGAAATTACGTAATTAGAAAATGTCCTACCAATACGGATGGAATGCTGTAAGTCAAAAACTTGTAATGTTGGTTACCAAAACGCGGTTAGTCATTTATTAATTTTCACGTAGCCTTGTGAATTTTATTGTTACACGTCCCTTACTTCTGAGCCTTTTTTCAATTGAGCTCGTCGATGCGGCATTCCCAAGACACAACCCTATGATATTGGAGCCTAAAGAAGTTGGCATGATCACACGACTTTGTTCGAAAGCAACACTTTGTCCATATGAAGAGCTCCTAGAGTGGTGGGATAGTGAAAGCAAGATATCAACATCAGTGATCTATCGAGCCGTCTCCAATTACTTCGCCGAGGCGGGACTGTGGGCGAATACCAACTGGTATGAAAAACGGAGTGGGAATAATGAAGATTCATTCATTCATAATCTTATTAGGCCTTTGGTGGCTGGAGCGTTTGGTACGTTCATTGGTTGCTTGTTTCGTTGGTAGGTAACTTCTTTCCAGTTATGTATTCAGATTTCTTGATTTGATCCTTATTGGCTTCCTTATTTCCTTTTTCTAATACCTATTTTTGTTGTTTTTTCTAATATCTATTTAAATCTGTTGCGATCATGTCAGGTCACGAGACCCACTTTGCTCAGCAACTGATATTGACAATCGAATGGAGCTACCAGATTACCAAGTTTCCTTTGGGCAGTACTCATTTGTGCTGGGGGAATTTAAGACTGCAACTGCGCCACGTCAGGATGTCGAACTTGACTACAGGAAGCTGCTGACATTGGGGAAACGAGCTGTCGATCTTTTATTTAAAGATGGTTACAATGTCCCAGTTGTATTAATACACGGCCGAGGGATGTTGATAGATATTTACACCCTTGAACTTAAGGGGGAGGCAATGTATTACACAAAGGCTCTTGGAACTCTTCGTTTAATTTCGAACCCATATGAGTTCTCCCAGCTCCTAAGTTTGGCACCTTTGATATCAGCGAAGGTATGTCAAAGTTATGATATTCTTACGTTGAAGCAATATATGATGACATGAAGGAGCGGAGCTATTCACACTGATATCTTCTATACTCTTTATCAACAGCTCATTGCGAGTGGTGTCTTTGATTCTTTAAAGGCCAAGAGGAAGACTCACACGAATAAAAACTGGATACGTGGCACTTTTGACGTCAAAGGTGTAACAGTCACTAATAGTAATAATAATAATAGTAAGTCAAAATCACCCTAGTAATAGTATACAATACATGGCAGCTATAAAGTCAAGGGATAATTTGCATCGATTTTATTATCGTGGAGCTTGAGAGTTAGGTAGAAACGCGTGAGGTTGATGTCACGGAAAGAACTGTAGAAGATGGGAAGATCAGAGTTTAGAATGGCTTGGTTATTTGAAATTACAGTAGTCTTGTGTTACATCATTAATAAAACTGAGACGGACATCTGTTGAGCAATGCTGATGTTGAAGACAAGTCGTTGTATCTTATGCCATAGCCCACCAGAATGGTCTTTTCAAAAACACATAAGCTTCTACTTTTCCCTTGACACACATTAATATACCCATCATCCAGATTAGAAAGGTCATTCTGCCCTGTTTTTATTATTTTTATTTAAGCCATTGTTAATCGGGCATGAGTAATTGTAAGAAAATTATTTTCTTAAAATGTTGGCCAACGTTTTTGTAGCCGATAGCGCTTCTGTAGCCGGTCGGCGCTTTCGTAGACAGTTGGCGTTTCCCAAGTCGAGTATTAAGCGCGGGTAGCGAAGCAGTTTTACTCTAATGAGCATCAAGAGGCATATGACGCTGCCATTCCCCCTAAGGTAAAGGTACCAAGCAAGACAAGCGCGAAGCTTGTCCCGCCAACGAACAGCAACCAAGACAGGACTAAAGTAGCTCAAGGCTCAAGGCTCGATCCCTTGACTAGTATTTTTTTCTTATACTGTATCTTCTATGCATTAAAGTCGAAAAGATTCGTGATTGTGTGTTAAGTAGCTTTTTGGACACGAGGCATTTCACAAAATAAACAAATACCCTTCTAAAAATGACCAGACCTCAATCATGAGTTTCTTCAAACGTCGTCCATGGTCTCCACGATACAATAGAGCTCAATGGCAGGTTTCCTCGACCATTGGTTCATGCGTACGAAATAATAGGTCGGACACTTAAAGTCGTAGAATATTCCTGTGCCTTGTGTTGAGAAACTTAGTTATTTTAATTGAGAAGCATGGTCTGTGCCCTGCGAAATGCTTGAGATTTCATACGCGTTAGTCTTTTTTTTAGGAATAATGTTGATACATGATGCAATTGATGGTTCCCTATACCCGTTTGTGCATTCCAGAAGAAAAAAAAAAAAAAAAAAAAAAAAAAGAGTCAGTGGCGCAAAGGCCAAGATCTGTGTACTTCTTTGGGCTTAATTGCTTTGTTTATTCCTTGGACTGTAAAACGGGCAAATTTGTCCATTTAGTTTCCATCACTCATGGGCAGGTCAGAAATGAAAAGTGAGGCTGTGGCTTGGAAAATAGTGAGCAACTTAGTTTTTTTATTTTTTGGATTGTTGACCTTTCCCACTTTGATTTCAAAATATACACTACCGCTATATTCACACCTTCTTACTTTTCTAACCTTTGCAACAAAAACAAAAAGTCAAAAACTTCAAAAGTAAAGGCAGAACTCATTGTGGTTAATGACATTTCAAGAGCTGACGTGACGGAGGTCAAGCCCGACTACAAGCTTTACAAAGACCGGGTCCTCAAACTGATTCAAAGCGATTTACATTAGTGCACGACCATGATACGATTTGGACTATAAATATGAATGCAGGGTCAGCAACAGGCTCAGGCCTTGACATTGTTTCGGAACCTTCTTCAATCACTATTCCTGAAACCATTGGCAACGAGGCCTCTCAGACGGCTCTTGATGATTTTAACCCCCATAAAGGAGATCAGTCCTCTTGGTAAGTGTTAACTAGCTGCCTCATCAGAGCTAGGATGCTCAACCTCTTATTGACACTCTACTGTTGCTTTCAAGCATTCCGCGGTCACCAAGTTCTAAAAGCCTCAAGCGTTTTACAAATGTCTGAAAACTACGATAGTAATCCCAAAGAAAATGACAGTCTGAAAGAAAAAATTAAAGTGATCGAGGCTGATATGCCTGTGGAAACCACTCCGAGAGATGAAAAATAGAACAAAACAACATAAAAACTTTACATTATGAATCGACCTAAATAATGAGATTAATGAGTTATATTTATGAGAATATGAATAATTGATGCTGGCTTTGGAAAGTTTTTTTTTTTTTTTTTTTTTTTCACTTTGTCACTTTGAAGGTTGTCCAGTAAATGATGATGAATTAATGTTTTGCGTATTATATGTATATTATAATGCCATAGTGTGTGGAGTACATCTTCCCATATTGGACTCAGTGGATCTTACGCATAGGAACGCGAATTCCATTAGCGAGGCGATGGCGATATCCCTCAGGCTCTTCTTTAAGCCCAGACTTTTTTGCCGGCTGCTTCTGCTTCTTCTGCTCTTCACTCTCCAGGCCTTCCAGACCTTGCTCATTATCTCTTCTTTGCTCCCCCACCTCTACTTCACCTAGTTGAAGATGATGCTTTTCTAAATGATATTTGCGCTGGCGGTTTTGGTGATGTCGATGCGATCGTACAAGGTCCTGGTTATCGTTCAGGTCCCCATATTCACCGGTAGAACCTTGTTCCTCTATCAGCTTACAAGTATCCTCCTCAGTCATTTTCTTTATCATCTGAGGCTCCTCTTTATCCTGCATTGGATAAGCAGCTTCTTCATCCTTGTGCCGAATACCAACCCGTGACAAGGACGCTTGCCTCTTCCCCTTCATATGGGCAGAATTTCTATCGCCATCGCGTTCGTAATCAGTTGGTTTTATTTCCCGATCTTGCCCCCGACCCTGGCTCCTATCTTGTCGACCATTTTGCCGCTGTTGCTCCTTCTCACGTTGCTTAATATACTGTTGTTGGAGGCGCATTATCAGATCAGCCTTCTCTGCTAAACTATCCGCCACTTCTTCAAGTTGTTTCCGAATTTTCTTTTTCTGCCGCAATTGTTCCTCCAATACTTCTGAGCGTGATTCAGTTTTTGCAACCAGCTTTGGGTATGATGACAACGATGATGATACCATAACTAGGTCCTTTTTGCTATCGTTGGTGTTCCGACTGTTGCTACCGCTACCATCACCTGCAATACCATCCTCCATATTGATAGAGGTTTGGCTCAATGTCTTAAGGTCTTTAGAGAGCTCGAAGTAAGATTTCCGCAAATGCTTCACTTCGTTTTCCAGCTGTCCAAGGACAACACTAAGCTTTTGCTCTGGGGTCTGAAATCCATCTGATCGTGTCGACTCCTTTTTGGTCCGAATGGACGCAAGGGCCAGCCCTTCTTGCTGTCCCTGCTGTTCTAGTTGACCTCTATGCGGATGTTCTCGCGATCCCGATCTTTGATAAGTTGGCGAAGGCTCGCCATGCCCACCGTTGGCTGCAATAGAGCGCTGATTATCGTCTGAAATAGATGACAGCGATGCTCCTACCTCTGATTCTGATCCGATATTGTCAGCATCATCATCCGAGGTGATCGTGTGTTGATTATTGTCGCCATTACTTTTTGCGCGCTTTGAACTTGGGTTTAAGGCTGAGCTTGATACTACTAGTGTTGGTGGTGCAGTCGGGCGCAATTGTTCCCGTCGGATGGTGGTAGTGGTGGATGGTTTGACGTTCCTGGTATCATGGGCCGATCGCGCCAATAGAGCTGATCGAGAATGTTGCTGACGCTGATACTGTTGCGAGCGATCATCTTCTTCAAACTGCATCTGTTGATGGTGATGGTGCTTTTCAATCTCAGTTCCATTACCTCCATTGCAGCACACAGTGCACCGTCTCGGATCGTGAGTCTTGAGCAATGATAGGATCCGCTGTACATCAATCGAGATTTTCTTTTGTCCCGGGGAAGGATCCTATGTGCACATTAATTTGCAATACAAATGACAAAAATGTTAATAACTGAGAACAATATTGCGAGCCTGATATCCCTCGTAAATATAGTTGATTTGCATTACTGTCAATGCAGCGGCTAGCGCTCGAGCACGTTTTCTGCCGGATTTGATGTCGTCTTGCAAACGCCGAGACAAAGACATAGACCTTGGCTGTTGAAATTTTGAACGCATTCGAATAGCGGGGTATGCACTCCTATCATCATCGTCATTATTTTCATCACCCTTATGCTTAATACAATTAGTATTCCTACTGTTGTTACTATCTCTGATTCTGACATTCGTTTGGGAGTCAATGTCCAAACCATTGATAGTGTGCGTAAGACGATCGATGGTGTGCTTAGGACGTGGAGAGCCTAGGTTCTTATCAAGGTGTGATCCCTGTCCAGGCAATGACTGACTCAAAAAAGTACCACCTCTTATAGATGGCATGGGAATATCCAACAAGTAGTGATGATTCTGACCTGCTGGTTTACGCGAATGAGGTTTGAAAGGTGTGCCGATCTGAAGACGGTGTACTCCTTCTTCGAGGTCTTCTAATGACCGCTGGCCATGATGGTGACAATCTTCCTGTTGTAGCTGAGACGGAGCCTCTCCGTTTCCATCCAGTTCATTCGTCTTGGACCGCAAAATCGTCGCTGGTATTGACATCTCCTTGCCGTCTGGGCCATAATGTACATGGTGATGAATATGAACTTCCTCCACTTTCTCGACGAAACGACGCGATTCTGGATTCATCGACTTGGAGCGAGCGCCTCTACTCACACTTCTACTTCTGCCTCTCAACGATGATGGCTGTTCCTGTCCTCCGGACAGCTCAAAGGTGTCGAGATGATCATGCTCTCTTAACACCCGATACTTCTTTTCTTTTCTGATTTTGGAAGACGAATCCGATGAGCCTCTTATCATAGATGGTCTCTTGGTAGAAGAAGCTCTATGTGCCTGTGGTGACACTTGTAGGTCTCTAGCACCACGACGGTCTGAGCCGCGACCAGGCCTTCGATACACAGAAATCCTTCTGGACTGAGCGTCAACATCAGAAACTTCTTGTTCACTCTCTTGGTCTTCACTGCTACTACCACTACCATCATCACTGTCTGATTCAGTCTCCTCCTCATTATCATCATCGCTAGAGTTCATCAGGAAGAGGAGGTCGGCTTCCTCAGCTGCATATCTCCTCTCACATTTTTGTACTTCAGCTCTTTGCAGTTCTAGCGCATCTATCCGCTTTTGAAGAGATTCAAGCTCCTTTTGAACTTGATCCTTTTCTCGTTGAATTCCAGCAGTTTTTTTAATTTCCTGTTTTTCCGGTCGAGTGACAGTCGTCCCCATCTGGAATGCCTGTCCCTTGGCCCGTCTTGATGGAGACGAGGCAACAGCAGTAGCTTTTGAAAGCTTTTCATTTTTCTTCCGTTGGCGCTCCAACTCTTTCAATAGCTTCTTGTTCGCTTTTGTAATTGACCTCTTTTCACTCTTGAGTTGCCGAATCATAGCTTTAAGAGTTCCGAGGAGAGAGGATACCGCTTTAAAAAAAAAAAAAAAAAAAAAAAAAAACAGGAATAGCAGAGGGAAAATGATTGCAAAAAGGGTTAAGTTAATAATTCAAGCTTTGCATGACATTATAGCAACTCTCAAGAAAGAAAAAGTTAACCAACCTTGTCCTTCACCTAAGGACCCAGCAAGCTCCATAAATCGATTTTCTGCAATATCCAATTTGGATAGGTCCTCTGCTGTAGAAAGCGGCGGAAACCCAGGGGAGCTTCGCCACTTCGGCCCATCTTTTGCAATCAGTGTCGAATCCACTGGTATTTTCAGGTGCCGTTGCTGTTGTTGCTGTTGTTGCTGTTGTCGTTGCCGCGATATAAAATCATACCGTGTAGGTGATACTAGGTCTTCCAATACTAAATCCCGTCCATGATCCAGTCGACTAGCAGTGGTTCGAGGGGTGACAATATAGTTGTTGCTGTTGTCCATGGGTGATGTCGGCTTACCAAGAGCTGTTTCTGTTATTGGCTTCAGTGCTACATGCTCAACCACGCGTTTATTGTCTGTTGATGCTGACATCCCTAATTCTCGCTTCGCACGCGCAATTGCCACCTCTCGCTCAAATGAAAGCTCACCACTATCATACTCAAGACCACCCAAGCGATCATCCTTTTTCAACTTGTTATTAATAGTATTGAAATTACTAAGAGTTAGTTGAGGTTGCTTTGGCGCAGATGACAGAATATTCTTAGGGCTATGTGCGGAGTTCATGTCATTTTTTAGAGGCGCTTTAACAGCTGTTGCGCCTGGCTGTAGCTCTACTGTGTCTTGGTCATACTCCTCCTCCGCACTATCGTCATCATTATCATTGCCTTCATTTGGCGAGAAATCTGATGGTGAATATGATGAATGATATAGGTCCCGTCGCTGCCTTTCTGTTGGCAATACAGTTCCATGCTCCATGCGACTCTCAGGGCTCCCAGTAACGACGGCTGAAGTAAATGTCTTTTGCGGATTTGATATAGGTGGTTGTCTTGCAAAGTCGGCTCTTGTTAAAGGAGAAGAGCCCTACAAACAAACAAACAATAAAAAAACAATTAATATAAAATAAACAAAATCTGTCTCGACCCATACTGAATAAAGGCTTTACCTGGCCAAAAGAGCTCAACCTTGGCCGAGACTTCCGCTCCAGTATAGATTCATCCGTATTATCATCTATAGTGGCACTATTAGCACATATACGTGATGTCAATGCTGCTTCTGCTGCTGCTCCTGCTCCTTCTACTACGTTAACTGCTGATTCTTCTATACGCTGCTTATATTGCTGCTGTGGCTGTAATCGTTGCCGTGAGTCGGAATTGCTGTTCTGGGATCGTCGTAATTCTGACAATTGATCTCTTAGCTCTTGACTGTCGAGAATATCACGAATAGTTAGACATTCACCCTCCTTTCTTTTATTGTCATTACCCATGTTAGCAATTACCCCAACGCCATTGCTACTGTTGCTGTGTAGTATTTGTGCTCGATTGGTGGATTGGTTGTGATTTATCATCATTCCTTCCTTTTTGCTATCGACATGCGACAATCGGGAAGATGGGGAGACTGTTCCTGCATGATTGTGATCTAGCTCTCGACCTTGGTGTCTATCATTATCAATACCTCTGTTTTCCTCCTCCGCTGGTGTTAGTCGCCTCTTGATCCGATGATAGTGGTGCTGTCTCACAGTTGCCTGAAGGTCCTGATTGAAGCCATCATCGCGCCGAAAATAAGGTGACATAGGGTCCCGTGCTTTGCGATAGTAACGGTTATCATCTATGTCCCTATCTGTATCCCCATCTGTATCTCTGCCTCTTTCTCTATTCTCTCTTTCTAGATCCTTGTCCGGGGCAGCCCTTAGATTTCCTGTTTTTGTAGCTTTCGGGGTAATTGTTGTGTCATTGGCTATGCGCACAGTCTCACTACCGCCACGGTTGAAGGTAAAGGCGCTGCTATTATTCTGGGAAGTCTCTGGAACTGGTACAATTGTGGTTGATTTTTGTGGAAAACTTTGATAGTGGTGATTCCTCTGTGGTTTAGAAGAAACTGACGCTGACGCCAAGCCAGATGTCTGAATGCCCTTCATATAGTCGGTATCAGCTTTATTGCTGCTGCTGTTGCTGTTGCTGCTACCACTTTGCTGAGATGTCAGGTGAGAAGGATTCCTGAAGCCGGAAGCTGTGTCTATTATTCTAGTTGTACCAAGTGTGTCCGTGCCTGCTGCAGGAATGTGTAACTTGGAAGAGATCTTTCGTTTCAATCGCTCTTGACCAGGACGGTCCTTCTGTGACATGCTGGTGTACGTCTGCACAGGCTCATGAGCTACTGCTGCTGCTGGTCCGTGTCCCTGTCCAAATGTATGAGTGCGCCTGTGTTCATCCTCTAGGTGATGGTTATGCTCAGAACGTGCTATGCCCCTTGTGCCTTGAGCAGGCGGCATTTAGAGTGATCGTAATACGTTAAAATGGGAAAATAGATGCAAAACCTTTCGGATGATGAAATGTAGGGACGTGAAAGATGAGGAGAGATGGCTTGAACGTATTGAAGAATTGGAGAGGAAGGGACAAGCAGGCAGCAAGATAAACCATTCAGTGGCCACAAGTAGATTCAAGGAGACCAGGAGTACAATCAAAATTATATCAAATTGGAAGGACGAAGTGCTCTTTATTGAATGTAATTATCTACAGGGCTTTCTTTCTACACATTTTCCTCCTCTTCGTCCCCCTCACCTTGTGCTGCCATCGCCTCCTCTACCTCCTTCATTTCTTGCACCATGATCTTAGACCGTGCTAAAGCACGCATCGCCTCCGGCACCATACCCAATCGCTTCAATTCGACCGCAAGCTTTTTATCTTTGACAATCCGCTCATTGACCTTTTGGCAATATGCCTCCATGGTTAGTTGACCCATCTGGACCTGAAGTACAAGCAGCTTCAGTTTGATTTCCAGCTGCGTCAACCGATCCTGATACTCCTCCGCTGCCTCATTCTTGCCCGCCGCCTTAGCATCATGCACCATCTGTTGTGCTATCTGAACCTCACTCTCTAGAACCATGTTGGATACAATCAGATCGACACTATGTAGAATGGTATACAACGAATCAATCAAATGTGCATATTTTCGTGGAATGAAGTAGCATCATAGAAGGAGGAAAAAAAAAAAAAACCTTGCTAATTACCTGTTGAATTCATTGAGTGCTTTCTCAGCTTCGGTATCCTCTAAATCGTCACCAGTAGCGGCTGGAGCAGAAGGGCCAACGGGTGTAGTTTTGACTGGCTCTAATGCTTGGGCAACAGGCGTTGTAGTTTTCGATGGTGGAGCTGCAGGTTTGCTACTACGAGCGGCCGAAGCGCCTGTCACCGCTGCCGCAGTCTGCTTTGGTGCCTCTGGCGCTGAAGTCGGAGACGCACCAGAAGTTGCCCGACTTACTGGTGTAGTTGAAGCCACTGCAGCCTTATTAGACCTACCAACAGCAGCTCCTGCTCTTCCTCCACCAGCACTTGTATTAGTGGCAGGACGGCTTTGGGATGTTGCCGTGATTGGCGAGGGGAATCCTAGTCCACCAGAGTTGAACTCATCAATAACCAGCCATTTTTCTTCCTTGGTCACAATCTCAGGCTTAAGTAATGGACGCTGCAGTTGGATCTTGATCTCAATCTTTCCCCCGGTGGCGCGTCGTGTCGTAGGGTCCAGAAGCTGGCACATTATCAAGTCAATACAAAAAAAAAAAAAAAAAAAAAAAAAGTCGTCTAAAAATAAGATTTACTATGACAAACATCTTCAGCATTTTTGCCCCAATAGTTGATAAGCATTAACTCACCGGAACAATTTCATGAATCTCAGAGTGGTTCATGAGTGGCTGGAGCGAAACTTGAGCACGCCCAAGCAAGTAGCCCTTCCAAAGGATACCCCGATAATGCCACACTTCAAAAGTCGCCTTCCTGCGCTCAACAAATCTATGGAACGCTCTCGTACGCTCTATTCCCAAAATCTTCGAGTAATTGTAATCCGGCTTATTTGTTCGTTTCACTGTAGGGGTTGTGCCTTTACCTGCCCCTGAGCCTGCCATATTCTCAGTAGGCCATCCTAAATCCCATGATACATACGACTCAATCTCTGTAGGTTGAACGTCCTTATGGCTCAAATCCCAGGCTCGTACAATGCTAAGAGATAATTCATTGAGTCCAATTTCCTGATAAAACCCGACTTCGACTTCAAAACGGACGTCCTGAAAATGAAACGCTGGTGCCTTTCTGCCATGCTGTCGATATGATTGTAATGAAGCAAGATCTGTTTTAAAGATCTTATTGAGTTTGTGGAATTCTAGTGCTGTTTGCTTATCCCCCGTCTGATAGTAATAGGCGCATGTGGTAGTACACATTTTGATTTGAGACTCCAGTTGTGACTGTAACATATCATACGTATCGTCGTCCGAATTGGATACAATCTGAAAGTCATCGTCTGCTGCCAATTGTTTGAATTTAATCCCACCAAGTGTTCCACGAGCTGTTGATCCGCCCCTGACATCGTCAGCAGAGGCTTCTGCAATGCTACTGGTAACATGAGTTGTAGCTTCAGATGCAGATGATGCAATAGGTGGTGAAAAGGCCCTGCCTTCTGCGCCGGATTGAATTCGTGTTGAAGTGGATGAGCTGGCCGCTATTGGTGCTGCGCCGGTACCCTTGCTTGTCTTAGCAGAGGTTGTTGTGGGCGCTGTGGCCAAAATTGTTGGCGGTTCATCTGGGATAGGATAGAGCTCCAAGTCGAGGAAGCCTCCGGCCTCGAGCACTGCAATCCATTTTTGGATCTTCTTGAATGTCATGACCCTTTCTGCAGCAAGTGTCATATCGCCTGCTCGTTTGGCCTCGAGTGCTGCTCGTTTATATTGTACATCCCGAGCCTTTAGCAGTTGTAAGAGCTCCTTGTCATTCTTTTGCGGGATGGGCTCGAGACGCTTAGATGTTTTTGATAAAGTGGGAGATGCTTTTTGAGGACCCTCGGCAATCATAACTCCCACCTGTGGTGGTTGTGACTGTTCGCTCATGTCAGTGTCTCCATCCAGACTTCCATCTATAAACGCCTGGTCTTTTGGCGCAATGGCGATCATGGAGGAGCTTGCTGATTTTGGCTTATGGTTTTCAATAGAGTTATTTCCTATTTTCGATGACAATGAGCTGAGGTTTGTTGGGGGATTTAAAGCTGTCGTCGTAGAAATTGTTGCACTATCCATGCCAGCTTGTGCTTGAGAAGACGTATTTTCATCTTGTTTGATTATCGGCTTTGCTTCGGTCGCTCCTGCTTGATCCTGTCCACTATGGTCGATATGGCCACCAAATGTCTGCAATTGAGCCTGAAAAAATATTGGTAACTCAGATTAATAACAGGAGCAAGTCTAATGCTCGAACGAGAGAAATTAAATAATAAAAAGCCTCACCAAAAGATGTGGATCTTTCCAATCGTCTTCCGTCAGTTCAACATCATCATCATCGTCCTCCATGATACCCTGAAGATCCACGCCTAGTCCAGCCAATGGAGGCGGAGTAGGTGAAGCGGCAGATTTGTCAGTAGTAGCAGAGACTTTTGTTGATAAAGGGTTTGAAGCAGATACTGGTTTTGTTGACGCTTGTGTGAGCGTTGCTGCAGGTGTAGACGTTTTGGCAGAAGACTGCCTTGGTGTTGGCGCAGGTATTGGTTTTGATATTGAAGTTTCGCCCGTCAATCCCTGTAGTTCTGCCTACTTGTTTGATAGTTTTAATAGAGAATGAAATGGTCGTGGTAGCTTCCAAAGTTAGAAACAATGCTGATTTAACACTTTAAAGCATAGTTGTAGTTCATATCAACCGATAAACAACATAAGTTGTAGCCGTACTAGGAGTTCTGGGTCATTTAAATCGGCATCACCGAGGTCATCGTCGCCAATGTCGCCAATGTCACCCATGTCATCATCCCCATCAACATCTTGAGCGAGCCGCATTCCTTGGGCAATAAGATCACTGTAATCATTTGTGCCCTGCTGTGTTTGGCGCTGCTTGGACGGTGGATTCTGCTTCTTCCAGCTGAACATGTTGGTTGCTCTATATAATTATTCTTTTGTTGAGTTTGTCTGCAATAAAATGTTTGAATGAAAATGAAGACTCCTTTCCAATACGTCACGCGCGCAAGTAAATCTCGCTCCCGCCTAGAAAAACTGGTAGTGTTTGGAATAGCTTATCGATATTTTCGTACAACCCAATCAATCATTTTTTGGAAACTTCCAGTGCATTCCTCTCAGCAAGAGCCTTAGAAAGATTGTAGAATTAAAGAATCTTCAAATGATTATCTCGAACTAGGTTTGGAGATGGCTGTGCAACCATTCAGGTGTTCGAATTAATGCTCTCGCGTAAGAAATGTTATAGTTAACTTTCGTCTAAAAGTGTTGCATCTGAAGACATAGACAAAGGTTCCGAAGTATAATTTTTTGCTACTGTAGGTGTTTATTAGACGCGCTTTAAAGAGGCTTCTTGATAAAAATACAATATAGTCAAGCATCCCTAAATAGGTTATTTGAATACTTGTCAAGATTTGACAATTCTGAATCACTTTTCTTAAGACTTGTCAAAACTTTAGCTAAAACGATGTCCATTAATGCAGAAAAAATCATTCATTATCTACTTTTTTATCATGTATACATTTGCTAACTTTATCTAAATGTTTTGAATGCCTTTGGCTGCGCTTCGCCTTTTAATGTACTATGCCCACTAATGTCACGATCAAAAAGTCAAAAGATGAAGGAGTATTAGAATCAGCGCTTTGAGTAATAACCAATTATTAAACGCTTTATATAAATATATTGTAAATATTTACCAAGTCTCTCAAATAGCGCTTCTCTTGGGCCCATTTGTTCAGCTCTAACATTGCTGCTGTTTTCTCGAAACCTCCATTCGTAACTAGTATGTCGATTAGCTCGTCATGAACTCCTTTGGCCATGCCCTTGGCATCTCTAGTTACCCATAGATGTGTAAATAAATAAATAAAATAAAATAAAAAACAAAGATAAAATAGCAAATCGTTAGGAATTGTGTCCCACCATCAGCCACTGTATATATTCAAGATAAATGCGCGAATCAAATTAAGGCAACGTACCCGCAAACATATATCAATGCTCCTTTTTTGTCTAAAAGGTCCCAAAGTCTCTTACTCTCCTTTTTGATCAAGTCTTGCACGTATTTACCGCTGTTGGGTATATTTTCCTCTCGACTAACGGCGACATGGAGCTCTGTCAAAATACCTTCTTCTTTGTAAGTCTCCATCTGTTCCTTGAAAAGCCAGTCTTTTTCTCGGTGCCTGCATCCAAAGAATAGCCACATTTCCCCAAAAAGATCATCAAGCTGTTGCTGCGACCGTGGCCCAATGTTCATCAGCCGTTTTTTTATTTTTCGCTGTTCGGAACGGTGTTCCAAAAAGCCCATGAACGGCGCTACACCAGTGCCAGGTCCAATCATGATAATCGGTCGTGTGGTGTCTGTTGGCAAGTTAAATTTCGTCTCATTTGGTTTCAAAAATATTGGAATGACGGTTTTTTCAAGTCCTTCTGAAATGGCTTTTCCAAATGGCACCAAACCAGCCAGCTCATCCAACCACGGAGTGCAAACACCGCGGCGATTGACGCCTTCAGGAAGAATGTATGTCACTACATTGAATGCACACGACCAACGACGATGTCCATTCTTAGCTAGAGGTGAGCTTGTTATAGAGTAATATCTAGGTTGCAGTGGCGGCAATGTCTCGATTACTCGGGCCACCGGGATTTTGATGGATGGGAAAGTGTGAAGGATGTCTAGGAATGTTGGTGTCTGGGCTCGGAAGGCATTGAATTGATCTGAGCCTTGTTTGGAAGCCAGGAACATCAGCTGTTGCTTTTCAGTCATATCTGTAGCATGATCAGCGTAGAGACGAATATTGGCTTTCTTGGGCACTGAAGTCAAATCTACTGAGTACCGGAAAACTTCAAGCAGGCTTGCCGACTTGACGGGTTGCAAATGAGATGGGATCCCTACAACATCGTATAAACAGGTCGTAGCATGAGTATTAATATATCGAAAGTAAAGACGAGGCGATCGGAGGCCTTATGAACAATACGATGCATCACATGGTTACCTTCGCCTTCAAACTTGATATTTTTATTCTGATCATGCTCATCAACTGCGAGAGCTTCAAGCACACCTCGGACCAACGACTCGTTATTGGGCGCCCAGATGCCAAAGGCATCACCTGGGGAATAATCGACATCGTCCTCGAACCCAAATTCAACTGATAAAGTACGCTTTAATGCATCAGTTGCTGTCAGGCATTGAACGCTATTAATCTTTGCATTAATCAGCGGGGTTGGTGTCTGAATAAATGAAGGGATTGGCCTACTCGTCGCCTTACTTCCTGATGCAGTAGTACTATCACCCTCTGTGATCTTCAAGTTGGCGTTAGGAACTCGGGGTAAACCAGTGAGACTACTATGATTGCTCATGCTCGAAAAGTCTACTACAATCCTGTATTTCGCAAAGGGTGCCATAGAATCCTTCTCTTTAGCGGGTACCGATACAGAAAGGGTACTCATCCCAGAGGACAAGGTGTTAATGTCTGCTTTTTCATTAAGGTTCAACTCAAGTTCAGATGAAGTCTTTAGTGAAGTCGATGGAGGTAGCTGGCCTGGATCGGTTCCTTTTCCTATAAGGCTTTTAACAATCTTCTCCTCTTCCGGGGTAAGGTGAGGCTGAGGAAGGTCATGGACAGCTGGCGTGCAGATCACCTGATGGGCGAGGGCTGGCCAGAGATTCTTAATCCACGGATCAACCGTTTCTTCAAGTCTACATAAGAGTTAAGTATTGCTGGTGTCAGAAAATAGGGTTTCACTATGATATTCAGGCATGACAATGATTAGCTGCCTTACCCTGTAGCGTCATCCGCCAATCCTCGAGCGTAAAAAGGAGTTGCTCCAAGTTCCTGTAAGCGAGTATCAAGCCGCTTTGCAGTTTGACAGAAGTTGTCATAGTTGGTATCACCTAGACCTAAGAGACGTCATTGCGATATAGATTGAGTTGGAGGTTTAGATCGCTCTAATATCAAGATCAAATGAAGCTTGCATATCCTGCTCTGTCTTTCATTGAGTATAAACTAAAAATTGCTGAGGCATTTGACACATACCCAACACAGCATATTTGGCTTTAGTGAGTCCGACGCCCTTGAGCTTACGAAGATGACGCCAAAACTTTGTTGAATTGTCAGGTGGGTCGCCGTCGCCAGTCGTTGATACAACAAAAACAAGGCACTCTTCTTTGTCCCAGTCAACTTTTGCAAAATCATTGAGTACATAGTGAGCTGCTTTGAATCCTCGCTCCTGTGCCTGCTCATAGATGTTGCGTGAGATTGATTCTGCGTTTCCAGTTTGCGAGGCGAAAAAGACGGTCAAATGGTCTGCATGAGGAATGGAATCCTCGTCTTTGTTTGGAACCATGGCTTGCTGCGGTGTGCTGGAGTGTAAAGGGGAATGATTTAAGTGAAATGTAATGCTTCTGACTCATTTAACAGTACAACGATCCTACGTACGCGGTTCAAACGTACAATGTTCATTCATATTTAAAATTGTGCAAGATCTGCATATTTCTCTCATGATCATATCGGCGGGATGTCGATGATATTTTTTAAGTGGTTACGCCATGAGGATCTCGAATGACGGTGTTTTATGTTATCTCCTATTCTCATATTCTTGGATTAATAGAATGTGAATCCCAGGCGAGCACAGATTTCAGAGTATTCTACAAGAGCGCCTTCCAGTTGTACATCGAAACCCCTCCAATAATATTTGCTGTTCTTTGAAGTGTCAACATTTCCACTGCTGAGTTTTTTCAAAAAGGAGAATGATATAGTGGAGGCTGCACTTCTCTAGAATGGTTGTTAGAGTTGAAGGACACCTTCTGTTCAAAGCACTCATTTGTAGGATTATACAACAACCCAGGACTTATACGACATGAACAGTTGAATAAAGAGGATCCGTCGTCCCATTGGCTGTTTTTACACGGGGCAAAGTAAAACGGAAGCTTTTGTGAATAAAGCTTCTCCATGCTATGATCATATTGTCTCTCTCTTTTTGACCCCATTGGATATCGTAGTAACGGTTTCTGAAGAGACGTACATTGACTAATTTATCTTTAAATCCTAAATCCCCGTACCTCCTTGCGACGAGTGTATTAAGAAAAAGGGGCCTTTTTTGATATGCTTACGATCGAGCAATCAAAAAGCCTGCCAATATCTGCAGGCTTTTTTCTATTTTTTATTTTTTGCGTCTACTAATGTGTGCTCGGTATAAATATACTTTAATAATTTAATTATTTAATGGTGTATGATGGCAAATATGTATCTGATGAGAACCACTTTTTGGTTTCACATTCATGAACTCTATGCAGTACATGAGGTCAAAAAACTCTTCGTCAGAAAATCTTGTTTGCTTGTCAGTAATCACATTGCTGGACATGCTTAAACATATTGTCGGGAGCGATTGAGGTTGCTGGGGCATGTCCGATACGTACAGGTCAGTATTGGTATGCTTGGGTTTCAAGAATGGTTTGCTTCCCACTGATCCGGAAGGCCATCTTGTTGCCAATGTTATTTCCTTCGAGTGATCGCTTGTGAAGCATAGCATCGCAGTGTCTTCTATAGATTAGCTTTGTTGTTTTGTCGCTGATGCACGACCCCACCTGAAGGATTATGAAGAAAGGAAGGCAGCCTTGTTAGACTCGTCTTTGGCCTTATCTTTGATCAGTTCGACTCTATCTTTATCATCTAGGAGCCAAAGGACATTAAATGATGGGTGAAATACCGTGACCGGGAGGGGCTTGCTTGTAACATTAGTACTCCTCTACTTAGGAACCGCTGGTCTAAAGACTAAAAACGAGAGCCATGGCACCAATGAGCCCAAGTATCTTTATCAGCTCCTCACTTTGACTCCACTCTTTAGTCTTCATTCGTGACCTCTTTGGCTTCTCTCTACTGCTTCTCTTTTCTTGATTTAAGCCCATAGTTACATCGAATACCGAATTCTCTATAGCTAACCTAATTTCACGGAGCCTCTTGAGCATTACCAGAGTGTGTGGTTCTAGAACGATGTCCATGACGTGCACATCAGATCGATTTCTTCTTGCTTTCTTGAAAGCCTACGTTATCTTGGAATCGGGGTGGAAAGACATTGCCAAGCCGTAACACTTGCCCTTAAAAGCACGTAATTCTAAAGATCTTTCAGACATACTTTTCATAGAGTTGTGTATGTTGTATGCGACGATAGGGGAACAAAGTGCTTTTAAGACTTGGAAGGTCTATTTCATCATCAAAGCACTATCTGTTGTAATGCTTGCAATGCATTTTTGGACTATTTAATCATTCTATTACGAAGCTGTTCAAAACATAAACTTTACTCTGGATTATCATCTGTGCAGTTGCGATAGAAGTATGGGGATATGAGTGTGGAATAAAAATCAAAGGGATTGTCAAACTAATAGAGAATAATCCCCCTGATAAGGCTTTGTTATTCTACTCCTCCACTACCACCTGGCGTACTGGTTGGTGTAGAGCTAAAAAGGAAATCACTGCGCGTGGTGTACTGGCTACACCTATTATGTAGATCACACTCCTTTCCGCTTTGCTTTTATATTGCACTGGTTCCTGAAGCAACTTTACTTTTTTTTCTTTATTTTTCTTTTCTTTTCTTTTCTTTAATTATCATCTTTCATTACACGTTCACATATACACATATACAAGATGCCTTCTTCACTTCTCTTGTCCCAGAAAATCATTGGGGCCTTCTTCCTCTCTATTGTTATCTTTCCCCACATCGTCAAGGCCAATACCATCAATAATCTCACTCCTCCCTCTTCTACGTCTCTTTCTCCAACCTTTATCCATGACACATACAACAACCAAAGACGACATCTTCTCGGTAGCTTGATCTCTCTTCTTCCCAGTGATGGTAGTCAACAGCAACTACCAGAGCCACTCACGGCACCTCAATCTTCCTCCGGGTCTGAGCTACCGGCTTCGTCACTTGCTGCTGCCTCACCATCTCCATCTCCTACAACTTCCAGTTTAATCGATGGGATTCTAGTTCCACCGTTCTTTGGTCATGATAATAGTCCTGATAGTGAAGATGACCCGAGCACCAGTTCTACTATTCCCATCTCTACCTCCGCTGTTGCGGATACTCCTTCCACTACCGCCATAGAGAAACCTTCATCCTCCTTGTCTCCTGGCAAACACATTCCTGTGGATGCTGAGTCTTCTGGAACACTTAACTATGATCACAGTAATATCGAATCATCACCTCCAGATGAGGGCCCCGCGACGACTGGGAATACTACGGTTTCTAATGTGGATGCTTCTGCAGACGATCAATCACAGCAAATAAAAGTAGCTTTGTCTTCAGGATTGATTGTATTCGTGATCATTGTCGCGATTGGAGTCATTTTAGCCGTAGCCTTTAGCTGCTACAGGATCCAGCAATCCCGTTGTCTCCGCCATCAAAGCTGGGGAGAAGATTTCCTCAAGGATCATGCTGGCAGCGTTGGTTACTCAGAAAGCGCCGGATATGGCATGTACATCAGCAGCAATGGCAATAAGGGAAAGTCCAATTTCTGGAGAAAGACCCTGGGGATGCTTCGTCGCAGTTAAAAAAAAAAAAAAAAAAAAAAAAGGCGCCTGCAGAGGAAGAAGAAAGGGGGAAAAAAGGAGGGATTGAGAGTTGCTTAATTTATCATCATGTTGGTTAGAATAGTATGCAAGTATGCACAAAGTCCTCCGTTCTATCAATTCATATCTCTTTATATTATTAAATTCCTCCTTTTTCTCTTTTTTTTACTATTGACTCCTTGCAATAATTACTTGGACATTCGTCTCTCACTCCTCGCATCCTATATACAATGATTCATTACCACTTTTAATAAATAAGATACTCTTAGCAGTTTACTTTCTTTCGCTTTGCATTATCAGTTTTATTTCGAGTTATGCGAGGCTTGTATTATAACTAAACTTAGGTGTTGAATATCTAAAAGAATGAAGATGAAAGCGACTACAAAGGTTGCACTTATTACCTTTCCGCAACTATTACAATCTATGCCAGATTCTTCGCCTGATGCAGTTACTTGTTTGTTAGTGATGATTTGTAAGGTTCAGCCCTTGGTTATGGTAGATGTGCCTGGACTGGACTCCCCTTCACAAAACTGTCATGGCCTACACCTGCTCCGAGTTTCCCTCTTCCCCTCTTCCCCTCTGAACCTGTCTCCTCCTTCTCCCTTACTTTCCCCTCTTGCTTCCCCCTTGGCAGTCTCAGCGGTATTTTGATCGTCTTTTGGTCTTTGCGGAGTAATAGACCCCTTTTCGTTCGCTTTCAGGGTTATCGCAAAAACAAGTACCAATCTTTATTTTCGGCTTGACAGTATCATTGATCTCCTCAACTGACCTCAACAATCCAAGGATGGTTATTGTGCATCTAAAGTCAGAGCTATTGATGCTGCTTGTAACTGGAGGTCGAAGCAGGTTCCCCGGACTGGAAGATGTGGCGATGGTAATTAGAGAAACCTGGCTTGGCACTTGACTTTTTAGAGCTGTCGGAGCAGCGGCAGCCGTGGCTCAGACTGAATCTAGAGAACGCCAACATTGATTCGATTTTTTTTTTTTTTTTTTTTAAATAAAAGTACGCGTTCACCATTGGGATCAAACATAAAATTTCGTGCCACCGTTTTTTATTTTTGCAACATGCTAAACGATTGGGTGTTTAGGCTTTTTCTTTTTAGTATCATTAGCCCTTGTAATAAGGACAGTACTTGTAATAGGGCCAGCACCACTTATGATGATGGTGATGGTGGTGGTGTGGCCAGCAACACTTGTAGTAATCGTGAGGATATCTCCACTTGGTGGTCTCGCCAACATCTCCAACGACTTGGACTACCGGGTCCGCGCCATAATTGGCGCACGTAGTCATGGCCTCTGACCCTAACGGAGTAGGAGCTGCAGTAGCGGTCTCGGCTTCAACTGCAGCAGACACCTCGAATACCATCAAGGCGGCAATCATCATCGCGATTGAAGTGAAAGTTTTGAGATTCATTTTTTTTTTTTTTTTTTTTTTTGAACGAGTTTGATAGTGATATTTATTTTTTTTCTTTTAGAAGAACAACAACAACATAAAAAACAAAACTATTGCCTATTTATATTTATCCGGGTTGCTTTACATATCTGGTATAAAAGTAAAGAAGTCTTTCTTTCTTGTGTGTATTAGCAGCAATAAATAAAAAAATCATAAAAAAAAATCATAAAAAATCACCGCGTATTCCGAGAACTGATAAGGGAACATTGATGGATCCTCGGACATCTTCCAGAAGCGAGTTTTGCCGCGGCCATGCCACATGCCGCGCTTCTGGAATCCTGCATATATTTCTATTCAGCCTTCTACCATTACTGTATCCTTTCTTTGATTCGCTTCCTGTGTTGAGAAAGTAGTAAAGGGACAGAGCCGTAAATCAAATCAGTGGATGACTTTCCTTCATGATTTATAATAAAAATTTTATTATGATTGCTTGTTATCGTGTAAAAGTACATGAGGAAATAATAAAAATAAAAAAAAATAAAAAAAAAAGCCAATAAGCGGGATATTCCGTGCGATACGATATGAAAAAAAAAAAAAAAACCGAAATGCTTCTATTCTACAATGCAAAAAAAAGTGAAGTTTACAATGGTTGAGGCTTTGTTGACCGCACAAGAGTAACAATAACTGTGATATCGTCAATTTTTCTAAATGACACAGAGGAAGATAAAGGTTCATCAGTTAATTTATCTGCTACCATCAGAAATATTAATGGTCTTTAATGAAACCATCAATATTGGCTGCATTTTTTTTTTTTTTTTTTTTGCTTTGGACTTACCCTCCATGTTTGATATGACGAGCTCCCTGACTGAAGGGTGTCATACGCTTAGAGTCCAGCGAGAAACGTCTTGCAGTATTTGTAAGGCGTTTGGAGAGTGCCCGCACTCTCGCCAAGATCTCGTCTACCGTCTTAGATTCGACCACCTCATGTTGCTCCTGGTGTACTCCACGTTCAAACTGTCGCTGATGTTGTCGTTGCTGCTCACGAATGATATCTCCCAGTTCTCTGTCAACCAATTCAATAGCTTCTTTCGTAAACACGTTGTCCCAGAAGCCATCAGTTGCTAATACAATCACATCACCATCCTGTAGCTGGTGCGTTGTCTGGACAGCATCCTTGGGTAGATCCTGGACATAGGCCTTCTTTTTTGCAGCTGCCTTTGCCTTTGGAACATTTGAACTGTGGTGAACATCATTGTCGCTATCGGTATGTTCAGTATTATCTCCAGGACCTTGTCGATTGTGCTGCTGTTGACGGAGTTTTGGTGGCAATACAGTAAGTTGATACGGACAGTTCCAGAAATGTTGCTGGGACGGAGACTCATAGATACACCGGTTATCTCGAATTAGTAAGAACGCGCTGTCTCCTAGATTTGATGCTTTCAGTGTGCCTGTTAGCTTGCAGAGCGAAAGAATGCAAGCCGTACTTGATCCTAAAGATACCATGACATCATGCAGGAAAGGTAGAGATTGGAAAAGATGAGACGCCGCAAATAAATGCATCGTGGAAAAAAAAAAAAAAAAAAAAAAGAATTGTGGAATTCTCACGCCCTGTCCTCACGTCCTTGATTCATGTCTCACAAAGATTGTCTGACCTGCCTAGCTGTGAGCTGCAGTAAAAATTACCTGCTTCGACCGTGCCACTTTGGACAAGTTCACTGTATGCGCCATCAAGAATCGTCTGCGCATCCAAAATTCTCCTCTCACCGCCTGCGGCGAGAGTCGGGTCTGCTGATGCTCCTGACTCTGAAACCGCGGTTGGTGGAATGTTGTCTGTGAGTCGCGCGATGTTCTCTGCATTGTTCATCAATGCCCATGAAAACAATGCTGGATCTACGCCCATCTATGAAAAAGCCGGTTCAGACACAAAGAAAGTGTCAGATTTCCATTCTTATGGTGTATAGAAACAACGAGAACAGCAGACAAGGTTTAGCAGGCAACAAGGCGGTTGTCCTTTGAGCATATTAATATCAAACAAAGAGGTATTTAAGAGCAAAAAAAGTGACATGTGATAAAAGCCGAAAATATAATAAAATGGTAGAAGCTATCTCATCATCAGCAAGGAGAGCATAGTTCGGTAAATCCATTTTTGGGAAAACCAAGCGAGCTTTCTATCTTTTGATCCGTTGTATCTGCATTGAATCTCATAAACTCCTTCTGCGATGAAGATTATTATAAAAATAAAAATAAAAAAAAAAAAAGATTGACATTTATATCTGAAAGTTCCATTCTTCGCACGAAATATCGAAGGTTTGTGAAAATGAAATAAATTGGTAAAGGGTATATGGGCATATAGGCATAAAGGCATATAAAAATAAATGGATTGTAGCAATCATTACTATATTGTAGAACACGACTCACCTCTGACCATCCACCAACACCATCAGCCACGCCCAGTGCAACGCGACTTGGTGTTGAGACGTGGAAAAAAGCATCTTCGCCCGCATCGACTTTCCCCGGATGTGGATGTGGACGTGGATGCGCAGCCCGCAGCTTGGCCCTCCAACGCAGGGTCCTCTCCTCATTTGCTGCATTCTCTAATTGTTGTTGATGTAGAATTTGTTGGCGCTGCCGCGATTTGGGATGCCAGCTTGCTGCCAATAGATAGTTGAAAGCAATCATACCATTTGTGGACGTTGCTGTTGATGCCGGTGCAGCTGTTGTCGTTGACGGAGAGGCTGTGTCCACTATCGTTTTATCTTCTTCCTCAACAGCAGCACTTGCAACACTTGCAGCGGTGCCATTGACGGGATATTGACCCGTAGAGTACAGATCTGGAGGCAACAGGATCTCTTGACCAACCAGCTGCGGTTGAACAGTAACGCTTGGGGCTGCGGTGGCACTAGTATGGAGCTGAGACGTAGATGCAGACCCATCGAGTTGAATAAGTGTCGGAGTGGAAATATTGCCATTTTTGCTCTTAGTGGCACCGTTCGGGGTGTTGGTGAGCAATAGCTGAGGGGTCAAAAATAGGAAACGATGCACATGCAATAAAGCATATGGTCTTAGCATCCACTGAGACAGTCGATGCGACATGATGCGGGTCATGCTCAAAGGCCTGGTTGCATTAGGGCCAAGCATGGTCAATTAACACAGAATGAGGAAAGTAAAAGAAGGAAGGAGGTCAATGTAACACCAGTCGAGCAAAGAAAGAGAGTGGTAAAATCGAGAGGAGCAAGTAAAAAGAAAAAAAAAAAAAAAAAAAAAAAAGAATAAAAGAATGAGGAAGTGGTCCTTGTAATGACTATAATGTAAGGAAGAAATAAACCAATATCGATGGAATGAACAAGGAAGGAGTATTAGAAAGGAGTAAAAAAAAAAAAAAAAGGAAGGAGTAACATAAAAAGAGAGAGGAACAGAGAGGAAGCCAAGAACGCTTCTTTACTTTTATTTCTATTTTTTATTTTTTTCCTGCCATTTCCGATCGGAAAAGGCTTTTTTGCTCCGTCCTTTGCTCTTCGACATCCAAACTCACCAGACAAACGACGCCCTGACAGGACAGATGGACGAGAGCATCAAAAGATCGGATGGACATGGATGGGTCGGAGTCTTGTCTTCTCTTCTTTACTTTGTCCTGCTTCGCCTCCCTCTAAGAGAAGAATTACATCATGCCCTCCGTTATTGGCAATGGCGCGTATGGAGGTGGCTCCTTTATGAACATGTGCCATGTACCCCACACACTCTTGCATTCAAACAGATCACACAGAAACAAGTTAATTCAAAATATGCAGACAACACGAATCATTTTTTTTTATTTTTTTATTTTACAAAGCTAAAAGGGGATTTTCTCGTTTGACTCAAACTATACAACGATCAAAGACTTCACTCCACTCATTTAAGCGGTCATGTAAGTCGAAACATCAATCTCATCAGGAAGCTCAGGGATCTGGACCTCAAATCGAGACTGGATCTGCTTCAAGATCTCAGCATCCTTATCATCGGCAACAAAGGTCACAGCGAGACCCTTGGTACCGAAACGACCAGCACGACCAACACGATGAAGGTAGGTGTCAGCAGCATCTGGAACATCATAGTTGATCACAACGTTCACACGCGAAACATCCAAACCACGGGCGAACACATCGGTTGCAACCAAAATACGTCTGTTAAATTCCTTAAAGGCCTTGTAGCGGGCAATGCGCTCCTCCTGAGGCATCGATCCGTGAATACAGATACTGGGGAAATTGCAGTCTGTGAGCAACTTGTTTAGTTGATCAGCACGGGCCACCGACTTTACAAAGATGCAGACTTGATTGAATTCGAGCGAGTCCAAAAGATCATTGAGCTTGCGGTTCTTTTGGGCCTCAGTAATGCCGACAAAGTACTGCTGCAGACCATGCAACGTGAGTTTAGTCTCGTCATCAACATAGATTTCAAGAGGGTTCTGCATGAACTTCTTGCAGGTCACACGAGTATCCTTGCTGAGAGTGGCAGAGAACATCATGACTTGCTTGTGATGAGGAGTGGCCCTGAAAATCTCCTGGACATCACGGCGCATATCTAAAACATTTACAAACAATCAAAAAGCTTTTTGTTAATTTCCCCGTTCAAAGCAGGTCAGCCCATTACGGTATTGACTATGTTTAGCACTTTAATTGTATCCTCTCTTCCAACAATGATCAGAATAAATCTTTATCTCATTAGGAACTTATATTGTCCTTTAACGAGCTGGGTTAATAGCATAAAGTTATCATCATAACAAAAAAGCTCTCGTCGAAATTAAATAACACTACGAGATGAAGAGACCACCCAATCTAATGAACAAATACCAATGGCAAAAGTGTAAAAGTTTTACATACCAATTTGATCAAGCATCTTGTCGCACTCGTCAAGGACAAAGTGCTTAACGTTCTTGAGGTTAAGGGTCTTATCTTTGATCAGGGCAAGGATACGACCGGGAGTTCCGACCAAAATGTGAGGGCAAAGCTCCTTGTTCTTGAGAATGTCCTGATCACGCTTCAAGGGCGTGCCTCCATAAAAGACTTCGGAGCGAACCTCAGGAAGGTACTTGCTGAAACGAGCGTACTCGTTCTTGATCTGGAAGGCCAATTCACGAGTGTGGCAGAGGACAACGACAGCAACCTCACCAGGAACGGCCTCGACCTGCTGAAGAGTAGCGAGGACGAAAACAGCTGTCTTACCCATACCAGACTTGGCCTGGCAAAGAATATCCATACCAAGAATGGATTGAGGAATACACTCCTGCTGGACTGTATTACAATAGACAGAAAAGAATCATTAGCATGAATGAATACCGAAATAAAAAAAATATACTAACGTTCATAATTCAGATAAACGTAAAAGACAAAGATGCTTACCCTCAGATGGATGCTCGAAACCGCAGTCAACGATAGCGCGCAACAACTCTGGCTTCAAGAGGAAGTCACGGAAACCAGTCGAATGCACACCAACATAAGAGCCTTTCTTGTCCTTAGCCTCCTCGGTAGCCTCAGGTTCATTAGTGGCAGGGACAGCGTTGATAGACTCAACAACATCATCATACTCATCGTAATCAACGAGATCATCGTGGTGGTCGGCCATGTTATTAAAAAAAAAACTTGTTCCGGAACGACTAAAACAGTAAAGCGCAGCAGATAAGATTGGATCCAACAGGCAACCGAGATATGGGTGACAAAGACAAGGCGGACAAGGCAAAAAAATAAAAAATAAAAAAAAAGAAAAGAAAAAGAAGCGCAGCGAATTGTGCAGCGAATAGGCAAAGGGATGGAGGGTGTTTTGCGTTTAGTATTCGATTTTTTTTTTTTTTTTTGTATGAAGGATAGCCGCAGAACGAAACGGAAATGGTCGCATGTCTTGAACGAAACAATAAAGAACAAAAAGCAATTCACTCCACAGACAATAGGGGAACGTGAGCGTGGCGTCATGTGTGGAGCATCCTCCTGCACTGCGTGTAAGGCGAAGGCGAAAGCAGCCTCTCTCTCTCTCTCTGATCTGTATCTATAGATGTTGTCGTTATCCTTCAGGTCCGATGTACGGTGTGTGTGGTAGAGGGTGGGTGTACGTATAAAATTATATAAACGTGCTTTTTGACTGAGCCAGAAAACACCGCCGCTTCTCTCTCGTAGAAGACGCTTCCTGGTCAATCATAAAGACGAGCGGCCGCTTGTGCTGCTGCTCGATTCTCGTGCGCTCGAAAGAGTCGACTCTTTTTTAATAATAAAAAAAAACTCGATCCTTCATCTCATGAGGATGATGTTGATCATCCTACTCTTGAAACGATGCGGTCAGAGTTGTGCGAGCGGTATGACGCTTGCAGGTGTGTGATGTCCTGGTCGATGACTAGGCAAATCACCCATTGCAGAGGCGTATTAACTTTGCCGTGCAGTGCAGTCAACTGATGAAGCGAGCGGGTGAAACTGGATGAACCAAACCAAACGGAGGCAGATCGCCTCCGAATGGATGCAGGATCCAGCGAGAATCGTTTTTTTTTTTTTTTTTTTTTGTCGATGCATAAAGTAAAGAATCATGACTGCAATAGAAGGGGATATGATGAAGACTTCGAAGTGGGCCGCCAGCCAGAAAAGAGAGAAGGAGCAAGGCCACTACAGATGCGGCAAGTGCGGCAGAGGATGTCCATCTTGGCTGTAGAGACAGACATACCAAACTATGTGAGAGCGAAAGTGGCAGACGGGACTTGCGTAAGAGGAGTTTCTTTAATCAATGGACTGGCGTTAAGACGGATCGATGGATAGACAGATAGATGGATAGATGGATAAATGGATGGATGGGTTGGAAAGTTGAGGTGGAGTGGAAGAGAAAGAAGAAAGAAGTGGGGAGGCGCAGAGTTTCAGTAGAAGCGTACACCATTATTGGACTGGTAGTGTATGCACAAAATGAGACTCCTCATTGGCCCATCTGAAACAAATGCCTTGACTTTACGCAATCAATTATCACCTGACTAGTCCTAAATGTTTACAAAGTTACAAAAGCAGCACAACTTGTTACGGTGACATAGATAGACAAGGCTTTAAGGGCTCGCATTGGGTAAAAATAGACGTTCGTTTAATTCAGTGTCAACTCCTTTGCTTGAGTGTATGCAGCCAACCAACGGATGCCGTCAATAAAGATTGGAAAACAATCATATGTCATTATCGCCAACAAAAAAGCAAAAAAAGGAAAAAGAACGTCAGTGTGAAAGCATAAATACTTTGTAATACAATGCGTTCAACGTTTAAACTACGACCCTGCACATTCCAGCCCACTGTCAAAGCTGTGCCCATGTGTCTTTGGCCCGTTATATAGTGGCTAGAGCGGATGAAGCAAGTAACGAAGGTGTCATCGATGACGGGGTTTGACTAGAAGCAGTAAATACCAAAGCATCTCTTACTGACTAGGAAAAGAAAGATCAAGGAAAAAAAAAAAAAAAAAACGATAGTGGTTGCCTCAGATGACTCTATTTGAACGAGTAGTGCTCTGCTCACTGCGCTTGTCTCGTCAAGCTGTTGGGGGGGGGGAGGGGGGAAGGGCTCCACAAAAGCAAGCGTTTGTTTGGCTCGCCTTTGTCCTCGAATGAACTTTTAAGCAAGTCGCGCTCTTTTGACAAAAACGGATATGGAGATTATTTAAATTCTAGTTTGAGGAATGAGCACGTTGTTCCTGAAAAAATACCAGAAGTTGGAACGTGGTATCACAGAAATGATCTAATCTGCTGTTTAAAAAAGCGAACCAATTCACCAGCCATTCATTTCCTCTTATCAAGGCACGCTGAATCATCATTACGAAGATAAGCATATAATACACATTAAGGCATTGTGACAAAGTGTTCAAGGTTTGGAGGATTTTCACCCTTTTGAGCAACAGGTACATGTTTGACTGTACACAAGCGAATACGTATACAATGTATATTTATAAGAAAAACGGAGTGAGCTACACGAGAGATGTTTGCCTTTGCCAGAGACCAAGTCCTTTGATGAGCACTCATTTTTGATCGTAACGACAAAATAAAAAAAGGATGACAATGTGATCAACTAAAATAAATAAATATGCACGATTGAATCGTTTATTTATAAAATAAGTTGCACGTAGAAAACCAGAAAACCAATAGATGGTGTCAAGGAGTGCCTAAAATATTCTTTATACGTAAACGGGGTAACTTGGGTACATTACATACAGAAGAATAGACCTAATTGCTTAGTCTTGCTTCCTGCTCTTTCGTTAAATGGGGAGACCCGTCTTTTTTTTTTTTTTTTTTTTTTTTTTTTTTCTCTCTTTCTTACTCTTTGATTAACACGCACCGATACTCACAAAAACAACACACCTCTATTACAAAAGACCAACAATCTTACTGCGCTTGCATAACTCTAGCAATATCCCATCAACATTTTATATAAAAAAAGACACCTGTTCATCTCTCGAGCCAAACCTTTTCAATATAAAGATCCGACTTTATAACAAAACATTTTAAGCAACAGCAACAAGAAGAAAAAGAAAAAAAAAAAAAAGCAACTTATCTCATCATGTTCATGCTTTCCTGGATTCGTTCGGACGCTCAGGCTTCCAATGCTTCGAATGCGGCTGTTGAAGTTGATGCCTCTGATGTTGTCACCGCTTCCGCAACCACCCATTCGGATTTGAGTGTTGAAAAGCATCAAGATGACTGGGTCTTCTTACCTTCGAACCATAATGACCTCATGGAATCCTCAGTCTCAGACCTGGATCTACTTTCGGCGTCAATGACGCTGTACAGGCCAGGGCCCTCAACCACTTCCAAGGGGCACCCTGCATCGGCACGTCGGACACAGGCCGAGGCGGAGACTATTTCAGCGTCTACAACGGAGACATCGACATCTGAAAGAGCATTGACGGCAGCAACGTCAACAGCAATGGGAGTATCAGAAACAACACCGACTGTCAAGAAGAGCAAACGACAATTGAAACAAGAGAGGCGGCAACAGCAGGCATTAGAAGAATTGGAGCGTCAGCCTCGATATGATCCGATAACTGCAAAGAAGAGAGATCAAGAATTCAAGATGGCAAAGCTAGCCAAAATGAGTATGAGGAGCAAGGCGTAAAAACGAAACCTAATATGACACCAGCCAAAGCATGCTTGTTTCATCATCTAAGAACGCGCCTCATTTCTCTTTAACAGTAATTGTTTGTATTATTGATTAGTTTATTACTCTTAATCGTTTTTTTCTTTCCCTTTCCTCTTTTCCCTTTTCCTTTTTCTTTTTTCTTTTTCTTTTTCTTTTTATTTTTATTTTTTTTCTTTTTCTTTTTTTTTATTGCACTTCCACAAGTTGCACTTTTTTTTTCTTTTTTTTTTTTTTTTTTTTTTTTTTTTTTTTTTACAACCGTTCCGAGGATACTAGTCGCCTCTTTGTTCCCTTTCTTTCTCTGAGCAAATGGTCTAATAGAATAAAAATAAAGACAAATTCAAAAAATAAAAAAAAAAAAAAAAAATACATGTACACAGCTTGGCGTGTGTGCACACATTTTTTTTTTATAGATGCAGAATGTATGCGCATTTATTCCACGTCCTATTTTTCCACAAGCTACATGTTGTTTATCTCTGGAAGGAATGAAATTGTGGTAAAAACATGAGGCTATTTTAGCAAGAATCTCCTTGACAGGAACCAAAATGCTGACAAGGTGAGGTGGTAGACATGCGTCTAGTATTACTATTGCAGACCTATATAAAAGCAATTAAAAAAAAAAAAAAAAAAAAAAACACGACAAAGGAGTTGAAGCACTTTTTTTTTTTTTTTTATCTTGAGAATGCCATAGGTATAAAAAAAAAGTTGAATCGATTTCAAACCATTTGACCGGGACAATGGCGCACAAGTAAAAGTGGGGCCCTGATGCCGTCCACATAACCGAAATCGATGCCATCCATATAACCGAAATCGAATGGAGATTCAAAAAAAAAAAAAAAAAAAAAAAAAAATCGTGTGAATTAAGCCAAGATTTATATATAGCAAAGATAACAAGTTTCGTTAAAGAGGTTATACCTAAGTAAGGACCACAAACAAAGTATGATCTGTCATCGATGCCTATCAAGCAATATGGATTAGACGTAAAGGGTTGAAACCACGATACACCTTTATTTTATTAGATATATATATATTTATTACTAACATCGAAGGAACGCGCCTTGTGGACACCGCGCAGAGATCTGGTAAAGAAATGAAGAGAGGAATAATATTGTGAACCAGTAAGAGAGTAAACTCAACATGATGACTTTTTCTTTTTTCTTTTTACAGATTTGTCTGGATATGAGAAGGAGTGATGGAGAAGAGAGAAATAAAGAAAAGAAAAAGAATGAAGTAAAAGAGAATAAGGAGAATGTTTTTATAATTGAAGCAAATCAACGCGTCACCCAAAATAAAATAGAATAAAATAAAATAAAAAAGATAAAAGAGATATGGAGGCTACTTTAATGAATTTCTTTTTTATTTTTGGTGGCGATGCGACCGACTTCCTTTTTCGTATCGATTGCTTTGCCACAATAAAAAAAAAAAAAAAAAAAAAACCTTGTGTGATCAACCGAATTGCCCACCATTTTTTGTTCTAATCCTTTCCATTGACATTCTTTTTATTGTTATTATTATATTTTTATTTTTATTTTTATTTTTTTATTATTATAATACTCGCCTCTTACCTCATTCACCACCTCAACACTCACATTACAACCATAGCAATGTCCTTCACTGGTATCACAGATGAGCCTTTGTCCAATACATTGGCTCCTAGCACAGCAGCCACTTTAACAATCCGCGTGATCAAATCATTCGAATACCGTACTTCAAAGAATCTCATTCTGCACAACATCGATCTCACAGCCACCACAGTTGGACAGCTTCGTGAACTGGTCATTGAGAGTAAGTTGAATAGAAAACAATAACGAACCCTTTTTTTTTTTGTTTATTTGTTTGTTTTAAATGTCCATGGATGATAATTAGTACCATGGTTCGTGTGGAAAGGAAGAAAGGCTTGATTACTTGAACTACATCCAAAAAAACGCGCTAAATGAACCATAATGATGTGTATTGAAAATAACAATTCGCTTCTGCCTCTTTTCTTTACCATCCTTTCTTTCTACTTGAAAATATAGAAATCAAAACAACTCCTGGCTGGAAACCCTATCAAAATGTTGTCTTTGGTAAAAAAAGAAAACAAAAAAAAAAAAAAAAAAAAAAAAACTTGTTCGTTAATTGTTGTTAGCTAAGGATAGATGATAACAATAGCAATAGCAATAGCAATAACTGATCATCCTTTTTTTCTTTATTATTTTATTTTACTCAACATAGATACTCTCAAATTGTATACAAAGGCCCATGGTTCAAAGACAATGAATTTGATCATCAACCTCGATCATGACGAGGATTGGATGTTGACTAATGACGACGAGCTTCTTATTAATCATGGCATTGAAAACGAAACTGAAATATCCATCTTTAACCGGGAGCTCTATGAGGCATACAAGCAGCACCCTGACATTAAATGGTAGTGATGAGATGAATGCAATTTTGAACAAAGCCTAATAAAATAAAGTATAAATATATATACATGTAAAAAAAAAGTCTCGACAAGCTCATATTCTCACAATTCCAACTTTTAATAGTTGTGTCGTCTCATTCTAATTAGAACTACTGCCTATATAGGTCTATAGTGCAAAGCTCATTATGGTTATTCTCAGCGGTTTCAAACACCTTTGTGATGCTCGAGACTTTTGGAGCTTGACCACGGGCTCGGGAGCGCCAGTAGAGTAACAATACTCAGAGAAGCACTCCAGCACCCACCAGACAGGCAAGTAGGACTATGTTTTTATCTTTGCCTTTATTAAACTCACCACTGTTTTGCACTGGGTCGAAATCATCAGGCGTCTTTGGGGCAGCACCAAAGGTTTCAGGGATATTAACCGTGGAAGGACCCGAGACAATGCTATGTCCTGTTGCTAATTCTGTATCTAAATTCATAGTCTGGATCTCATCACTGAAAGCAATTAATGCAAATGGCTTTGAAGCCGATGTTTGTAGGACTTTGAAAGAATCCAGACGGTGGAAAGGTTCTGAAAGATTGTGCCCTGGTTTGATCTCTATTGTATTTGAGATGATATCAATCACAAACAGTTTCGCCTTTGCTTTTTCACTTTTTCACTTTTTCACTTTTTTTTTTTTTTTTTTTTTTTTTTTTGGCAAAGGTTGGGAAAGTGAAAGTATGAATACATGAAGAATTAGTATTTTGAGATTGAAAAAAAAAAAAAAAAAAAAAAAAAAAAAAAAAACTTACCCACCTCTCGTTAGTACAGTTAAGATAATAGGTATTGTTGACAATGTCAGCATAGTGATGGTAGGACGATTTACAAACCCTCGTCGAGGGTGAATTCAAAAACGGGGGATTTGATGGCATATGGCCCGGAACTTCTCTCATCGGGTATATTATGATCGCATCATCGTCATCAGGCCCAAGCGTAACTTTATAAATGATAAGCTGATTATTGAAGAGACCATGCTCCAGGGCCTGTGAGGTTGTACATCTCTACCATGGCTTCGCTAGGACTTCCTTTTGGATTGTTCAAAGTCCAGTGCTAGAACGCGCAAATCGATTACCGTACTCACCGACGAATAATCCGGAGAATGTAGTGAACGTAGTGAAGACTCCTTTGTCATCCACAGCACATAGGAACGACTTGGGGGCCTCCAGCCTCTGGAGATTGAAGGCTCGGATTGAAGACGCAGAGGCAAGGGTCCATTGGAAGGCGTCTATTAGTTTTGAATGCTTAAGGTAGTACTTTTTATCCACAACAGCCTCATTGAGCGGTGATCTAATCAAAAGCATGTTTGGCTCTTCTTCTTCCGCCGTAGCAAAAGGCCGAGTGCTTTTGTCCAAATAATTTGCGGCAGCGAATCCGTAGACTGTATTTGATGTTTGATGTTTGGCGAAGCAAAAGAACATCGAGTTTACCCATTTTGTCAAAGAGAGATATTCTTTGAATGGTTGGATTTTTCAAATATTAATTTTTTTAAAAAAAAAAGTGAGAGACAAATGCAAGAGCAAGGATGAAGAGAATGTTTGGAATCAATCCTCTTCATCCTCTTTCTTTTTTTTTTTTTTTTTTTTTTTCTTTTTTCATCTTTTTGTTCGCAATCATTCTTTTCTTATTCTTCAGCATGTTCGACTATAAAACGTAATACATGGGTTATTGGGTAACACACGCCGCACTTTTTCAAAGTCGCCTCTACAGCCCCTACAGCCGCAAAAACTGGATCCTCTTGAACATCAAAAATGAAGAGACCATTGTCTGCAGTCTAAAAATATCCTGAAGAGGGGTCGATGGAACCATAACTGTTTAAAACATTTAGGTAGAAAAAAAAAAAAAGACAAATGCCGGTTATTTAACACACTACATGGGGCTGATAGCATCCGGAGCGATAGAGTTTTATCAGACCTTACTATGTCCTGTTGCGTTCATTGTATTATTGCAGATACCAAAAAGCTTTTATAATCACTTGGAGACATTACTCTTCGACGCTCACTAGCGGTATCAGGTGTACTGACTCCAATTGGGGTTGAAATAGGCGATCTTGCTTTTACCAAATGTCTTCACTTCACATACATCCAAACACATCTCAGGACGCATTTTTTTGCAAACGTTATTTGAGTTTAAACAAATTAGAGTTCAGATGCTGAAAGGGCTTCTTTAGTTTTGTGGCGACACAATTTTATGTCTAGTAGACACTGCCATCGGTCATTTCTTCATCCTCCTCCGAGTCAAACTTGAAGGATGGACGCGTCTGCAGCTGCGAGCTCGGTTGTACCAGCGTTTCTTGCGTAAATCCTTCTGCTTCCCCGTTTTCTGGAACCAAGGTACGTCTTTCTTCTTCGCTTTCTTCTTCACTTCCTTCGCTTTCGCTTTCTTCTTCACGTTCTTCGCTTTCGAACTCGTCTTCAGTGTCACTGTAGATAATTGTCTCCCACTCGTCCAATTTCCCTGCAAACTCTAGTTTCTCTCTCTTCACCTCCAAGTCCTCCAGCTGAGACTCCTTACCCAATTTAAATGCAAAATCAGATATGACTTCTTGAATGACCATTCCAAGTGCTATATGGGCAGTCAAGTCCATTGCTTCAAACATATCAGGGCAAGGGTTGAAATGGGTATAGAAGTAAGATGTATAAAAATGTAGAGCCTGTAGAAAGGATGTTTCAGGCAGATCTAAAAGAGATGAAAACAATTAGTTTGTATAAAAACTCGTCGGTTATAAAAATAAATAAATAAAGAACTGCAAGAGAGACGTAACATACCACAGGCTGAAGGGATGACTTGCTCATTTTTCTTTACGACCCAGGGCCGGAAAGTCCTCGCCATATGCTTCTTATACTTTGGAACCTTGATCTCCGCATGTTCCGGAGCCTTCTTCGCAACTTGCTTGAATCGATCATGGAACAGACCCCATCTCTCTTCCCGCATGTTTTCTCCTCTAATTTTCCGATTGACATGAAGACCATTCACATCCACCTCTACATCATTATCCTTCTTTCCAGCACCAGCGATATCGTTGTCACTATTGTCGTCATCAGAGGAATACACGAAACTCTGTTCTTCTCTCTCTTGGTTATGACTGCCATCTTCAGCAGTAGTTATCGTAGCCATGTTTTCTGATTGTGATCCTATAGTCCATCCCTGTTTCTCTTCCCCGAAAGGATCTCTGGCCATGCCCACAGTTTTTGCTGGAATCTTTTTCCGACGGTCAAAGTTTTCGCGAGCCCTTTCATCCACCAATGTGCTCATCGTTGGTTGGTTCAGAGCCAAGAAGAACGAGTTTGACATCTTCTTTTGAATTTTTGCATTCTTTTTGTCCTCAAGTATAATCTTCCGCTCCTGTTTTTGTATCTCTCTTTTCTCCCGAGCTTCTATTTTTTCGACGAGTTCCGATATAAGTTTTAGCCGTGCTTTTGCCTCTTTTCTTCTCTTCCTAATCTTCTCCAACTGCTCTTTTGCTTTAGCTTTTAACTTGGCCTTCCTCAGCCGCTCTTTTTCCCTGGCCAGTCTCTTTAGCTCCTTTTCTTTGGCTTTCGCTAACCGTTTTTGGTATTTAGCCATCCTTCTTTCCCTCCTTGCTTTCTTGGTTTTCAAAAGTTTATTCTGGCGAGCCTCGTCTGTTACGGCTTGTGAGGATGTATCCATAGGCAAGGTAGATGTGGTACTAACTGGTACTTCGTCCTTTGCCTGTCGGGACTTGGGTTTAGTATCCTTCTTAGCCTTACTTGAGGATGTGCCTCCTTTTTTTTCTTTTCGGGAGCCGGGCTCAACGGCATTTGTGACGTTATTTGAATGTGTTGTGCCATCTTGGGGATCCCTTGGTTCTTTTTCAGGTATGGCCTGATTCATAGTCTTTTTAGATTGATCAGGATGGTTAATCTTCATTTCACGCCAAGGTCGAGGTGCGGAGCCGTCGTATACGTAGTCTAGGCCAGTCGCAAGATTCCTGTCTATGAGAGGCTGAGTTCCCTGAGGGGTAACTACCCATGTGGGCGCTCGCTCGCTGCTGATGATACTGTTGGCTCCAGCGTTTATAGCATATTGTTTCAACCCTTGGAACGTTTGTTCAGTTACAAGAGAAGTACCCTCAATAGGATAAGAACATGATTTTGGCTCAACATTGGGCCCCAAGTCGCCTGTTACAGATGCTGCTACCCCTTTATTCATTGCAAGAGTCATCCGGGAAGAAGAGTAGTAGCATTGACTGCAAATAGGTTTGTGTCCCGAACATTCGAATCCCTGCAGAAGACAAGATGTGCATTTTGATGAGTACCGAACTTGTCCAACCATTGCACCGCCTACATAGTTGCTTGTTCCATCGTCGCCCGCGTCGACATTGCTGTCACCATTGATACCACCATGGCTATTATCCTTCGCGCTTTGATAGTCGTTTTTGTCCCGTCTCATCCTTGCTTCAAGCGCCTTTCGTCCTTCTTGATCTATTTCATGAAGATCGCCCGACTTGTCCATCCGAAATCGTGCCGCAGGAATACTTTGGACTTCAGGGGTCATTGGAGCCACAGTACCCACAAAGGTCTGATTCAACACTAGCCGTTCGATCTCCTTTTTGACTTTTTGCATCTTTTTAGTGATAAGGAGTTGTCGAGGAGCAATAATATGATCTTTCCAACGTTCATACCTGACCTTCTCAAATTCGTTATTCTTCTTAAACAGCCCAATAATCTTTTTGTCCAAGACATCATAATGGCTATGGGCGTCTTCCTCATTCTCTTCGTCCGTTAATGCATCAGGATCCTTCTCTGCTTCATCCTCTGTTATAGGGGCTAAATCTTCCGCCATTGCTATCATGTATTGATAAAGAGCATCATCTTTGCCTCCACCAGCATCAACCTGAAGGTTGCTGTCATCGCCAAAGCCGTCAGTAGCTGTATGATCCGTAGGAGGATCACAACACGTGCAGAGCTGAACAGGCGTGATGCCACTAAAGGCTTTGACTCGCTCTCGAAGACCTCTCAGATACATTTCATTATACATGCGCTCTTTATAATAAATATGGTGTTTATATCTCTTTCTTTTCTTCACTGTAGCATTATTGTTGTTTTCACCATCACCGGCCTCTGTTGCTGCCGCTGTTGCTGCCGCTGTTGCTGCCGCTGTTGCTGCCGCTGTTGCTGCCGCTGTTGCTGCCGCTGTTGCTGTCGCTGTTGATGTCGCTGTTGATGTCGCTGTTGATGTCGCTGTTGCTGCCGCTGTTGCTGTCGCTGTTGATGTCGCTGTTACTGCCGCTGCTGTTGTCACTGGCGCTGTCGCTATTGCTGTCGCTGTAGTACTGGTTTTATTTCTACCATTGCCAGTCTCTGTAGTAGGCGGTTTTGGCTTTCTCTGTCGCTTCTTTGGAGTTTGTTGTGTGACAATTTCGTCCTGTCCCTGTCTGCGCGATGGCCGTTTTGAATTTCGGGCCACTCCATCCTCTTGTTGCTCATTTGTTACGACATTTAGTTGCTCTTGCTCTGAATTCCATGGGAATGCCCGCTTTCGCTGAGATTCAGTCTCCATTGTTAAGTGCACGATCCTTTAGCGCATGCAGAAATAAAAGAGAGAATGAACAATTGAAAAAAGTGCCACCAAAAAAAAAAAGAAAAAGATAAATCATGAATAAGCCACGACTCAAACTTTGATTCGGTGGCTGATTCCTTTGGGTGCTGTGTTCGAAAAAAAAAAAAAAAAAAAAAAAAATCTTTATTATTGTAAATGAATGCTTGGGAGACAAAATGTGGGGTTATATGTATATAATTTGTATTTCTATTAATTTTTCTTTAGAGACGATAGATCTTTTCAGCTTCATCGGGTCTGACAACCTTGTCTACACTACCCTCAGCCAACATTCTATCCCACCAACTGAATAAAAAGTGTTCACAGATCAGCTTGAACCAAGGGGTGACAATGATACCGCTATCGGGAGTAACTCCCTTCTCCAAGAGAGCCTTGAGCTCAGCTTGGTTCACCCAACAGACATCACGGACTTCGTTAGGACTGGGGTTGATGTCGATAAAGTCCTTGTGTTGTGGTCTAATGAACAAGATGTAGTCGATCTCATGCTCTCCCCAGATATCGTTCGATGGAGCCAAGTAATGGATACGGGTCAAGAAGTGGAAGTCATCCAGTGGAACATCCTTGGCCTCGATACCAAGCTCGTGGAACAGCTTGCGTTGAGCTGCAGTACGGACACCCAAATTGTCCTTCTCAATCAATTCATCAGCAGTATTAAGAGGATGGGAGCAGCAAGTGTTGGTCCATGCATCGGGGAAGGTGATTTTTTCGCTGGCGCGCTGTTGCATCAAAAGTTTGGTACCATCAGCAGAGAAGAGGAACACCGAGAAGGCGCGGTGCAAGAGACCGTGATCCATGATGTTGGTCATCAAGTGGCCTAGTAAAGAAGTTGGATGCAATAAACATAAACAAAAATAAGTATCGCATTCCACATACAGAATATACTTCATTGAGAGAAGTCTTCAAAAACCTAGTCGGTCAATCGTTCGTTTCCTTTTAAGAGGGAAAAAAAAAAAAAAAAAAAAAAAAAAGAAGCGCCCTGAACATGATAGCATGATAAGAGTTGTTCCGGATTCTTATTTTCTTTTATATGCAATTCCCTTAAGGTTGCCAAGTGTTACTGAAACTTCAGTTGAATCAAGATAAGATTGGTATTAAATAAAAGAAAAACACATACAAGCTTTCTTGGTGTTGGCTCCAATGCGCTTGTCATCACGATCGAGGACAATGCACATTTCCTCCATGAGCTTAACTTGCTCGTCGTCGTAATTGGAAAGGTCGACATCGAGAGAAATGGTCGAATCAAGAGGAGCGGGGGTTGGTGCGGCAAATTTGGACTGACCCATTTTGGAGGTTTTGAAAGTGGAGAAGTATTGGTGAGTAGAGAAGAGTGAAAAGGAGGGAAGAAGGGGAGAACGAGGAGTGTAAGAGAAAGAAGAAAGAAGTGAAGAATGCTGGTGTGAACTGCTATAAGAGAACAAGTTCCTTACGGAGCTGGCGCCAATCCACCGAATGCTTCGGGACTAAAGGAAAAGTGGGAAAAAAAAAATATCGTCAGTTCGTGTATTGGCCAATCAGCGTGCGATTGGTGATCGGCCCAAAAGAGCAGTTATTTCAAGGCCAGGAGGCCATGTTACTGTTCTTCTTTTCCTCATTCCTCGATTCCACTCATTTCCTATTACATCCTCCGTTGAGGAACTCTTTGCTTTTGTTTATTTATATATTATATATCTTGTTTTTTTTGCACACAAAATACTTGTGCTTGAATGCTCCTTAAAATGGCGAATACATCGACATTTTAATACATGCATTATTTTTTATTCAATCATTAATTTTATTTTATTTTTTTTTATTTTTTTTTACCTCAATGCTGGATCGCAAAAATGTTTGACGAGGAATGAGGCTTCGGACAAGGGCAAATGGAGTTATTCTTGTCATGATTCTATCAAGCAATGGAAAAGTTGTTTCGAAGTGGCGTGATAATGTGTTGTTGTTGTTGGGTGAAAGTCAAAAATCAAAAAACTCAACAGAGCGCATAGGACAAATAACAAATAAAAGGATGACATGTATGACATAAGGAGACGTGTCATACGCTTTCCTTTTCTTCTCTTATAACGCCTTCGTTTATGAGGCAACTACCAAGTGAAAAGATTAAGAGTAAGAGCGACCTGATTTATAATAATATGGATGCCATTGGGCTTAAACGATGTTTCATCAGCTTTACTGACCATGGTTGTCACTTTCAGAGTTCGTGTATGGCATATATGTGTGCTTGAGCGAGAACTTCAACATGGCATGACTCGCAATGAAAATTTTTGTTAGCATAAAAAAAACCCCCTGGGCAATTGCTTGGGCCACCTTGGCAAGCTCTTAATGAGACCATGGCAGAATTTGACTAGTCATATATCAATAATATTCTCTTCCAAAGTTCTCTAAAGTTTATTGGGCATGTTTAATACTATAGCTGCCTTAATATAGGGTTGCACATCTAGAATGTGCATCAATCATCGGGATATCACCAGGTTCAGGCCATGATATACACGCAGCGAATGTAGCTTCTATCGAGTTGTATTTAGGCAAAAATGTTGTGGAAACAGCTTGTCGGCTTGGACACTAGGCTTAATTGCTGTTTCGGGAAGCGTCTCTTTATTTTCTACCATATTCTTCTTATTTGTGAAAACAAGATTAGATGCAGCTGATTAAGGAATACTGAGACTCTTGGTGGCTTCACGAGCTCAAGTACCTTGCAGTATCAAATTCATAGTTTCCTTGGCTTTTCGCTTGAGGTATTGACTTTATATTTTGGTGGAGATAGAAGGCAGAAAAAGAAGGTGACGGGTGAAAAAGAATGAGGATCTTTATATACACGGAAGGACAGGTGTTTGGATATCAGCCCTACTTCGATGACAAAAACCAAATACAGAGAGATACCCGCAACAAGAATAGCTTTGAGGCTTGGAGTTATTAGCATGATTACTGGAATAAAGAGACCATCATTGTCGTTCGTAGCGCTCACATTGCCAATCAATAGGGTGTCATTTACCGCAGGTAAGGCATGTGTGTCTTTAGTGCCTGTTGAGCTTGCTTCTTATTCATGCTCTTTGCCTCTTGTTACAGCTTATTCTAAATGCCTTTTCGTTTTTACCCGCGGTGGCATCGGATCAGTTCCTTCTACTCAATGACATCTGCAGGAATGCCTTTAGCTTTCGTTCTTGTTGAACTTGATCGGAGACAAAATTTTTTTTTTTTCATCTTAACGAATCACCGTGTGGACTACGACCTCGTAGACTAATCCCATAAGAAGTTAGAACGTTTGTACTGTAGAATGAATGTGATGCGTGTGTGGGTGCGGGTGAAAGCAGTGGCAGGGGTGAAAAAAGATGAAACGAATTGGGAATTGCCTTATTTTGTCCCTGCATCTCTTTTTTTTTGTCCAGGAGGACAAACTTTATAAATTAGCCGACCAGGGTAATCAAACTTTAAAACACTTTAATATAAAAGGCCTTTGTTCTCTCATCCTCTCATCCTCTTTCGTCCTCACATCCTTTACCTCCTTCTCTTCTTTACTCTACTCCGATACTCTTCATCCTTCACTCATTCAGATCATATCAGACATGTCTCGCTTCTCCACTCTCAGTTTCTTCAGCTTAGCACTCATTGCTCTTTTCTTTGTCTGCCTTGTCCCTGTTGCTGAGGCTGCCCCCACTGGTAAACCCCGGGTTCCGTCCTTTGCTGTCTACTCCAAGAACAACCTGAAGGGCAAGGTCCAGACTGTGTCCAACTATGGATGCCACAACCTCAAGTTGCCAGCCGTTTCTTCTGTTCGCCACTTGTCCGATCCTAATGTCAATATCAAGTTCTATAAGGACAAGAGCTGCAAAGGCAAGGTCGTTCACCAGATGGATAGCTCAACTGTTCGCGTGATGGGCGGTCCTTTCAAGAGCACCAGCGTCCTTGTCTCTCCATAAAAAAAAAAAAAAAAAAAAAAGTCTATATAACTATAATAAATTATAATTTAGAGTGTACAGTTTATACATGTTATCTTTTTTCGATCTGTCTCTCGTGAGCATTAATCTTCTGGAAGGTGAAAAAAAAAAAAAAAATACTTTATGTAATCTTCTCGATGCAATCCACAGCTGTTACAGGGATACTATTAAGGAAAGTCGAAATAACTTTTTGTTCAGGTTTCTACTTTTTTTGTTTCCTTGCCCACCATAGAATTTCGACTATTCTACACATTTTTGACACGTAATGTGAAGGAATTGCTTTGTGTGTGCAACCATCAAAATCGATTATGTATTATTTACCTGTTCCTCTTTCCTTCTTCCTTCTTTCCTTTCCTTCTTTCCTTCTTTCCTTCTTTCCTTCTTTCCTTCTTTCCTTCTTTCCTTCTTTCCTTCCTTCACTGCTTTTCGTCTCACACCATCTTTGAATCTGTAAATCAACTTATTTTTATTTTTTATTTTTTTCATTTTTATTTTTTTTAATTTATTTCCTCCCTAAGAAGAAGGAAGGGAAACCATTCTAGCTATGAGTAAAGATAAAAAGAACTCGTCGTCGCATGTCGACTGGGAGACGCCATCAGACGAACAACAAACTTTTGGGAGTCAATCACCCTATGCTTTCACAGCCTCTATTCCAGATAGCAATGTTCATCAACCATCGCCCATAGCGCCCCAAGTGCCCTATCAGAGTATGTGCCTGTCATTTTCCTGTCAAAATCCTTTGTATGCTTAAACTGTAGACTGATTTTTTTGGCTTGGTCTGGCGATCGAAAAGTCCCAACGGATGCTCCACCCATGTATTCAAAAGATCCATTCCCAGGACCGCCAGCACTCATTTCACCCACCGTACCTTCTGCACCTCCAGGCCCTACATCTGTCGGTCGACACCCACAACAATTCACTCCTACGCCTGATCCTCCACGGAGCAACCTCCCGTATGATGAAATAGAAGCTGGCCATCAGCAACCGCAGTATCGGCAACCTTTACTTAATCAATCTCTTGGTGGTACTATCGAACCTGCCAATTATGGCGCGACTTATAATAACCCTTATCCCAACAGTAACATCAGTGCTTCCAACGACAGTCCAGCAAGTAAGTCGATTGTTTTGGAGGTTTGCCAAGAAATTTTGATTTCCAAAACAAGCAAAGAAACCAAAAAAAAAAAAAAAAAAAAAAAAAAAAAAAAAAAAACATTTGTACCTCGCACTATTGTGAGGACAAAAAAAAAGAAGAATACAAACTGTTTTTTCATCTGTGTGTATCATTTGTTTATAGGGAGGAGACGAAGGAAAAATATGTGCAGCTGTTGTTCCTGGCGCTGTTTGATTATCTTGCTATTGATATTCATGGCTAGTCTTAATAATGTCAATCTGGATGATACATGCTTGGTGAAAGAGGAGTCGCTAACTGATGTCCAACTCTTTACTGCTACTCCTGATTTTGCACTCAGGGTTGAGGCAATTGATGACATTGTAAGTTTCAGCTTCACTTCTGCCTTGCTTCGTAAAGTCTCTGGAAAACAGGCATATCATCACATCGTCTTACTTTTTTTTTTTTTTTTTTTTTTTTCCATTATTATTATTTTTTTATTTACTAATTGATGAACAGGTTGGTAATGTGCTTGTGAAAGAATCCAGTTCAACAAGAGATAAGGATATCCGTGTGCAAATTGTGCTGCGTGCCTCTTCAACCGAATTCTTGAATCAGCTGCAGTCGACTATTGTTCATGGTGGAAGACGAGAGACTGGATATGTGAGAGTCGGCATTAGGGACTCTAAGAACGAGGAAGTTAAAAAGCGTATCATTCATGGCAACTGTGCCCGTGCAGATATCGAGATCGCCTATCCACGCGCTTATCAGGGCACTGGAAAGTTGGCATTGAGAGGTATAAGCGGTAAATTTATCATGAAGATGGATCCCTACTCTCGTGTCGTCCCTCTTGCAGGTGAAGGTAGCTTTTACAATAGCTCCTCTTCAGGATCAATAATTTCGACGGCTCCGACGCCAAGCTTTAAAGAAATCATGCTAGAGCTCACAAATGGTGATATCCGTTTAGAGGGCATTGAGGTTCTTGACAATTTTTACGCAGTGACCACGAATGGACATATCTCTGGAGATCTGAAAACTTCTGGAAGTCTCGTCGCAAAGGTCGTCAATGGTGAGGTAAACCTTGCTATCGACTCGGATCCAACTACCCCACCAGCCATACCTACACCAGGTACAAAAAAGCTAACGGTAGACATTAGCACTGTCAATGGCCATATTGACCTGAACTTGATACGTCGATTCTTAGGCCGCTTCTCCATATCCTCGTCCTTTGGTCGAACATCGATTGAACAACTCAACAATGAAAGCAACAAAGATAGGATCGGCTATGAATCCAAGAACGGGTCTAAGATGAACGGGTGGATCTCCGAAAGTGGTCAGGAGCCTCAGACTTCATCCCCACATCTGAACCTCAATTCTGACCATGGCAACATTAAGATTAGAGTCAACACTCAAAAGAAGTAGATGTACTTGCGGAATATTCATAAAAAGTAATAAATAAATAAATAAATAAATAAAATAAAACAATACAAAAAAAAAAAAAAAAATCGACATGGTATGTACTATACATGTAATACACAGAACAGGATCAAAGTTATTTATTTAGTCCACTCAAGATGCCATAATTTCTACTCCTGTGTCTGTGGGAACTGTTGCGGTTGGAGTTGGTGTTGGAGGGGTTGTTGTTGGAGTTGATGATGCTACTGTTATAGGGTTCTCAGCCTTTGACTCTGACTTGAAAACAAACAGATCCTTTCGTTCCTCCGGCAATTTTTCGTGCACGATCCAATGGAGACCACAAGTATTACAAAGCGTCTTTTCACCTGCAGGGCCAGATCGCAGCATGACAGTCGAGGCTGCGCCTAATCCACAATGTTGACATTGCCAGCCCTCATAAGGCTCCATATTCACAAATGCACCCTTGTTGGGACGTCCACGACGATTTGCTGGCGATGAGTATGAGCCATAGCCTCCTCTGCTACCACCAACATATGATATTAATCCAATACCACTACCAACACCACCAAATCCGCTACCGCCACCGCCGCCACCTGCGCGGCGACGATTCCCTCCCTGATACCGAGAGTTTTCACGACGTTTAAGCCTAGGGAATATATGTATGTGCAAGTAATCAATATAAGCCATCTTGCCAGAGATACGAACCAGCCATTTTTTTTTTTTTCTTTTCTTATATCAATAACGCATTCTGTGATAATTAAAGTGAACGTACCGGATACTACGATCGTTGGTTTCCAAAATCTTTTCAAGTTCCTCTGTAGTTAAAGCTTCGAGTGCCGGGGTCCAACTCTCTGCATCATCCAAAGATCGAAATCCCGAGAACAACGGTTCGGATTCAAAGATTCCACCTCGATCCAAGAGTCGATCTTGTTTGAAACGATAGAGTTGTTCATGAATCTCATGTGCAATAATGGATACAAATTCCCCACCGAGTCCCAAGTCTGCAGTTAATTGTTTTGCGAATTCCTCTGGCGTCAGATCCGAGCCTACATCCCATTCAAACCGATCTCGTAAGTTGATCCCTCCAACATGCAGATCAAGCTAATAATATCCATAAAATAAATATAAGACGTTAAAAAGTTTTTAAAAAAATAAAAATAAAAATAAAAAAAAAAAGATATAGTATGTAATGATACAGAGATAACTTATAGAAAAAGACGCTATTGATCGAAATATATATATATATATATATATATATATATATTTGCTCGCTTACATGAATGACAACACGAGCACCCTCGTTAGGAACTTGAACTTCTGCGACGGGCTCAAATTCCGCGACTTGATTCCGTATAGCTTGCGCAATTTCAGGTACAAATTTATTCATGTTCAAGTCCAAGTCATCGCATAGGATTTCTGCAAATTGTTCTGGGGTCAATAATTGCTCGTTCACGTTCCAGGTGAATGAATCTCGTAACCGAATCTCATCTGTATCAATGTCCAAGCGGATTGGCACCAGAATTGCGTCCTGATCTGCACTGGTTTCAAGAGCTTGCTGCGTGCTAGATATAATAATAATGATATAACAAAATAACAAACAAGTAAAAGGGAGAGAAGGGATAGAAGAATAAGCATTCAAAAGATTTCTCTTGGTTTATAAAAATAAATAATAGTAATTATAATAATAGATTAATAAAACCAATTAACTTACTGATAGACATGGCGTGTCTTCCGGGGTCGTTTGACCCATGCCTTCTTCTCCTTTTCGATTCTCTCCTTTTCCAGCTGTCTCTGGATCCGATTACTGGGTGTGCTCCGTGAGGATCCCCCTTCCTCAAAATCCCAATCGTCCTCATCGGACTCCATCATAGAAGCTACAGCTGCACGTTTGGCTCTTCGTCCCAATGCCGGTGGCAAAACTAATGCATTCGCTGTATCGCGTATCCGAGATGCATATGTACTATATGTTCCCTGGACATTAGGCATGGCTGAAAGCGAACTAGCTGCTGCTGCTGCTGCTGCTGCACTTCCTCCTGATCGATGTTGTTGCTGAAATTGACTTTGTGCATGTGGATGTGGCTGCTGCGACATTCCGCCATTTTGACGAGGTGGAACAGGTGCCACTCGGAACTGACTTTGTTGCTGGGTATATGGATGTTGTTGCTGTTGGTGGTGATGAAGTTGCGACTGCTGCTGCCTCTGTTGCTGCTGCCGTGGTGGTTGCGGCTGTTGCTGCTGCACCTGCTGATGTTGTTGAGGATGCATCTGTTGTCCATGTCCTGGGTGAGCCTGTTGCTGTGGTTGCTGTGGTTGCGGCTGCTGCTGGTGCATGGGATATGGCCTCTGAGACTGATATTGTAGCTGCTGACCATGAGATGGACGCTGCATAGGTTGCTGCATAGGTTGCTGCATAGGTTGTTGCATAGGTTGCTGCATCGGCTGCTGATTTGACTGTTGAGTTGGCTGTTGGGTTGACTGCTGGATCGGCTGCTGGATCGGTTGTGGCACAGGTTGTTGCATTGGTTGCTGCATGGGTTGCTGCATGGGTTGCTGCATGGGTTGCTGCATTGGTTGTTGTATCTGCTGCTGCATTGATTGTTGCATTGGTTGCTGTATCGATTGTTGCATAGGCTGTTGGATTGGTTGTTGCATCGGTTGCTGCATCGGTTGCTGCATGGGTGATTGCATAGATTGTTGCATTGGTTGCTGCATAGGTTGTTGCTGATGTAACTGGTTTTGCATCTGTCGTTGCATCTGCATCTGCATCTGTTGTTGTTGATGTTGTTGAAGTTGCATTTGTTGGTGTTGCTGCTGTGCCATCTGTAATTGCATTTGCATCTGCATCTGCATATGTTGTTGTTGTTGTTGTTGTTGTTGTTGCTGCTGCATCTGTTGTTGTAGTAATAGCTGCTGTTGCTGTTGTACTGTGGCGCTGCGACTAGAACGTGTAGGGTACTGAGGTCCCATAGCAGTAGCACCAGCACTAACAGGTACACCCGCCATGCCTGGTACGCCGACTATACCAGGTACACCAGATACACCAGGAACACCAGATACACCAGGAATGCCAGGAACACCAGGAACACCAGGAACACCAGGAACACCAGGAACACCAGGAACACCAGGAACACCAGGAACACCAGGAACACCAGGAACACCAGGAACACTAGGAACACCAGGAACACCAGGAACACCCGATACACCAGGTAAAACAGCACCAGGTACTGTGACTGGTGCCATGGAACCCATGTCAGAGCCTACACTCGAATGACGGCCTGATGATTGAGGATGCTGCATGTTGACCGAGGTATGATTCACCCAGTTTGCCATTGTTCTCCTTTGTGTCCGTGATTGGGTTGATCTGCTTCTCTGAGTCTTGTTTGCTTGCTTTTGTCGCGTAAAAGAAAATCAGCCTCTTTCAAGTCGGACTCCATTTTGGCAAAAAGAAATATTCCTTTGCCCCTTAACCAAAATATAATTGCACCTTCCAAATCCAATAGGGATAAAGGGAGCCAACATTTTTTTTGTTTTTTTAAGGTTGGGCAAAGCAATTTATTTATCCATTTTTTTTAAATACAAAGGCATCACAATGAAGTCAAACTGGATATACCAACTTCTGAAGGTTTGACGAAAGGCATAGGGACTGGCAGTGGGGCCTTAAAGAGGAACGAAAGCTGTGGCAGATGCAAGGCTGTTCGCTTCAGCTACAGAAATAGTTCCCATGATGCTTGCCTCCGAATTTGTGCCTGTTGTAGTTGTGGTTGCTGCTGGCGCTGTTATAGTGGCTAAAGATGGGACTGCAGGGATTGGAGGTGCAATATCATCATCAAAGAGGCCAATGTCTGCCATATACTCTGAGGATGGAGCTGGACGTAACAGCACATATGAATCTGGAATACCATCTCCATCAGTATCTCTGGGTGATATAAAATGGTCTTCGATAATGATCCCATCCTCATCCAGGACTGGGATCAGTTGTGCTAGTTTACGCTCCTCAGTCGATTTGAATCCTCCTCGCTCGTTCTTTTCTCGTGCAATATTTCGATGTCGCTGCTGCTGTTGTCCTTTTTGTTTCTTTGTAGGATTCGTTTCGACAGGTATCGACTTTTTTTTATCCTGTTCATTGCTACTACTGTCGTAATTGTCATTGTTTATGTTGGGGTTATTACCACTGCTGCTATTACTACGGCTGCTATTCTTATCACCGCCGCTACTGCTGCTCTTGCTAGTTGCCCTGGGTGCTAATGTGGCAGGCTCAGTCTTTTTGACTGAAAATCCATTCACTACTGAGTATTTCTTTCTCATAGCAGAGAGTATTTGAATTATAGGGTTCTGTTGGCGGTGATGACGGTGGCTTTGGTGGTGATGATGATGATGTGGGGCCTTGTTCTCTTCCTTTGGCTCATGCTTCCTTCGTGCCCGCAGATTGATGGTAGTGATAGTGTCCTTTTCCATATGCTGGTGCCGATATTTCGTTTTTTGTAGCCCTACAGAGCTATCATATGACTCACTGCCAACACGATCATTTTGGTGGTCGTACTGCAAAGGCTGTTGTTGCTGTCGATAATCGAGGTCCTCCTGAACATTGAGCCAGTCATGACTGGATCTTGGTCGGAGGACCGAAGCGCGCCTCTTAGTCCCTTCACTTACAGGTAGAGTCTCTCGAAACCAGAGAATTAATACAAGCTCTAAAAGTAGTAATGCAACGATGATCGATGCCTTGTTCCTAGGATTACTTAAGGATATCAGTGGCATAAGCTTATATCTTTTGTTTTTCTCTCTTGGTGTTTTAATAGATGTTGTTGTCGTCGTGTTTTAGAGAGAGAACCCAAGATTTCAAGTCCAGAGGTTATAACGCAAGATAGAGAAATAGGTAAGATTTATCGCCTCTGCAGACAAGACTTTATTGAAGTTATGGAGCGATGGTGACGATACTGTGAGGACCTTTTTTTCTCTTTTCTTTGAAGCCAAGAAGAAGACTCCAAGATACCAAAAGCATGACATCAAAGTTGTAAAGGAGGCTTGAAGTACTGGCTGCAGTTTGGGATGGAATGCAGTAGAGATGCGAATATAATCAACTGAGAAGAAAGCATTTAGGCATAAGAGAGACTACCCAACTTTCATAGAAGGCTATCAAGGAACCATGAGGAAGACACACAGTCAGGATCCGATCACTCAGCCCAGGAAACAGTCATTCCAGTATACTGGACCCGTACTGATGACAGATAGGAAGGGGATCGATGACACAGCAAGCCCCAAGGATGCTCTAACACTATGATCTGTTGCGTATAAAACAGAGGAAACTTCGATGGAATGAAGTATGCTCCATGATGCATTACTGGTGTAAGTCAGGTTAGTATGGATTATACCAATGTAAGCTTGTGTGGATACATCTCAATATCTATTGTACCGTTTCAACTGCAATTCTGCACTTTTTTTCTATTAATACAGCCGTAGCTCATTAACAAAAGCAAAGACAGATATGTTATTCTGCACATGTTCATCCGATAGATGAACATCAATGACAATCAGATCTATTTCAAGGGAGCTCTTGGCTTGTTTATTCAATTGATTTAATGCAATGCATGACTGAACTGAGGTTCCTTTAGTGCTATCAGCTAATACCAGTACGGACAGATCGAGCAGAAGGTGTTTTGGTGCCTTTAAATGGTTCAAATGGTTCAAACATCTCTACAAATTGACCAAGACCCATACATTTGTAGGCATAGTCAAAGCACCTCCAGACTCTTGCCAAGCGATCGCCTCGACAAGCGCCTGCAACATTGCGCCTGGTCAAGAATGGGTCCGTCACGCACAAGAAAGGCTCAGTGCCAAAATGCTCTGGTGGATGTAAACGACCATTGAAGTCATTGATGCTGACTGTTGTAGTGACCCTATTATGGTTATCTGCAACCAAATATGTGCCAAAAGAGGAGATACCAGGTACAGGTACAGCTCCAGAAGGCTTGCCGTCATTGGCGTCAAGATCTTGAAAATACGCTGACTCTGATGGACTGAGCCATGCTTTTCGTTTGAGATCATACACAGACTTGGTACTAGAGGATCCTATAATGAATGGTGTATGGCCCTGAGACTTATGGCGACCTAATGAGCGTCGTTCTTGGAATTTCCCATCGGCAGCCGAGACCTCCATGGTCCGGTAATCGAACTTGCGCGTAAAGTATTCAAAGAACTCAAAAAGTAACTGAGAGACTGTTTTCTTGTTGTGCAGTCCGTATGATTCATACACATATTCTCGGGTATCGAACGAGCAATCAAAAGTCTGACTGTCCTCAACGACATGGACTGGTGGACAAACCCCATTGGCGGTGTTTGCAGCTTGATATTTCCCAAACGTTGGAAGAGCCTTGCGACGTCGGCCCTTTTGGTCGTATTTGCGCGGCTGACATGACTTGCTCTGTAAACGTGGCAAGATGGCATCATTTTGCTCTTGGAAAAAGACAATGGCCATCAGAATATAAGCATAAGAAGGGAGATAGCCCGAGGCACCATCCAAGATACCATGACATCGAGCAAAGTGTTTGAGTATATACAAAAACTTGCCAAGTCTTGGATCAATGGAAATATAGGCCCGGATCAGTTGGGAGTTGTGGACTCCAAGTGGTCTTTGAATATTCATGTCACAACAGATGTTTGTCAAAGGATCCCTAAATTTCAAGATTGGCACTTTGGCATCTGTAATTGCCTTGACATCTTCCATCCCTTGCCGGTAGAGGAAATTAACAAAGAAGAGGACATTGGCATGTGGAGCGCCTGGATAGTAGTTGTTCGAGTAGATACAGATGTCAATATCACTAGAGTTGCTTACAAGGCCAGTTGTGCAGGATCTATGGAGAGATGATTACAAAGATGAGAATGAAGGCTTGTACGATTGGCCAACACTTGAGCACCATAATTTCTTGATCGCCTATCAAGTCGTTATAATCTGTAATGAATTATTTACCCGAATGGTCGTAGGTCAAGTTCTAGGTGCGGATATTCACTTTTAAACATCGTCTGTAATCGCAGAAGTAGACTTATTCGTTTTTCCAGGTTCTCTTTACCAGGTAAAAGATCCTTCAAGTAAGCGCCATCAAAAAAGAAAGTAAAAAAAAATATTAGCAGTGGCGCAACCGGAGTTCCTTGATAGTCTTCTTTCAGTTACATGGACACTTACAGAGTGTAACGCATCAACTCTGGCATCCATTTCCTTCTCCAGACGGGAGGGAAATATCCATAGTGGAAGCGTCAGGTTGATGCCTTGCCAATCAAAAAAGAGTGTATCTTTGGGGATGGTCAATCGGACAGGCTCTTTCCGACTCATAGCGAGCGCAACTGGATCTTGTTCAGCTTGTTGTCTCAATCTCTCCTTTTCCTTTTCCTTCTCAGCCTCAAGTCGTTCCCTGGTAGCATTCTCTTCTTTCAGTCGCCTACCCTCCGCTGAATCTAATGCATGGAGACTTGCTCTCTTTTGTACAATCAGGTTCGCTATCCGCTCTTCTTCTTCTTTGATCAGCTTGTACTCCTGGCGAACTTTATCTTTCATAAGCTGTGCTGTAGCCACGGCTTTCATGGCTTCAACAACGGATGGTGCGCTGGTTGGATCGAAGGGTTTCTCTGGCTCCTTAGCTGTATTCCGGACATATGTGAATCGCGAATGCTGTCCTTCCTTCTTCTTAATCTGTTCATCTCGCACCCTCGTAATTTCTCTAATATACTGATCCTTTGCTGTATTAATCGCCTGAAGCTCGGTCTCTTTTGCAGTATTATATGCAATATCCATTTTGTTTTTCCTGATTTTTGCATTGCTTTCCAGAGAAATGATCGAGTTGTATTGCTCCTGCAAGTCTGTAAGGTGGTTTTCGTGAATCATCTTGTCCAAGAGGTACTTCTTTCTTCCGTCACTCTCCTGCGAGCCAACAATTAATTGCGCTTTCACTTTTTGCTGCACTTGATTGCCCTCCTTCTCTCTGGCGGCACGCTCGGCCTCTTTATTCTCTTTATAAAGTCCTTCCACCATTTCCTTTTCCTTAGCGAGTTTTTCTTTTTCCGCCTCCTTTCTGGCAATCTTTTCAGCTTCTAATTTCTCCTTGGCGATCCTCTCAGCTTCCGCTTTCTGCCTGGCGATCCGCTCAGCTTCTGCTTTCTCCTTGGCAATCCTCTCCGCTTCTACTTTCTCTCTAGCAATCTTCTCAGCTTTAGCTTTGTCCCTGGCGATCTGCTCTGCTTCAGCTTTCTCCTTGGCGATCCGTCCTGCTTCTGCTTTCTCCTTGGCAATCCGCTCAGTCTCTGCTCTCTCTTTGGCAGCCCTCTTAGCCTCCTCCTTGGCAATCCTCTCGGCCTCTGCTTTCTCCCTGGCGATCCTTTCAGCCTCGACGATCTGCTCGCGCTTTTTCCTTTTTTCTCTTTCCTTCTCCTGCAGTAGCCTCTCCGCTCGCACTTTTTCCTCCTCTTGCTGTTGCTTCCATCTTGTGGATTCCTTTTCATCTTCACTGTTATATTCCTTCAAGTCCGGAACTTCAGAACAGTCTAAAAAATCAGGGTTTGCACTCTGGTAGTTGACGACGATATCGCAAAGCTTTAGGACACTAAAAACCTTTCCATCACGTAATCTGTCCATGCGGTTAGTGTTGTTGTCGTCTTCATAGTATACCAAGTCTGGAATATTATCGCCATCGTCTTTGTTCGGGACGCTCCCCTCATCTGCAGAGTAGAGTGAATCATCACTTTCACTGCTGTCATTATGACTATTATAGCCTTTATAGCCATCGTCATAAAATCCAAATGCAGCCGCTACATAAGGATCTAGGGTACCATTAGAAGCGTACATGGTCTTTGTGATCCCGCGTGTGATCTGGTGACCTTCTTGGATAAGGAGAACCCGTTTCTCTTCGATGGAGGTTCCATCCATGGTCCTAAGTAACTTTGAGGCCTCTCCCGCATTCACACTTCGGTAGTCTACAACAAGGGTTTCCAAGGCCCGACATAATGCGGGCTTAAGAGGCTTAGAGCTATCCCAATATATTCCAATTAGGTCTCGGACTTCTCTGCGACACGACAGCAATGTCAAATCCTTCCTCATATCAACTTGCCAAGGCTCTAATCCGGCATTTTTGATATACACAAGGCGTATATATTCGTCCAAGAAAAAGTCGAGTTCATGGTACTTATCAATTACATCCTGAATGCGAGTCTCATCACGAAGTGGCTTTTGCCTTGACTTTGTCTTTTTCTTGCTTATTGGCTGCGATGAGCCCTTGATCTGGCTACTATTCTTTTCACTGTTAGTGCTGTTGTTACTGCTAGTGCTGACAGCTCCGTTGCTGGTCAATTGCCCTGTGATCATAATTGTTCGTCCATTATCTTTAGCAGCTCTCTGCCTCGCATACTCAATTGCTTCTCGGATTGCAGCTTGGTTCGTATTGAAATCTTGGGAAAAACGACAGGCCATCACCAACCTAACTTTTAACAATGCTGCTTCCTCTTCTCGTTTCCTAGCTTCCGAAATACATCGCTGTCGAGCCTGTTCTAGCTTTTGGGGCCGCTCGGCTTCCTGTGCATTGAAAGTATCTATAGCAATTGACAACAACTGGTTACGAAGGGGATTGCATTCATGTACCCCTATTATATCTTTGCTCTGGGTGAGTTCAGATTGCATCTCTTGCTTTATACGGATATGTGTTTCTTATAAGCATATGGCCATGCACCGATACCTTTTTCCTGTGCTGGCTTGGATGATGACACTGGTAATGGTGAAGAAGGTAAAGTGGAAGCAGGTTGCATTGCGGATGGAGTGTTTAAAGTGATTGATGCTGTTTCTGCTGATTTTGCCGTCTCTGCTGGCATTGATGCTAATGTTGATGCTGATGTTGATGCTGATACTAATGATGGTGCTGATGATGATGCTGATGTTGACGCTGATGTCGTTGGAGTGGCCTCAACTAACCCAGAGTGAGGAAGAGGGGCGTTTTTCTTAGCAATAGCTGCCACTGCTGCCGCCGCCTCCTTCTTGGCCCTTTTCTTTGCATTTTTGGACAGAGGTTTGGTCAACCCTGCTTCATCTTTCTCTTCTTTCCTTCCTCCCTTTCCATCTTCTTCTTCCTTATCTTTGGATATACTGCCTGCTATTGAGGTTGCTCCCGAGCTTAAGCTTGGTGATGATGTGGTTGAAGCAACATGATTAGATGTGATACATTTTACAGTATTCGGAGCTGCAGTTGATGATTTAGATTTCTCATCCAGTTTCCACTTCTTGATCAAATCTGCATTATACTTGCTCGTGTACTTCTCAACTCCCACCATGCCATTGCTTATAAACACAGAACCACCACCTGATCCTTGATGGTACCATATAAACTTGCGACAGCCATCAACAATAACCGAGAATCGATCCTGGAACTCTGGTCTGATCTTTGCATATTGTTGTTGGAAGTGCTTATGATCCTCTGGGGTCAGTTCAGGCAATGTGCAAGTAACATTGTTGACTTTGATCTCTTTAGTGAACAGTCGGTTCACTCGCCACTCGTCCTTCAAATAACGATAGACATTTTCAGGCGATAAAGCATACGGAGCGGTGGCAACAAACATTTGACAGAACTCTGGAATATTTTTAGGGTGCCCTTGAGGGTCTAGTTGGAGCCCTTCGCTTCTAGACTTCCATGCTTCTGGTTCGGACCCGACATTATACTCCACCATGAATGAAGCCGCTAGCGAGGTTGATTGGAATAGAAGTTGAAGAGATACTACAGCTGAAGCGCCTGAACTCGTTCCCAGTCTAGCTGCAAGTTCATAGAGGAATATTTCGAATAGAAACTCTGAGAAATGCTCATCGTTTCTGGCGGCCTGCACTAGTGATATAAAACTGTCCTCTAGCTCTTGCGCCTCTCGCATCTTCTGCTCCTCTAGTTTCCTTCGCTTCTCCCGCTCCTCCCGCTCCTCCCGCTCCTCTCGCTTCTCTCGTATCTCCTGCACTTCCTGCTTTCCCTGTTCCTTCTGCTCCTTCTGCTCCTTCTGCTCCTTGTGCTCCTTCTGCTTCTCCTGCTCCTCTCGTTTCTCCCTCTCTTCACGTTCTCGTTTCTGCTCCTCTCGTGCCTTGTTGCTAAGGTGGAGTGCTCGATACCATGGCTCCATGATAGATGAACTAACCAATGAAAAAAAGGTGTATTACTCTCCACTCTTCCCTCCTACACCCCTTGAGCTGTCTTCTTTTTACTTTTTTGTATTTTCTTTTTTACAGATTACCAATTTAAATATAATTTTTTAAAAAAAAAATAAAGTCAGTTGTTAAATCTATGAATACGCTGATGTACTGTTTTCTAATGTATTCTCACCCTCGCAAATGAAAAAAGTCCGATGATTTAATGTCCAGTTTGAAATGCCATGCAATCAAGTCAACGCGAATCAAGCTACTGTGTAAGAAAGAGAATGAGAGGAATCAGTCTGCCCTACACAGCACTGAAATAAATAGAGCTGCTTTTACTTCGCCTTTATTGTTTACATGGCTCAAACATTGCCCCCTGTGGGCAGAAATCTTATTGGCTGAGGTAAATAATATGCATCCTTTTTTATTCTCCCCTTTTTGGTCCATAGTGGCGCTCCAAAACACTTCTAAAAGTAGCACCAACCAGTGGGCCGGATGAAGATGTGGTAAGAGAGCTTGTCGAAGGAGGCTGAGGCGTCGATGGTGGGGGTCGTATCTGTGAGAGCGCTTCATATTCTGCAGGGGTCATGCGTCTTGACACACTGCCACTGTTGTGATCACTTGTAACATTCGGACTATTTGTGTCCTTGTTGGTCATCGGACTTGACCCGTTAGACATTTGGGAGGGATTGGGACTGGGCATATACGTATTAGAGGTGCTAGAAGTATATAAACCTTCATGGTTGGCGGCGTTGGGGCCAGTGGGATCCAAGGCTCTAAAAGGGGTCCATGGATTTGCTTCAAGGGGTGTAGTTGCTGCTATAGGTGATGCTGTTTTGGGCATATGGATCGACCTGATTGGTGAAGCAGCACCAATTGTCCCTGCCCGTGGAGACCCTGCTGCTTTTGCAGCTGATGTAGACCCCAAAGTCGCCTGTCGAATCCGTGCAGCTTCAAATGCCTCCGACTGCATCTTGGCCATCTCTTCTTGTGGCTGTGACAGTGACTGACTTATGGATGTCATTGCAGGCTGCTGCTGCTGTGCGCTTGTCTGCGGGGCTGATACGTCGCTTCTCTTCTTCAATCATAGTGGCAAGTCTACAGAGGTAAAACCTCGTTCGCCTTGGCTCAGATCTCCCCATAATAAGGACGTTTTCTTGCTTTTATTTTTAAATACAACATCCCAAGTAGACGGGCGGACTAAATTATTAGCAGGGATTTGAGCATCCCAGAATCAGGTAGAAGTCAGTAGTCAATTCGCCATTACAGAAAGAGACATGTTCAATATTACTTTATCAGAAACAGCTTTTGTCAGTTAAACAAAAGAAACAAAATGTACCTTCGACAGTGCCGCCATTATTGGTGAAGACTAGAACTGGAACATCTTTCTGCCTCCGTCTCACTGGTGCATATACAATGTGGTCAAGGGTTTCTAGAACTGGAGGGCTTCGTAAGATGCGTTTCATGTTCCGCTGAACGAGTAGCCGGTAGCCTTCGGGGATTGGGTTTTGTGGCGAGTAGGATGGGCGGACAGCCCAATTGTCTCGCTTTCAAGTGCTCCATCATTTTTGAAAAAGATATCGGATATACTCGCTCCTGTACGAGAGAAGTATGAAACCTTCTTTATGGTTTGTTTGGTTTGTTTACTAACAGTATTGCTGCTGCTATGTGCCGGCTTATTAACTTCTGCAAGCTTGACGAAAGACATAGGGACTAGCAGTGGGGCCTTAAAGAGGAACGAAAGCTGTGGCAGGTGCAAGGCTGTTCGCTTCAGCTACAGAAATAGTTCCCATGATGCTTGCCTCCGAATTTGTGCCTGTTGTAGTTGTGGTTGCTGCTGGCGCTGTTATAGTGGCTAAAGATGGGACTGCAGGGATTGGAGGTGCAATATCATCATCAAAGAGGCCAATGTCTGCCATATACTCTGAGGATGGAGCTGGACGTAACAGCACATATGAATCTGGAATACCATCTCCATCAGTATCTCTGGGTGATATAAAATGGTCTTCGATAATGATCCCATCCTCATCCAGGACTGGGATCAGTTGTGCTAGTTTACGCTCCTCAGTCGATTTGAATCCTCCTCGCTCGTTCTTTTCTCGTGCAATATTTCGATGTCGCTGCTGCTGTTGTCCTTTTTGTTTCTTTGTAGGATTCGTTTCGACAGGTATCGACTTTTTTTTATCCTGTTCATTGCTACTACTGTCGTTATTGTCATTGTTTATGTTGGGGCTGATACCACCGTTACTACTACGACTCTATTAACAAAAACAGACATTAAGACATATATTATTCTGCACTTGTTCATCCGATAGATGAACATCAATGACAATCAATCAGATCTATTTCAAGGGAGCTCTTGGCTTGTTTATTCAATTGATTTAATGCAATGCATGACTGAACTGAGGTTCCTTTAATGCTATCAGCTAATGCCAGTATGGACAGATCGAGCAGAAGCTGTTTTGGTGCCTTTAAATGGTTCAAATGGTTCAAACATCTCTACAAATTGACCAAGACCCATACATTTGTAGGCATAGTCAAAGCACCTCCAGACTCTTGCTAAGCGATCGCCTCGGCAAGTGTCTGCAACATTGTGTGTGTTTAAGAATGGATCCATCACGCACAAGAAAGGCTCAGTGCCAAAATGCTCTGGTGGATGTAAACGACCATTGAAGTCATTGATGCTGACTGTTGTAGTGACCCTATTATGGTTATCTGCAACCAAATATGTGCCAAAAGAGGAGATACCAGGTACAGGTACAGCTCCAGAAGGCTTGCCATCATTGGCGTCAAGATCTTGAAAATACGCTGACTCTGATGGACTGAGCCATACTTTTCGTTTGAGATCATACACAGACTTGGTACTAGAGGATCCTATAATAAATGGTGTATGGCCCTGAGACTTATGGCGACCTAATGAGCGTCGTTCTTGGAATTTCCCATCGGCAGCCGAGACCTCCATGGTCCGGTAATCGAACTTGCGCGTAAAGTATTCAAAGAACTCAAAAAGTAACTGAGGGACTGTTTTCTTGTTGCGGAGTCCGTATGATTCATACAAATCTACTCGAGTATCGAACGAGCAATCAAAAGTCTGACTGTCCTCAACGACATGAACTGGTGGACAAACCCCATTGGCGGTGTTTGCAGCTTGATACTTCCCAAATGTTGGAGGAGGTTCGCGATGTTGGCCCTTTTGGTCGTATATACGCGGCTGACATGACTTGCTCTGTAAACGTGGTAAGATGGCATTCTTTTGCTCTTGGAAAAAGACAATGGCCATCAGAATATAAGCATAAGAAGGGAGATAGCCCGAGGCACCATCCAAGATACCATGACATCGAGCAAAGTGTTTGAGTATATACAAAAACTTGCCAAGTCTTGGATCAATGGAAATATAGGCCCGGATCAGTTGGGAGTTGTGGACTCCAAGTGGTCTTTGAATATTCATGTCACAACAGATGTTTGTCAAAGGATCCCTAAATTTCAAGATTGGCACTTTGGCATCTGTAATTGCCTTGACATCTTCCATCCCTTGCCGGTGGAGGAAATTAACAAAGAAGAGGACATTGGCATGTGGAGCGTCTGGATAGTAGTTGTTCGAGTAGATGCAAATGTCAATATCGCTAGAAGCGTTTCCAAGGTCAGTCGTGTAGGATCTATGGAGAGATGATTACAAAGATGAGAATGAAGGCTTGCGCGATTGACAAACACTTGAGCACCATAATTTCTTGATCGCCTATCAAGTCGTTATAATCTGTAATGAATTATTTACCCGAATGGTCGCAGTTCAAGCTCTAGGTGCGGATATTCGCTATCAAACATCGTCTGTAATCGCTTAAGTAGCCCTATTCGTTTTTTCATGGATTTTTTACTAGGTAAAAGACCCTTCAAGCAAGCGTCGTCAAAAAAATGTAAAAGAAAACAATTAGGGTGGACATGAAGTTATTTGGTGGTTTCCTTTCAGTTACACGAATACTTACAGAGTGTAACGCATCAACTCTGGCATCCATTTCCTTCTCCACGCGGGAGGGAAATATCCATAGTGGCAGAGTCAGGTTGATACCTTGCCAATCAAAAAAGAGTGTATCTTTGGGAATGGATAGTCGGACAGGAACTCGCTCAGCTTGTTGCCTCAATCTTTCTTTTTCCTTCTCCTCCTCCTTCTCCTTTTCCTTCTTTTTCTCCTTCTCCTTCTTCATCTTAGCCTCAAATCGTTTCTTGGCGAATTCTACTCCATGAAGACCTGCCTTCTGCTGTTTAATCTGATTCGCTACTCGCTCTTCTTCAGTTATTATTTGCTTGTACTTTTGGATAGCTTTGTCCCTCATACTCTGCGCTGTAGCCAGGGCTTTTGTGGCTTCAACGATGGCTGGCACGCAGGTTGGATCAAAGGGTTTCACTGACTTCTTAGTTGTACTCCGTACATAGGTGAATCCTAAAGCGTGTTCTTTCTTCTCCTCGTTCTGCTCATCTCGCATCATTGTGATCTCTCCATTATACTGATCCCTTGCTGTATTAATCGCCTGGAGCATGGTCTCTCTTGCAGCGCTATATGCAATATCCGCTTTGTTTTTCGTGACTTCAGTGATTTTTTTTTGAGAAATGATAGATTTGTGCTGTTTCCACAGCTCTGCAAGGCATTTTTCGTAGCCCATCAAGTCCTTGATGTACCTCTTTCTTTCATTACTCTCCTCTGAGCCGATAACCGATTGCGTCTTCGCCTTTTGCCGCGCCTGATTGGCCTCCTTCTCTCTAGCGACACACTCGGTATATTTATTCTCTTTGGCAAGTCGCTCTGCCTTTTGCTTTTCCTCAGTAAGCGCTTTTATTTCCAGCTTCTTCTTGGCAATCCTCTCAGCTTCTGCTTTCTCTTTGGCGATGCGCTCGGCTTCTGCTTTTGCCTTAGCAGCCCTTTCGGCTTCTATTTTCTCTTTAGCAATCCTCTCTGCTTCTGCTTTCGCCTTGGCAATCTTCTCTGCTTCTGCTTTCGCCTTGGCAATCTTCTCTGCTTCTGCTTTCGCCTTGGCAATCCTCTCAGCTTCTGCTTTCTCTTTGGCGATGCGCTCGGCTTCTGCTTTTGCCTTAGCAGCCCTTTCGGCTTCTAATTTCTCCTTAGCAATCCACTCTGCTTCTGCTTTCGCCTTGGCAATCTTCTCTGCTTCTGCTTTCGCCTTGGCAATCCTCTCAGCTTCTGCTTTCTGCCTGGCGATCCACTCTGCTTCTGCTTTCTCCCTAGCAAGCTTCTCGGATTCCGCTTTCTGCCTGGCGATTCGCTCGGTTTCAGCTTTTGCCTTAGCAGCCCTTTCGGCTTCCAATTCCTCCTTAGCAGTCCTCTCTGCTTCTGCTTTCTGCCTGGCGGTTCGCTCGGCTTCTGCTTTCTCTTTGGCCATCCGCTCGGCTACTGCTTTCTCCCTGACAATTCTCTCAGCTTCTGCTTTCTCCTTGGCGGCCTGCTCAGCTACTCTCTCCTTAGCAATCCACTCGGCCACTGCTCTCTCTCTGGCAATTCGTTTAGCTTCGGTTTCCATCTTGGCAAGCCGTTCGGCTTTTGCTTCCTTCTTCGCGACCCGTTCGGCCTCTGCTCTCTCCCTAGCTATCCATTCAGCCACTACTTTCTCTCTGGCAATCCGCTCGGCCACTGCTTTCTCTCTAACGGTCTGCCCAGTTTCTGTTTTTCCCTTGGCAGCCCCCTCTGCTCCTGCTTTCTCTCTGACGATGCTGTCAACCTCAGATGTTCGCTCGTGCTCTTTCTTTTTTTCTCCTTCCCCCTCCTTCAGCGATTTCAGCATTCCCAACCCTTCCTGCTTCTGCTGATGTATGCGCCTTGTTCCTTCCTTTTCATCCTCGGTGCTATATTCCTTCAAGTCTGGAAAGCTTAGATCCACATCTTCATCATGGTCATTACTTGAGATGCTCCCCTCATCTGCAGAATAGAATACATCATCGCTTTCGCTGCTGTCGTCATCCCTGCTATACTTCTCATAATTGTCATCACTGCTATATCCCTCATAATCGTCATCACTACTATAACTCACATAATCGTCGTCATAAACTCCAAATACTTTTGCCGCATAAGGATCAAGCTTGTCTTTCCAGTCGTCATTATAAGCGTACATGGTTTCTGTGATCCCGCGTGTGAGCCGGTGGCCTTGCTGGATGAGGAAAGCCCGCTTTTCCTCGATGGAGGTTTCATCCATGACCCTTAATAGCTTCTTGGCTTCTTCCACGCTCAATTCGTCATAGTCTACAACAAGCCTCCTTAGAACCCAACTCAACACAGGCATAAGAGGCTGAGAGCTGTTCCAATATGCTCCAATTAAGCTTCGAATACCCTTGCGATATTCTAACACTCTGCTATTCTTCCTTATGTCGATTTGCGAACCCTCTGGTCCGACATTTTTAATATGCACAAGACGTACATATATGTCCAAGAAAAAGTCGAGTTCATGGTACTTATCAATTACATCCTGAATGCGAGCCCTATCACGAGCTAGCTTTTGCATTGCCTTCTTTTGCTCCTTTGGTGTCTGTGGTAATTCATTAATATGGCTCTTGCTCTTTTTGTTGTTTCTGCCATTTTCTCTAGAAGCTTTCTGCCTCGCATACTCAACTGCTTCTCGGATTGCGACTTGGCTCCTATTGAAATCTTGGGAAAAACGACAGACCATCATCAACCGAACATTCAATAATGCTGCTTCCTCTTCTTGTTTCCTGGCTTCCGAAATACATCGCTGTCGAGCCTGTTCTAGCTTTTGGGGCCGCTCGGCTTCCTGTGCATTGAAAGTATCTATAGCAATTGACAACAACTGGTTACGAAGGGGATTGCATTCATGTACCCCTATTATATCTTTGCTCTGGGTGAGTTCAGATTGCATCTCTTGCTTTATACGGATATGTGTTTCTTATAAGCATATGGCCATGCACCGATACCTTTTTCCTGTGCTGGCTTGGATGATGACACTGGTAATGGTGAAGAAGGTAAAGTGGAAGCAGGTTGCATTGCGGATGGAGTGTTTAAAGTGATTGATGCTGTTTCTGCTGATTTTGCCGTCTCTGCTGGCATTGATGCTGATGTTGATGTTGATGATGGTAGAGTTGAAGTAACATGGTTGCATGTCATACATTTTACAGTGTTCGGAACTGCAGTTGATGATTTAGATTTCTCATCCAGTTTCCACTTCTTGATCAAATCTGCATTATACTTGCTCGTGTACTTCTCAACTCCCACCATATCATTGCTCATCAGCACAGAACCACCACCTGATCCTTGATGGTACCATATAAACTTGCGACAGCCATCAACAATAACCGAGAATCGATCCTGGAACTCTGGTCTGATCTTTGCATATTGTTGTTGGAAGTGCTTATGATCCTCTGGGGTCAGTTCAGGCAATGTGCAAGTAACATTGTTGACTTTGATCTCTTTAGTGAACAGTCGGTTCACTCGCCACTCGTCCTTCAAATAACGATAGACATTTTCAGGCGATAAAGCATACGGAGCGGTGGCAACAAACATTTGACAGAACTCTGGAGTGTCTTTGGGTTGTCCCTGTGGCTCTGGTTGATACCTTTCGCCCCTCGTCTTCCTCGCTTCTGCTTCGGACCCGGCATTGTACTCTGCCATGAATGAAGCCGCTAGCGAGGTTGATCGCAATAGAAGTTGAAGAGGTACTACAGCTGAAGCGCCTGAGCTCGTTCCCAGTCTAGCTGCAAGTTCATAGAGGAATATTTCGAATAGAAACTCTGAAAAGTGCTCATCATTCCTGGTTCGTTGCATTGCTTCAAGGAAACTGCCCTGCGACTTATAATCCCCTCGCTCCTCTTGCTCCCTGCCGCTAGGGCGGTGCCCCTGATACCATGGCTCGTTCATAATGGGTAGATGGGTTAATCAATGACAATCGAAGAAAAAAAAAAGAAAAAAGCCCTTTGCTCTTCACTTCTTCCTCCTATCTGCCTTGAATTGCTTTTTTTTTCTTTTTGCTATAGATTATAAATTTAAATAGCAATAATGGCGGTATTTACAGCATTGAATAAAAAATTAAATTATATGGAGTAAAATAAAATATAATAAATAACAAGAATTCATTTGTTAAAAGGTTTTCTTTTGCATTCTTACCAGCTCGCAAATGAAAAGTTTAATGATGTGATGTCCAGTATGCAATGCCCAGGTAATACCCATGCAATCAAGTCAACGCGAATCAAGCTACTGTGTAAGAAAGAGAATGAGAGGAATCAGTCTGCCCTACACAGCACTGAAATAAATAGAGCTGCTTTTACTTCGCCTTTATTGTTTACATGGCTCAAACATTGCCCCCTGTGGGCAGAAATCTTATTGGCTGAGGTAAATAATATGCATCCTTTTTTATTCTCCCCTTTTTGGTCCATAGTGGCGCTCCAAAACACTTCTAAAAGTAGCACCAACCAGTGGGCCGGATGAAGATGTGGTAAGAGAGCTTGTCGAAGGAGGCTGAGGCGTCGATGGTGGGGGTCGTATCTGTGAGAGCGCTTCATATTCTGCAGGGGTCATGCGTCTTGACACACTGCCACTGTTGTGATCACTTGTAACATTCGGACTATTTGTGTCCTTGTTGGTCATCGGACTTGACCCGTTAGACATTTGGGAGGGATTGGGACTGGGCATATACGTATTAGAGGTGCTAGAAGTATATAAACCTTCATGGTTGGCGGCGTTGGGGCCAGTGGGATCCAAGGCTCTAAAAGGGGTCCATGGATTTGCTTCAAGGGGTGTAGTTGCTGCTATAGGTGATGCTGTTTTGGGCATATGGATCGACCTGATTGGTGAAGCAGCACCAATTGTCCCTGCCCGTGGAGACCCTGCTGCTTTTGCAGCTGATGTAGACCCCAAAGTCGCCTGTCGAATCCGTGCAGCTTCAAATGCCTCCGACTGCATCTTGGCCATCTCTTCTTGCCGGACCTTGATCAACTGGTCCCATTGTTCCTTGGATGACGGTTCTGAAAATTCTCGCTGTTGAGGTCTTAGCTCTAAACCTATTGCTTGTGTTGCAGGCTGTGGTTGGGTAGCAGCAGAGGCCATAGCGCTCTGGCGCTGTCGCTGCGCTAATATTGCTTCAGAAGCCTGCAATAATGCAGACACTCGCATATGGGCTATTGGGCTGTTTGGATTAGTTGGTACAGGTTGGGCTGCTTGCTGCTGCCAGTGGTGTCCTGGTTGGTTCGAAGCAGCTTGTGGCTGTGACAGTGACTGACTTACGGATGTCATTGCAGGCTGCTGCTGCTGCTGCTGCTGCTGCTGCTGTGCGCTTGTCTGCGGGGCTGGGCGCGTAGTGGGTACCTCGAACCCTCCGATACGTCGCTTCTCTTCTTCAATCATATTAGCAATCTCAAGCATGTCTGCCTCTGTCAAGTCTGATACCTCCTCACGAACGAGTTCACTCTGTGGTATGACCCTCGTTAGTATGTCGCGGTTGCTAGTATAAAAGAAGGTGGTTGATCAGTGTCAGTTGGGGCCGTTGAAGATTAACAGTGCTTCAAAAGCAACGCAAGGTTATTTGAACTTTAGTAAAAATGTTGCTTACTTTTCAATGACTTTGCGCATGACCGGGTCCTCCATGTCAGGCTTTGCAAACAATGCTTCAATATTCTCTTCTGTAGCCCAGATAGGCGTAGTAGAGGGTGGTGGCTGGAAATACTGCTTCATCTCTAGCTTTGTATAGCCTTTAATAGGATTCTTCTTGTCCACCACTCTATTCGATAAGCCTAACTTGTGGAGATTCGTCTTGTACAGTTTCTCTTCCCAGGTTCCGAATGTCTGGAGACGATACACGAACACCTTACGTGTCTGGCCATATCTGAACGCGCGAGCAATTGCTTGCTCATCGTTACTTGGATTCCAGCCGACATCGAATATCACCACGCGACTTGCAGCCACCAGGTTGATTCCTTGAGAACCAGCCTTACAGATGCCAATTTCGAATAAAATAAATAATGCCAACAGGTTCTTGTTAACATGTCGATATGTCTTTTATATATATTTTTTACAAAAAAAAAAATGGTCTTACCCCAGACGAAATAAGGAAAAGATCAAGCTCATCTGAATCATTGAATTCATTGATCATATCTTGGCGATCCTATAAAGAACAAAAGAGACCATCAGCTACCGGACATAATTTTGCCCGAGTACTAACACACGATAGGACTCAAATCGGTACATGTATATAGTAGCTTACCGTATGCTTTGTATCACCATCAAGCTTAAGAGATTTGAAATTCATTTCTGAGGCAGTATATTCAATGAAGTCTGACGATTGACGAGAGTACGGTCAATAGCCAAAAAGAAGAACGACACTGTTAACAAGGAATAAATTATAATAAAGCATTTATACTTCAAAATATGTGAAACCATACCGAGTGTAGGTATGCTACGCGTGAAAACGAGAACTTTTTCCTTCAAGACCTTGCACTCAGTTAAGATGTCCATGAGGATCTTGATCTTGTATCCATGTGAAATATCAGTAACATCTAGTTGGTTACAAATATTAAACAGTGGTTAGTTTTTTTCCTCTTTTTTTTTTTTTTTTTTTTTTTTTTTTTTTTGCTCTCTGAACCAGCTAATAGCATACTCCTCTCCCAAATGATATTTCCACTCCAGTCACTTGAGGTAATTTCTTTGTTCTGGCTAATGTACACGGACAAGAATGTAAGAAGAAGGTTAAGAAACAATCAATGGTAGGGATGTCTTCTACAAAAGAGGAGATGGGAGTGGACATACCTTAGGGCACGCTCCATTTGGTTCTCAGCCTCAATATCCTCACTGTCGTCAATGACCACCGGAACTCCCTTTACTCCAGTAGATGGCACAGAAGTATTTGATTCAGTAGCGCCGCTATTCGCACTTGCATTGGCCTTGGCAAGCTTGTCCTTTTGTTTTTTCATAGCAGCCAATGATGCCTAGCAATTGGATTTTTAACGTTATGAAACCGTACCAAGAAATTACATAAATTAACTCGAAGTGTTTCATTAATAATTGTTGTCGCCGCCGTTTACCTTGAATGCTGCTGGATGGTTGCATATGGTGAGAAGAATATGACCGTTTCCGAGGACACCACCATCCCATTGGTCATTCTTAAAGATTGTTGCGATAAAAGACTAGACAAAACAAATCGGTCAATTCGAAATACACATATCAGAATCTAACCAATTCGAATCATATATGAGTAAAATGACAAGTTTTTGCTTACTGTATACAAGAAATACTGCATCTTGCTCAATTTACATGAAACAACAAACTCGGTTTTCTTAGGAAGCGACGCTCTCAGTACAGATTGATCTCTCCTATTATTATAATACCGTGATTCAGAATAGTTGCCACACCATGTCAATCATTATGTCCAAAGTAAAATTCCTTGATTTAGTTAAAAAAAAAAAAAAAAAAAAAAAAAAAGAAAGAAAGAAAGAACATACCTAAACACGAAATGTTTGATTAACTCAGCAAGAACATTGAGTTTTTTCGCAGAGATCTAGCAAGATTTAACGTTATTAAACAAAAGAAAAGCCGAAGTGTTCAGTAGTCTAGGGTGGTTATATGAGGTCCCATTTTAAAAAAACAGTAATAAAAAAAGGGACAGAGAGAATGAGAGACTGACCTTTTTTTCCACAGAGGTACTGTCAGGATATAGACCATTATTGATTGGCCGGATATAGTTATGACGGAATGTCGAAATATCGCCCAAAAACTTTGGTCGAATGAAATCGACCATACACCAGTACTCTTCTAATCGATTTTGAAGCGGGTATCCCGTAAGGATAATTCTAGAAGTGCTCTTTACATTCTTGATGGTGGCAGCGATTTTGGCCTAGTTTTTTATTAAAAAAAAAAAAAAAAAAAAAAAAAAACGGATTAATCTTTCACAGAGCCAGGTCATCCTTTGATCGATAATGGATTCACTCCAGATTAAAGCAATTTGACTTACAGTCGAGGTTTTGATCGCGTGCCCTTCATCTGCAATGATAAGTGATGAGCCCTGAAGTATTAGCTGCTTGTATCGTTCGGCGACTTCAGGGCTTACTCCAGCTCCAGAACACAAGTCGCGGAATTTTTGGTAACCTAAAAGGAGTACACCTCCTTCCTTGTGCCACTCCTCAAGACATGCAATTCGACTAGTGTAGGTCCTAACTTTGAGTGCTGCAGCATTCCAAGGAGATTAGAAAAGTTAGAATGCTATAGATTAAACCGTAATAAGTTGTACTGCTGACACGTCCCTTTGCTCAAAAGGGTTAATAAACTTACGCAGCTTATGGATCTTGATAATAGACTCGTCACCTTCCGTGATCCACTTTTTGAATTCATACTCCCAATTTGAGAGTAAAATAGGTGGCATCAATAGTAGGATTCGACCCTCCTATGAATGATCATATCAAGCTTAGATTACATCAATAACAATATACACCCTTCACTTCATATTAAATAGAAAAGACTATAAGTAATTCGCCTTGCTCGCCCTATTACCTCGAGTTTCTTAGGAACATCCTTGTTCCCCTGGTGGATTTCCCTTAACAATACATAAAGGAAAGCAATAACTTGAAAGGTCTTGCCAAGACCCATGGCATGAGCAAGGATGCATCCGCCATCGAACATCACAACGTTCTTCCACATGAATCTCACTCCCTCGATCTGGTGGGGTTTAAGCTTTCGCGCTAGGAACCCCGGAATAGCCACGGGATGCTCTGTTTTCTTATGCCCAGGATTTATAAGAACCTCGTCTTTCTCAAGCGATCCGTTCGTTCCACGAATTTTGGCTCTCATTTCTTGATCTGCAATACGCTTCTTTAGCTCTGATTCATTTTTAAGTGCATCATTCCTGAGCCTTAGGACGTCGGGTGCCTCTTCTCGCATCACCTGAACAGTCCTACGCTTAGGAACGGACTTGACTTGCTTGTCGTCCTCACCAGAAAGAGCCGAACCATCATCTGATGAATCACCAAACCGGTTCCGAATGATTCGGCCTCGCTTCTTGGTTTGGCGTTGTGGAATTGTTAGCGGTTCAGTCGCCATATCCTCACCGCTGTCAATGCTTCTTTTGGATGAGTTCGATTGATTAGTTGCTCCTCGGGCTTTTCGAGCCAACTTGGGGTCCTTACTATGGGAATCAGACAATGAGAGATCCTGATCTTCTGATCTATTCCTCATCGAATGGTTCTTTGAAGGGGCGACACTAGGCTGCCGATCTACAGCCACTGTGTCATCTTCACTTGAATCGCTCTGAATAGTGATTACTTCAGATTGGGCCGTGCCCTTGTCAACCACAGCCGAGACCTTCTTCAATTCATCCTTTTGGTATTCCTCCATTCTTGTTTCCTTTTCTTCCTGTTCCGCCATCGATTTATTAACTGAAGCCTTGGCGACCTTAGTGGCCTTAGTAGCTTTAACAGCTTTAATTGCCTCCATCTTAGCACGCAGCAAGCCTTGTTTCTTGACCATCCTCTTCTCCTTGCACTCACGAGCTCTCTGTTCACGGCGCTCGGCTTTTTTCTGTCGTTCCTCTTCAGCCTGTCGCAATGCCGCTTCTCTTGCCTTCTTACGATATTCCTTAGTGGTGTTACCTTCGTCCTTCCAAGCCAAGAAGTCTTTGAAAGAAATGGTATCCCCGCAATCCAACTCAATCCATTCAGTATATTCCTGCCAGGCTGATAAATAAGTCCCACGATGATTGAGTCTTTTTCTGCAAAAGAAGTAAAATCAAATAAATAAATAAAAAATTAATTATCTTCTTCACAGTATCTATAATCTGAAGCATCAAATAAAATAGTAGTGAGTAATCCTCAATAACTCACCCGCGGCTCACATCCTTTCGAATTAAACGCAACTCCCTTATGAGCGCATCGTCATCCCTCAAGGTATTTCTCCAGGTAGGATAACGCATCTCACGATATACTGATGATTTCGGGATGTCCTCTTCCTTTTCATCTGTAGGTGACTCCTCCGGCTCTTCTGAATTTAATGACGCATCAGAATTCAACTCCAGGTCGTTGTCCATTTCTTCATCGTGATAACTGATATCTCCAGCAGATATGTCCGAAATCGTTTGCGGCAAGGTGTCTGAAGCCCCATCATGCATCTCGATGTCTTCATCTATAATCCTAAGTCCATCAAGAGATCCATCGCTCTGGATTTGGTCCATTCCCTTAGAGTTTAGAGTTTGGCCTTCTTTTAGCGTTGTCTCTGTTTGTGACGATGCGCCTTGACCTGTTGGGCGTCTTACTTCCTTGAGCTGATCATTTGGATCTTCTAGACCCTCCTTGGGTGAATTTAAAGACGATGTTGAGGTAGTGGGCGTCATGTCCTCTCTGTCTTCTTTAGCTTTTTTGCCATTCTCAGGCTTTGCTTTTGGTTCTCCTTTTTCCCTCTGCTTATTCTTTTTGCGTCGAAAATCTTTTGCCAGATTATCAATACCATCCTGTATATCGACATTAAGCTCAGAGTCGTCAATGAACTGTCGATCAAGCTCCTTCTGCCGTCGTTCCTCTGCAGCCATAATCTCTTCATCGGTGTCATCCTTTCCGGAATTCTGAATATACTCTCGATGTCCGGTTGAGTCTGAACTCTGAATAGTTGGGGATGGTGAGCCTGCTCTGGGATGTGGCGGGTCCTTACTTGATATTACCTCAATATCGTGCTTTGTCCCATCTTCTGCTCCTACCAGAGATGGTAATGGCCCCTGAATAAGGTCCAGTTTCCATTGCCACGCCCATAATTCATCCAACGTCCGATCCATGGCTTTGCACGCTTTATGAATTTCATTCGCATTCTTATAAGTAGTATCCATAAACGCATCAACGATGCTCGTGAGTCGCTTTCCAGCAAGCTCATTAATTCGGCTCTGTATCCACTTGATGGCACTAGCAGGGTTTCCATTTCTCTTCAATAGATTGTCATAAATGGTCATACGTCGGGACTCTAATCTTAATTTTGAGGAAATCTCCCATTTTTCTTTGTGAGTGGCCTTGTATTCTTGAATAAGGATCTGAGCATCAGCAGGACTTAACGCTGTTACTGTTTTGGATGATGATGCTTCAGATTTTTTGGGATGCGGTTTTAGTCGCTCCTTCTCTTCTCTTGCGACCTGCTTGTATAGCTCCTCGTCCGTTGTATATTCAGACGCATCTGATTCGCCATACAATGGCAACACAGGGTCATCGCCATTTTCTACTGTATGCGACTGCAAATCATGTGTTACTCCTCCCTTGAATTTGCGGAAGTCTATAGAGGTAAGATCTTGCTCGCCTTGGCTCAAGTCTACCCATAGCGATGATGATTCCTTGCTTTTATTTTTAAATACAACATCCCAAGTAGACGGGCGGACTAAATTATTAGCAGGGATTTGAGCATCCCAGAATCAGGTAGAAGTCAGTAGTCAATTCGCCATTACAGAAAGAGACATGTTCAATATTACTTTATCAGAAACAGCTTTTGTCAGTTAAACAAAAGAAACAAAATGTACCTTCGACAGTGCCGCCATTATTGGTGAAGACTAGAACTGGAACATCTTTCTGCCTCCGTCTCACTGGTGCATATACAATGTGGTCAAGGGTTTCTAGAACTGGAGGGCTTCGTAAGATGCGTTTCATGTTCCGCTGAACGAGTAGCCGGTAGCCTTCGGGGATTGGGTTTTGTGGCGAGTAGGATGGGCGGACAGCCCAATTGTCATCACTGTCGCTTTCAAGTGCTCCATCATTTTTGAAAAAGATATCGGATATACTCGCTCCTGTACGAGAGAAGAATGAAACCTTCTTTATGGTTTGTTTGGTTTGTTTACTAACAGTATTGCTGTCACTATGTGCCGAGATAGGTTTCTGACGGCGTTGGATATAATTAACAGGCTCAAGGTCCTGTGGCGTTGGAATCGATGAAGAGCGATTAAATACAGTTGAGGAGAGCGCTGAATGGATCCCAATGGACATGTGTTGCGATGCCGTAGGCACCAAAGTTGGCATGAATCTCTTGATGCCAACATGATTCATACCGGTAGAGCGAAGGTCCCCTACCAGGCCATTATTGATCAGTTTCTTTGAGTTCCGGACCCTCAATGCTAATGGTAAGTCGTCCTCATCTGTATATGCATTATCCATCTCTACATTTGCATCATCGTCCTCTTCATCACCGTCTTCTCCGTCAGTTTCGCCAAGCGAGATATCATCCATTTTTGCAAAGGATTTCTTGATATTTTGAGATTGTAATCGTGATCGTGGTCGGTTCTCTCGACCTCTCAGGGATTTCTCACTTCCGTCCAGATACACCTTGAGCGGCTCCTTCAGCAAGGGGATTTCATTGAGCTCAGCGTCACCGCGTTCTGATCGACGCTTAGCAATGCCCGTGTCATTTATGCCTGACGAAACTGAGTCATGGTTATTCTTTGCGAGTGTGTGTGTGTACGTTGGCAATGCCTCTTCCAAATCATGCATATTCAGCACAGAAGTGCCTGTGCTCATTGTTGTCTCGGTTGATGATCCGAAAAGGCCCTGTGATTGCATTGATGTATCTGACAGTCCCAAAGTCCCTTTGATTGTAGCGTTCTGTCCGTCAACTCCTTGCTGCCCCGCTTCTTCGGCTGTCTTATGAATTGCATTACCTATACGTCCATACAGACATTAAATGAGGTTAAACGTTCCTTACGTTAGATTATAGCAACTTGCAGTAGCTTTTACCTCATGCGATCAACCAGATATGTCTTCTAATCGCAATAATGCATAACTACCTCGTAATCTCCATATGGTTTTGAGGATCTTTGCCCTTTGGCCAAATGAATTGATACCGAACTCAGTCTTGAGTGCTTCGTGGTCTAGGTCTTCAATGAGCACACTCCCGTCTACGTCATTTTCTTTGAAGTTAAAAGAAAAAAAAGAAAAAAGAAAAAGATCGTCGTCGTAAGACATTTATTTTACTTCTTTCCCTTTTTTTCCTTTTTTTCCTTTTTTTCCTTTTTTTCCTTTTTATTCTTTTATTTCCATTCAGCTCTCTACCTTGGAAACGCTCAAGAACCTCCTCGGAGAATTGAAAGGTCTCGCGAAGCCATTGACAGACTTCGCGGGTGCTCCAATACAGGGGGTTGCTCGGCCGGTCCATAGGTTATAAAAAAAAATAAATAAATAAAGTATAACACAATAGTACTAAGAGAGACAGCAGTAGGAGGGTATTAAGCCGGGTTTCAATGTGTAAATGTGTAAAATTAATCTGGATTAATAATGACCAATGTATTCAATCGGTCATGGAAACTACATCAACAAGGAGATCATGAAGGCTGCTTTTATCAAGTTTACTATAAATATAGCACGTGACTTATGTACTGTGCCGCAGATTTACCATAGCACTGTGGTTTTTTTTTTTTTTTTTGACAAAGTGGGCAGGCTTTGTTTCACTGTGGACACAATGGAAGTGGACATCCTCTATAGACTCCCTATATCCCTAAGTCAGAAGATTGCATTATTGATGACGGATACGTCAAGGGCGTGACGATGCCTGTTCTCCAGCTCTCCTTTAACCTGTTTATCGTGTCATTCATGTAATAGCTTACTACGGTACACAATATTTGGTACAACCACTGCTCTTCAAGAGAGGTTTATTGCGTTAATTCATATCTACATGGATCTCACCGGTATGTGAGTGTGTTTTTTACTAACAAAAAATATATCAGTTTAGATAACAGGGATTAAGCGACGACAATGCGCATAGTATTGGTGTTTCCGTATCCTGCACGGAATCCCTGGATGACGATCACTGGCTGGCCTGATTTCAACAAACCGTGGTGAATAGCCTGATCCATACCCCAACGCAATCTGTTGTCAACATCCTCCTGCCAATCATCCACCTTGGGTTGTTCATAGATAAATGGATAACAGCCTCGAGACAAGTGAATCGCACGAGCGGTCGAAGCCTTGCGGGTCACAATAATGATGTTGGCCTGTGGACGATACTTTGAGATTAAACGAGCAGTGTCTCCAGAAGTTGAGAGGACAACAATCGCCCCGGCATCCTGTTCATGCGCTGCAGAGACGGCTGATGAGGCTACAGTTTCAGTGGTTTCAGTAGGGCGCTTTTGGAGCATACGAAGCTCATTGAACAATGGTGGGTAACAGATAGCAGACTCTGCAAGAACACAGGTATCAGCCATAGTGCGGACAGCCTCAAGTGGATATGATCCCTTTGCGGTCTCTCCTGACAACATGACACAGTCGACGCCATCCAGAACAGCGTTCGCGACATCTGACACTTCGGCACGAGTAGGGCGAGGGTTGTACTAAACAAAAGTAAACGTATACGGCGCCAAACAGTATGTTAGTAGTCTATTCGTAAATGACGATATCTACTTTTAAGCAAGGTTATGAAAAAAAAAAAAAAAAAAAATACTCACAGTCATGGACTCCAGCATCTGAGTGGCACAAATAACGGGCTTGCCTGCCAAGTTGCACTTGGAGACCATCATCTTTTGAGCAATGAAAACTTGTTCACAAGGGATCTCAATACCCAAATCGCCACGAGCGACCATGACGCCATCTGTAACCTCCAGGATCTCGTCGAAATTCTTGACACCCTGGTGGTTCTCGATCTTACTGATAATCCTGATATGCTTTCCCTCCTCGCCCAGAATCCTGCGAATCTCACGAACATCATCTGCACGACGGATAAATGAAGCAAAGACGATATCGACATTGTTCTTGACACCAAACTGCAGATCCTTCTTGTCCTTTTCTGATAGAGCAGGAAGATCCACCTCAGTCTTGGGCAGGTTAACACCCTTTCTGGAGCATAGCTTGCCATTGTTCAACGCCCTGACCTTGACTTGGTCTCCCTCAACAGCAAGAACCTGGAATGACAACACGCCATCGTCAACGTAGATGATTTTACCTGGGGAGATGACCTTGGTAATATTCTTGTAGTCCAAGTACATGACCTCGCCTGTGCATGCTTCTGCGTACTGGTCATTTGTAGAGAAGATCATCTCGTGGCCGGCAGTGATAGGAACTTCGACATCGTCTTTCATCAACCCAGTACGAATCTCGGGTCCCTTAGTGTCAAGAGCAATTCCAACGGGGCGGCCAGGATGCTCTAGATCGTATCAGACAAGTCAAAAAAAAAAAAAAAAAAAAAAAAAAAAAAGGAAAGAAAAAGAAAAAAAGAAGATGGGTTGTTTGATAAGCACATAGGTAAGTACAGCGGGTACAATCGTGAGGAAAAACAAGGTATGAACAATCAAAAACTTTTTTTTTTTTTTTTTTTTTTTTTTAATTTAAAAAAAGCTTATAAGGATAGAAGGGCTCAATTGAGATCAGCAGGACAAAAATGTGGGAAGAAAAATTTCCGAATGCGGGCAAAGCAAAAATGAAAAGAAAATTGGTCTCACGGGAAGACACGATCCAATGTCCATATCATGTCTAATCTGAATCTGACGCAGATATATCATATTTATATCCATGAACTGTACCTTCAGCACTCTTGCGGGTATTATCGATAACAGACTGGTGATATTCATACGAACCGTGGCTAAAGTTCTAATAGAACCGTTATAATTAAACAGTGGAAAAAGAATGAAACGCACGTAGTTAGACACGCTGTTTCTAGACGTCACCGGTTTTTGAATCATAGTGATTTTTTTTCTTGTCATATCCCATGTCAGTGAGAAATCTGGTGGTTTTTTTTTTCTTTTCCTTTTTCTTTCATTCAATTTGTCGATTTAATCCGAAATGGCAAGCATTGGACTTGTTCCGTGATACGCCATGTATTTCATGTATAAAAAAAAAAAAAAAAAAAAAAAGACCAGAGACTATAGAAAGTGATCCCGGAATAAACCGACACCAAGAAATTCGAGTTGATACACTTCTCACGGTCATTAATCAAAATCGCACGCCTGACGTTCATGAGCCTCGATCCAAAATGTAAAATGTAAAATGAACACACACCCCCTTTTTTTTTTTCTCACATATCCCTAGACTGATGAAAAAAACAGTAGAACGATCCGCCTTCTTCGAGTCAACGTACCATACGAACAATGTTCATGCCGGCCTGGCGAAGTTTGGTGATCATGTCGACACTATTAGTCTTTGGACCTAAGAAAATAACAACGTCATGGAACACAAAGAATAAGCCAATTGATATTCATGCCAACGCGGTTTCATGAAGTAAAGGGAAAAAAGAAAAAGAAAGTAGAGAGGAGAGCCAACGTACCAATGGTGCAAATGATTGAGGTCTTGCGGACATTTTTTGGAGTATAATCGATATCAAGGGATGAGGTCCACTCGAGGTTGGTCTTGATTGAATCCCTGAACATGGTTAATTATTAATTCTTATTGACAAGTGAGTCAAGTAATATAACGAAGAGTAAAGAAATGAAAAGAATGAGGGAATGAGAAAAAGTTGAAGGAATGAGGAATGAAAGAAAAGAAGAGAGGAAAAAAAAAAAAAAAAAAAAAAAAGACCGAAGGTAAGGTCGGTGCATGTTTATTTTGCTCATCATGGCCTCTCTCCCTATTTTTCTTATCTGCTATCTTGCATTGCAAAAGTCTCTCTCGTCCACGTTTTCCTGCTTATGTTTAGTGTTTTAAATACCCAGACGATGTGTTTTGGACTATCGATCAATGTCTATAAAAAACATTGTATGTAAAAAGCTGTTTCATCCCTATCTAGTACATGTACATGTACTGAACACGTAGATTACGCTGTAATTTCATTATGATCTTTGGATCAAACTTTTTTATGCTATCGCCTTGGAAGCCATTTGCTCTCAGCCTGTCACTGTCAATCGTTCTATTGATTGTCGTTATCTCTTGTCCACTCCACAGAAAACAAACATCGACAATCTTTTTTAGTTCAACCTTTAATAAAAAATATATATACTTTTATCACTGCTCATCTCCTCAATCATTTCCTTATCAGTTAGTGTCTGATAGCCGTGCTACTTGTATTTACATCAGATGTTTTTTTTTTGTTGTTATTTTTATTATCTGTTAAATATAATAGACATATGCTATCTTTCACTCATCTGATCAGATTTTAAAAAGTATTTCCTGCTTGATTTCATCCTCGTTCTCTTCAATCTGTGTCCTCACAAAGGTCTAATTTGAACGCAAGTTCTTCCAACATCGCCTCAGCAGCTACGAGATACATAGAAAAAAAAAAAAAGAAAAAAAAAATAAGACAATTAGTGTTACCTATAGAAAATGAAAAATGATCACGTAAATGTCATGCTACAGCTTTTTAAAAGTGAAAGAAATATATACTTTACCATCATTGCCAAAGTAATGGCTTCGATCTAGACTGGTGTCCAACATGGAAAGTGTCTAAAAAATTTTACAATTAAATAACTCCCTTTTAATATTTCTTATCCTATTGTACGAATTACCGTTTTATTTGAATCACTTACCATGCTGAAAAAATCCATAAATGGCACATTGTGCAGAAGCATCACATCCTCCGCAATCTGGTTCCAGTATCGTAGACGGTAGATAGATCGCCAGTCGTGTTGGAATAATGGATCTGTAAGTTGTGTCTCTGGGAAAGCAACCATACCGGCCCATACCATCATCACAGTCGGATCCTTCTGACTGTTATAATCGTTATTTGCCGTCTTGGATACGGGGAAGACAATAGTGTCAAAGCTGTCTGCTGTGTCATCAAAATCGATGTTGTTGGTAGAGCCCACATCTGGGTCAAGGGAACGACGACCCAAATGATTATGGATTCTTTTCGTGTTTTTGATGTTGCTCTTGTTGTTGCTAGTAGCACTACTTGAGTTACCAGTTTTACCCACAGTGCGTTTGGAAGACTGATTGTTGGAAGGATTGGCAGTATTATTGCTCTGGTCATCACCTGATCGGACATACTCATTGCGATTGTCGCCTCTACTATCTTTACCGTTGCTAGCGCTTGAACCGCTGTTGAAATCAGATTTACTTGGACTAGTTCCCGCTTCAGCCTTAGCGACACTATAGTTTATATTATTCTGTCGATCGCCTGTGCCTCCTCCGGCTTTGGAATTGCTGTCCTTGGCACGCTGGTTTATCGATTTACTTTTGTCACCGCGATTGTTGTCGTCACCCAAGATCGCTTTTTCATTCTGGCTCATAGAGAACCTTTTGGACTCCTCGGAGATTTGTGCGGCACCCTTCTGATCAGATAGTTGGATGTGCTTGCCCTGTCGAACGAGGCCAGGCTTATTACCCTTATTATTGTAACCGTTACGTTGGTTCTGATATTGTTCCTGCTCCCGATTTCCAGTATTGAAATGGCCATTCTTGGAGGACTTTGATAGCTCCTCCTCTTCTTTGGTTTCATCGTCCCAGGCAACCTTAATATATTCAAAGTCATTTCCGCCTGTAGTGTCGTCGCCACGACCATGTTGAGTATCTTGACTATCTTGTTGTCTTTCCTTGTCGTAATCATCCCCCTCATCGTAACCATATTCCCCATCATAATCATCCTCGTCGTCATAACCATCCTCGTCGTCATAATCATCTTCGTCGCCATAATCATCCTCATCTCCATAATCGGCCTCTCCATCTCCTTCTATTATCCCGCCCTGCTCACCATTATTGTCATCCCCATTACGACTCCTATTATTTCCATTAGATTCATCAAAATCCTCGTCATCAAGGTCTTGACTATCCCGAGCTTGCTGTTGGATCGATTCGACAAGGTCTTGGACCATATCATGGTATTGGGCCGTGGACATAGGATTGCCTGAGGTGTTGGTCCCTGTGGCCCATTGACCGACGTTGGCAACGAGGATGTCGGAAGGTTCGCTGATCGTCTCTGAAAAGAGAGGATCATGAACAAATGCAAAGGTCGTGGATTCAAAAGTCTTGTCTATGCGTCTTTCAGAGCCCGAAGCTACATATCGCACAAAACAAGAGCGAATGAATATCTATTTGTTCCTTACCATGTGCCAAGGAGAAACGAAAAAAAAATAAAATAAAATAAAAAAATAGTATTCACATTACTGGATGTTTGAATCTCAGTGATGCCATCAAGCCGTCGAACCAATTGCTCCATCGCGACTCGAAGGTGTGAGTCGCCTTGGAACAGAATCTTTAATGGACCCTTCTTGTTCTGTAGACAACTCCTCTGGAGCGGTTTGCCATAGGTACATCCAAGAGGTGTCCAGGTATAGTTGGCCTTTCGCCAGCTCTGCTTATCCAGTGGGTGTGCGGGCAGCCATGCACCCTGCACAGCCATACTGCGCGAGCATAGAGGCAGCTCCCCCTTTACTCCAGAGCTAGTTGCTGCCACGTCTGCTCCCTGGGGATATGGCTGATTCAAATTTTGACTTTGAAGAGCCTCATATTCTGCTGCTTCCGCTACAGAAGGGTCTTCAGTGTTTGATCTTGATGTCGGCTCTAGGAACCTTGGAGAGGCGATCCGTGAGGGACAACCACGGCAGATTTCAAGTGGTAAATTCGAGATGACTTTTCGAGGCTTCATAAGAGGCCATCCCTTGTTCTGCTCAGCCACTGCATCAAAGTTACTGTACAGATGTGTGATATCCAAGGAGAGTTTCCCGGGATTAGAGATATGAAAGGGAAAGACATAGAGACATTGAGATGAGTGGTACCAATCTGGTGGAGATAACTTTTCAGACCCACTGAAGACCACATGGAAAGCGTCTGGCCCAGAAAATTGACGATGGAACGCGTCATGGATTGTGTTTTCAGAAATTGGATAACGCAAATTGGCCTCTTTACATAAGCCCTGAGAAAGAGAAATGGAGATTTAATAAATATAAATATCTATAATACCGATGTCAACTGATCGATGTTTTTAAAAAATAAAAATAAAAAAATAAAATAAAAAAAAGAAAGAGGTATTGTCGTCCCAAATGAACGAAAACTTACGCGATCTCGGCGTCTCACGCGAACGAGGCCTTCATTACAAGTATAGGGTGAGAAACAGATATCTGCAGAGAAATCAGGGTGCTCTGATTCAAGTGGAATACATTCGTGAGGCTCCAACATCAAAAGTTTTTGACGATCGTATTTGTAGAACCGAGGACAGAGTGGTTTTTGAAGATGATCTAGGCTTTGAGAGTATATGGATGGACGTGTAAAATACTCCATGACGGATGTATGCATTTCTGCCGATGAATACATCCAAAGTATCACAGCAGTGGTGGCCAGGACCACGCATCGCCTTCTGGAGCGTGGACGTGCCAAAAACCCAAGTGCCATTAGAATTAGAATACTTTCTTTGTAAATGTGTTACGTGTTATGAGTTTTTTGTGTAGCTTTTTTGATGATTGGAATTATTTGATCTAGAAAAAAGAAAAAAAAAATAAAATAAAATAAAAAAAAAAAAAAAAAAAAAGGAAATGAAAACAACCAAAAGGGCGGTAGAATAGGATTGAACAACTGGTAAAGGAAGGGTAGGAGCTTTCTTCTTCGGCGCCAGTGACTACGAAATGTTCTTGTTCACCCTCGTCCTGATGGGACAGTATGACGATTGTCTGTTGGATTCTCGTTTGACATCCTTATTGCTAACTGCGGCCGTTGCTCTTTTCCTGGTGTGCGTCGGAATCTATATCGCTTTTAGTTTTGCCTAGAGGAACGTGTCTATCGTACAGGATATGCAAAAATAAAAGACCGAGACGAAAGTTTTCCTCGGACACTCTTTCGTATTTTTTATTTTTTATTTTTTATTTTTTTGCTTTGTTCTTTGACAAAACTTAGAGAATACCACATGGTGATCATCCTGCTATGACTTTCGTCAGCGGGTAAAAAACAAAGTATTTGTTGTTGGAATTGCAGGTTGTTGCTGGTTGGTGCGGATGAATTGTTCATGTTCATGTACATCATCGTCAGTACTCTATGGACATTTTGATGTCAATTTTTTTATATTTTATTTACTCAGGGTGGTCGGTATCAAGAAACTCAATAGGCCATGTCTTGTATGGTCTAGATGTGTGGTGCCTTGCGGAAGAACCCCCTTTGAATTTGTATTAACACTATTAGGGATTAACACTCTTAGTCTGTATGCATCGGTGTTTTTTACATTGGACCCTGTCTTCCTTGATCTCAAAATGATTGCATACTTTCTCCTTGTGTCTTGTTTTAAAAATAAAAAAGATACGGACATGTGTAATATTTACAAAGAAATGCCCATAATAGTCATAGCAAAAAAGGACCCTCTTGCCCCTTTGCCCCCTGGTCTGTGTTAATGTCGCATCGCATCATTCTTTTCGTCGTATCTTTTTTCTTTCCATATTCGATTACAAGTTTCTACAGATTTTTTCTTTTCTTCTTTACACTCTGACCAGACTCTTCTCTTTTCCTCTCATTCTCATATTCTCATTAATTCATTCCTTTATATATATATATATACACACTTTAAGTCATTAATTCGTTAATTCGTTAATTCATTAATTCGTTAATTCAACCCTTCATTCATTCTCACTCTTTGATTCTTGGTCTGTACATTCTTCTTTCGTCTTTCCTTTCGGTCTTTTCATATACATTTACACACAAACAGAGTGTCTCTTTCTGCCCCCTTCTTTTGAGCGAGCGCATTATGAACACCGCCTGCGCAACCATGTCACACCTGGTCACTGTCGACTCTCCATTTGAGTCTCAGGCACAGACTCAGTTCCAGAAACATTTGCAGCAAAAGCGACAACGACAACAACAGCTGTCTACTTTTAACCCCAATCGTATCTCACTCCTTCCACAACAACAACAACAAGACCTGCCACAGCCGCAACAACCGCAACAACCGCAGCAACCGCAGTTTACTCCACCCCCTCAACTGCAGCAACAACCACAGGCTCAGGAAAAGCCAGTTGGACGGCCTACAGGATCTCGTCCTAGCCTCAGCCTTGATACATCTGAAGAGCGTCTTCAGAACATCAAGGTCTTTCACTACAATAACAAACAGTACCTCAAATTATTCTCGCCAAGCCTTGTAGAATCACCTGTTAGTTATTTGAATCAAAAGCAGTTGATCGAAGACAAGAAGCTGTGGGAGAACGGCCCAAATGAAGCCTTCCAAAAGCAACTCGAGAACGAGAGACGGGAAGCATACAAAGGTAAAAAACAATTCTCACACACCAAAAAGAAAAAAAACAAAAACAAAAACAAAAACAAAAAAGACAAAAATGAAATGGGCGTTACAGAACTCACGGGATTGATCCATCGCGGACGATTGTATTACATCCAAACATGCCAGCATTGTCACCCACCCCCCTTCCAATGTTCCAACCTTCTTCTTCTCGGTTCTTCCTTTCTCCTTTATTTTTTTTATAGTATTCTTGAACATGGTCTCTTTGCTATTTTTCGTTATTTTTATCAGAGCCTTTTGTCTTAGATGTTCAAAAGGGAGATGGGACATGGACCACATCCACAGACATCTGTACTTCCGTGCACTTGTCTGCACAGTCTGTGAGATGTGACATGCCATGTGGGGCCATTGCTCTCTGATTCTAAATGATGCACATTTGGATCTTGCTTGACTTTTTCACTCTCATTGAATATTACTCAATGGACTAAAAAAGGGGGCCCTTGCAGATCTTGCAGTTGCATTATTCAAAAACAGTGACCCAATCCATTTCATCACATATTTTTCCATCATCCATAATTCATTATCCGTGCTAAATCTTGATGCTAGTCAAATTGCTATTTTTTTCATGCCTGCGTAATATTTTGTGTATTACATATCATGTGCACTAAGAGCTGCCTTTTTCTACACATAATCAACAACACATACGCATTTACACATGTACACATACACCACATGAACATGCTATTTTCAGGCCATGCCACACAACCCGTGAAACAGGCACTAACCAAATCTAATCCATCCTGTTCTCTTTGTCTCTTTTGAAATTAAAATAGCTCGCTCTAAACAACAGCTTCGGGGCTTTATTATGGGTCTGTGGCTTGGCTGCCTTCTTGGATTTCTAATGCTGCAGCAAACGACTGCCAAGACCAACAGCTTTTGGAGGTAACAAAAACAAAAACAAATAAAAAAAAAAAAAAATGCAAGACGCGCGATACGCTCTGGCCACTTTGTTAATTATCATTCATGCATTAGAGACTGATTTTATTTATTTATTTATTTATTTATATATTTTACTATACTCTATTTTAGGCATGATACCTTGTCATCCTATAGTCCTTTGGTCATCTTGTCGATCCTTGCCACTAGTGTAGCGATTATCCGCTCAGGATCTCGTTGTACAGTTGCTGCAGTGGCAACTTGTGCGGCTGTATTGACCTGTTTTGCCACATTGCTCGTTAACCAGAGTCAGTACTCTACCGAGCTTCGGCTTTACAAGCGTGGTCCTGTAGGCATTGCTGTTGAAACGACCCCATAAAAAGAGACACCTATGATTTCATCACCCTTCTTTTTTTTATATGACAAGAATAATTCCTTTTGTAAATCCTCCATCCTCTCTTCTTCCTCCTTTACATTACCTCATCCTTTTACTCTTGTCCTTGTATATTTGCTACATTACATTATGCCATCATTTCAAAAAAAAAAAAAAAAAAAAAAATGGAAAAAAGGAACAAAAGGAAAAAAAAAAAGACTTTTTGTAATCTATTGATTCAATTTACCCTCTGCTACCCTTAGTCTTTTTCTTTATGTTTTTTTTTTTTTTTTTTTTTTTTTAAAAAAAATATGTTCTATGACCACTCCCTTGATTACTCTTCACTCTTGTAATGAAATTAAATGAAAATAAAGCACGTTTACTACTACCATTGCTATTATTACTATTGATGTTCTGATGTGATTGTAATGCAAAGGAAAGGAAATAAAGAATCTCACTTTATGTTGAAAAGTAGGGGTCAACATTAGAAAAAGTCATCTGGTCAGACATGTTTTTTTTTTTTTTTTTTTTTCTATTTCTGTACTATGTTTGACATGTTTGACATGTTTGACAAAGTGGGGCAAAAAAAAAAAAAAAAAAAAAAAAAGATCCTTAGTCCTAGTATTGACAATGAGCACCGCTGTTAATGTCGTTTACCAATATCACTGCCAATATCAGAGAAAAAAGAAAGTAAAATTGATGCCATCATGTTCATATCCTGAATAAAGAATGTAAATTTGGGAGAAATGAAAAGCCCTGGGCTGTGTCATTATCAATGTCATTGTCACTGTCATTTGTCATTGTCACCATCATTGTCATTATCATTGGCCATTGGCGCAACAAAGCTTAAACAGGGATAGGATGGAAAAGATTATCTATTTTTCCCATCAACCAAAAATCTATTCGGAAGGCCCACTTTTTTCTTAACCGTTCTCTCCCAGGAGCCTTTTTTTTTTTTTTACTTCTCTCTTTGGCAATAGAGCAATTGAAACATCTATCTTGAGTATGTGCAGTTGAATACAAATAAAGAAACGCGAAAATGAAAATCAAACAAAACGAACAAGAAGTGGTGGCAAAGTACTGTATCATCTTTCATCACACACTGTTTAAACAGTCTCCCGAGGAAAAAAAAAAAAAAAAAAAAAAGCAGCCTCCGAGGAAAAAAAAAAAAAAAAAAAAAAAAAAAGAAAAAAGAAAGAAAGAAAGAGAGTGTATGAGTGTATAAGAAGAGGCTTTATATCATCTTTCTTGCTAGAGCCATGAGAGGAGGATGGGCATTCCTTATTTAATGCCGCAGCAATTGTTGTTTTTCGATCTTCCTTCCTCTTCACCCCTCCCCCCTGAAATGATCGAGGATTTTGTGTTTCTTGGGCGATGCGAATCCAAAGTTGATGAGTTCTAAGTTCTATGAGTAATGAATGATCGTACCTTTGTGCTGCACCTTCGGATGCATCATGAGTTCATTCCTTGTTCTCTTTCTCTTCTTCGCCTTTTTTGTTTTCTTCTTCTTCTTCTTCTTCTTCTTCCTTTGATCGTCCTTTCGGCTTGATAGAGATTCCGTTGATCGGAGTCATCTAGGAATGGTAATGAAGGAGAAGGGAAAAAAAAAAAAAAATCGATGGCGCAAGATCATAGTTTTACTTAATTTCTCTCTTCTCCCCCTTGTCTCTAATGACAGCTGTAACTTTAAACCTTAAAATCATCGTCACTTCTCTTTCACTTACTCATGCACAGAGGTTAAGTAAAATATAAAAATGAAAAAAAAAAAAAAAAAAAATCTTTTACCCCATCATTCAGGAATATGCATGTACATGTACTCTCCCTTCGTCTTATTTTCCCCTCCTCGGCGGCCTTTGAGCAACTCAAGTGCTTAGTAGCCTCAAACGGCTATATCATGAGATTGATATCTCTCTTTGATCAGAAATGTAGTTTTTTATTTTTTTTTATTTTTTTTATTTTTTTTTTAAAAAAAAAAAAAAGAAATTGGAAGCATAATCACGCGCATCCTTTGAGTTCCTTTCTCGAAACATGAAAAGAAATGATTGACAAAATCCGGCGATCTTTATTATTCCGTCATTATGCATGGATAATTATTTTTTTTCTGCCGGCTCGGACTTTGCCCCGCATCGGCCTTGACGAGTCAAAAATGAACAACATGATATAGAGTAACGAACTTGGTGAATAAGCAACCCCTATGATCACCAATAAAGAATGACGGCAATGTATCCAGTTCAAGAATGAACAAAAAAAAAAAAAAAAAAAAAAAAAAAAAAGTAATATTTTTTGTAGATCTTACGAGCTTTTGGCAAATATCCCGTTTCTTGCATTATTTCTACAGAATACATGATAAAAAGCCATGACTAAAACTAAATTTATCCTCCTTGAACTCATGGATTGGATGTATTCTGTATACGAGATGGAGTCGATTCTTCTATGAATATCTGACATATAATCTGTTAGATAAGGAGAAACAAGCACAATGTAGTGAGGGGTGATCAAAGGTTAAAGAGTGTTGCCGTTTGGCCTATTTCGGACGCGTTCAATGTAAAAACTATAGTCGATGGACCATCTGCATATAAATATAATACATTTGTTGTACTGTACATATGTGTTTAGACTAAGGGAACTAGAGAATAAGAGTAAGGAAAAAGGAAGAGGAGGAGGAGGAGGAGGAGGAGGAGGAGGAGGAGGAGGGGGGGTTCCATCTTTAGGATCGTTGAGGTGCACCTCAATGTTTTTTTTTTGTCGATTTCGGATTCTAGCCAGGGGACACACACACATGCGATGCAATGTGCATGTTACACGTTGCTCCACACAATCACATTCTTGTAACATGTACATGTACAACAACTGCACAAAATGCAGGAAGGTTTATCCATAGTATAGACTATCGGTAGATCATGACACACAAAGATTGCAAGTGTATTCTACAAATAGAATAGTCTTTTTCTTCTTTTTCTTCTTCTTCTTCTTCTTCTTCTCCTTCTTTCTGATTTCATTTGTCTTTGTGTCGACTTAATAGGTCATGAAGTCTCTGTCTACCAAGGGGGATATTTTTTTTTTTTTTTTTTAAAAAAAAAAAAAAAACCAGCTAATCTTCGGAAAATTAAGGGATCTACAGAGGAAAATACCGTTATCAAAAAGAAAAAGGAGACTCCCCTTGGGTCAAATACATTGCTGATTGTTGCATGAAAGATTCAAAAAACGGCCATATGGCAACCTAGATTCTTTTTTTTTTTTATTTTTTTTTTCTTTGACATGCGTACGTACATATAATGTGGTTATGGTGATGGTATTGATATTGAAGCTTACTTATTTGTATAGTGACAGTATCTTTGTTGATTGTAGTTGTTCTTTTTTTTTTTTTTTTTTTTTTTTTTGCAGCTGTCCTTCTTCTGAAATCCATCGTATACAAAGATTGATTCACCTAATTTGTTCGTTCAACCCGCCGATGGGGACACTTTTGATTGCAGAATGGACTTGTATTTCTTCTCTATATCATTTACCACAGCTTTGTACAACTGGACTGAACATGACAAGGACTGGCTGAATGGGGGGGTTTTGGCCAATGATCCTACTACGCCACCAGTCAGGAGAGAGGCGAGGGATTTGGCGTGTCAGTTATAAATGTGTTATTCTAAACAGATGATGGTCAGCAGACACATTTGTTTGTATTCACTTTTCTCTAATGAGCATGCAAACATGCACATGCATACATGCTGCATACATTTACCTATTTTTTAGGGTCCTTTCTTTCATTCCTTGTTCTTTTCTGCTCATTTATGTTGCATTTGCATTTAGTGAACAACTGTCTCCTTTGGCGAAGACAAAAAAAAAAAAACAAAATCAACAACGTGGTATACTGCATTAACTTTGTTTTTTTTTTTTTTTTTTTTTTTTTTTTTTTTTGCATGCCCCTGCTGTCCACCAAGATTCTTTGAATTCTATTGAGAAAAAAAAAAAAAAAAAAAAAAAAAAAAAAAAATTGACGCGTTTGTGTATCTTATTCAAGTAAAGAGAAGGTACCATGATCCCCCCTGAAAGAAACACAAAGGCATGGACAAAAGGACAGGGATACGGAGAAAGTTAAAAAGGTTAATGGATGGATAGCCAACCAATCCTTGCTCTTCGCCATATTCTATTGGAGAATGCAACCAGCAAATTAGAATGCATTGCTCAGGAATTGAGGGATTTTTTTTTTTTTTTTTTTTTTTTTTCTTCAAGGAACAAAGGAATCTTTCTATTTTGTGGAGATGTTATCCATCATCTCATCAAAAAAAAAAAAAAAAAAAAAAAAAAAGTCAAAGCAAGTCTACGGCCTAGGAACTACAAGTCATTCGTAAAAAAGAATGGCAATGTCTTATTCAATTCTTATTTTTCTTTTTCTTTACCAATGAGCAGAACAAAACATATAAAAATCTTTGTCAAGAAACGTGCACAATCAATTTGAGACTCAATGCGTTTTGCGCAGTTTTTTACGAGCCAATGGTTTTTATGAAATGTATATAAAAATATATCTTTATGCGACCTGAAAGTATGGAATATTCCTATTGTAAATTAAGCTTGACATTTATACATTTTAGTATGCTTTGTCGCGTCATCTAGGGTCCATTGGTTTCATGTTCTATAGGGCTCTCTCTTCCCACCTTGTTTTATCCCTCCCCTCTCTCTCTCTCTCTTTGCTTTGCTGTTTCTCTTTTTTTTTTTTATTTGTCATGGTGAAAATATCTGACACATTATTAGCGATTCAATCAAACTAGAAATAGTGGCGGCGAAAACATGAGAAAAGAAGGAGGAGGCGCGAGTGGGGAGGGAAGGGGAGAGGCGAAGCTAACTAGCATTAATGATGCAGAGGACCACACTTGAAGCGATCTGCAGACAGATAGAAAAAAAAAAAAATAAAGAAAAGAAAAGAAAAGAAAGCTGGCTGTCGGCCCTTGAACAAATCGATGAAATAGAAGGAGTGAAAGGGTTAGAGAATGAAAATGCGGACAAAAATAAACTTGAGGATTACACAAGAGTAGAATAGATTGAACGTGGCCACAAAAAAAAAATAAAAATAAAAATAAAAAAGTAAAAAAAAATAAACCTTTTATTTTTCTTGTTAATGTTATTATCACGGGGAATTGTAAACCGACATTCAAAGAAAAAGGGCAAAGAATAGGATAACCGGAAGGATCCAAGATTGATAAAAAAAAAAAAAAAAAAGCAGGGAACATTAAAACAAATAACATTAAAAAAATAAATGTTGAGTGTGCATGCAGATTTGCAACAACAATTGGAAAGGGGGGGGGGGGGGGAGGAGGGCTTCTACAGTCAAGAATCGACCTGTTCGACCAAGTTTATGAACCTAGAAGGATACGAATGAAGATTAGTAATGAGTAACGATGACAAGAAAGAAAAAAAAGGAACAATAAAATGATGGAATGTAAGTTCTCATGACCAAATGACGGATTGTTATCAAATGCCTCAATAGAAACAAAAGAAGAAGGATGAGAAAAGGATATGTCATTTCTTTTTTTCTGAATGTGGTGGCGATGGTGAATGAGCAAGAGAGCGGATGCAAGGGCTTGTGACAAAAGAAAAACGGTTTGAATGGCTATAATTTCTGGTCCATTGACCACAACAGCAATAACGCAACAGCAAAAAAAAAAAAAAAAATAAAAAATAAAAAAAATTCCAGGGTCATGGCCATGGCGATTTGATTCGCCAACAAAGTTGAAAAGAGGAGTTTGTTTGGGCAAATGGATTTCCTTTGAAAGGAAGCATGCCAGATCCAATGGACATGATCGAGCTTTAATTCTCCATTTGGCCATTTTAATGAGTTGCACAAAATAACGAATTTCTTTTTTTCTTTTTCTCATCGGGAGCATCCCACAAACACATCCCACACACATCCCACGCATCCAACAAACATTAAGCATTGAGAGTGACAAATTGCTAAAAAAAAAAAAAAAATAAATAAATAAATTCAAGCATGACCCAAACTCAAAACGAAAATCGATTTTTAAATTTTGCACCGCCCACAAATGATGCATCCTATCCCGTTCATTCACTGCCGTTGCTCGTCTCTTGCAGTTCTATTCATGCACAATCGTTCATTCTCTGTTGGTTTGTGCCCATACCATGCGAGCAAGGGAAGCTCTGTAATATTTTTTTTTTTTTTTTTTTTTTTTTTTTTTTTTTTTTTATCTAACACGCTAACGTATCAAGAACATTAAGGATGTGATCCTTTCGCATCTTTATTTTAGATCGATGGACCAGATGTTGGTATACAGCTGGTCCCTGTGCTCATCGCCGAACTGCCAATTGGCCTCTATCGCTACCTCCCCGAGCCAGTCATGATGCAGGGACACGTACGAATCTATTTGACCTTATTTGAGTCTTTTTTTTTTTTTTCTTTACTTTCTGTCCATGTACAAGGCCTTTTTTTTTTTTTTTTTTTGTGTAGCCAAAAAATCGTTATTTGTGTAATCTATAATTCTATTTTATTCTCTTTTTTTTTGTCAGATTCTTTTTTTAAAACTGGATCTTCACCAGATCGACTCTATGAAACGCGACACAATAGCGCGGCGTGTTGAATCTATATTGAGTTTTTTTTATTTTTTTTTTACCTTGGTCCTTCTTTTATATTATTATCTGCTTTAAAAAAAAAAAAAAAAAAAAAAAAAAAAAAAAAACCCCTTTTTTGACAAAGGGTGTATAGTTGTCGTGTTTAATAGAAAATGGCGAAGCGATGCTTGAGATGAAAACACTTGCTCAGTCGCCACAGCTTTCCTGCGATCCAAGACTCTTCTGACAGATATGAGACGAGGTATAGATGTATTAATGGAAAAATAAAAATTGAGAATACATGTGGCACACCAAGATTCATTTCGGTGGAGGGGGGGCTAAGTTCAAAATGACGCAGTAACATTCAACTTTATTGAACAAAAGAAAAAAAAAAAAAAAAAAAAAAAGTCCATTAACATGTATTTATTTACAAGCCGCGGAAGAAGAGCTGCGGCAGAGTCATACTTTAAATATGAATACACTGTGTATATACACATGAACTCGGTTACATCCACCTTCGGATCACAGTCCATTTATGGGAGAGGAGCTGTGCAGTTGTTGTGCCATCCGTTTCATGAAGAAGCAAAAAATAAAAAAAGAGGAAGGAGAAAGACTATGTAGGTGATTCTTATTGACAAAGAGAATAAAGTAGTGAATCGATATTGGAGAGAACTCGGGGTGAATGAGGAATACGGAGGATCATAAGAAGGAGGTACGCTCGATCAATTATCATTCTACGCATTTCTTCTATTCATGATCCCAACAGTCTGCATCTTTTTACTTTAACAATGGAGTATGAGATGAATGAATGGAAAAAGTATTTTCAATTCTCTGTCTACCTACCTGTCCTTCTCCTTCTCCTATCTATCTGTCTGCTTGTCTGGTTGTGTGTATGCATGCATGTCAGTCTGTCGACCGTGAGCACCGCAGGCTGTAATGGATAAATGCCTCGTGGGGAGAAGAGAGAGAGAGACGGATAGAACGACAGATAAGTTAAATAAATTAAGTTGTCAGTTGATGAATTGTAATGCCAATTGACTTTAGTTCTTAAAGATTGAATTGGACAGAATACCCTCCAAAATGCTTAAATACCTCAACTCCGCACTCTTTTTTCACACTCTTTTTTCTTTTCTTTTCTTGTTTCATTACAGCACTAACAACCACTCTTTGTATCCATTGTTAAACTATCAGTCTTTTTTCTTTTCTTTTTCTTCTTCCTCCTCATTCTTTCTCTCTCTCTCTCTCCCTCTCCCTCTCTTTCCTCATTCCCTCCATCTGTCCATTCGCTTCCTCCATCCATTCCTCCTTTCCTTTTTCTAATCCCTTTCTCTTCTCTTCTCTTCTCTTCTCTTTTTCTTTTTTGTTTGATTTGCATTCCCTGTTATTTTCACCTGATCGCACCTCTGTTTGTTTTTTATTTATTTATTCTTCTCGCAGTCTCTTTACTTTTTCACAAAGAAAAGAAAGCCTATTACGCCACCAACTAGACACGCTTCATTGACACGCTATTTACTGCCAACTCACAGGTGCCGTGCCTGGACCTATCCGTCGGTTACCACCGTGTGCTCTCCTTCTCTCGGATATCACGCTCTTTTTTTTTTTTTTTTTTTGTTGCGTGTGAAACCGGTTCCTCTCTATTGGAACGGCCCTGTGTATTTCCTTTATTATTCCTTAACCTTTAAACCCTTTAAAGCATCATTTGCACTTTTGCAAAAGAAACACGTCACCCGAGACATATTCCAGTGAGGGCTGTTTCTTTGACCTCCTTCTTTGATTGTGATCATTGTGTATTTTGTATTGTCATCCACATACCTCTGTTTGTTGTACATTTGTTTTTCTTTTTCTCTCTTCCGGTTTCCCTTTTTCTCTTTCCTTTGCTCTTTTTTTTATCCCGTCTCCCTTGACTCTGTGCAACCACACATCCGGGGGTGTGCATGCTCTCTTTCTTTTCTTCTTTTTAGATTTCCAAAAGTCCAATTTCAGGCTCAGCCATCCTCTCTCCTCTAATTGCTCTCACACATACCCGGTTTCTTTTGCTCCCCAACACCATTTTTCTTTTTTGATTAAAAGGAGAAGCACCGCCCGCTTTTTTTTTTTTTTTTTGCCACCACATCTTTTTTTTTTTTTTTTTTTTTTTTTTTTTTAAAAAAATTTCTCTTTCCTCTTCTTCATAACTTCTTCCCACCTGCTGTAGCCACATTTGTCTGGCGTCAGTTTATTCCCTATTTCTTTTTTGCTTCTTCAATTTTGTTAAAGAATATATATATATAATTCAACTCTCAAGCCATGCCATTGCAGGTCTTTGAGTTCCATGCCGACAGCACCGTCAGTTTAGCCAGTCCAGCTGCCATAAACCGAAAGAGTTGCGACCACTGCTTCCTAAACAGAAAGACATGCGACAAGGTTCGTCAAGATGCCGACTTGGGCGAAAAATGCAAGCGCTGTGCAAAGGACAACCGTCCCTGCACTTTTACGCCTACGGTCCATCTTTACCATATTGCAGATTGCGTCGGACGTCACCAATGTAGAGCCAAGGTCATCCAGGCCATGGGAGGCCGCAAGAAGGAAGTTCAGTTCAAGACAATCGAGATCCCAATTGTCTGTGATATGGACAACCTTGTGGACCAAGCATTGTTTGAATTTATCCAGAAGCAGCCAAATCTGTTGGTCTACAACAATAGGATCAAATCTATGCTTGCAGAAGAGGTATGTATTGAAAAAAAAAAAAAAAAAGCTAATGTGAATATGCTTTAAAAAAAAATTTTTTTTAACGCTTCATTCATTTTGAACGTAAAATAGATTTTAGGCATCCCTCGTGATCACGATGCCATTAACCCTACAGATCCATTTTCACAAGGGCTTCCAGTCTATGTAAGTTACCTTCAAGTCCTAGTATGCTATGAATGCCATTGGAAATATCAATACCTGTGCTAACTCTCCTCTCCTCTACTCTTTTACGGATTCATGTCTAATAGTCACCAGCACAACCGGTATCGCCATACAGTAGTAGCAGCTTTACCAGCCCTATGACAGCACCTATCCAAGTCTCGACCAACTACAACATCATGTCGCCATACGATCCTCAGCAATCATACCAGGCCGTGCAGCCATCCGTCCATCAGCAACAGCAGCAGTCATATCGTGCTCATCCTTATGCCAGTCACCAAAGAAACAACTCTGAAGATCGTGGTCGCCCCTCACCTCGGTCACACAGTCCTCGTGCCCCTACTGGTCGGCAATCTCACTCGCCCGTGGGCCGTGTAAGCCCCTTACCTAGCCCTAATGCGCTCTCGCCCATCGATCCTTCTTCGGCTGTAGGCGTCAACGTCATTAATTCTATGAATTTTGATCAGAGACGCCTGTCTGGAAATATGACTTCTGCACCTACAGCTGCATTAATCTCTGCTATGGATCCCTATAGTAGCATTTACCAGCCACAACAGCCACAGGTTCAGCAGCAGCAGCAACAGCAGGTCTCGAATCCTTACCAGCAGGCATCCCAGTATCATCCTTATGCTCAGCAATCGCCTTATCCCCAGGCAGCTTTTTTTCATCAGCCCCAAGCTCAGCTACCTCAGCAACAGCAGCAGCATCAGCAACAACAAATGGGTAGTTACCGCAACCCAAGCCCAATCCCAAGTCCTTTAGCTCCAAGCCCTATCCAAAGCCAAGGTAGTCCTCAACCTCCCAGCCCGCTGGAGTTGTCTCTCTCTCTGAACACCAACTTTGGGATGCTTAGCAACAATTTAAGTGCACAGAATCTTCCTAGTTTATTTGATCAGACTTTGACGATGGGCCAACCATCTCAACAACAGCAACAACAACAGCTTCAGCAGCCTTCCTTTCATCACCAGGAGCTCTCCAATAACACAGGGAGTTCTATCTCAGTGTCGGGAGCCTCCCCTGCTCTGACCAATCTCAACCAGATCAACCAGGGAAACGAGGAATCCCCACTCGCGACTGAGGGCCGTGATCCAGCACCATTGGTGGTCACGACTGTGAAAGAGGAGGGTCGCGAAGTGGGGCTTTACTATGCCATTCCCAAGGTCAATCTGAACCCTGGAGCCAGCGAGTCGGACCTTTTCCAGGACTTTAATATGCGGGATGCTTTGGGTGAGGATTTTGTCTGGGTTCAGAACTTGTTTGATGGAGAGGATCAATCTAGCTCTAATATATCAACTGTTCAATCTGTAACAGGGACTTCTGGGGTGCCAACAGGTTCAGCAGCCGGCCTCATGAACCACTATGCTCCACAAGACACGTTTGGTCAGCACTAGGGCCAGTTGAACACCTTGGTTCTTTTATTTTTGGTTCTTCTTATAATATTATTAGTTTTTGTAAATAGTTTTTTTCATAGATTATCGCGTTGTGTTTAATAACTCGCCTTTTTTCTTTTATATCTCTCTCTTTCTTTCTTTTTTTTTTTGTAAATATCTTTCTCCAAAGATACAAAAAAAAAAAAAAATTAAAACAAAAAACATGTATTTGTAAAAAAAAAGAGAAAAATGTCACTGGACGCCTTGACGCGCTTTGCCAACTTGCCAACACCCAAATTCCAAGTCACGTTCACAAACGTGTGGGAAAAGAATAAGCGTTGCCCATTCTACCATTCTTTTTTTTTTTTCTCATTCCTTCTTTGCCAAACAAACTTTTCCTCTCACTTTCCTTTTTCTTTGGACAATAGTAGAAACTATTTTTAATAAGATTGAGGAGGATACAAAGTTATATATTGATATATAAAATGGAGATAAACCGTCCGTTGTTGATGATTGAAGGGCCCAAGTTCTCCGGTTATGACTTTTCGCCATCCAGAGTGATGGCAGCAGATATGCCACAGGCTGTGTGGACATCTTCATTACCACCATCATCGACGTCAGCAACTGTAACTACAGGGGAGCCGTTCATAATTCATGGACGACGTATAGTGCTCCTTGATAAGCAAGATAAGCAAGATAAGCAGGATAAGCATGATAAGCAGGATAAGCAGGATAAACAAGATAAGCAAGAAGAAACAGACAATGAGATCGCTTCTATTGTTGCTTATATTGACCGTGTCCACGACCCATCCGGTCCGCCATACGAAGAATCACCAGAAGAGCTTGCCCTCATCTGTGAGTATATTGACCGGGTTCACCAAGTTGAACAAGAGCGTGATACTCTGGCCTCTCTAAAGAATTCCCAAGCTCAAGATCAAGCCCAAGCCCAAGACCAAAAAGAACAATTAAATAAACAAGAGGAGATACTGTCACATACTGCTGGCACTGCAAAATCAGTTTGGGATTGTGTAAGTAAAGTGTTATTTTTTTATTTTTTTTATATTTTAATCTTGTCAATTAGTGAAGCCTGTATCTACTAATAAAAAAAATAATAAAAAAAAAAATTAATAGAGTATTATTCTTAGCAAGTATCTGGAAGCTCTTTCAGATCGGTATCCAGGGTTCTGGTCCGGCAAACGAGTGTTGGAACTGGTATTTCTTTATAAAATTGATCTGCAGAATTGGATTTTATTTTATTTTATTTTATTTTATTTTTTTAATTGAAAGCGAAGGTAATAGGACACTAACGATCACGCGTTTTTATTGTTTCCTTTTTAGGGCGCAGGACAGGGCATTGTATCATTTAGTGCTGCGGCATTGGGTACAGAGCAAGTGGTTATTACTGATGTGGATTCAGCCCTTCCAGACCTTCAAAAGAATGTTCAACTGAATGGGTTCTCACCTTCACAAGTTCAAGTCACGGCACTTGATTGGACGAATCGTACACAGGCTCTGGATTACATCTGGAATGCTTTACTCGTACCAACTACAGCAACGACAACGAGAACAACGCCTGCTGAACCAGGACCAGAACAAAGACAAGGAACAGAGAATGAAGAGAAAACGCTGCAGAAACAATCACGACCACGATTAGACTATATTTTAGCATCCGATGTGATATGGGTTGATTACTTGATTCCAGCATTAGTGGAAACATTGAGTGATTTGTTGCAGGCATCTAGAGATAGGAGAGACGATAGTAATATGGTTGATGGGAACATGGACTATACACAAAAGCAACATCACCAGCAACAAACATCATGGAGCCATGAATCTTCATCTACAGTTGTGCTGCTAGCATATCAGTTCCGATCGACAAGGAGTGACAAGCTTTTATTTGATTCGATCGATCGATTGGGGCTACAACGAAAGAAACTTTGTCTAGATGTATCATCTTCATCCTCTGTTGAGGACCCAGATGCTGTTTATTTGGATCCAAAGTTCCAACGACCTAATCTTGCCATCTGGAAGATTTGGAAAGATTAAAAAAGAATAAACGAATTGTTGAATAGACGAATGGACAAGAAAGGCGTTTGTCCTTGATTGACTGTTTGTATTTATAGTTTTTTTATTTTTTATTTTTTTTATTTTTTTTTTTTTTTATTTGTACATGTACAGTAAAGTACAATCAAAGGGAATAAAGAAAAGGAAAGAAAAGGAAAGAAAAGAAAGAAGAGAAAAGAAAGAAAAAGAAAAAGAAAAGAAAAAGAAAAGAAAAGAAAAGAAAAGAAAAGATATAAAGAGTGTGCTTAAACAAATATCACGACACTCTGCCCAAACATCCTGATGAACGTTTGCAAAAAAAATAATAGCAATCATCTAAAAAAAAAAAAAAACAAAAAAAAACAAAAATGATATTCCCTTGTCAAAAGACATGGGAAAAATAATGGGCGATTTTTTTTTTCTTTTTCTTCTTTTTCTTTTTCCCTTTTTCTTTTTTTTCTTTTTTCTTTTTCTTCTTTCTCATCTTTGTTCTTCCTTTCCCTTATGCCTGACCACCTCCTCTTCCCCGCCCTCTCATACCACCTCCACGTCCACCACGGTCGTTGTTGTAACCACCCCGTCCACCACCAGATTTGTAATCGCCACGTCCCCCACGACCGCCTCCACGACCACCACGGTCACTGCCTCCATGATGATGACCTCCACGCTGGTTATCGCCTCCAGCGTGTCCTGCACCTCCACGATTGCTGTTGCGTCCACTGGCCAGACGTTGTCTGTTGGCTTCTTCCTTGACCATGTCAATGATCTCATCGGGAACACGAAGATATTTGATCTAGAATCATAAAATGTATAAAATATGATTTCAATATCCTTAATTCTTTTTAAAATCTCCCATGCGATATAATTCTTTTTTCCCTTTTTTCCTTTTTTCCTGAAATGATGAATCCTTACAGTGCTTCCTCTGATATAACATTCAGTCAAACGCCAAAAGCGATCGCCGTCCTAAACATAAGGAATTGGAATAAAGATGGGACGTTATTAAACAAAGAAAAAAAAAAAGTGTTCATAAACGTTTGTCAGCGCAGATGAGAAAAAATACTCCTGATCCCAACGAGACGAGTTTGTCAAGCCCTCAACTACAGCGCCTTTTTTTTTTTTTTTTTATTTTTATTTTTTTTTTCTCGCGTTTTCCCAGATGGTCGTTCTGCATTGACTTTGATCCTTTGGAGGATATATACATGTACATATATATATATTCTTATTCTTTCCATACAGATGAGTTCAATGTCCAGTATTTTTTTTTTTTTTTTTTTTTCCTATTTCGATCCTGATATTTTGCCTTTTAGATGATATTCTGAATCCTTTTAAATTGTCGGTGTCTCCTTTCGCCTTTGATCCTTGGGTAAAGAATATGTTATCCTTTTTTTTTTTTTTTTTTTAATTTCAGCTTCGGCTTACCGAGGATGTCTGGATAACTTCTCTTAATGTCAGGTTCATCCAGTTATCACAGTTGACTAAATGGCCATTGAAAGTTTCGCCATTCTTCAGTTCCACCAACTAGAGAAGGAAAAAAAAAAAAAAAAAAAGATATATAGATCGCGTCAAGATCTCTTCCATTGTTGTTTTTTTTTTTTTTTTTTTTTTTTTTTTTTTTCGTTCCAGGTGAAAAAAATAAAAAAATAAAACAGCTTCCAGCGTTCTTGTATATTGTCTCTGCTTACTATAGGATGGGTCTGAGAGGTGTTCAACAGGGATAAAGGCAACTAAAAAGAAAAAGAAGACATTAATGAGAATGAGGACATTAGTCTTGCTTTTTTCCATGTTCATTAAAAAAAAAGAGAGATCATGTTGTTTGTCCATGCTTTATTTGAATCATGTTCCTTGTTTAGTCTATGTATTAAGGTTGCAAGAGCTAAAAGTTTTTGCAGGTAAGCGTTATATTACCATTGCATTGGTCTATTATCCGAGAGATGTAGAGAGGAAATGAAGGAAATGAGTGTTTTTTTTGTGGGATTAAAAGAGGTTGAAATAGTACATGGCGAATACCAACAAGGGGTTGAAAAAAAAACGTCATGTTGCAGGGTTATAACGGATGGATATAACGACAATTGATTATTTGCTGTTTGATCCAGCCCAGCTTGGTCCCAATACATCGAAAAAAAAAAATAAAAAGGATATAGGAATATCATATTGTTTGTCAGAAACGATGCCTAGCTTTGTCAAATAGCTGACAGGAAGCGTTCTTCGTTCTTTACCTTTTTCTTGCGATATACATCCATGTACCCTGCTGTATATCAGTTGTCTGTAGATGACTGAAAGATGAGTCGAGTCATATCCCTAGAAAAAAAAAAAAAAAAAAAAAATGAGCCATTTGTCTGCACCAACCAAAAAAAAGAGGCCAACAGGCAAAGAGATTGATTTTTTTTATCTGTTTTATCTAAACGTTCGCTTCATATCCCTCAGACATTACATGTTCATGTTCATGTACATGTACATGTAACATGTACAGTACATGCCAGTGAAGAATAAAACAACTCTTCTCTTGTTTTCTTTCTTTTTTCTTTCTTCTTTTCCTTCTTCTTTCCTTATCCTTCTTCTTCTCAACAATCGATCACACATCCACCACAGATATAAGCACATAGAGATACCCATATAAAACAATATTATAGAGGTGATAAACAGCTTGAGCAGCAAATCAATCAATTACTAGAACGACAGCGACATCTTATATATCCAACAATGACTCAACAAGAACAACATCAAGCAAGACTCGCTTTCATCGGAGGAGGCAACATGGCTGAAGCCATCTTGGGCGGTCTTCTCGCCTGTGGATACCCTCTCTCTCAATGTGTGGTCACAGAGCCAATCCAAGCTCGGTGTGAATTCCTCCAGACCAAATACCCTGGTCTCCAAACCCTTTCAGGTCCTCAAGCCAACAGATTGGCTGTCACCGGTTCTCAATCAACTAAAGCAACTGCTGATCTGATCAAGGAAGGATCCATTCAGGTCAACCCTACAACCGCTTCTGCCGATTTCGCTCCTGCAGAGGTCGTCATCTTGGCAGTGAAGCCCCAGATCCTTCGATCAGTAGTCGTGGACATCGCCCCCGCATTGTTGGCTCGTCAGCCTTTGGTCATCTCAATCGCTGCTGGTATCGAGACAAGTGCGATCGCACGATTCATGGCTGAGGGCTCATCATCATCTGGAGCAACTTCAGACGCAACCGTAACAGAAGAATCAGGATACAAAAATACAAAGAAACAGCTTCCTCCAGTCATTAGAGTCATGCCCAATACCCCCGCATTGGTCCTCGAGGGTGCAGCAGGGATGTATGCAACGGCTGATGCGACTGTAGAACATCGTCGGGTTGCGGAATCGTTGATGGGAGCTGTGTCGAAGCAAGTTTCCTGGGTCGAATCCGAATCCTTGATCGACACCGTGACCGGGATCTCTGGATCTGGACCCGCATATTTCTTTTTGATGATGGAGGCCATGGAGGAAGCCGGTGTAGCTCTGGGAATGGATCGTGAGACTGCCAAGGCTTTGACGATTCAAACTTGTTTGGGTGCTGCAAAGATGGCTCAGCTCAGTGAGGACGATCTCAAGACCTTGCGGGTCAAGGTCACATCGCCTCAGGGTACAACCGATGCAGCCATCAAGGCTTTTGAGGCCGGTGGATTCCGGGATTTGGTCCAAAAGGGTGTCACTGCTGCCGATGCCAGAAGTCGTACCCTCGCCAAGGAATTGGGAGGATCAAAGTTGTAGATTAAACAAGGGAGACCTGCCCATTTTTTTTTTTTTTTTACTCATCTCCCTCCCATTTTTTTCGCTGTGTCGATCATGATTGTTTTTTTTTTTTTGTAATATAAAATTTCCGGTTCTGATTGTCCCGGTTCATAATCGTGCAGGATGCATTTGTTTGTGACTCATTTTAGTTTTTGTGCTCACTCACTTGGATCAACTGTCAAATCTTGTGCATTGTTCCCAATGGAGCAACATTCTTCAAACAGCACTTGTTACACGACTTTTTAATCAGACAAGGCACCAAAATACAGTATATTTTATGTATATATACAATGAAATAGTTGTGTACATATTGATGTTGTCCATAAATATATATAATATATATTTTATTTCTTTTTGTTAGCCAACCTTGCAAGTTGTTCTTTCAAGATTGCCTGTGCCTCTTCTTCAATCACATACCGAGTGATTGTCTTCACATCCTCTTCTTCCGATGCTCTAAAGAGTTTCAAGAAATCCAATCGAATCACCCTCATGGTTTCAGCCTGAGCCCTTGGAGGGGCCTTGGATCGTCCTACCAAATACCGAACTACGAAATCATCCATCTCTTCCTGACTTTTGAAATCAATCTTGTCTAGCAATCCAATGGAATGAGCCTCTTGAACAGAGAGGATCCGACCTAATGGTAACAATCGTTCTGCATGACGACGACTTGTGATGGCACCGAAGAGCTCGACTAACCAATAGGGTACTGGAACACCGACAGAGACCTCATTCAAACCGATGGTGCCTGGTTTAGGGACCGAACCCATCATGAACCGATCTTGACAGGCCATCGCCAAGACACAACCGAGCCCTAAACTGTGACCATGCATCGAGGCTGCAGTATTGAGTCTGGAGCTGTAGATCACCTCAAACACTTTCCGGACTGTACGCCAGTAGTTACTGAAACTATTATTATTATTATTATTATTATTATTATTATCCATTATAGAATATGTAACAAATCAAGAGATTTGATATTAGAATCTCTTTCACATCGTCGTCAAAAGGCATATATGAATGAGTTAATGTACTGCATACCTCTCAGGCCCTTTCAAGAACTCTTTGAAGTCAATACCAGCACAGAAAATTGATTTGAGATCGCTCTTAAGCATCGCTGCACGAATTGATGGATCTTGCTCCATAGTTTCCCATTCCTAAATTGTAATCGTAAAAAAAAGATAAAGGACATTCAGTATTTTTGCTCCGCAGAGAGACGGGAAATAAATAAAATATACACATTAAAAAAAAAAAAAAAAAAAAAAAAAAAACGATACAATGTGTGTTTTATGAAGTGGTACGCCTACTATAATCTTACCTTGATCAATTGTCTGGCAGTATCATGATTAAAAGCACTCTGGTGCAAGGTAACAATTGCGACTTCTGGAGAGGTTTCGTGCTTGGATATGGTGACGGGTGTTGGTGTTACTGCAGCGGTTGAGGAGCTAAATGAACGAGGCCAAATCAAGTCTGGGCGAGTCAAGTTGATCCCGGTCCATTGCCAAATCTGTTTCTGTTGTTTTTGTATGACATGACGACGGGCCGAGGCTACAACTGTCCTTGCAAGGAATCCTGTGTGCTGCATCATTTGTAATGAGTGGAATGGAAAGTAATTTGAAAGGAATTGATGCAACAAAAAAGATCTATAAAATTATTGACACGCGTTTTGGATTGGTGAAATATTAAATAGCGCAGGATAAAATAGGACGCCAGAAATTCAGGAACTGATTAGAAATGCTCTCTGATATAGCCTGGCACGTATATATAAATGTATAGTAGTTATAAAACGCTGAACCAGAAACTATATCCTTGATTATGCCAGAGGGAACACAGAGCTTATTACTGGATACTTATGATGGTTTTTATTATAAAAAATGAAATGAAATATAGTACAATGGAAGGATAAGAGGTTCTCTCGCTCTCCGCTGGATCGGATCGACATGTATACTCTTCCCCATTATGGTGCTGCTCAGTTCTATTGATACTATCGTGCATAAGAATCACTTAGAATAAAGTGCGCGACCTCATAATGAACTCGTTGCATTTACTACATCTGCTACAAGTAAATCAATATCCTTTGATTACTTCACTCCCTGAAATCATCCCTCTTCGGTTTCGTATCCAAAGCATCGCTCCTCGCTAATTTGAGCTTGGATAGCGTAGATACCACCGCCTTGGCCTCATGGCTTGCTCCCTAGGGAGTCCGACACTGTTCTGGATCACTGACAGATCCATGTTGATCCAAAAACTTCCTGTTGGCTTCACTCAAGCCGATCACGCCTCGAATTCTTGCACCAACGGCATTAAGAGGCGAGTGTCTCGTGGTCCACTTCAAGCGGACACGACATTGGCTATTCCCACTCTTGACAATCCTCCACATCCGAATACCACCATCAAAATGTCCGGTCACCAAGGAGCAGTGTTCTTCAGAAATAGCCCATGCAAGGGCCCTAGGATCGCTAGCGAATGGGATAACAGCCAAGCACTGACCTGAATCTGGATCCCACAGCCGCACAGTCATGTCTTTACTGCTTGAGGCAATGTACTGCCCATCGCATGAATAGGATATGGTGTTTATACCCCCGGTGTGTTCTTTAAGCGTACGCAATACGGCTCCTGATTCAGTGTCCACTATACTAATTGACCCATTTCCACTTCCAACAACTGTCAGTTCGCTGGATGGTGAAAATGTTATGTGCTCTTGAGAACCATCGAAGTTTGTTTCGTGCAGTAGCTCGCCCGTTTCTGCGCTCCGTACTTGCAGCTTATTTTTGTCCTGGATAAATGCTATCTTCCGACTGTCAGGTGAATATGCCATAAAGGAGGTGCCCTCAAAGTCATACAGAATCCCCCAGGTGTGCATTTTCCAGACTATGATTCTTCCATCGCTATAGTAAGAAGCAACCTGGGCACCATCAGGCGAGAATAACACACGTTCGGGGTCTTTATCGTGCCCCGGCAGAGTAGTGGGTTTTTTTGTTATCAAGTCCCACACACTCACATTGCCATTTTCATGGCCACAGGCAATATGGAGGCCAATTGGTGAAATATCAAAGACCAGGATAGTATCAAAGACCAGGATAGCCGGGCCTCGATAGATCGGACGCAAAGTGTCAGTAATTTGGCCTGATTCAGTGTTCCATAAGTAAATACAATGGCCAAGGTAAGGGTCAGACGAGGCTAACAATTGACCACCAGGGTGGTACTTGACATCGTATGTTTGCCTTCGTAGAACATAGATACATTGCCCTGATTGACTATCCCACACACGCGCTTCATCACCAAGGCCGCATGAGGAGATGCGTTTTCCATCTGGCGACAATCTTAACTCTTTGGTGGGGCCCCTGTGGCCATACGAATCGTGGCTAGTTTGCCTCGCTTGTGTGTCCCACAGATGTATCATCCCATCATTGCCGAATGACGCAACCTGATGGGAGTTTGGCGAATACGCTACATCAATTATATCGCAAGAGTGACCATGGAATATGTTGACCAATTGTCCTGACCTAGCATCCCAAAGTCGCAATGTACGGTCGAGAGAACTAGTGACTATCTGTTTTCCTTTTGGTGAATATTGCAGATCTTGGATCACGGCGGTATGGCCTGCAAAAGTATGGATGACTTTTCTTGTTTGCATATCCCACTGATATGCTATCGTATTAGAGAACGAAGCGGCATGCTTTCCGTCAGGGGAATATTGAACACCGTCGGGATCGAAAATATGGCTCCCATCTTTCAAGCTCCCCTTTCGCTGACCAGACCCAGCATCCCATACATTCAAGGGGCCGATGCTAAAACAAGTTATGATCTCCTGACTGTTAGGTGAATATACGATCTGGTTGATTTTGTAACCATCGCCCTGGGCCGTCGACACCAGCCCCCCTGATGCCGCATCCCACAGCCGCATCGTCCATTTTTCATCAATTGAGTTTCCAGCAGCAGCAAGCTGCTTCCCATCAGGTGAATAGGCCATGCTTGCCACTTTGCCAACGTAATCCTTTAATGAATGCTGGAGTGCGCCAGAGTCGGTGCTCCATATATGCACTGACCCATCCTTGCTACCTGAGGCGAGATAGTTGCCATTTGGCGAGTATACCACATGATAAACATCAACTGCAGGACCATTCAATGTACGGACCACTGCCCCTGATGTTGCATCAAATACAGAAACTGTATTGTTATCCCCAATGGCAATATGGCGACTGTCTGGAGAGTAGGTGAAGTTGTATGTGTGCACGTCCCTCAAAGTCATACGCTTCGCCCACGTGAACGTATCATAGATGCTGACATGCATCTTTTTGGAATCACGATTGTACGTAGCTGCAGCAAAAGCCTTGCCATTAGGCGAATATATTCCCTTATATATTTCTCCCTCTTCTTTAAGGGATGGCCATCCTCCAAATTGTACACCTGCCATCTTTGCTCCCTCCAAGCCTGCTCCTCGAAGATAACAGCCGCGAAGATTGACATTCCTCAAATCTGCCCCTTGTAGTTGAGCACTATCGAATATACCATGACTAATGTCAGCTCCGGGGATCTGGATGCCTTGCAAGTCTGCTTCGCTGAATGACTCTCTTGCTCGTACCAGTATCGTCATTGCATTCGCTGCTGCTATCCGCCATCTCTTGTCGCTCTTCGATAGCTCAACATACTCATACAGCTGCTGCTTGAACTTTGGTTCAATCTCAACACGCTCTTTCAGGAACTCAAGGATCGATGGCTCATCCACAAAGCTCCTCCACACTAAAGGTGAGGTCTCATCTGCCTTGGCTGGATCTAGCTCACCTCCATCCGCTTTACTCCCTTCCACTTCAAAGCTGAATACAGAGCTGACACTTTGTCGGCGACATTTCAGTGCTGTTGCTGCTACTGTATCACTTGCAACTGCATTTGCCTTTTTCTGTGGCTCGAACATCGCTCGTACCACACAGTACTCCAGAATAGACCGATGCACAAACCGATACTGATTGCCTGTACGGCTCAGAGGTGATGCTTCTCGAAGGAGGTGTTTCTTGCTTCCTCGGCTAAAGTACTCTCTCTTCCATGCTTCTTTGCGCTTACATGGATACTCTACCACTGGGTTGCCATTTTGATGCTTGTAGATTGCCACGGCCAGTTCTGTCAAGTACTTAATCCCATTTCGTGAAAACCCCTCATCGCACAGTATTTGGAACATCTCCTTATCTGAGCTATCGCTTGGCGGTGCCTCGATTAGTCGTTTCTCTCCTCGTTTGAGCCACGACTCAATGAACTGGTCATACAGTGTGATGCGCTTGAACTTTGTTGCAGAGATGTCTTGATGTGGGTTTATCATTTGAGGCAGCACTTCTAGTGCCATCGATAGTATGAATGGATTCTTCACAAGCTCTTGTAGACTAGGGACCATCTTGAGTGCAAACTGATAGTCCTCTACACTCCACAATATGCCTTCGCTTGGGACATTCTGTTTGATGTACTCATCAATCTGATCCTCAGAGAATGGTATAATCACAGCCTCTTGGAACAAACCAGTATCTGCTTGGTGGTTGCAGCCCATAGGCTGGAACCGATCTCGATAGTCTATCCCAAGGTACTCGCTGCGACAACTAATCACCATCTGACACTTCCATTCGCCAGACTGGTTGAGGCGGTTGGTGAAATAAAGGTTGCCGGGCAGCGTAATCTCATCATATCCATCACAGATCAAGATGAATGCCCGATTCTTCTTCAACTCTTTGATCTGTTTCTTGGTGAAACCATGTATTTGCAGCTGTTTTGTGACCATATCTTTGGATGGGTCATTGATAGCTGGCAGGTAGATAAATAATGGAATCCGATGGTCCTTTGAATACTCTTTCCACAGCTTGTGCTCCAAAGTGAGGTTGAATGTCGATTTGCCTGCTCCTGAATCACCTTGGACGAGTAGCACTTTCTGGTCACTGTTTAGGAACTCCCTCACCTTGTCCATTATCAAGAACGAATCGTCGTCACTTGCTTGGGGACTTGCCTTGGCATACTGCTGAATGTAGAAGGGTCTAACTTCCCTGTCCTCCATCCGCTGTTGCTTGAGCATACGTAAACTCTTCTCGACATCAGGCTTTTTCTGCGCACGATCGAGTAATGACGGGGATGCAGGTGGAGGCGGGTTGACAATGAAGTGGTACTGTGGCTCTGGCTCCTGGATACAATCCTTGAAGAGTTGCTGTTTTTTGACATCTCCATCCTTAGCAAGGCTATCCAGGAGTAGCTTTGCAGCTATAAAGAGACAAATGCAGAGTATTATATACTATCGATATCAGTATCCCTACTTCCCGTAACTGAGTCAATGATGACGAATTAAAGATGAGATACCATGCCCACCTTGTAGGCCATCACTTGGCAAAGAGTCCAGTCTCCTCAGTATACCAATAATACATCGCTTGATCTCCACATGATCACCCCAATCCTTGTCATTCCTGTATATCACTTCAAGAAAAGTGATCGCGTCTTGACGAGTTTCCATGTCCCACTGTGTATTGGCTGCAATCTGTCCTAACCGCTGACATAGCCCCCATTGGAATGCTGGCTCTCGTCGACAGGGCACCTCACGCACAAAAGCCTTGAACTTGGTGAGCTCGCCCAACTGAAGGAATGTATCAACTCCACGGAGCGCTGGATACCATGCACTCCTATGATTATATTTAAATCCTGCTTCCAAGCACTGTTTGAAGGCCTCTCCACTCTTAGCTAATGAGGCTACACCGTTGTACACACGCAAGCTCATGCCGGCAATTTCCGCCACAGTTGGAAGCCCTTCCTGAATATTGATCAGCTCATCCATGAAGGCATTTATATTTAGGTCTTTGACTGCACTCACTATTCCAAACACTCCTCGAGCCACTACTGATGTGCGTCGAAGCGTGGCTTGCATTAGTGTTTCATCATTTGGAATATATAACAGTGCTTGGAAAGCATAGGCTGCATGGAATGCTAGATGTGGCTCTGACCTCCTTCGTAGTTCCCCCAAGTAGACTGATAATGGCTCGTGAAGTTGCTCTCGCTTCAGGCCCTTGACTTGATTGTTAAGCATGGCATCCAGTACATGTGAGACTGACACACATAGCCGATATATGTGGTTGCTAGACTGATCATGTGTGCTCTGCAAGCGGGAACCGAGGATATTGAGGATATTGACTAGGTCATCAGAGTCAAGGTATCCGGAAGAGGCATGCTGGATCAGCTGAGCTAATCCTCCCAGCAAATTAGTCTCTAGCATGGTGCTCCCATTGATTCTAGAGACTAAGAACTCAAGTACTGCCTTATACTGATCTTCGTTGAGGACTGGAGCCAGCATCACCACTTCAGCGACAGTAGCCTTGGTCCTGATATCGTCATGAATGAATATTGTAATAACGGCTGAGGCCAGGCTGTGAAGTCGATCTTGCTCATCTTGATTCTTCGCTGTGATCAAAGACCACTCTTGCTCCTGAACTGTAATTTCATTTTGCGGTTGGTTTGCAGTACCAAGCAGGCTGAGGCAGTAGACGAGATGGTGGATATCGACCAGAGAAGCATCTGGAGGGGGCAAACTGTACTTGGGCACTCGAGCTACATCACAAGCAAATATGTCTACAGGGATAACTGAATTACTGTGCGGTGTTTTGGCTGTTACTGCTCTATTCACCCTCAGCTGGCTGATGCTGGTACTACTGGATCCTTGGCTGACGCTATTATTGCTGCCTCTACCGTTGCTAACACTGCTAATGCTACTGGTGATACTATTGCTGTTGCTAATGCTGTTGCTAATACTGCTGTTGTTACTTGTGCTACCGCTAATAATGCTTTTATTGCTGCTGTTGCCGTTGCTGTTGTTGTTGCTGTTGCTGTTGCTGTTGCTGCCGCTGTTGCTGTTGTTGTTGCCGTTGCCGTTGCTGTTGCCGTTGCTGTTGCTACTTCTATTGCTGTTGTTGTTGTTGTTGCTAGCAGAGCTATCTGGCTGTAATGACTCTTGGCGGGTTGGAATATATCCCCACTTCTCTGCTTTTTTGTCGTTCTTCTTAGCTTTGCATGTGTGGCCCAGACTTTGGAATAAGCAAGCGACTTTGTAGTGGGCTAAACCAATGCTTTGGCAGAGCTTCTGGTCTTCAGCGGAGCTTGAGGAGACAAGCCTCTTTCTCTCCGACCGCTGGATTCGAGACAGTGCAGCATGTGCATTAAGACACAACTTCTTGAGGGCGGCACTGCCATTACTTTCTATTCCAGAGTCTTCCATACTACTATTGAATTCCCTTAGAGCCTCAGATGGTGAGAGAACGCCTCGTGACGAAAAGCAGCTGAACATCGAATATTGTCCTCTTTTTTTCTTTTTCTATTGATTGTGATCTACTGATTTACATTATGAGAAAGCAACTCCTATTTAGATAAAAATGCCTTTGCAAAAATGATAAGCTTTTTTTTTTTTTTTTTTTTTACTTACAGCAATGTCTAGGGTAAATGGATTGTTCAGTAAGCGCTCTCTGAGGGGATACAATCTTAATGCGATGCAAGAGAGGAAAGGGAAGAAATGAAAAAAAAACAAGAGTAAAAGTAGATGTGAAAAAGCAAATGTGGCTCTCAACGTGGGTATTTCAAATGATCTTTTCCAGGGAAACTTCCCGTTCAACGTTCCGCGGCAAAGCGCAAAGAGAGATGTAAATAGTACAACTAATATAACGAATATCACCCAAGGGGTGTAGGCGTTGCGATCCTGAATCTAGTTTCCACTTTTTCGGTGCCTTGTTCTCTTAACTAAGGGGGTTTGACCACAAAAAAAAGCATCTGTTCCTGGTCCTTCTTTATCCCTTCTTCTCCTCACGTCATTTATAGTATAGACATGTACAGGAGCTTTAAAGGTGCAACACTTTGTCTGGCAAGAGGCCGATTGCTGCAAGGAGAGCCGGCTCACTTGGGGAAATGTTTTTCAGGTAAAAGGGGATTTTTCTTATTACCAAAGCATTGTGCATCATCTCTTTTTCTCACCGTCGCGCTTTGTCCGTCATCTTTGAACCTAATTTATTTATTTATTTATTTTTTACCATCCTTTCTTTGTATTCCACTGTTTAAGGCCGTTAAATATATAAGGGAAACGCCTTTATTCCATATATCCCCTTACCACCGCTACATGACATACCTATCTACTCTGTTAACCAAAATGATACTTAAGAGATGAACAGTGTTATGGATCTCAATAATCTGTTGCGGGTTATCATCACATTAACTCGCTTGCTAATAATATAAAAGGCCTCCATCCGCAATAGACTCGTAACAAGCAATGACAGGCTTCTGTATAGAATAATAACATAAATGCGTCATTTCACCTTTACACTCTACGCTGGTTATATGTGAGTGGGGCAGGTTCTCTTCTTTTATATTTATTTTAGATACTGTCGCCTCAATTTTATTACTTGGACTCTCCAATACCGCCTTACTGCATCCTGGGTGGGGAGGTGGTTTGTAAAGTAGGAAAAAAAAAAAAAAAAAAAAAATTCAGTCTTTTTTTGCCGCTCAAGACAACGTGAAAAATATTTTGGAGATAGATCATGAGCAGTAGAAAAAGTGAGAATCAGATGTGGGCCCACATATTACAACTACGAGGTATTTATTCATTTTCTGGTGGAGGAGCTTGTACCAGGTAACTACGTATCCATCTATAAGGTGACATGAGTTCATTCTAAAACCCCATATCAAAGATTTATCGCGTCAATGTGTATGGCGCGTTATCCCTTCGTCCGTCACAAAATCTAGAACGAATTTGTTCTAGATTTTTATGGGCACTAAATGCATGTCACACCATATGATAAGTGTCAGTAAAGGAGGTTGGAATCGAGCTGGCCCCAGGAAGCCGGTGCTGGCCCTGGAGACTTGGGATTCGAGATATTTATTCTTCATTTATTACTTTATCTTGTTTTTTTTTTGTGGGGGGGGGGTGAGCTAGGCGGCTGGTGTGATATGGAGGGATAAAGTTCTTTGATTTCATGAGCATTTATGAATAGTAGGGTCCAGTGAGTGAAGTGCGTGAAATGGAGGAGTATGGAATGAAGGAATTAAAGAAACCGATGAATCATGTAATGCGTAATGCTCAACGTGAACCTCATGAACTCCCATTCAGTGTGAAATTGGAACGCGAATCGAGATCCCTTAGAGAATGGGGGGAGGGTCTCCTAAGCTAGTTTTTGAGGAAAACCTCTTTATTTGCAAATCGAGGAAAATCTGGAACAAATTTGTTCTGGAAACAGACGAAGGGATACAACGCAGGGCTCGGAAGCCGGAGTCAAGGTAAATAGGGACTGCCGTGCTCCATCCTGTTTTGTATCAACGCTTCGGGCGCATCGCTCCTCAAGGCAGAACCTATGTGTGCATTGAAGCCACTAGACATTGGTAAGGAGAAGCAACTACTGGAAACCCTGGTAAATATTAAACATTAGGTTGGCATGTTATATATTATATACTAGGCAAAACCATCGCCCAGGGCATTGGCGAGGAGCCGGCAAGTAAGATCGCTGTAAAGAAGCCCGAGTCGAGTGGATGACGAATCATATCTTTGTGAAATGGTTGAATGAACTCGATGGCCAGCTCACGGAGCCAAGCCTACTTCTCCTAGGTTCAGCTCCACAACACAACAACATCGATATGCGTGACCCTTCCACCAATCAATCTTGGAAGCACCGCCGCATCCAACGACTCCCGGTGAATTCAACACCTGTTACGCAGCCTCTTGGCGCAGGTATTATTAGTGTGTTCAAGCAAGCATTCTTGAGATGCTTACCCATGAGTCGCATCTCATCCAAACGTTTGATATTGTTGGTTTTAGTTTTAGTCACGTGTAGAGGGTTCGCCACCAACTATTTAACGAGCAACAGCTCAGGAAAATCTGGCTCCTTGTTCCTTATTTTTACACAAGAGCCATTTGAGTACTGACTGTTCTCGTCCAGTCTTTGAGTAGTGTGTGTGTTCTTTTATTGTGTTAGAATTATTTATCTATCTGCAGCTGGAAGTGACCGGCTTCATAATCCACCAAAACGACCTAAATCTCCTACCACATCTGCCCCTAAATTTTGCAACAATATGGCGAAGCTTATTTTTAGTGAATGCGCGTAGCCGATAATCCCATATACATCCATATACATGGAATTCCGTTAAAGCGACAACACTAAGGAATTGCTTGCTAAACGCCGGCCCTTCCTGAAGAGATGCGGCAGCGTCTCGAAGCCGTGTCGACTACCAATGTAGAGCGGGACCATGAGCTCCGGTACAACACCGAACAATAGTCATGTTCCAACATCAGATGATGCCATGGGACCCCCTAACAGATGGGCTGGGATTATGTGTAAGTCTTTTTTTTTTTTTTTTTTGCTCTGACAGCCACAAGATTTCATGACTTCTGTAGCGTTAATGATACCAAAAATTTGTGCAACATGTCTTTTTTTTTTTTTTTTTTTTTTTTTTTTTTGGAGATTGGCCCTGTGAAATTTTGTCTTCGCCACTTCGTCCTCGCCCACTTCGTCTTCGCCACCTTTGTTCTCCATCTTTGAAGTGTCTTTTTTTCTTCTCCTTCCACTCTCCTTTTCACACACCACCCATTTTCAACATCCTCCTCCTCTTTTCTTTCCTTCTATATCCTTCAACTTTTCTGTCGTATCTTTTAGACCATCTATACCCTATAATCTCTATAATCGTATCCGACTGCTCCACTGTAAGGTTTCCTTCACCAATATTTCTAACTGATTATCTTGCTAACGGAACATTCATCATTTAACAGCAACCATTGTTTTATCAGTTACAGTAAAAGGCTATAGACTGTCAAAAAAAAAAAAAAAAATGGGATCGCAGCAAAGCAAACCCCATTCAAGAAGAGACTTCAAGTGCGCAATCAAATGGGGTCGTACACGAAAAACATTTCAGCTTCAGACAGCTCCCGCGACTTTGCAACTATCCCGAAAGAAATATTTGGATATGATATAGCTAGAGGGACCAAATATAGCTTACCCCCTCCAAACGCTTCTCTAGATGATATTCACCACCTCGTTTACTGCCTCAGAGTGCTCTCGACTGCACCAAAAGATCTCACAGACGAGGAGAAAGATTGGGTTTCGGTCATATCGGATGATAAAGATGAAAAAAAGCGACTTCGCAAAATGGCTCCGGATGTGGCTAAAATGTTTATTCGTGATAACAACAAGACCAAAGCTACTGTTGCTGAGGTCGTAATGCTGGCTCCGGTCCTCGACGATTATCATTATACGAAAGTGATCAGCACTTTGATCGACCTAATCAGTAAAGGTATTATGCTAGAGACTACTTTGCTAGAAGGGTTAGCTCAGCTGATACAGTATGCTTCTCCAGGATGCCTCAACTCTGATGATCTGGTCAATATCCTCATTCCCCTCAGTTCTCGTCTACAAGGCATTCACGAGCAGTCTAGCAGCCACATTTATCAACTGTGTGTAGCAGCCTCACATGTACTTGATGCCATGGTCAACAATCAAGTCGAGGGTCTGGAACGAAAACAGCATGAGGCACTAACAGCTTCCTTCAAGAGGCTGCGAGACAGTTCAGACCCTTATTTGGTATATCATGTAGCATATGCTTCTCAAGCTCTACTGTATATTCCAAATGATGAAACACTAATGCAAGCTATGCTTCGGCGTACATCAGCGGTTGTACAAGGTGTATTTGGATTAGTAAGTGCGGTCAAAGATATAAATCTAAGTGACTTCCTGCATGTGTACAACAATGTAGTCTCACTAGCCAAGAGCGGGGAGGCATTCAAGCAGTGTATGGAAGAAGGCTTTAGCTTCAGTCGCAAGGCCGCATGGTATCCAGCACTCCGTAGAGTTGATGCATTCCTCCAATTAGGTGAGCTCACCAATTTCAGGACTCTCGTATGTGAAGCACCCTGTCGACGAGAACCAGCATTCCAATGGGGATTATGTCAACGCTTAGGTCAGATTGCAGCCGATACACGATGGAACATGAAAGTTCGTCAATATGCGGTCACTTTTCTTGGAGAGATGTACAAAAATGACAAGGATTGGGGCGACTATGTGGGGATCAAGCGATGTATCATTGGTATACTGAAGAGACTGACCTCACTGTCAAAGGATGACATACAAAGTGAGTAGACAATAAGTCTCATCCTTAGTTCACCATCATTGGTTCACTTGTGAGGATCAGAGGAACTGACATTGATATATTTATCGTGCTCTACATAAATTTCTTTGTAGCGGCAAGACTGCTTCTGTGTAACCTTGCTATGGATGGAGATACTAAAAAACAACAGCTCTACAAGGATTGTTTCCAGGAGCCAGAGCCACACCCCTTCATTTACATACCGTCGCCACTTGAATCTCCGTCATTGGTTGATCGTGTGCAGGACAGACCTGATGTCGGGGGGAGTTTGCGTATACTCAAGCAACAGCGGAAGAAGGCAAGAGGCGACAAGTTCTTCTACATTGACCAATATGCCAAGGCGAGTCCTCAAGCTAGTGATGACAAATCGTTTCTATTGATGGACAAAGTGAACGAGTTCTTGAAGAGCGAGCAGAAAGTGCTGCTTATCCAAGGTGATTCAGGAGCAGGCAAATCGACATTCAACCTTGCTTTGGAGCGTACTCTATGGGAATCATTTCGAGAGGGAGATGACGGGATCCCATTACTCATTAACCTGCCAGCCATCGACAACCCAGCCAACGATATGGTCGCAAAACAGCTGCAAATACATGGTTTCACCAAGAAACAGATCAAAGAGTTGAAGAAGAATCGGGCATTCATCTTGATCTGTGATGGATATGATGAGATTACGCTGCCCGGCAACCTTTATTTCACCAACCGCCTCAACCAGTCTGGCGAATGGAAGTGTCAGATGGTGATTAGTTGTCGCAGCGAGTACCTTGGGATAGACTATCGAGATCGGTTCCAGCCTATGGGCCGCAACCACCAAGCAGATACTGGTTTGTTCCAAGAGGCTGTGATTATACCATTCTCTGAGGATCAGATTGATGAGTACATCAAACAGTATGTCGTAAGCAAAGACATATTGTGGAGTGTAGAGGACTATCAGCGTGTGCTCAAGACGGTTCCTAGTCTACAAGCGCTTGTGAAGAACCCATTCATACTTTCAATGTCCTTGGAAGTATTGCCACGTATGGTTGATCCACGTCAAGACATTTCTAAAGCTCAGATCAAGCGCATCACACTATATGACCAGTTCATTGAGTTGTGGTTTGAGCGTGGCAAGAAGCGACTAGGCGAGAGATCAGCGGCAAACAGTGCAGACAGGGATATGTTTCAAGCATTATGTGATGAAGGGTTCGCACAGAATGGAGCCAGATACTTGAAAGAGCTGGCTGTTGCAATCTATAAGCATCAAGGAGGCAATCCAGTCGTAGAATATCGCCCGTTCAAACACGGGGGCACATGGAAAGACCAATACTTTAGCAGAGAGAGTAGGAACTACCTCCTGCGAGGGGAATCACCTCTAAAACGCACAGGCAACCAGTATCGGTTTGTCCATCGGTCTATCCTAGAGTACTCTATGGCGTTAGCGACCTTTGAGCAAAAGGAAGTGACGAATGCGACTGTAAATGATCAGGGAACAGCAGCGGAATACGGTGAGACTTCACCTCTGGTATGGAGAAGCTTTGTGGACGAGCCATCTATCCTTGAATTCCTGAAAGAGCGTGTCGAAATAGAATCAGAGTTCAAAGAACAGCTGTATAAGTATGTTGAACTGTCGAAGAGCGACAAAAGATGGCGGATAGCGGCAGCAAATGCAATGACAATCTTAGTCCGAGCAGGGAAGTCGTTCACTGGGGCGAACTTGCAGGGCATCCGGATCCCAGGAGCCGACCTTAGCCATGGGATATTCGATTGTGCTCAGCTACAAGGAGCGGATCTAAGTGGCGCCAACCTTCGTAGCTGCTGGCTTCGCGGAGCAGACCTGAGCGGGGCAAAGGTGGGAGGCGTACAGTTCGGAGAATGGGCACTTCTTCGTGAAAGGGGAGCGATAATCCAAGGGTCATATTCACCTGATGGTAGAACATTTGCTGCAGCTGTATACAGCTTTTATACCAAGGAAAGCTATGTCAGCATCTACGATACATCGACATGGGAGAAACGTATGACTTTGGGTGCCGATGTGAGGGACAACTGCTCCTCTACCGACTTTATC